CCGCCCCGCCCCCCCCCCCCCGCGGGGGGGGGGGGGGGGGGGGGGGGGGCCCCCCCCCCCCCCCCCCCGAAGATGCCGATGGAGGGTGTGGTGATGCTCGGGTTGGCCTTACCATGCACCACCTTACCCCAATGACGATGGTGGCCGTTGATAAGTACATAGGTTGCCTCGTGGAAGCCATCCAAGCGCATTGTTCGTTCTATTAAGTTTCATATTCATTCGAGTCCAGAGTGAACGGTTCATCCAGCTGACCCAGCCTCTTTCACCTCGACTCGTCCGATAATTCTCAGGTATTCCTCACATCACCATCCCCATCGTCACAATGGGTTCCATGCCAGTCGGAGGTTGGAGACAGCTCGACGTCGGCGTCGTGGGAGGTGGCATTGGCGGCATGTGTGTTGCGATTGCCCTCCGCCGCGCCGGCCACAAGGTCTCCATCTACGAGCGCAACGACTTCGCCGGTGAAGTCGGCGCATCCGTCTCCTGCGCCGCCAACGGCACGCGATGGCTGCACGAGTGGGGCGTGGACGTCGCGAAGGGCGACCCCGTCGTCTTGAAGAAGCTCATCAACCGCGACTGGAAGACGGGCGAGCCCGTCAGCGTGTACGACTTGGACGACTACGAGGAGCGCTGGGGTTTCGTTTACAACATGTTCCACCGCCAGTACATGCACGCCATGCTCAAGGACTCGGCGTTGGAGGAGGCGGGGGAGGGGACGCCCGCCAAGTTGTTCGTCAACCACAAGGTAAGACATGACCTGCCTTTTCCAGGAACGTGACGTCGGTATGCTGACATTCGCAAAAGTGCAGTAGCATTGATCTCGGCGCCGGAAAGGTGGAGTTCGAGAACGGATATTCTGCCACCCACGACCTCATCATCGGCGCCGACGGGATCGGAAGCGCGGTGCGGGGCTTCATCGGCGTGAAGCCGGAGAAGCGCCCCGCCGACTCCAGCTGCCTGCACGCCAACGTCCTCACCGAGGATGCGGTCAAGGCCGGTCTGGTCGACTACTCACAGGACGCCGCGCTCGAGTACTGGGGAGGCCAAGAGGGCAAGTGGGACAAGATCGTCCTTTCGCCCTGCAACGGTGGAAAGTTGTTGTCTTACTACTGCTTCTTCCCGAGAGACAAGGGCGACTACACCAACCAGGCCTGGGGTGTCGAGGACCGCCCCGTCGAGGAGTTGTTGGCACCTTACCCCGAGCTGGACGCTCAAGTTCGCGCGCATCTTGCCATTGGTATGGACATCCAGCCGTGGCGCCTGTGGATGCAGTAAGTCATCGAATTCTCAGATATTCCTCGACGAAGTCACTGATCTCGTCTAGTGACCCCTACCCCTACCTCAACAAGAACATGGTCTGCCTTCTAGGAGATGCAGGACACCCCGTAAGTCTCGGCGATAACTAAGTTTGGTTGACTCTCGCTGACAGCAGCAGATGATGCCTCACCAAAGCCAGGGAGCGTGTATGGCCATCGAGGATGCTGCGGCCCTCGGTATTCTCTTCCACCCCAAGTACTTCAACGGCGATGTCTTCGACACGCTTTCGATCTACAACGCCGTGCGTCTGCCTCGTGCCACGAGGGTCCAGTCCGCTGCTGCCAAGGCCGCCTACAACATCAACGAGCGCATCGGTGAGTTGAAGTTCTTTCCAAATGACGAAGCACGGGTTTTCTGACTTGTGCGACAGGCTTTTCCAGCAACGCGGAGAGCTGCAGCACTTACAAGGTCGAGGACGAGAAGGCGAAGCTCACGATCGAGGAGATGAACGCGTAAGTAGCTGTCTTGCTCCCATACCATCGAGAGCCAATCAACTAACATGGAACTCAGTTACGACATGTATAAAGACATTGAGGAAAAGATTGCGACGCGTGCTGGAGTCCCCTTTGCTCAGAAGTTCACCAAGGGTCTCCCCATCGGCTTGAAGCTACCGAACGGGGTCATTATCGGTCAGTAAGGCGAGGCGACTTCGAATCGTTGTGGTTTCTTGGACATCTTCTTCTGGAGTTTCGACATCGATATGTTTAGGCGTTTTGGGTTGGCAATTGTGCGATACCAGCGGTTTATTGAGGGCTTATGCTACCTAGGATAACGTTCATGTTGTTTAGATTAGTGCACAATATCACATTTGTACACACATGGGCCGTGCTTATGAATCGGTCGTGATCGACGCGACGAAATGTGCAGACGAGGGAGGGAAATATTGATTCAAAATCCACTTATAATGATCGACCGCTTTCAAATCCTCTTTTTGCAATCTTCAAAATTCCCATGCGAGGCGCGATGACTCGACAAATGCGTTCGTCAAACCGTTGGTCCGCATGCGACCAGGCTATTGCTCGCTTCACGCACGCTTCACGTCAACCGCATCGCGACATGACGAGATCCAGTTATTTGCAGATGAGGCTGGTGAGCAAATCTTTTCAGCCAACCATGGACCAAGTCTCGACTGCCAAACACAGGCTTTTCCAACGAACATGGCCTCATATCGCAAGCATGCGGTGTGCGACCCCCGCCCGTTCCCGCGGACTTCACACCAGAAGAGGGGTTGGCGAGAGAGATAAACGATCGACCCTCGATAGCACAGGTTGACGATATCACGAGAGAGGCTGAAGGGGGAAACGGCTCGTCGTCGATGTTTCATGCCGCCAAGACCAAGAGCCCAAAGGGCGGTGGATGCGATCGGCCGAATCTGTATGCATAACCCTGGTGACATCTGAGGGCAACGTCCAACGCGAACTGCGCTAAAATGTCACCCCGGTGGAGCTCTGAAAGGAATTCTGCATGAGTTCCGAGCTCCCGGGGACCTTCGTCGACAGGGATCCTCGAGCGCAGAGAAAAAATCAATCCGTCTAGGAGGCCTTGACGCGTCTGCCGGCGAACGGTCGTCGGACTCGTCGAGCGGTGAGAGGAGAGGGCGGCTCGTCGTGGTGGTTACGGTTGTCGCCATAGGTTTGCTGCCCAACGTCGACCTCCCATCTCGTTTAGACCCTGTTTAAAAACTCATGGTTCAGGTAGTTGACCAGCCATCTGGTGGGCCGTCTCCTCGGCGATTCCAGGACTTTGAAGGCAATGGATTCAAAGACTGGACTCAACGGATGGCCAATATTGATTGCCAACCAGTGGATCCTATCAATGCTCGGGCTGAACCGACCTACGAGAGTCGAGAGTACATATAGATGACCGTCCAGTCCTCAGGTTTTGATCTGCTTTTTATTCCTCTCTGTCTGGTTCATCCCTATCATTCGCCCTGAGTTCAGATATCTTGAGGGCATCACTGCGGCTATTCTGGTTGGCCTGGCAGTTACTTTTTCCCATCCAGGCGTCGTCGATTTTCACTTTTGTTTTGCGTTTCTTATTGTTCAGATTACGGCCTTCGATACCCTTCCCCGCAATGTCTCCCGCGATTTTCGACTCCAGGAGGAGCAACTCCGTCCAGAACGCCGACCCCGAGCGCCGCAAGTCCGGCAGCGGCTTTCTCTTCTTGAACAACAGATTCAAGAGGTACGTCGTCTGGATTTCTGTTTGGTTTTATTTGTTTTCTTTCTCTGCCTCGCGGACTTTGGAGTTGTCTGGGACACCAGCGATGCCTTCTCTCTTCACCGCTCTTCATTATCCTCTCTTCACCCCTTGCAAGTTGCCAGCATGTGCTCGCTACCCCTGGCATTATGTTGGACCCTTCGCCCCGCTTCGACAGGCCGGGCTGCAATCGCGGGCGGCCGCATCATTGAAGATCTCCACCGCGGCGCCTCTGCCTCGCTTTGCCAACGGCCAACGCTGTGTTTCGGGTCTGTCGAGTTGTCGGCCCGCATGTGTCGAATGTTTGACGTGTCTCTCTGTCCACAATCCTCCTGTCGTCGTTGTCCGTTGTTGTCATCGACAGCCAATGTCGCCACCTCCAATCAGCTTCCCTCTCTTACACGGTGGTTCGTAGTCCGCCAACACCGCCCCAGGGTGACGCGCCCGACTCCTTCGGCCAGTATCGTGACTGGTCTGGGCATCATGATGACTCCGTGGAGGACCCTCAAGGAGGGAGATCCATCACACCTATCTTGAGACACCCTAAAAGACTGTCGCTGCTGCGGTTGCCATCAGTTCCTCCCAGAGTGTCTTCACTTCGGTAGCGTTCCTTTGCTATGCCCTCATTCCCCATGTTCTGCCTCCCGTCTTTCAAGATCACGAAAAGACATTTGAACCGGCGAAAGTTACTACAGTTGTCAACGCTTCCAGTATTGGCAAGATCACAAGTCTAACATGAGTTAACAGAGCCCCTACCACCAAGACCACCAACGAGAACGTCACATCCACGCCCCCCACGCCCACCTTTGGCCCGGTCAAGGATGGAGGCGCCTTCAAACGCACCGACTCCTCCAGGAGTATCCCATCTCTGGCTCAGACTGCCGACGCCGACGCCGATGCTCGAAGGCCCATGACCGCCATGCCCGGTCGTGAGAAGCCCTTCCTCGACACCAAGCAGCCTGTCAACGGCGAGAAGGAGGCCAAACCAGCCGTCGCCCCTGTTGAGGAGAAGGACGAGACTTCGCCTGCCAACGGTGCTCCCGTGACCAACGGAGCTGAGTCTGCTTCTACACCTGAGCCTGCCCAGAAGGACGACACCGTTGTTGAGGCTCATCCCACTGAGGATGAGGGCGAGTCTTCCGATGAGGACGAGGAGAAGAACGATGCCGAGGGCGCTCAGCTCGCTACCCGCGCTGTCATCGTTCCTGCCCGTGTCGCCACCCCCGAAGCTGAGAAGAGAATCTCTTACCACGAGGACTCCGACCTTCACATCAAGGTCCGCGAGACCAACGGCACCCTCGCCGTGTACTCCGTCCGCGCCTCGGCGCTCACCACCGCTTCCCGCGTCTTCAGGGACTTGCTCGCCAACAACACCTCCGGCGTCATTGAGCTCAAGTCCCCCGCCGACACCGCCAGCGGTCTCGACACCTTGTTCTCCATTGCCCACTTCAAGTTCCACGAGCTCCCCACCCGACCCAACGTCGACGTCCTGTACGATCTCGCCCTGGCCGCCGACAAGTACGCCGCTGCGCACCTCCTCGTCCCCTTCATGAAGGAGTGGGTCATTGCTCTGAACCGCCACGTGCTCATGGCCGGCGCCCGCAACGACGAGGACAAGACCCTCGTCCTCAGCTGGGTCTTCGGTGAGGCTCGCTGGTTCACTCGTGTCCTCTCCAAGGCCGCCTACAAGTCTCGCGTCGCTGCCGACGGCACCCTCCTCGACTCTCAGGGCCGCCCTTGGAAGGACCAGCCCGTGTCCGACGAGGTCATCGGCATGCTCACCGCCACCCGCGCCGAGGCTGTCGAGAAGATCATCAAGGCCGTCAGCAACCCCGTACACCGCCTCCTCAACCCTTCCTGCTACCCCGGAGAGGAGATCCGCTACTGCCACGCCGGCACCGAGGACGGAACCGTCGAGGACTGCGAGCAGCTTCTGCTCGGATCGGCCATCATGGGCTTGACCAAGGCCAGGCTCTGGCCTCCTCCCGAGCCTGCCCAGATCAAGGTCAGCGCCATCGATCTCGCAAGAGCCTACGGCGAGGTCCGCATCCGCCGATACCAGACCCCCGGCATGCGCTTCAGAGACAGCGCGGCCGAGGGTGCGCCGGTGGAGGACCCTCACGCCAAGTGTGGCTTCGGTCACCGTGAGGCTCTGGAGAAGATCCTGAACACTCCTGCCAAGGTCGGCTCCGGCATCGTCAGCCAGCTGATCACCAGGGCTAAGAAGTCCGGTGCCTTCGGCGACGAGCTGTTTTCCGACTTGAAGGAGCATGTCCAGGATGATGGTGCTGCTATTGAGGGCGAGGACCTGAAGACCGATCCCGTCCACTACAAGCAGGTTCGCGACAGGACCAACGGCGCTGCCGAGAACAAGGTCCCCGCTGATGGTAAGGCTTCCTGCTCATAACACATGACAAATATGAGATGCTAACGACATGGCTCACAGACGACGATGAGGACGATGAGGACGATGATGAGTCTAGCTCCGAGAGCGACGATGAGTAAACGATTATGCTAGCATGGTGATTTTTGGTTGTAAAAGCGTTATGGAATATGGAAATGTTTTTTATGTTGATTTCTTTTGTATATGATGTCTCTGAACATGATTCATTATGATTCAATACCCATAGAATGTCTAGAGGTCTAACAGCATCTTTTACATGTTCACACTCTTTTTATGTGAAGTCAGCTATGTCAACAGTCTTGATTGAATGTCCAACTTTCTCCCGGTGTCTTAGAACTTGAAATCCATTGCTATCTTCAATCTGCTATCAGAATGTCCGACATGCTGGCTTCAGTTTCGAGAGCCAACTCCGCCGCTTCCGCAGGCCGGTCCTTGCTATGGGTACTCGGGCCATCGGGGAACGTTGAGCAACCCTGCCTAGCTTTTCGAGATGGGAACCACAGCGGGGGCTTTCGGTGGTACGTAATTGTGGCACTTGACTTCTGGAATTCCACGATGCGGGCATGCTTGTCAAGTTCAACTCGGGGCATCACCTCCGCAAACTCATGTCATGTATCGACTGACCGCTCATTCGTTCCAGCTGATAGTTCCTGTTGATGAACTCTCCATCGCTTCCTTCGGCTACAAGAGGCTTCTCCTCACAAGTGAACATACCAAGATGGAGATCATGCGGAGACGTCGACAATGAAGTTGATGGCGAACAATCCACCAATACCAGCGAGGGGTCTTCACCCTTGCAAGTCGCCGTTGCGCGGTGGATTCTCCCCTCCCCAGGTCCATACATAGACCCGTCGAGATGGCGGAATCGCTGCTGATTTGTCGCGGGACACAAGACGAATGTAATAGATCAAATCATACGTGTACTTGCATCGGATGCTGCTTGCAGTCAACGAGAGATATTGTAACTACAAGTGCCAACTGCCTGAGTTGCCGAGCGAGTTGGTTGTCATCTTGGCGAGCAATCCTGTCAAGGAGGCACAAAGCCATTGTTTTCAACTTCCCTTTTTGGTCTGATAGTACCGCGACGCTACATAGTTTACGGGCGTGTTTGTAACGCCTCATCGTCCAAGCATCTATCTGAGTTATCTGGGCCTATCAGCAAACAATTCCTCGGAGGTCACAAAAGAGGGGGAGGCCTCATTCTGCAAGATACGGCTAGCTTTGCTCGGGGAACTTCCAATGGCGATGATTGCCAATGAGTTGACTATTGTGGATGTCGTTCCCGCTCTGTAGAGAACATGGGGGGCCGAACATGTAGGCCATCTACCTTAGGCAAGTGAAGTGAGGCTTGAATGAGACGACCCTGACAGGCTGTCATTCAGGTCGTTCCAACGAACTCACAATTACACAGAAATTGAAGTGCCTCGGTCGGTTGGCGCTCTCGTGGCAAGATCCTGCAACGAGTCAGATCAATCTGGTACCATACGAAGCATCGTGACAGATTGGGAGAGCTCATGTGCTCACAGGTCTTGGCCACTTTCATCACGTCGAACCTGTTAAGTTCGGTTTGGCTAGATGCCTGTCCATGTAGCATCACAATTTCCGTGAAGGCTTCCTCCTGATGAATATCCTATCTAGAATACATGGTACGGAGATCAACATGGCACGATTCAACAAATGTGAATACTTAATTCGCCCATTATTACTCTCTAAGTTGGTTGCTTGCTCACAGGTTTTCCCCGTGGTAAGGACTGTCGTTGGCCACTTCACACATGGTCGTCGAGAAATAGTTGAGCATCGCAAACAGTGAAAACTCGTAAACATGCCGGCCAACGCGATGGATTTAATTGCATTCTGTTCGTAGATGGCAGGACGGTTTCCGGTGCTCTGCCTCCGGTACGTCACCACACATGCTCCATCTTATGCATGCATGCAGCCTACGGGAAGTCACACAGCAACATTGCTCGACCGCCTCATTTTCTGAATGGACGGTAAAAAAGGGCCGCTGCAGGCCCGCATGTTCTGTTCCCCAAAAGCTCTGCCACGACAGCCGCAGCAAATATTCCTTACCAGTCTCAGGTGAGGATACGAATGCAGGCGCTTGCTTTTGAGCAGCTTAGTAAAGGAGGGAATTGAGCCTCAGTACCTGGCGCTTGCAGACCTCTTCATTTGTGCAAATTAATCAGTCCCTTCTAGGTCCAGGCCCTCTCACACACCATTCGGATAGAACTTCTAGATCTGGTGTCAAACAGAAGGCATTATGCAAGGAGTCAAAGAAGAGGTTCTAGACGGGCTTGTCCCGTCCCGTTACTGAGCGTCACGAGCGTGTACGTCCGTATGTCGTTGAACTCGGGAAGATGGAAGACGCGCTTCCCTGTCATCGCCCGGGATACTTGGGGTGGTATGCGCGAACAGTATGTATCCACCGTCAACCTGGAAGTACCATGTATCGGCCATTCAGGGTTCCGACCTTCCCTAGTGACCTTTCAGTGACATTGTCTCAAAACGGTCGAAGAAGGACTTCTCCGACGGAGGCCTGAATCCCGCCATTTGGGTACGATGACTAGCCGATGAAGCAAGCTTCTTGTGAGAATCGTTGGCCCCTTGGAATTCGGGTGGCGCGACGTGGATGTCACTGCTCGTCCCGAGTCTTGATCTGATAAGCCAGATTATCAGCACACAGTCAGACGCGTCAAGCAGTCAGCGTCATCGTCTGCCAAATGAGCTTGCGATCACCAAACGGCAAATAAAGTTTCCTATTCGAAGCAAAAAAGCCTGGAATCCCAAAACCTTCACTCACTTCGTCGAGGCAAACCAAGGCGAAGGGCGACGGGATACCGGCCGGGGTCCGGACTCAGTGACAAGGCTCGGCCCGCACTGCGGACGAATCAACTGCCACCACGTCCGAGTCGAGACCCCCGGTCGTCTCCGGGAACTCGCAGGTTGCAGTGAAATGGGTGTCCATGTCCAATGCGATGCGATCTCACCCTTGTCCATTTCGTCCCAACTGTCCATCCTAACCCGAGCAGAGTCAAGCCAACGATGCCCAACCCGCAATCGCAACACGCCATGCGCACAAAAACCGGGAGAAAATAGACCACGACCGGCCCAAATCACTTTCGTCGTTTGCCCTGCCGAGTTGACTGGCTGATAGACCATGTCTCCTTGAATTCCTGACTCATCTTATCATCGCGAAGCCCGTTTGATTCGTGTTTCTTTTCCCTTGTGGCCCGTTCGACCCCTGCAAAATAGGGCTTCGAGAGTGTTCGGCCCTCGACAAAACCGCCGTCCAAGAGACAAACAACTGCGCGAGGACGGGATACACAAAGTTATTGGCAGGACTTGACTTCAGAGGGGGGTGAGAACAGCAGCTGAGCACAGCAAATCCAAGACGTTGCGGCTCGGGATGGCTCAGGACTTCGCGGCTGCGCCTGGAAAACACGAGTCGTGAAGCAACTGGAGACTTACACATGTTCCTCCTCGCCACTTGAGTAATTAGAAGTTGCACTGGGAGGGTGACTCTCTCTTCCTCATCAAGCCCATTTGCCCAAACCCTTGGTCCAGCCCCCCTGGCCTCCCGCACTTTGGGCCCCCATCAAGGCGGGATGTAAAAATGGATCCTGACCCGGGGCCTAAGAATCCATGGGGGCGGTCCTAGAACCCTGGAAAGCGTGGTTTGCTCCTCCTGACAGCCGGATGGCCCAATTAGCCCAAGGCATCCTTGTCTGGACTCGAGAAAGTGACGACGTTGCGTTTGCAATGTCGCCGCTATCCTGCGGTCCGGAAGTATGCTGCTTCTCCCGCCAAACGGTCTCAAGAGAACCGTGGAGGCACAAGTTGGGCCCGCCTTGGTGCCACGCCTCACCCCTGGGCGTTGGCTCGACCGGCTTGACCATGTCGTGTCTCGAGAGCTCGAGGGCCGCCTGGAATTGCTCGACGTATGTGCCCTATTGGACGGGGGTAAGCGTGCTGGGGCTGGCCACGGATCAAGGCGGGCAGTGTCGAATATCACTTTCTGCCGGTTGGGTTGGTGTTGCACGTAGATCGCCCTGCCTGCCTCTCCCTTTTCTTCCCTTCCACAACACCACGCTCTGGATATTTCGACAAAACCAACTTGCCGCCCATCCAGAACTTCTTCCGATCTCATCATTGTTTTGATAGTAGATCCTAGCAGACCCGATATGCAACTTTACCCCTCATCAACTCACCAATACAATTTCAATGTCACCAGCAAAGTTCACCAGCCCCAGATCAGACATCCAGCTTGGCACATAACTTGAGAAAACCAACAAAAACAAAACCCCATCTTATCTCACCAGCGCATTCGCTCTTGACCGAACCTCCACTCTTCATCTTCATCTACCAACAACCCCATGGCTCCAACTCGTGATGCCATGCCCACCAAGGGGCGCGTCGCCCGCTTCATCGGCAGACAGAGGCGCCCGTCTGTTTCCATCCCCGACAGCATACCCCTTGAGAGTCTTGACATGTCCAACGCCAACGTGTCTGACGTCTCACTGTCACACATGGACCACTCCTCAGACAACAGGTCCGACTTGAGCCTCAGCTCCTCCGGAAGCTGGAGAAGGAAGAGCATCAGCGGCAAGCCTTTGCTGTTCAAGCCTCCCTCTCTCCGCTTCCGAGGACGTCCTGAGCTTGACAAGCCGTGGAGGCGTTCCAACACGGACCCCACATATCCGTCCGCCGACGACAGCCACGACTCTGACACCGAGTCCAAGTACAGCTTCGACTCTCGATCCACTATCACCAACGCAACGAGTGTGGCCTCGGATGAGGATTCATACCCCAGCAAGTCTGATTCCTTCGCTGCCACTCGCACCACGAGGCCTTTTGCCCCAGAAAAGCAGGTCGTCACCTCGGAGAAGCAAGTCGTGAAGACCAGAGCCGCGCCTGTCGCCCCGGCTAAGCCCGCCAGCCTCCGTGGGGCCCGTATTGACATCGTCGCCCCCATCCAACGGCCCCTTCGCATTGAAGTGGCAGCTCCTGCCCCCGCTCCTCCTGTGATCCAGCGAATCTCTTCCTATGAGCTCCGTGAGCGTGAGAGAGTCGAAGATGGTCTCCACAAGGAGATCTCACGCATGAGAGAGGAGACAAGAAGCCTCCTTGGCAAGCAATCCGACACCGACAAGAAGCTTGAGGACGCCCTTGAGAGGCTCTCAACACTATCCTCGGACAAGGAGTTCACGGAACAACTACGAAGAAAGGAACAGAAGATCAAGGACAGGGTCGTCCGTGACTTTGAGGAACAGGGCCGACTTCTTGACGACGTACAGAGCACCCTTAGTGAGCGTGAGAGGAGGCTTGAGTACGTGGAGAGAGAACGTGACGAGCTCAAGGACGTCAAGGAGCATCTGGAGGCCAAGTCCAGCGAGCTCGAGATCAAGACCAGTCAGCTTGAGGCCAAGTCTAATGAGCTTGAGGCCAAGTCTAATGGACTCGAGGCCAAGTCTAATGAACTCGAGGCCAAGTCCAGTGAGCTCGAGGCCAAATCTAGCACGCTTGAGGCCAAGGCGAGCGAGCTTGAGGCTCAGATTGCCTCAGAGAGAGGCTCTAAGAACGAACTTGCTTCCAAGCATGCCGAACTTGAGAAAGAACTCACATCTGAGCAGAAAATCAGAGAGCACTTCGAAGCTCGCTGCTCCAACTTGGAGAAGGACCTCGGCGACGTTCACGCCGTCACCAAGGACACCGAGCGTGCTCTCATCGAGAGAGTCGCCGCCCTTGAGCTCACCAAGGATGCTCTCAAGCTTCGCGTTTCCGGACTCGAGACCGAGCTTGTACGCAAGGGCACCGAGATTGGAGACATCACTGCCGAGCGAGAACTTCTCCGCCTCGATGCTGAGAGGTACAAGCCCCAAGTCGACGCTCTCAACAAGGAGAACGGAGCCCTCGCCGAAGCCAACAAGGGCTTGCAATCTCGCATCGACGACTTGGACGAACAGAAGAAGGGTCTCGAGGCCAACGTCGACAAGCTTGAGACCGAGAAGAAGGATATCCAGGACCGTTTCAACGCTATCGAGGCCGAGAAACAAGAGATCGAGGTCCGAGTCGCGGAGCTCGAGACCACTAACACCGACCTCCTTTCTCGCTTCGAAACTCTTGAAATCACCAAGGGCGAGCTTGAAATCAGCAAGGCAAAGCTGGACACCCGCGTGAAGGACCTCGAAGGTGTTCAGACCAAGTACGACAAGCTCAAGACCCGCATCGAGACCATCAAGGAACAGAACACCACCCTTAAGTCCCAGGTCGGATCGCTCCTCAGTGAGCAAGACGACCACACTTCTCAGATTCTCAGCTTGTCCGATGAGCGCATCACCCTGAAGGATGAGAACTCCTCGCTGAAGGAGGAAAATGCATCCTTGGCTGGCGAGAACGCCTCTCTCAAGGATGAGAACGAGTCCGTCACGAGCGAGCTCCGCCGTGCAGAGTCCTTGATGGGATCAGCCGCGCCATCTATTGTTGCATCCTCGGTCGTGTCAGAGAGTGATGCCGGCAGCGATGCTGGTACCGTCAAGGCCGAAGATGACGATGCGGCCCCGCCAGCAGCTCCTACGGACGCACCCCCAGCGCCTCCTACGGACGTAGCACCCGCCGAGGAGGTCAAGGATGATGCTGCTAGCGTCAAGTCTGATGCTCCGTCTCAGGCCGAGAAGGCGGCTCCGGAGACTGAGCCGGAGGTCCCACCTGCACCCGAAGTGGGCCCGGCCGAGGCGGATGCCAAATCCGAGAAGGCCGAATCCGTCGCATCCACTCCCTCTGAGCCCGCCGTCATGGAGGAGCTTCGCCAACGCATCGCTGAGCTTCAGGAGCGTAACGAACAGCTCCAGGGAGAGGCGGTCAAGCTCGGCTCACTCACCGCAGAAAGGGACGGCCTCGCCGCCCGTGTCTCGGCTCTCGAACCGGAGAGAGACGGCTTGTCCGCTCGCATTGCAGCTCTGGAGCCCGAAGCCGGTCAAGTTCCCCAGCTTACCGCTCGTCTTGCGGCTTTGGAGCCCGAGGCTGTTCTTGTCCCTCAGCTGCGCCAGGACAACCTTTCGCTGACGGCCCAACTCGGAGCCGTCAACGCCCAGCTCGATGGTCTCCGCGCCTCGTACGAGGCGTCCGTGGCCGAAGTCGACAGCCTCAAGCAGCAAATTGGCTCTCTGCGTGTGCGCCTGTCTTCGCCATCTGGAGAGTCGAAGAAGTCGTCGTCACGTACCAAGACCAAGGACAACGACAAGAAGAAGGAACAGTTGGTGGTGGTGCGGGACCCCAACGAGCGTGGCAGAATGTAAGTCGACCTCCTTCCCCCTTGCTGAAACCCAGCACGATACTGACTATCATTTCTCTACAGTGCGGTCATGCGACGAAGCGACTTGCGCGCGTTGAGGTCGTCATCCCAATCGGAGGGTGACAAGAGCGACTAAATCACCGTCACCAATTACTATTGTTCCAATACACGGTGGACAACGAATAGGGAATATGTGTTATACAACAACGAATGAATGATTATGTTATGGTAGTGTTTCCTTTGTCTTTTTTTCATTTGTATCAACTGGGATATCAAGGTTGCGGGAAATCGGACATCGCAAGGCCTTTCATTCACTCATTTCTTTTGTCTAGGTTGGCGGCATGGTACGGGACGGACTAGACATGTAACGGATCGCATGGAAGGACTCAGGTCAAATGGGTGCTCTCGGGAGCGCAAAAACATGCATCGTGTAGATTTCTTGTACCATGTAGCAAATAGTTTTAGATAGCGTCAGCTTATGTTGTAATTTCTGTTACCACCTTTCTATCTGCTCCGTCGCGACGGGCGTCTCTGCCGCCTGTGGGCAAGCCTCAAGCCGTCTTCTGTGTTCCACTCGTCGACCAATGTGTGAAGCCACAAGGTAGCTTGCTCCTCATCTGTGTTGGCGAGATGCTTGGCGTACGTTGTTGGAACGAAACGTAAGTTCGAGGCTTGCTTAGCACAACCGGGAGGGGGTCGGTCGTGCGGTCTAGGGACTAGAGCCCGCGTGGCAGCCCAGTGAAGGTTGAGCTACAATGGGCTTTCATGGTCATTGCAGCTGGATGTTCTTAGCTACTTTACTTTTCAAGAATTCGTTACCCTCTTTGAGCCCTCGCATAATTCAAGTCATATTTTGCGAGATTTACGATCAGGAATTGCCTCCTCTGTTGGGCGCCAAGCCTTTTCCCAGTCCGCCGCAGTCAAGAATCACTTTGTTGGGAACTTTCGGTGCGTATTCTATTCTAGGTAAGCTGGAATGTATTCTTGAAGTTCATCGTTGAATGCAATTGCTGAAAAGCTCTCGGAGAGCACTCCGGACGCGTCACATGACTTCACACCCAGGAAAATGTTGAAACAGACGATTGCATACTAGCAAGCCGACTTCAGCAGGCTCTTCTCCTAAAATAAGAACGATATGATGTCAAGAATTCCCAAGAACCGAGACGCTCTCAGGCCGAATCACCAGGTGGACGGCCTCAGCACTCGTATCGTTTGCGGAATCCGGTCTTAATGGCCATGCGACTGCCTCTCTCAACGAGCTCGCATTCCCATGCTCTGTCCCAGGAACCAAGACGCTGAAGAATATGAAGTAAAAGCTCCGATTGGACAAGGCCTTGTCTCACTCACGAATTCGGTTTGGTGTGTGGCTGCAAGCAACAACGAGCATTCCAGGTGGTGGACTAGAGGACGAGAACGGTCCTGTCTCGCTCGGGAAGCTAGTACGAACGCCGAGTAAAGCTACCCGGAAACCTATTTCTCTATGGAAACTGATTGAATCCAAAGAACTATATGAAGGGGTCTTTGTCACGACTCATCGACATCTTTTTTCTCATCTCGTCATCACATTCAACTCATTCGACTCATCCGACTCACTCACCTCATCCAACTCACTCGACTAACTCGACCATTCGCTTCACTCGAACAAGTCAACTCTTTCGTTCTCAATAAATATCCCTTCTTCAAACAATTTCAACTCTTCAAGTCTCACGACAATCTTCCATCCTTCAAAATGCAGTTCTCCATCGCCACCATTGTTGCAGTTGCCGGCCTTGTTGCTGCCCAGATCGACGGCATCCCCCAGTGCGCTGTTACTTGCTTGAACAACGCCGCCGCCTCTGCCAAGTGCACAGCTGGCGATCTCTCCTGCTTGTGCAGCCCTGCAAACTACCAGGCTGTTGTCGTCGCTGGTGGTCCTTGCATCGTCAGCAGCTGCGGCGCTGACGTTGCTACCAGTACGAGTTCCAAAGATTCTCCCGGCCGTTCAAAGATGCTGACCTCCATTCTTAGACCAAGTTCTTCCCGCCGCTGGCCGGCTTTGCGCCGCTGTCGTTGGAGGTGGTGGTCCCGCCAGCACTGTTGCCTCCGTCGTTTCTTCCGCCAGAGCTTCCATTTCCTCGGCTGTTCAGTCTGCCGCCTCCGTCGCTGCCTCCGTCTCCAGCCGCGTTGCCTCCGCCAGCAGTGCCCGCGCTTCTGCTTCCGCCTCTCGCGCGTCCGTTTCCGCTGCCATCTCTAGCAGAGTTTCTCAGGCTACTGCGGCTCTCACTTCTGCTGCTGCCCCGGGCACCCGCACCGTTGCCGTCACCAACGTTGTCACCAGCCGCAACGGCACTGCTACCGCCACTTCTACTGTCACTCCTGTCAGTGTCAACGGTGCCTCTGTCCAGGGCCCTGTCGGTGTTCTCGCCGTCTTGGCTGTTGCTGTTTTCGCTGCTCTGTGAGCAAGGAATCTGTTCTGGGATTAGGTGGCATCTGGTTAGAAGCGTTATCATTTACTTAATTAATTCACTATGTCTGGAGGATAGACGAGGCAGCGAAGTTGAGGGGAAAATTGGAGACTTAGAAGAGATATTTAGACCTTAATACTCAATAATAACATCAATCATATATGCTCTCTTCACCTCAACCGATCCAGCAACATCCTGAAAGTTTCTCTCAGAACTCGGCATCATAGCAAGCTTTCATTGCGATGCCCTGGTCTACTTGCGCTTTTCATTATAGATTGATGACTGATTTGGTTCGTCGTCTTGAGTACATGTTTCGTGGTGTTTGCTTTGTTGCGAAGGACACGCTGCCGTACTTGACGTATTTATGTGGAATTACCATCTCTCTGCTATCGGGTCTCAAGGAAGATCTGTTGAAACAAGCAAGCTCACCCAATGAAAGACTTGAAATAAATTTCAGCTCTTCTAAGACTTATCAACTTCTCGAACTCCTTTTGTCCCGCACACTTCATGGAATGATGAGAATCCACTGGCGAGTTTCTCGAAAGCTTGCCGCAGGAGCTCGGAAAAAGTCATATCAAATACTTCGTATAACTGGATATGATGCATTTACAACATCTCTCATGAAGCGTAACACAGGATCCATGCTGGTTTAATTGCTCAGAGCCAGGCGCAGTTCTACTGATTATGCACTCAACAAATACTCCCGCTCAACAATGACGATGCTGATGTATGTTTACCGTGGGAGTTAGGAGACTACGGTACGTACTTCGCTTGTAAGACGCGTCATCGCACTTCTCCCCGGTAGACTTACCATTCTCCAAGAACTCGTTCCCCTCACCATCGGCCGGCTGAAGAGCCATCAAGACCAAGTTTGGCGACTTGTCCAAGATGCCGTTAAAACGCCGGCCAAGTAAATAGCTAGCTCGCTGAAATCGCCAATCATTAAGCGCTTGGCCGGGGGTCGAAGCCTGGGGTAAGGATAAGAGCTGTGCCGTTACAGCGTACCCCGCAGCATCGTGCGACCAAGCAGTTCAATCGAGCTCTTTACCCCTTTCGATAGCTGGCCAGGCTGCGGAGAAGCGTCGGCATTCACTCGGAGTCAACCTTTGCGCGCCGTAATCTTTACACAACTTCTGATAGCTGTCGATTCGTCGGAACGAACCATCAGGGGTCGAAGGCTGTACCCATTGGTCAATCAGTAATAGCTCTCAGCTTTGAGGTCCCGAAAACTTCCCAGTATCGTACCGAGGATCTTCGCGTCTTGGCTAAAACGTACGGATATAAAAGCCAATGGCTCCAGATAGCTATTCATTCGGGTGTACTACACAAGACAGCCGGTGTCCTGCAAAGTAACTCCTCGGCCTTCCTTCTCTACACTCATCATGCATCTCTCGCTCCTCTCCGGAGCGGTTTTGAGCCTCGTTGCTCCTACCCTCGCGGTTCCCATCCAAGACAGCCCTCGCCAGCGTCTCCTCGACGGGCACAGTCTCCCCACGAAGTATCGCACCGGATCACCTCCCTACACTCCGGGTCACAAGGACAAGTACGACGGGCCCATCGATTCGGTGGGCGACGAACTTGATCCGCTCCCATACCGCAATGGCCTTGGTGCTTCTGTCCTTGGTCCATGGAATGAGGCTCGATCCAGACAAAACCCTGATCTCGTGCGACCTCCCAGCACGGATCATGGTAACCTGGCCAACATGCGCTGGAGCTTCGCCGACTCCCACATCCGCATTGAGGTATGCGTCTTACACTTCAAGGCGCAGCACTGGTAGTTTTGGCTGACTGAATCGTTACAGGAGGGCGGCTGGACCCGACAGACCACGGTTCGCGAGCTTTCTACAAGTGTCGAATTGGCCGGTGTCAACATGCGACTTGACGAGGGTGTGATTCGTGAATTGCACTGGCATAAGGAAGCTGAATGGGCTTATGTTCTCGACGGAAGTGTTCGCGTCACTGCTATTGACTACGAAGGCGGCAACTTCATTGATGATTTGGAGAAGGGCGACCTCTGGTTAGTTTTCCACGACGTGAGCATCTGGTCCCAGTTTGAGCTAACGAGCGTCAAACAGGTACTTCCCTTCCGGTGTTCCTCACTCCCTCCAGGGTCTCGGCGAGAACGGAACCGAATTCCTCTTGATCTTCGACGACGGAAGATTCTCCGAGGAGTCAACCTTTATCCTGACGGACTGGCTCGGTATGGTCCGATTCCCCCAATCTTCTCTGGCCAAAGACTAACCGATCGAAAGCTCACACGCCTCGCTCCGTCATTTCTAAGAACTTCAATCTGGCACCAGAAATTTTCGCCCATATCCCTGACGGTGAAAAGTACATCTTCCAGGGAACTACCCCCGGCTCGATCGACCACGAAGCCCCCACTGGGAAAGGCGTCAAGAAGTCGAAGCACCAGTTCACCCACAAAATGCTAGCTCAGGAACCGAAGAAGACCTCTGGTGGCGAAGTCAGGATTACAGATTCGAACAACTTCCCGATTTCCAAAACCGTCGCCGCTGCTCATGCTATTATTGAGCCTGGTGCTCTCAGAGAAATGCACTGGCACCCGAATGCTGATGAATGGTCCTTTTTCATTAAGGGACGTGCTAGAGTTACGATTTTCGCCTCGGAAGGAAACGCCAGGACCTTCGACTACGTGCCCGGCGACGTCGGAATCGTCCCAAAGAATATGGGCCACTTCGTCGAGAATATCGGCGATGAACCCCTCGAAATGCTCGAAATCTTCCGCGCCGACGAATTCAGAGACTTCTCATTGTTCCAGTGGATGGGAGAAACACCAAAGAAGATGGTTATCGACCACCTCTTCGCCGAGGACCCCGAGAACGGCGAGAAGTTCTGGGAGAAGGTCCGCAGCGCCGAAAATGATGAGATCACTCTGCCGGACGCCCTCGAGGAGGAAGATGGCACTCGAACTGAGGAACTCTGAAGGAGCACTGCCACAATGGAAGCCCTCTATCCGGGAAACATGACAGCTTGGCCTGCTCGGATGCCCGTGCTTCGCCGTTTCGTTTCGTTGTCTCTGATGAAACATTTGCAGCAAAAAGTCATTTGTACAGTCCACAATAGTTGCTGATCTCTCAATAATACCATTTTGTTATTCTTGGCAACTAGTCAATGATGTCTACGATCTCTCTTGACACTGTGGTCTCTCAAACCGTCATACCAATGCTATGTGAGTTTTCCATCTGTTGTCCCTGCTCAGCCGAGGAACAGAGGTTCTCGAAATTAACTCAACAAACTTCCGTCATTGACTGGGCATAGACGGGGTATCCATGCCGTCTGCTCTCAACTTTCGTCCAAACCCAACGGGTTACTAAGTTGCCGCTGCCAAGACTAGGCTTTGTATCACCATTCAGTCAGCCGCGCATAGATCGCCTCCTTCGCTTCTCAAACTAGAAGCAGACCACGTACACACTCGTGGTCTATCAACAATGTCGTTGAACACATCACTCATCGACACCTACCGAATGATCTTACCGACAGGTCTCCGAGAGACGTCCGTGGCAAATACTAGGTTACCGTCCTACGAATAGATCTAATCTAGGAGAAAGAGGGGTCATGTTCGTGATCACGACTTCGGTGTGGTTGGACAAGAACATCATAGGCTATCGTCCTTGTTCACACCCCCGCGGGATGCGGCCAGGCTCTCGTTGTAGGAAGCATTACCCCTCGCTCCCATGTCGCTGGGGCTTATCACCGGATTGGTATGACCAGGAGACGGAAAAGACAGAAGGATCAAGAAGGTGGTGACAATGTGAGCTCGAGGCGCAAGGAGGAACCCCGCACGTTGGACGGACGACGCCGAGGGAGAACACCACCAACTTCGGGCCAATAGTTCCGTTTCACCAGTCGTGAGGGATGCGGCTACCGTAGCTGACAAGCAAGGCCAGGCCCTGGCGAAAGGACGTCTTCGTCCAGTCTTTTTCCGCCGCGGCAATAGCGTGGATGTTCCTCGATGAATTCAAAATTCCAAGGTCTTAGGTTGCGCAAGCGATTGGCATCCAGGCCTATTCTTGGAAGTTGGAGAGAGAAGAGGGGTAAAGGCGACAGAAGTGATGTGAGGGCGGCGGTTGGAGCAAAGGCAAGCCAGCCCCTGGTTGAAAGCGAATGCCATCCCATCGAAGTTCGCATCCCACCCTCATTCGCCGGTATATTTGCACAAATGTACGCTACATCACCGAGCAGCCAGTTAACGCCGACCTTTCGAAAGGAATGCGCCATCCTGGTCGGTGTGACTGCATCATCTTGATCGATACATCCCAAACGACGGCGACAGGGGTGAGTACAGATGTAGAAACTCACTCACGGCTCTTGCTCCTCATGGCCCACAACCCGTCCTCGCCGAATCGTGCTCGTTAATCGCAGGCGGGTAGACTGCCATTTTGTCCGCTCAGTGTACACGGAAGGTCCTACTTCACGGGCGGCGCAACCCCGGCCAGTGCCGGGCGTGATCCCGGTGATCCATGTCCGGAACACGGCACCTGATTCGCGGGCTTGGCATGCCACCTTCTGCCGGGGAAATCAAAAGCTTGTCCCGTCGTATCGAAAGACAGTCTGCTCCACCGGACAGGGAACTTCGGGGATGGTGTGAAGGACGGTGGAGACCAGACTGCTTCCACATCTACACCGGCACACGACATCGTGCCTCGTCATTGCATTTATGTTTTGTCGCTCGGCGGACCAGGCCCCTTGCTAAGACCGACGACCGTGACGGGAGCGCTATTGGACGGGTATGTACCCCGCGTCTTGGCCCGTAGTTTGCGGCGCGGGAAGACTAGGCGAGAGTGAACGACGACGAGGGATGTGGGATTGCGCCCGCGTCGAGCTAACGTGCGGTACATGTAAGACCAGCGTCAAGAAGGAAGATAGCGACACGAAGATGCTACCGTATTAGGACGTTACAAAAAGTTCCCTTTTCGCTGACCGAAGTTTGAAGGGACCCAGTCTGCTTACTATGGAGCCTCACTTGGCCAGACATAGAAGCTCGATGATGCATTTGCAGATGACGACGAAGACCCAGTCACCACTGCGTGCTCGTGGGCTAAGGAGAGGACAAGAAAGAGCCAAGTGGACGCTTGTCTTAGGTATGTGAGCCTGTTATCTCTTCTCACCAATCCCGATGAGGAAATTCGATATGTACTTCGCAGTAAGGTAGGCTCTAGCCGCCAAGATTACCTTGCGGTGCCAATGCATGCAACCCAAGCCGTATGGGGGTCATCCGAGACCTTCAGGAGCGTTCTTGGCCTGGTGTTTGGGGACTCTGGGTTGCCAGCCTTCGACTTCGGCCTTTCTCCCACGGTCTTTCGTTCTCTCATTCTGTTGCGCGGTGGCGGGCCCTTTTCCTCTGAGACACATCGGTCGCACAGATTCGATGTGCAACCGCCAAGACACCCTTCGGTGCTTTGATGAATTGCAGAACCACGAGGGAGCCAAGCAAACAGACTTGGCAGTCGTCTTAGCATTGCGGCTCTGGTGCGCCAAGGATGGGAGATTCTGCCCATAGAGAGTTTAATGACTACGTGCTCTCGTAGAAACGAAGAAATAAAGATGGGATTGTCAGGGTTTCCTGGTCTTAAGACACAGCGAATGAGGGTGCGAGAAGTCCGTTCTCAGCTGATGTGCGTGCTCTCTCCCTCTCCAAATCTGGCTTCCGTACCCTGCTGCGCCGTACGAATGAAGTGTGTGACTGCTCCCGAAATGTATGTACGAGTAGCGTATTCTTAGGACGTTCAAGTCCTCTTTCTCCAACTGGGTCCATCCAAAGAGGTTCGAATCCTGGCAACATGTGATCTGCAGCCCGTCTGTTTTGCCACGCCCTTGCTCTCCCGCTCCCTCTAGCCGTCGTCAGGATGTGCTGGTTTCAAATTGAGTTGGATAGGCATACTGCCGCATGCACTCCTTCAGACAGCGGTTCTTATTTTTGGAGGAGTGATGGACTTGCTGGAGTAGCAGCAATTGTCACCCTTCCCAGGGGCTTGCTGGATAACTGACTTGCCTATGCTCGCGGCGCGACTCCGCGCGAGGGGTCATTACCACCGCACGACGCCCATCCGGCCAAACTCCCACCAATGTGAACTACGAGATGCCCAAATGACCAAGCCGTGATGAACTGCATTAGACCCGGTCACGTCGGCATGTGAGGGGATACCGAATGTCGTCCGAAGGGGGGTACGGCAGTTCCTGCTTTCCTGGTGGTGGTGATGGTCGTCATGGTGGTGGTTGTACAGCTCCGTGATGTTGTAGCTGTCGTTGACGTGCGCTGCTCTTGGTGTGTTCTTGGCTCACACCTCCCAAGATCCTGACCCCTCACGCCCAACCCTCCTTCACGTCTGTATTGGTTACGATGTGCGCAGCGCGGACGACTTCGTCCAAGGTTCAGGTCGCTATCCCATGTGGTCTGTGTTGCAACGGGAGGACTTGCGCAGGCGGGCAGCTGCAATGCGCGGATCGGATGTGATGCATTCGAGCATAAAGAACGCCGCCATCAGCAACTGGGCGGGTCTGACTGGACTGTTGTTATCTCTGGACACCGTCAGAACATGAGTTGAAGAGGCTGGGAGTGGTGCCAGCAACGACTGAACGACCCCTTATTATGAGAAGACTATAATCATCTCAACTGCTGAAACGAATCTGTCTGTTCTCGTGTCAAACCACATCAGAAAACTCTTCCCTACTCTTTTGAGTCCTTTGGTCTTTTTCGTCTTTTGCGTGCTCTGACATATCAACACGTCGTCAAGATGGTCAACATCAAAGGAAAAATCGAAACCGTCAAGGGCGAGTTCGTGACGGACTCCAGTCTAAACCGGGCTCGAGACTTTGTTGTTCAAGGGGCTCCCAAACTCCCATCTGCTGCGGGTGTCTACCTTCTCGAAAAGGTTCCTATCGTCCAGTGGCTGCCGAGATACCAACCAAAATGGCTCATCACGGATTTCATCGCCGGCCTGACGGTGGGTGTCATGCTCATCCCGCAGTCCCTGGCATACGCCAAGATCGCAACTATTCCCATCGCCAACGGTCTCTACTCAAGTTGGCTGCCAGCCGCGTTCGCCGTGGTCATGGGCACTTCGAAAGGTTAGTCAAGAACTCTCTCCATGAAGTGATGAGTTTTGACATCGTGGAACACCTAGATCTTTCGACGGGTCCAACCTCCATTCTGGGTCTCTTAACAGCCGAAATCGTACACGACCTGAGCGAAGAGGGTTTTGACATCACCAAGATTGCCACATCCGTCTCCCTTTTCGTTGGAATCTACTCTCTAGTCATCGGTCTCTTCGGTCTCGGCTTCCTTCTCGACTACGTCTCCTTCCCCGTCCTCACAGGCTTCATCTCAGCCGCAGCTCTCGTCATTCTGTTCGGTCAAGTCGGATCTTTGGTTGGTCTGTCCAACGTGCCATCTGGGGTCTTCAACGTCATTGGCAACGTGCTCAGGCGTCTTCCCGACTGGGATGGTCCAACGTGTGGCGTCGGGCTGGGAACTCTCATCATCCTCATCTCTCTCGAGAAGGTCGGCAAGAAATGGGGCAAGAGACACTTCGCCATCAAGCTCGTCGCCAATTCCCGAGCAGTGATCGTTCTCGTTCTATTCACCCTGATCAGCTACCTCGTCAACCGCGGTCGCGATAAGGCCGACTACGCGTGGAAGGTCAGCCAAGTCAGTACGCACGGCATCACGAAGCCTTCCGTTCCCGAGACAAACCTCCTCTCCAAAGTCGCGACGAGAGCTGTTGCCCCTCTTGTTGCCAGTACGCTCGAGCATTTGGCTGTGGGTAAGGCTTTTGGAAGGAAGAACAACTACCAGATCGACCAAAGCCAGGAATTCAACTACCTCGGAGTAGTCAACATTGTCAACGGTTTCTTCAGCACAATGCCCGTCGGCGGTGCTATGTCTCGTACAGCCGTTGCATCTGAGTGTGGTGTCAAGAGTCCCCTCAATGGCTTGTTCACCGCCGGCTTTATCCTCCTGACACTTTACGTCCTTTCACCAGCACTGTACTGGCTCCCTTCCACGACTCTTTCCGCCATTATTGTAAGCATCCCCTCATCTTGAAAGCAGATCTTGAACAAAGAGCTAACCAGGCATCCTTCATAGATCATGGCAGTTATTCATCTTTTCGGCCCCTTGTCTCTGTTTTACCGCTTCTGGCGCATCTCCTTCGCCGACTTTGTCGCCTCCATGGTCTCATTTTGGGTCACCATCTTCGTCAGTGCCGAGATCGGAATCGGCGCCGCCGTCGCCTGGTCGATCGCGTGGACGATGCTGCGCTCGACATTCGTCAAGCCCAAGATCCATTCCAGCTCGGCCGAGATCACAAACTCTGTCCCTCAACCCATCACCCGGATCGTCGGCAGCAACAACGACCGCAACGAAGGCACCGAGAACCGTACCGAAAATGCCGGTATCTCCATCCCCGGCGACACCATCGTCGTCGACTTCAACGACGCCGTCTTCTTCCCCAACGCCGAGCGGGCCAAGATCGCGACCCTGGAGGCCATAAAGCTGGTGTACCCCCGCGTCGAGAGCAGTCTCAGCCAGGACGACCGCGAGAGGCACTGGAGCGTCGCGGCAGAGAAGCGGCTCGAGCGGTTGCGCGCGCAGCGGCAGCTTCGGCTCAAGGAGACGCCGCTTGCCGTTGTCGTTTGGGACTTCACCATGGTGCCGTTCATTGATACTTCTGGTATTCTGACGCTGAAGGAGCTCAAGGACGAGATTCGGATGCATTCTGGCAAGACGGTACAGATTCGCATGATTGGTATGTCGGACAAGGTGCGGAACAGGTTCTTGAGGGCCAAGTGGAAGCTGGTGGACTTGGAAGAGTGGCGGGAGGAGGATGCCGACTTGGTCTACCCATCCATGGAGACGGCTATTTGGGACCGCGATGGCGACTCGGGTGCGGATGCATCGAGTGAGAAGAAAGGCTTGGCTTGAGTGGCGGTGGTGTATCAACGAACGCGTTGAGGTGGTCTCAACGATCAGAACTTCGACCGGTTAGTCCCTTTCTTTCGATTCAGCCAGATACCTTAGTTTTATTAAGAATCATTTGTTTACTGCAAATACCATCACGTGTCGGACTTCTCTCAGACCAATGCCATGCTGCCTATGCTTAACGTGACTGACCATGCACAACCTGATACCACCGCAACTTTCCGGCGAGGAACTCGGTTTACGATTGTGGCTCCAATGCCCAGTACAATCATCCCCTGATTCAACGAAGAATAACCCAAGCCAGAACAGCGACGATAGCGACGAGAACAGCGATGATGCCCAGAAGCATTTGGTCAGACTGTTCCTGGCGAATGCGAGTTTTGTCCAACTCCTTCTGGTGCTCATCCTTGTCGCTCTTCAGCTGCTGAAGTTCCTTGTTCAAGCCAGCATTGTCGTTCTCAATCTTCGTGATGTAAGCCTTGCTATCGATCATCTCCTTGCGCAGCTCGTCGTTGGCAGCTCGGTGGCGACCGTCGACCACGTTGATCATCTCAGACGCCTGCTGCTTGGCCACAATGAGATCGCCGCGGATCTTCTTTGCGTTCTCATTGGCAGCGGCGCAGCTGGCCGTGACATTGTTGATACTCTTTGCCTGTCTCAGCTGGTACTTGAGAATCTCTCGGTGATTCTCCTTCCAGTGCTTGTTGTCTCGCTCGATTTGGGTCAAACGGTTCTCGATGCCTTTGTTGGCGAGGGCGGAAGAACCCGAGGCCACCTCATTGTTCTGGTATCCGGATGGTCAGCAGATTTGAAGTAGGTGGAATAAATCGGTTGGTGAATACCTCGTTGGAGGGCATGGAAGCAAGTAGATCGGACCGGGCGCTGGGCGCCAGGTGATTCTTCTGGGATGAAATGACCTGATTCTTGGTCATGTCAGTCGAATATCGCCGATAGATCGCATGCAGGCTCCGGTTGGGGAATAACGTCGCCCACGCGTACATCGGGCCTCTTGGATATTTTTGTCTTCCTTACCTGCGCAGCATCATTCTGGCTGGCGATTTCATCAGCGCCGCCTCGAACTGTTGCAGAGTTGTGCGAAGAAGCCATTGTGACTGTGAACCCGCAGAGTTTTGTCAGCGACGGAGGACGCGGTGATATGTAGGGATAGGAGGGCTTACCAGTGTAGATGTCGCGTCGCATCCAAGGCAGCTCGTAAAAGAAATCAGATGTCAAGAACAACTCAAGAATGAGATGAAGATTGGAGGGGAGGAAGAATTTTTAGACCGACCTACCAGATGGAAGGAGCCGGGCGAAAGTGAGGTGAATGGTGAATGGGAGTGAGGTGGACAAGCGAGAAAGCCTTCTACAGGAAGGAGCGCCAAAATCGCAGAATCTCAGGCAGTCAAAACAAGCGCAAGCCCGACATTGAGCTTCCTTGACATAGGTAATGTCACAAATCGATTCCAGCGTGGCCGTTAATCCGCATAAAAGGTAAATCAGAGGCTGCAATGCGGGCTCGGCCACGTAACACAGAGACAATTCGCTCTTCAGTAAAAGGCATTGGACATTGTAAAACATTAATTTGATGATTTATTAAGTCTATCTAAGTTTTGACGTGCCCACGAGAACGAATGAAGCACAAGGTCAGAAGTCTGTGGAGTGATGTTTGGGATGAGGGCAAGATCTTCACCCTGTCATCAATCGCGAGGGAAATAGAGAGATGTAAGAGCTCAGCGCTCGAATTCTGATTCTTCACCCAGTCAGCGGAAAGATCCACCGGTAAGCTACACTCGGAGTTCTCAAAGTGTACATCAAGTCATGCCCAGCATCTACGATGTCGTCGCCACGGTCCACACAGTGCCCCGCAAAGCGCACGAATTCTCGAAGTCTTGGGAGCCGACATACCATTCATCCAGGTAGCCTCACCTGTCAGAGTTATTGGCTATCCCAGTGAGTGTGGCAGTCGGAAGCATCCCAGACACACACTGAAGTGATTTCATCGAGGTCGCCCCACACGACCGCCCCCCGAAACGGAAGAGTAGGAGACGGCCCCGAGCTGTCAAGGGTGCGACGACGACAAAGAACCAGCTGGACCATCCCGGATTGTTGCCAATCGAGGGTCGACACCCTAACCCGACAAGATCTCCTTCCCTGAAGGGCGACGCCCCAACTCACAGTTGAGTGGTCCACCGGTCCAAATGGTTCTGGCAATCGCACATGCCTCAGGGTCGTGTCCCAAGCCAGATCTCCCGACGCGTCGATTTCTCAGGGTCCAGGTGGTAGACAGGCATGGGCATGACAAGACGTAAAGAAAAACGAGGCTGGGACAGGGCTTACCTCGGGATATGGATCGTGTGAAGCCGCAGCTTGGCCAGCGCCGGCTGGCTTGGTGCCGGAGACAGAGTCCATCGCGTTGTCTGTTTTGCGTTGTGTCAGTAGGAAAACTTCTGAACCGTTCTTTCTGTTGACGTACCGCTGTCTCGACGAGACCCGTTGTGGTGATGGTCAAGAGTGTGTTGGATGGAAGAGTGTGAGGTGGAAAGATTGTGAGGCGGGAAGAGTGTAGAAGGGAGGAAGGAACGCCAAGATCGAAGTGCGATGGGAGGGACAGGACTTTGAGGGAAAATATTTTTAGTGGAAAAAAAGTCTGGTTGGAAAAATGAGGTATAAGGGCAGGTAGAAGGACAGGTAGAAGGAGAGACGCAAAAGACCTGCGTAGGGCAAGTTGAACTTGGCGAGGTGAGGGTGGAGGAGGAGAGACGGTAGAGTGTGAGAAGAAGTATGGCGAGGAGAAAATCTTGTTGTGAGGAAGGGTGTGGAGGAAAGTTGGGAGGAGGGTGAGAGATTGGTGCGCAAGAAGAGGAGGTGGGAGGTGAGGGAAAAGAAGACAAGAAGACTTACCGGTCGAAGGCTGCAGGCGAAGAAGGGCAAGGTGAGGTAGCCGAGATCCCACGTACCGAGAGGGAAAAAGAGGGAAAAAATAAATATGGTCGGTCGGTCGAGAGGGAAAGGTTTTTCGGTGCGCTGGGCGAAATCTCGTTGAGGAAAGAACGCGGACGATGGCAGTGCGACGGGGAAACGAAGTTGAGAGACGCGCGAAGAGGGCTTCTGGTGTTCTGTCAGGTCGGCGATAGTAACAACGAAGTTTCTGGATCGTGATTTCCTTCAGCGTACTGCTGTCTGATGGGATACGTTGAAGAGATAGCTCGTGATCCGGTTTGGTGATGGTGATGGATGACGAGACGGAGACGATGAGAAGGAATATGTGAGGTTGAGAGGTCGGGAGGTGGAAACGGGAGGAAGTAGGCGCGAGGTCAACACCCGCGCAGCCCGACGAGAAAGGCGAGGTTTAAAAAAAAAAACAGAATCAGGTCCCCTTCGCTTAGCAAAAGGGAAAAAAATTGTTTTTGGGAAGAAGCTGGAAAAAGTGAAGTGCGCGGGCAAAGAAGGCAAGAGCAAAAGGCAGGCAGGGACGACCGCGCCCAGCCCCAACGTGGAACGCTGAGATGGTTCCCAAAGGGCCAAAGAACAGTCAGAAATAAGCCTCATATTCTCGGAAAAGCTCTCAAAACGCATACTGAGGTAATCACTTTCCGATACCGAGCTTATCGTACAGCCAACAAATTAAGAAGGTCACATCTGGATCTATTGGTGCAACTTTCGCATCTCATGATGTGTGCCATTGGCTATTGTACAGGATTTCCATGCCCAGAACCCGAAGGTAGTCTACATGATCGAATGTCCTGTGCCTTGCTTACTTCAATATTACCAAGACCAAGTTGATGATAGTTACATGAAAACAGTCAGAATCACAACCAGGAGCAGCGCAATGGCGACAAAGAAGATGACGAGGTCGCTTCTGATGTCTCCGCGGCTGGGGCTCTGATTGATGTGACCCTGCATCTTTCCCATGTGACCCTCCATCTCTCCCATGTGGCCCTCGATGGCTTCCGTCCGGTCCTCGAAACGGGCGGTGCTCTCCTTGAGCCTGTTGTCGACTTGATCATGGGTGACGAAGCATTGTCGGTAGCTCTCTTGGCTGCTCTGTTGGTAATCAAGGCGTCGATTAATTCCCAGAATCACAGCCTTGAGAGCCTTGATCTCCTCCTTCTGTTCAGCGTCTCGAATCTGACAGCCATCTCCCAAGGCATCGATGGAACGGCCCATCGCAAGGTTTCTGGTCTGAGCTTCGAGAGCTCGCTGGTTGGCCACATTCTGACCGACGTCCGTCTCATTCAGCTTCGTCTCAAGTCTGGTGAGGCGTCGGCGAAGGTCGCGAATGTCGGCGACGTGGTTCGTGGTATTGTTGACGGGTTGCTGAAGGCCTGATCCAGTGACAGTGTCGTCGTTATCGGCCTGTTTCCGGGTTAGGACTGCTGTGCGGAGAGGGTCGTCTGGATATGTGGTAACTCACCTGGTCGTCCTTTGTCCAGCTATCCTCGTCGTCGTAGATGCTCGAATCGAAGGCATCGTGGTCTTCCTGCTCGTTCTTCACCCAGTCAGCAGCCTTCCTACGAAGGTCCTACAGGTAAGCCACACTCGAAGTCCTCAATGTGCATCATCGGTGCTGTGCCCTGCATCTTTGCGGCATTCCCAGAACAAGACTCGTAAAGTGCGTGACCGCCGGAGGGATTTTCTCACAGCCTCTCCTATGCGGCCCAGCCCACGACATTACCCCGAAACAGGAGAGTGGGGATGCCTCAAGACACGCAACCTGGGGTTAGCAGGAGCGAGTCGGGAATGGAGTAAAATAACCAAGCTGGACCAACCCAGGTCTCCCGAGGGACCGAGGCGGGCGAGAGCTGTACATTGAAGGTGACACCCCAACCCATCAGACGGGAGGTTACAGACCAAATGGCCTTGGCGATCCCCCATGCCTCAACTTCCACAAGCTCCTGACCATCTCAACCCTCTTAGGGTCCAGCAAAAGCAAGACAGGCAGACCAGCGTTGATGATGCACAAGGAAAACGAGGCTGGGTACTCAAACAAAGTGAAATGCGGGCTTACCTGGTGAGGAGAAGGGGACTGAGACGTGTCGATGACGGCGCCGTTGGGAGTCTGGCTCGTCGGGAGAAGGCCCAGACCAGGGATCGGGGTCTTAGGTCCTTGATTCATGTTGGCTGAGATTCTTCGGGGCTGTAGAAGATGACCGGGTGTCAGCAAAACGGGTTGGCGGAGGAAGAAAGTAGGAATCAAGCGTCGAGGGAAGAGGGTTGAGGAGAAGATGCCGGTTCGGTGATGACTGGGCAAACAAAACAATACCCAAAGAGAAATCGAGATTGTGAAGAGGAAAGGAAGAGGTTTGCGCCTGAAGAGAAAATTCTTTCGCATTGCCAAAAAAAAAAATGCCTTGTGCGGGAGAAGCGCGCTGAGATGAAGGAAGAGGCAGCGTTGGGATCGGGGATAGGGTAGAGACGTGGTGGTAGTCGATGAGGCGGCCGAAACAGAAGGAGCCCACCAACAGAATCTTGAGCAGACGCAAATAGAGAGGCAAGATGGAAAAAAGGGAGGACGCGCAGGAGAGGTATTCGAAGCTTACCAGTGAGATCCAGAGCGATGAAGGAGGAAAGGAGAAGATGGCGAAGTAGGTCGCAAGTGGCCAGAGTAGGACGCGACTTATCGTCGTTGTTGTTGAGGTGAAAATGGTGAAGGAGACGGGAGTGGAGGGCAGGTAACGCGAGAGGAAGAAATCGGATGCCCAAGTGCGTGACTAGAGATCGAAGGGATCGGGAGTCCGTCTCTCCTTGAAAAGGTAAATTAGGCGAGCTAATATTGAGAGCAAAGTGAAAAACAAAAATTAAATCAAAGGTGCTTCTGGTGAATTAGACTTGATTGAGGCTGCAGTCCAAGAGGCAGGAGCGGGTGGTTTGGCCTGGGTCAGATGAATATTTCGGCTCCTTCCCTCGAGGTTGGCAAACAACTTCACCCTCAGTTCAGGTACGTACCCAACTTTGAATGAGGTGCTGACTTGTGCCATCCGTCTTCTTCTCTTCCATCTTTCCTCCAAGTCACACACAAACCCAACTCTTAATAATCACGACACCAAGTCTTCCATCGCGCATACAATACCTGCTATTACACCCTCTCGTCTGCCATCCATATCTTTGGTATGTTCATCTTTATTCAGTCCAACCGTCTGGTCTAGCTGCCGCTACAGACACGTGGACAAAGGCCCATCTAACAATGATTCCTCTTCAGGACACAATGAGACTGTTCAAGAGAACATCGAACAACAAGAAGGTTATGAGCACCTCTGCTGAGTATGACAAGGGCGTAAGTTACATTTCCGTCGAGCTTCAATGGGCCATCGCGCATAGTGCTAATAAATGAATTGATGCAGTGTACCACCGAGGAGATCACAGACTTCGTGATCCTCAACAACGACAATAACAACAACAACAAAAGCAGCAGCAGCCGCCAACTTCAACAGAGTGATATCAAGGCTCTCATGGCTTCGCATGAAGCTTTGGTCGCTGCTCTTTTGGAGAGACATCAATCCGAAATCTAAAAGATGCAGGATACTTACGAGGAGGAGCTTACTGCTATGGAGAAGGCCTTCAGCTACCAGATGAAGATCGTTGGAGAGTTTCATCTGGACCGCGAGATTGATCTGAACAACAATATCGCAACCTTGGAGGGCGGCAAGAGAACTGGAAAGGCTTAAGGACTTCATGGATGAAAGAATTTTCCAGGCTTTCCGAATATGGATGGGATGGTGATTCTGGCGGACTAGCCACCATGGGATGTTGAGAGCTAATTACCTAGCCAAATGGGCTTAGATGGTTCGGCTCATCTCAAAACGCTTCTTTTTGGTGCTTCCGTGTTGCGCAAATGTGACTATTCCGCCTGTTCCTGGCAGGCAGGTTCGGCACATTGATTCTGATACTTTTACTTCGACCTCGAGGATGCAGCAAGGCTTTTTTCAGCTGCCAATGAGTGCTCGATGGCTACTCTCATAGAACACCACTATGCTGACGTCCAGCTCATCGAGGCCATTCGTAAGGAGGAGCGAGCTACTGTCGAGCTACTGTCGAGAAAGTCGCTGCGTACCAGATGAACATGATCGGAGAGTTCAATTTGGACCGGGAGACAGAGCTGAACTCGAAGATTGCATTTTTGGAGGGCTCGAAGAAGGCCGGAAATGCCTAAGAGGGGGTAATGAGAGCGGGTGGTACTTTGCGGGTTTGTAGATAAGATCTCATCCTCAGCATAATGGAAATCCGGTGCGCAAAAGCAAGATGATACAAAAAGTTTTCGAGGCAAGGCTTGTCTGAAACTTTTGCTGTTTTCATGATTCTTTGCTTACAAGTCGCAATGTTTTTGCCGGATTCCCCTATCTGCCGAGGGGCAGAAAGTTGATCTTGGTAACGTTACTGATGTGCCCCGGATTTGTCGAGGCTTTAGACGGTTTCACCTGGAGGCTGGCTCCTTCTGGCCATTCAGGCGATTAAGGCCAAAGGCATCGAGCTTGCCGCTCTGAAGGCCCAGAAGAAGTTCGACAAAGTCGTGCCGAGATCTTGAGGTGTTTTCATGCAACCGTATAAAGCCCCGGAAGCAGCAGAGAGCCTGGTGGGTAGCGGTGGCCAGCTAGACCGTGACGGCTCATGTGGTCAATTTGTGCCAAGCACGCCATCCCATGCTAGCATTAGAGAAATCGAACCAAACACTGAGGTTCTTGACGTGATACTAGGTGAGTTGGAGAATGAAACCTTTGACGTTGTCTCTTGCCCGCTCGGTTTTGACTCGTCATGGGCCCGACCCGCACGGCAGAAGTCTCCGCGTCGTATACGCCTTCTTTCTGGGCTGTTTCCTTTCGTGACCGGTATCGGTAGCTTTATCGAGGAACCGGCATTGTTAACCTTCTGCCTACTTTTTCAAGGGATATTGGACCTCGGGTTTGGCGATCTCGGCAAGCCTCGCGACTGTGTGATAAACCCTCGCAATGTCTTCAAGTACGTTATTTTGGTTGGCCGCGTTTGCGGGCTGTGTTGTAGTGAAGTTGTGATCGAACTTGTTCCGAAGGTCTCGCATGGAATGCTCACGGGCGTTCTTGACGTATGGGGCCTGCCGGGAATTGATGCTTTTGGCCGCCTTGGTAACCCCGACTTTTGTTGATAATCAGAAGATGATGTTATTTCTTCGTATGTTTCTCTTCTTCGTTGTTGCCTCCTTCTACGCGGTCTCCTCGCAGCGCACTCTAATCCCTCATTCAAGCAATTGTAGCTCTGTAGTGGTCGCGATTCTTCTTCGAAAGCCATGAAAGAATCTTCCGCTTGCTGACTAATAAGTTCATCATTGGCGAGACCGTCTCACCAGAGCATTCGAACGTCCTCAAGAACAACTCGAATCAAAAGGACATAATGGCCACCCAAGATGAAACCCTCAGGCTCTTGTTTTGCACTGCCTTGTGTAATTCGAATCCACAGGACGGTGAAGCGTAACTCCAAAGCAGTTGCAATGACCTCGATGTACTGAAGAAGCCAGCGGGCAGTAGTCTGCTTCGCCGGCGCAAGCTCCTCTCCGAATATAGAGACCGCCTCGGTAGTCTTGCCGACAACGTCGTCTTGATCGTCATCGCAGCATCTTCTTAGCGCTCTGCCTTAAGGGGACGGCAGAATCGTTGAGGATGACTAGGCATTAAGGGCTCGGGGCAGTGAGAGTCTTTTAAACACCACAACTGGTCATCTTAGGATAGAAACAGGCTTTGATGGCTGTTTGAATTGTAGTGGTGATGATTTGGGCTTCATACAGGTGATGAAATTACTGTCAAGTAGCTGGCGAGAACCCATTGATGTTCCCAGTAGCCCCGCTGCACTAGGTGGATATGGATATCTTAGATTCAAGGCAAAGGGACGCGAGGGGACACATTATAGTAGACCATCACGAACGATTCGCGCGAGTGTATTCGCGTCGGGTCATTCAGAGATTTGGCTCAAACCGTCCCAACGCGGATAGCAGCCGGAAGAGATAAAAGCAAGCGGAAACAGTAAACCCGCACGAGGGATGAAGGGAAGACGAAGATTAAATCAAACCATTGTCGACCGAAGTGGACAGGACTAGATGCGGTGGGCTTTGATGAGAGGCCTGGAGGAGGCCCCATGATGGGTGCTCCATGTTAAGCTTGCTGATCTTGTGATTTTCTCTATGGCTGAATGGAGGGTAGATCTTTATAGAAGACGAGAGCACATATTATACTTCTCAAGTTTTAGTTCATGAAGGCTATGACGACTTCACCATGGTAAAGCCTGGAATGATAGTTTTGGTTACGTGCAAATCACAGGCAACCAGAAGGCAACCAAGCCGCCACCTTCCAATAAAGACTTACAAACGCCCAACACTTTTTACAGTGTTACTTCCAAGGAAACTAAACTCTCTGGCCTTTGCAAAACAAACCCTCTTTGAAGAAAAAGTCTGTTATCAATCTACTCGACTTGATTGCTGTCCACAAACGGGAAGAATCTGATTGTGTTGTCCTTTCTAACCTGAGCTTAGAGTCTTGAATGACTGTTGTCTTGTAATCCACTTTAATTTTTGTTGTACTGAGAGGGAACCCGATTGTCGCAATTGGCATATCATAAAGCCCAAAATAATGTCAACAGGAGCCCTTGTCACCATGTCTTTGCCTGCAGGTGGGAAAACGCACAATGGGTTTGTATGTACTAGATCCCAGAAGACGAAACACATGACATCTTTCCAGGCTCCTCAAAACAGAAAAGCCCAACATCGCTTGCAAATTTGAAGTATGTGCTGTTCCCAAAGACGTTGATTCAGAGCTATGAAGACAGGTAGTCGGGCCCGACAGGCGCCAAGCCGGAGCCGAAGTGGATGCACCGGGCGCGAAACGGGACCCGCTCACCCCAGCCGGCGCCCAGACCCAGAATTCCAGGCGGTGACCCGATTAGGTACCCCTGCCATTTCACACCGAGGATCGGCGGGGCAGTTTTTCTCGGTGAACAATAATTTTATTTTCCCATCCCGCCCAGCGCAGAGCAGAGCAGCCTCTCCGCCGTCACCCAGAGAAGTTGTACCAAGCGATCATACGCCCAACACCAACCCACGCCCTCAGATTGAGCAGGACATGCTCAAACCCCAAACACGATGGCGTCCCACGAACAAAACATGCCATTCATAAAAAACCTGGCCTCAAGCGGTTCGTCCTCCTTCTCCCCGTCGCAAAGACAATCTCAACGCGCACAAGCAGGAAACAAACAGAACTAACTCTTCACCCGAAAAAAACAGACCGCAAGCTCCGAACCCAGGCCCTGACCTCCCTCCAGACCTTCCTCGGCTCCCACCGCTCCCTCGCCCGCCTCGACGCCCTCAAGCTCTGGAAGGGCCTCTTCTACGCCATGTGGATGTGCGACCGCCCGATCCCCCAGCAGAACCTCGCCTCCGAGCTCGCGGGCCTGACGGCCTGCCTCAAGAACGACGACGTCCCCGCCTGGCTCTCCGCCTTCTGGGAGACCATGTCGCGGCAGTGGACCGACATCGACGTCCTGCGCATGGAGAAGTTCCTGCTGCTCGTGCGCCGGACCTTCGCGTCCGGCCTGGCCTGGGTCAAGGAGGGCAAGTACGCCGAGGCCCGCGTCGCGGCGCTCGAGGGCGTCTTGAGCGAGTGGCCCTTCGAGGTCGAGGGCGACCTGCGCAAGGTGCCCATCGGGCTGCGCCTTCACGGGGTGGACATCTGGGTCGACGAGCTCGAGAGGGCGGATATTATCAAGGATGACGCGGAGGAGAAGGCTGTCGCGTTCGCGAAGAGGGTTAGCAAGCTCGTCGAGCCTCTCAAGCGGTCGCCGGTCAAGACCGTGCGCGTCAAGGCCGTGGATTCGCTCGAGGACGAGAGGCTGCCGTGGGTTGAGGAGAAGGTGGAGGAGAAGGAGGCCGATAGTATGGATGAGGACGACGACGAATGGGGCGGCTTCGGCGATGATTGAGGGGGGTTCTGACGTTCTGCCTCGGTTTGTCTTTGCATCGGATGGTGAACACGGCGTTTTTTTGGGTCTAGAAAGGGAGGCGGCTAAAAAGATCACACTTGTCATGATTTATCGGAACTGCTTCAAGAGGACGGCGGAACCGAAGAAGGAAAGCAATTATATGTGCTTGACGACGCTATTCTATAGTATACATTGATATCCAATGGCTCGCTTTGCCGGCCAGGCCTGACTCGGTCCGGCGACGGTTACGCTTGTTCCCATCTTGGTCTATCTGGGTATCTCGACTTTTTGAAAACACTACTCTGCCGCTGTTTTCTCCTGATGTCTCCCAACATTACCACTGCCCCTCCCGTTGACGAGTTTACCTCGTCATGTGTTTCAACGTGAAGGTCCCCGCCATGCCGCACAGGCTACTCCCATCATACCCTCTACTAATGAAACTCCTTTGACGACCTAGGCCATGATTCTGTTACCAATCGTTATTTTGTCCCAGTTCATGGGTCCCGCAGCCTCGTATCCGCCGCGCTTCGAGATAACCCTGCCGAGACTCTTGTGAATCTCGGCCTGGAATGGCTCAAACGGCACCTTCTCACCGTCGATGCTGATGTAGCCGTCTTCTTGATCGCGCGGGATTATGCGGTATGCCGTGACTTTCTTGTATGATACGAGTGGGTTGTCGAAGAATTTGCCATTCTCGACGGACAACAGCATATTCAGCTGAGAGCTGACCGACACGTCGCCATCAATTAAGACGAGGTCCATGAGACCGTCATTCGCGAACGCTGCCGAGAAGAAATTGGCGTCGGCTGCCATGTATGCCATCTGAAGCGTGTCAGTAAATCCATCTGCTAGTGAAGGTAGCAAACTCACATTGCCGCAGTAAAAGTTGCCCAGCGTGTTGTGGGGAATGAGCTCCCAGCCCTCTGGCAGATCATCGTTGATTGTGCCGTACTTGAGCGGCGGTAGACCTCGCGTCTCGGCTTGGCTCGATCCCGGCTCCGCGGATTCCGGCTTAGGGGCCTCCGCAAACCCAAGATTTGTTGCTGACGCGGCACTCATCATCCGCTTGTAGTGCTCCTTGACCTCTTGCTTGTCCTCGATTTCCACCTTGGCGGCAATGTCGCAGGGATAGCACTTCTTCTGGAAGATTCGCTGCAAGAAGCCCACCGTGAAGCGCGCACCGCCCATCCAGCGCATATGCTCCGTTGCCAAGTCGCTCTCGGCGACTACACCGAGCGCCTGGCTGAGGAAGCTCAGCGTCCGCCTGTCTCCTTGTGTGATGCTGACCAGGTCTAGCGCGGTCTCGACTCCCTTGATGATGGCGAGCGCAGCCAATGAGGGTCTAAAGGTGCCGTAGAGATTGCAGCTCATTGCGTTGCCGGATCCGCAGGGGATGTGCGACACGGCAATCTTCTGCAGCGCGCTGAACGCATCGGGGCGATTGCCCAGCCCATTGAAGACCTCATACGCCAGGCCATCGCCAGAGCAAGTAACAATGGTGTCGAAGGCGTCCACATCCAGCTCTTGCGACAGCTCCACTGCCTGTCCCGAGTACGTCGTGAGGGTCACGTCGATTGGCATTCGCGCCGCCTTGAAAAGGGGCTCGCAGTCCACGCGCCACTTTCTCTCCGCGCCTCCTGGGCCCGCGTGGGGATTCACCAGAACCTTGGCCCTCTTGCATCGTTTCGCCGGTCCATAGGCCTTCGTCAAGAGGGTGTCTGCCCATGTTCTAACATCCGCGGTGTCGGCATCGGCGATCGTGAAGTTCCATTGCGCGGCCTGGACTCTATGCTTGGCGACGTACTTGGCGTAGTCAATCGTGAGTCTTTGGTCGGCGAGCTCAACCCAGAGGACGTTGTACAGGGGGACGCTGGATGTTACTGGTGCTGCGTCGGCGAGCGGTGTTAGCGAGGAGAGGGAGAAAGCGCAGAGACCCGGACTAACCTGACGTTCCAAAGCCAGCGAAGCTGCAGGTACGACTGGCTTTCTTTGCTGTAGGATCTGGGGAGAGTCAGCGTCCTAGGCGCATCACGAGAGCTCCAAGCCGAATAACACACCATTCAATAGGAGGTTCTCTGGCGTCAAAGTCAAAGACTTGTTGCCGTCAACTTTGATCGTTTCCGGCAGGCCGCCTCGCGATGCAGGCTTGCCGTATGACTGAGACGACTCGGAAATGGATTCGGGCATTGTTAGGGGGCTGTTTTGGACGTTGGCCATGGTGGGATCTCGACGGGCTCCGCGGAGCGCAATTCACATGCTACTGCGAACCAGGGGCGCAGGCGCAATACGGGGATCTCGGGAGGGTTCGAGCGATTCGGGGGTGACGAGAATCTTTCGTGTGTATTTCTAGAAGCTGATGGACTCGGGACTCGAGAGACGTAGGCAGACAAGAAGAGTAAGGAGAAGGGAGGAGAATAATGGTGGGATAATTTGGGAGGAGGCGAGAGGAATCAATGCTAGCAGCAACGAGACATTGTCAGTTATCGATTTTTTTTTTCAGGTCTTTGTCTGTCTTTGTGAGGAGGCCCTTGCTTCCGGTATTGTCACTTGTCTCGTCTGCTACCGTTGATGTCGCGCCGTTCGCCGTCGCTTCTGCTTTCTCGGAGCATGAATGCCAGGGAAGAAATGCGAAGCAAGAACGGCAGGTTCGGGGAGGACGTGGAGATGAGAAGAAGGGCACGGGGATGAGGGAGCAGCAGGTCAGAAGGAGCAGGTCCCGAGGCATCGTGTCGTGGACGTGGAAGACGCCAGTCTTTCTTGGGCCTGGTCTGCGCCTGTAGAATGGAACGGTGGCACGGGCGGATGAATCGGAGATTGTAACGCGGACTGCAGCGGAGCAGTAGGCAGGAACCTGGCGCGTCAGCGAAATGTAGGTGCAGTGTCATGTACCTCGCTACTACCCAGCCGGCAGAGTGGCTTTGATAGCATTGGACAGCTGCGATAAGCACTGACATGGCACGTCCTGCAGCGCCTAATGCGAGGGGCCCGCGGTGTCCGGGCGCTTGCAGCACCGCGACGGGATGCGAGAGAAGCCTGCACCTCTGCATTCTGCTCCTGGGACTTGATGGTGTTTTGTGCGGAAATCCTCTTCGTCGACTGTAAGCGTCACGAAATGCACAAACAGACCCAAAACCTCCAGATAACCTCAATCCAGGAGCAGAAGAGTTTGTTCCTTTCAGGCTGGTGAGATGTCTAATATGGTGTGATGTTGGTGGTGTGAGTAAGCCTGCAAGGCACCGGACGGCAGAGCGGGAATGAGACTCAATGAGGAGGGACTATTGATGCCATTTCTACCGGCTGCGAATCGCCTACCTTACCAAGTTACGGATGCTTCAGGTGCGTATAACATAAGAGGCAGTGTCTCCGACGGTGAGGTTTCTTCTGATGTGACCATGAGTAATATGAGACAAACAGACCAAGGCTGCGCTGCATAATTAGCTGGTGGAAAGTAAGTTGGGAATATCAACAAAGCCTTGGACAGAAGGAAGAAACAATGCAACTCAAATAGCAAATAGAACAACAGACGAAAGAAACATCCAACGGCGAACGTGGAATTCGGCGCCTGCCACCGTTGATCGCCCAAATGCGGGAGCGGAGATTCCCTAACCGGAGAGGTCCCACTGCCTCCGCACCCAATCATGCCGCCCCGTGCCGTCTAAATCTGGTAATAATTGACCAATCAGCTGTGGGCCGCACCGCCAACCCGCAAGGTACCCGGTCTGGTTATCGGGACTCAATGTCATTAATCTCATATTCATCGATACATCGACTTTGACTCACAACAACTACATCTCACAGAATTTCGGTGACTCAGTACCTTCGAGACTTATACTACATCGCGCCAATCGATCCTTCCAAGACACTCCGACGTTCACTCACATCTTCAATCCTCATCCGCCCAAAAAAAGACAAGAGGCCCGCCCGCAATGGCCTCCTCTCAACCTCCTCCAGTCGCGGGGTCCGACGACACTTCACTCCCCCTCATCGACATCAAGCCCCTCCTCAAGAAACTCTGGCCCGTCCCGGACGGCGGCCTCGCCGTCACCCCGGACGAGATCGCCGAGGCCATCTCCAAATTCTTCACCCACCAGGTCTCCGACGCCCAGGCCGCCTCCCTCCTCATCTCCCTGCACTTCACCAACCTCGACCGCCGCGCCGACGTGATGGCCCGCTCCGCCCACGTCATGCGCCTCGCGGCCGCAAAGGTCGACTTCGACCACCTCTCGCAGGTCGTCCGCTCCAAGAACCTCGCCGAGGGCGCCTACGCCGGCGGCCTCTGCGACATCGTCGGCACCGGCGGCGACGCCCACAACACCTTCAACATCAGCACCACCGCCAGCATCCTCGCCTCGTCGCTGCTGCTCGTCGCGAAACACGGCAACCGCGCGAGCACCTCCAAGTCCGGCTCCGCCGACCTCGTCAACAACATGAAGCCCCGCCCGCCCGTCCTCATGGCCGTGTCCCCGGAGACCATCTCCAAGGTGTACTCGGCGACCAACTACGGCTTCCTGTTCGCGCCCGTCTTCCACCCGGGGATGCGCTACGTCGCGCCCATCCGCAAGGAGCTGCCCTGGAGGACGATCTTCAACCTGCTGGGTCCGCTGGCGAATCCCGTGGAGGACATCCTCGAGGCTCGTGTGATCGGCGTGGCTAGGAAAGAGCTCGGTCCCGTGTTCCTGGAGGCGCTCCGCATCGGCGGCTCCAAGAAGGCCATGATCATCTGCGGCGAGGAGGAGCTCGACGAGGTGAGCTGCGCGGGGCCGACGCTGGTCTGGAGACTCAGCGAGGCGGCGGACGGCGAGATTGTGCAGGATCACTTCAAGGTGCAGCCCAGCGACTTCGGTCTCCAGACACACGCCCTGGACACCGTTTCCCCTGGAAAGGAGCCCGCGGAGAACGCCGAGATTCTGAGGAGATTACTGAGCGGCGAGATGGCAGACGACGACCCCATCCTGGAGTTCGTGCTGTTGAACACGGCCGCTCTGTTCGTGGCGTCGGGCATCTGCGAGGCGGAGACGAGTAACATGGGCCCTGGCGACGATGGCAAGGTCATTACGGAGCGGGGCCCCGGTGGAGGACGCTGGAAGGAGGGCGTACGGAGGGCGCGCTGGGCTGTCAAGAGCGGCAAGGCGCTGGAGCAGTGGACTTCGTTTGTCGATATCACGAACAGCTTCCAGTAGAACGTGTACGATGAAGCGTTTCTCTGATCATCTGCCTTATTTGGGTGTACATAATTGAGCGTCGGGGCAGATGGAACAAACGGGCGCTTTCGCAGAGCAGAAAAACAGTTCACGGGCGAAATGGTCGACAGAAAGGACGACCGAAGCGGAACTTGGGACAGAACTTCATATTTGCCCCTGGAATGGACAGGGTGGGGGGTATCACGGCCTCGGTACAAATGCGACATACAGGGAATGCGCGACGACTCGAATGGAAATGGAGTCTCATAAGCTTTTGGTAGCCCTCTATCACAACCTTTTATGCACTATACCCCGGACACCAGATGACTCCCTTCGTCGTCTCCGTCCTTGACAAACAAAGTCGTCTCCATTTCATAATTTCGATATCTTTAGAAAGCCGTATTGGCCGTTCCCTTCGATCGGTTTGGCATCGGCGTCCTACGCGGCGGCCTTGACGACCTCCTGCACCTTGGCTGGCAAGCTGTCCAGACTGGATTGGATCTTGGCGAATTCAGCCGCGCGCTGTTGCACGCCGGGGTTGGAGTCGTCCAAGGCGCGGGCAGCGTTGAGGCAAGCGAGGGCCAGAACGTACTTCTCTGTAGATTGATTAGCACTGAAGTCATACTGAGGGGAAAGCGGTACTTACTCCGGCGCAGGTAGACATCGAAACCGGCAAACTGGGCCTCGATGTTCTTGGGGCTGTACTGCAGGAGAGGAACGACGAAGCGCATGGCGGCGCCGAGAGGCTCAGCTTCCAACAGCTTCAGGCCGAGCGGGTCGTCGTCCTTCTTCTTGGGCTCATCGGTCGCCTTGCCCTTGTTCGGGTCCTGCTTCGCTGCGCGCTCAGCCGCCTCGCGCTCCAGACGCTGTTGCTCCCTCTTGGCCTTCTTCGCAGCCTTCTTCCTTTCGGAGGCGTCGTCGCCGTTCGCGGCACCGTTGGCTCCGTTTGTCGCGGGGCGGTCAGCCCGCTTGAGGTACAACTGAACAGCATCGAGGGCTGCTCTTGAGTAGAAGGGGTGGTCCCGCAGGTGGTCTTCCCACCGCACCATATCAACGTAAGCCCGGATCTGGCCCTTGCGGAGAGAAAAGCTGTGGAAGTCGAACTGGTCTTCTTGCCACACGTCGAAAATGGTGTGAACGGTGTGGAATCGCTTCAGAGCCAGCGCGTCGTCGCCTAACCTGGCAGCAGCCTCTCCGTCCTCCGTCAAGTACCAGACACACTGCATATCCAAGAGATCCGCCAGAGGTCCGCCAACGGTGTCAGCCCTGGTGAACAGGCTCATGGTCTTGAGCGCCTGATCCCTCTCATTGTTGCGTAGCTGGTACTTGGCCGCTTTGGTGTTGATGTAACGGTCCCTGGTGTCCAAAGAACGGGCTTGGTCCATGGTCTCAGACGCCTTCTGCAGTTCGCCCTGGTGCTTGTATATCCTGGCCTTGGTCATGTGGAAGTCGACGCTGTCCTTGACCTTCTCGATCGCCTGGTCGATGTACTTGTGCGCCTGGTCAAGATCGCGGCTCAGGTGGTAGTTGTAGTGTTGCGCCAGGAAGTAGAGAGCGGCAGCCTCGCCCTTGGTCTGGTCGCCGTTTGTAGATGCCGTGCTCGAGCTTTGGGACTGAACGTATTCCTTGGCGAGAGCCTCCAATGCCTCCTTCTTGGACGAGTCGGCGTAGAGGTGCTTCAAGTTGGCAAAAGTCGAAGGAACACCCTTGTTGAACATCAACGTAAGATAGTCCTTCGCAGCAGAACGGAATTCGTCACCTGCCGTCTGTTAGTTGCTGAACGTGAGTGCGTTGAAGTCCGACTTACCAGAGAGGAAGTTCAGGGGCAGGCGGCGAGGGGCATCTGAGCGAGGGAACTGTTTGGCGTATGTGTCGTAAATTTCCTTCCTGGCGTCCTTGTCGCCGTCGGAGAATGCGTGGGCGCTCTCCAATCCCTCAAAGTAGGCGGGGCGGTCGGCGTTCCGCTCAATAAGGGCTTTCCAAGCGGCGATAGCTTCCTCCTTCTTGCCCAGGTTGAGCAGGTACTTGGCACGCAGCTCCAAGTACTCCAACCTGTCGAGGTTCTGCTTGGCGGCAGACTCGAGGTGATCGAGAGCTCTTTGGTAGTCGCCCTGCTCAGCAATAATGGTGTTCTTGTACATGACGGCCTCGGAGTTCTCGTAGTCGGTGCGGGAGGGCGTGGCCTTCAGAGTGCCTTCGTAGGTGGTCAGAACGTTCTCGGCAGCGGACAGGTCACCTGCGAGATGGTGAGCGATGGCCAGGGCAGTCCAGCTCTGGCGCAGCTGGGGACGCGCCTGAAGCATGGCAGTGCGGCTTTGGATGTAGCCGGCATAATCGCGCATCTGGACCTGGAGGATGGCCAGGTCGCGCTGAATCTGGGCGGACTCGGGCTCGAGCCTGAGGGCAAACTTGTAGGCCTTGATGGCCTCCTCGAAGTTCTTGTTCGCGCGATACAGCAGACCGTAGACGTGCCAGCAGATGTGCGATTTCATGTCGACCGTCAGGGCCTCCTTGCCGAGCGCAAAGGCCTCGTCGGTCTTACCCTGAGCGTTCATGATCAGGGCCTTCATAGCCATGGTGTCGCCATGCTTGGGGTTCTTCTTGAGGATCAAGTCTGCGGACTTGAGACCGCGCTTGTACTGCTTGTCCTCATAGGCGCGGATGACGGCTCGAAAGAGGGAAGCCTCTTTCGAATTCAGAGGTTGCGGCATTGGGTTGGTATTGAGGAGGGGTCGGAGAGTATGACTCGGTAGGGCCGCGATGGGAGCGAAGAAAGAATCGTCTCGGACGGGGCTGTCTCGGACGAGGCTGTGAGGCTATTCTGAGTCGCCAGACGCAAAACTCTTCGGACGCCTGTTCGGCGGCGCTGCGCTGTCGGGGGTAGAGGGGTACTCGGAGAAGGAGGGGTAGCTGCAGTCGCGTGACCGGGCAGCTCTTCTCGGAGAAGAAAATGAAGAAGGGCGATTGAGATGCAAAGAGCAGGAGTCGGCTGTGTCGGGGACCGATTCTCGTGCCTTGGCGGAGGTGCGGTGGGAAGTTGGCAGGAGTTGAAAGAACGAGTCCACAATCGCAGCTGCAGACGAGATCGAATCAGAGCGAACCGCTGAGGTTGAGGTCCAGTGTCAGGTCCAGTGAGAATTGGCTGGAGACGGTTCGGCCACACAGATGTTCCAAGGCTGGCGGGGGTCCAGGCGGGCTTCCAGTCTTGGGCGGGTGGCTTTAGCGAACGCCAGCGCTGTGGAAGATGGTGGGGCAACGTTCCGTGGGCTGACTTTCACCGTGTCGCCTGCCCGTTTTCACCGCCCAGGAACATCGCATGAGCCACTAACGAGACGGGAACACGCATTAGAAGTCGGCATCATGCGATCGTGCATCAAGTCAAAAGAAAAGAAGCCAAGACTTGGTCGCCGTTTGGGTTTAGTGAGTAAGGTAGCTATTCGAGATGCTGTGCTGCTGTTGGCATGAGTTCACGGGTTCTGAAAGAGTACAGAAAACGTCAAGTCTGGCTACGAATTTCTTCTCTATCATTACTCATTTGGAGTGGTACAGTGTTGGTACACGATATGCTGCTGTTTTACATGGGTATTTACAAAATAAGCACCTCGTCCGGAGAGGCGTCTAGGAAGAGGTGTTACTGATTGTCTCCCTTCACCCCAGTCCGTTGACGCCATCCCTCAAATGCTTCCTCCCAGGTATTAGAAGACTCGCCGCATCTCTGCTTGACCATATCCCAGGTTCTCGTGCGCACGATGTTTTCTACGCCCTTCTCCTGTCGGATCAGCATGGCCAGTTGCTCTGTACGAGGCTCTCGCGGGAAGAACCTCCCCGAGTAAGGGTCCAGACGCTCATCTACTACTCTTTCTTTGTCCCTGGCCTGCTCGATCTGCCGTACTAGAGCCTCCGGATCGTCGGGGTCAGGACTCGTGGCGACAACTCCACAGTAGTGCAGGACTTCGGCTCGCGCGTGCCATGTCGGGAACAGCGCCTGGTCTTTGAAGCTCTGGCAGGACTTGGGGTCTATTTGTCGCGGGAAGGTCTTTGGTGTTCGTTGCGATGTCGACGATGGGTCGAATCCGGCTCGAGATGGCGCCACAAGAGCGTTGAGGTTTTGAGTTATCGAGTCGTCGATGCTAGCGCGTGACAAACGAAGGAAGTCTAGATGTGGATTTTAGTCAGATCAGGCGTCGCATTGCTTCAACGGCACGCGAAATGGCTCACCTCTCAGTGTACCGGTCGAAAAGCAGAACTGCGGCGTGAGGTGTGGTATTGGTGGCGGTTGGGCCATGATGTCGGGAGGTGCGGGTAGTGATGGGTTTGCGACAGGAGCCACGGGAGACGGCTCCTTTTTCCAGAGAATGCCAGCCAGCTTGATCTTCTTTTCTCGTAGAGTCGGTGTATTTATTACTCGTGTGTTCTTGGTATTGTTCAGTCTTCTCGTCTTGAATTTCGGCGATGGTAGAAGGACAAAGACGGGAGTGTGCAGTAGTGACACTATGGTCGGCTTCGATTACGTCGACGGAGTGGACGCTAAAGCTGGGGAGCTTGGGACATGGAATGCCTGCAAAAAGGAAGAGCTCCGGCTGTCCCCGGCTGTCCAATCATACGACTTAAAATGAAGAAAAAAAAAGAGAGCCAGGCCGGGTCGGGAGATCTTCGGGGGCCGGAGCCGGTGGCCCGTGTCGAGGTCCGGGCGGGTCAAGTCCGTCTTGATGGTCCGTGCTGACGAAGCTATCGGGTGGTCAAAGCTTCAACGAAATTCAGGGATCGAAATCGAAATCGTCGTCTCTCCCGCTTCCGTTTCTCTTTTTCTTCTTCCCACGTGTGTGGCCGCTTGTCAAAAATGTCAGCATCTCATCAAATCGCTCGAGCACCGTCTTAGCGCCATGTCAAATCGTCAATAGTCCCAAAGCCACAAACATATGCCATCCTTCAACCCCGCGACTCAAGTCCTCAATTCGTCCACATCACGAATGACAAGCGTCAACCGTAGGAAATATGTTCTGATGTGATGCCTGGTCATCACCGCGCGGCACGGATCACCTCCGCCTCCTGGGGTTATGATCCATATGGAATCATGGGTACTTCACGGACAAAGTTTCTCGATCTGTGTCCCCCGTTTGTTTGGCTCCCCTGATATCTCGGCCAATAATGAACATCAAGCGATGTCCACTTGCAACATGAACTGAGTAAGGTGCCGTTCTGTCTCCCGCAGTCCGCATCGCTGATCCCAATACCTTGTCACCTTGGGGACCACTCCCCGGCACCTGAGCTGTGCTCGCCTTCTCCTCCTCTCCCGTCATTCCGATTCTAGCTGGATATCGATATTCATCAGTTGGATTCAGGTTCAGGTTCGAGTCCAGGACAATCGCCTCAGGTTGTGCTAATGCGCCGCTACCCCCTTGGCGAGTATCCAGACGGCCGGGTTCACCAGTTTTCTCATTTCGCCAAATGGTTCCCAATAGTTCTCCCCTGCCTACTAGCAACGCTCTGACTACCGTTTTAGGACGAACCACATCGTGTTGGTCTTTGGCTCGCTATGGGTCGTCGCCCAATTCGGCTCCCTTGCCCCGCGGTGGTGACTTTCTCGTGCTTGTTTCCCCTCGTCTCGCTCGACATAAAAGCAATGAGCTTTCTTCCGCTACTCTTCAAATCCCTCTTTTCGATCTTGATGCCGCTTTCTACCAATGCCTCTCGCTACTTAGGTCCCCGGCGATGGACTCCCCGGGATGTCTGCCCGGTGCTGGTCTTGCCGACTTGATACGGACCGCACAACTTCTGGCCGAGCGGTACGATTGCACTGCCAACAGTCTTAACACGGCTCCTGTCACCTTGGCTGCGGTGGCCAAAGAATGTCGCGCCGTCACCGACGCACTCCGTCGGTTCAAGTACCTCCGCCAAACAATCCCCGAAACTCTCGTCTTCGACCCTGTACTACTAGACGACTCCTGTCATGAAGCCCTCGACGCACTTTCGAAGAACCTCTCGTCCCTCGACTTCTACAGCACTCGCATCCGTTCCTCGAGCACCGACGGCGATGTCGACATGTCCACGGGTCACCTCACCATCATCTGGAACGAGGACAATCTGAAGCAGATCCTACGGAAACTGAGGACCAGCCGTCAGTCCCTAGCTTTTCTTCTGAACTGTGTCCCAAGGTGAGTTCACTTTCCTCCTTTGGTAATCAACTTCGATTCTCATACCGTTCAGCGAGCATGTTACGTCCAAGAACCACTCCACATTCATGCACTCGTCGCGTCTAGGTCCGTGGGACTGCGCGATCAGCCCAGCTATTCTCAACAAAGGCAGTAGACTGCGTTTGTCAACGATCGGCCCACGACCCCGTCCCGATGTGTCCCCGGTATGCGATGTGTCCGGTATTCACTCCGCCCTGAGGAGACTGAGGCCGAAACCCGGCGTGTTATTCAAGCAAAGCATGCGGGCCACCAAAGAATTACACGATGCCATCGATCACGGAGACGAGGCCACCGTGGTTAAGTTATTGTTGCAGCGTATCGACCCAAACGCACCGAGCCTCGGTTCAAAGACAACGCCGCTGCGACGAGCCCTCACCCGACAACTTCCATCGATTGCAACGTTTCTCTCGATGGCTGGAGCAGACTTGGAAACCCGTAACGAAGACGGCGAAACAGCTTTGATCACCGCCGTCAAGCAGAATTTCTCCGACAAGTACATCTCCTTGCTTTGCGATCTCGGCGCCTCTCTCGACGCTGTCGATGCCCTGGGTTGCTCAGCAGTCCATCACGCCGCCATGTCTCCCAAAGAGGACGATGATACCCTGGCGGTGCTAATTTACGCTGGAGCCGACGTCGATCGCAGGGACACGGGTGGGCGAACACCGCTAATTGCCGCCGTCCAGAACTATCGTTTCAAGTCGATCGAGAAGCTCCTCGAATACGGCGCCGACTTGGAAGCTCGCTTGCAAAATGGACGCACGGCACTTCATGTCGCGATCTCGATGCGGAGCAGGCCTCTGGTTGAGTTTCTGTCCGACCAGGGGGCATATCTCGATCGGCGAGTAAACGAGCACACGGCTCTGACTTTCGCGATCGCCACTGCCTCCCCTGACATTGCCGAAGTCCTAGTAGAGGCCGGCGCCAACATCAATCACGCCAGTTTAAAGGGCAATTTTCCGCTTCTTGCAGCCGCTGCGGCTGGCGACTTGCGCACCATGAAGCTACTACTATCTCGAGGAGCGAAGTTGGACGCTGTCGGCGGTGAGGGCTATTTGCCCATTCACATGGCAGCCCACAAGAATCGCGTCGAGATCCTGCATCTTCTCTTCAAGTCAGATTCGCCGATTGATCCCCTGACAGAGCACGGTGAGACACCGCTTACCATCGCCATGCATTTGGGATGTTACGAAGCGGCGCAGTTCTTGATCGAGATCGGAGCAAATGTTGACCACGCCGCCCCGGGTGCTGAAAGAATCATCAGTCAGGCGCTGAAAGCCGGCAACACGCGCATCGCAATGGCTCTCGTCCGAGGCGGCGCCGATCTCACGACTCCTCTGAGACGAGACGCCAGCATGACGCCGATACATCAAGCAGCTCATCTAGCACACAATGATGTGCTTGCAACGATGATCAAAACCGGCGTTGATCTGGATACTAGAACCTGGCCAGGCTATACGCCATTGTTCTTCGCCGCACAAGCCGGTCATATTGCTACAGTTCGCCTACTTCTTACTGGAGGTGCCCACCTCCGTGAACGCTCAAGATCATGCGCAAATCTGCTGTTTGTGAGCACGGCTTTCCCCTCTATGATGAAGTTCTTGATGGATCTGGGCCTGGACCCTAATGAGCGCGATTTCCATGGCGCCACAGCCCTTCACTACGCGGCATCCAAAGGCCACATGGCGAGTGTCAAATTGATGTTGCACCGGGGAGCGAGGATGACACACGCAAGCGCCGTCTTCGAGACTCTGGACGATTACAAGACGAAGGCTGCTTATCGTCAAGGCACTCCTGCGGGCCTGGCGAGGCAGAAGGATCACATCAAAGTCGCTCGATTACTCGAGGGCTGGAAGTTCAAGCCTCTTCAGCCCTCGTGACGTATTCGAAGGCCTTTATCGACCTCGTTATTTGCAATGCTTTTTCCCTTTGTCTTTGGGGGGCTTGGTTCGGCATAAGAAGATACCCGGATAAAACAATCAGGCGTTTGGCTGACACGACTGGACTTCCCACAAAAAACATCCAACTTTCTTTCTCCCATATTCAACAAACATTCCAGAATCTCAAGTCAATACATACCAGCATATGCCTGCCTGACTACATACAAACTATTACAATAAGAAATCATTGGAAATGAGGAAAGAAGTTGGACAGCTCCGGAGTCTCATACAATCCTTCGGGGGCGTCTCGAAGACTGAGGAACGCCTCAACGACCAAGAAGACCCTCGCCGCAGCAAAAACAACGAGCACGGCACCCAATATCCGTAACTTTGCCCTCTTCAACCACGGCTTTTGGTTCACGAATCCCGTCAAACGAGCTCCTGGCGCCTCCCCCGAGACAAATATGTCGAACCGTGGCCAGACCTGGCGGGCAAGAAAAAAGATCCAGAGCAGCACACCTGAACACGCTATGATGAGAGACGAGACTATCCACATCGTGCGCTCTACTCGCGTGGGGAAATGATCGACCCAGCCTGAGAGGTGGAGGCCACCGTAAGCCGCCGCCGTCATGGCCAAGACGGACCGCAGGGCGTCGCGGTGGACGTTGACCTGCCCAAGTCCGAGATTCGTCATGGACGGGAAGTTGACAATGTGAGGCACCAGGTAGTCCGTCTCGCCGAGGAAGACGCCAATGGTCGGGACCGTGGTGAAATAGTACGAGTGGTACATCTGCGTCTGACGATTAACGCACTGAGACCACAGCCTGTCCGCTGCTTTGGCGATCTGCGCCAAATACGTAGGGTCTATAGGCTTGTGACTCGCAGCTGTCTTCTGAACATCCGGAAAGACCCTGCGACAGTAAACATTACTATGTCGCAACGAGAGGCCTTCGTAAGCCGGGGTGAAGTACGTTCCAAAGCACTCGGTTGCGACGGTCTGCTTGGTTCGGTCGATGTGATATTCGTACGCTGTGCGGGGAACTCTCCCCTTACGGTACTCCTGAGTCGTCAGAGCCACACTTGGTCGAAGGTCGCTGACCCCGAAGCCGAGAAATCTTGACGGGTCCCTCGAGCCGGGTGAGCCAATGGATAGGTGCGTTGTGACGAGCCCTCTTTTGCTCTTCTCTCCGACGTTTCCGGCGTCGTTTCCATCTGCAAACCCTGCAGGTGGGTATATGAAGCAGCGTATATCGGTGACGCCATCGACCGCGCTGATGGACGAGCACGCAGTCATCAGGGCCAGAAAATCATCATGGCCATCACCGAGAACCGTGGGGTCGAGGACATCCAGCGGCTTGCTCCACCAAAGAAGGTACAAAAGAACAGCGCAGGCGACATGCCCGCACGTGTTGATCTCGAGCAGCGACACCGGCATTCCCTCAATCACCCGACCAATGACCTGTGCCACCATCCACCCGGCCTGGATGCACACGAGCGACTTGGCCATCCAGTCCGCCTTGCTCTTGTCCTGGATCTGTGACTCGTGGATGTCAGGCAACTTCCCGATGAAAGAAAGAAGTCGGATACCCTCTGGTGTAATCGTGGCCCTCCGAACACTACTCTCCTCCCCCGGGACCGGCCGATCGACGACGAACCCGCCCATGACAGCGTAAAAGCATTGCGTCATGTCCCAAGTATGCCTAGAAAGCCCCCCGTTCTCCGCCGCGCTGCCGCTGCCATCATCGCTATTGCGCCGGTGATCGGCGTCCCTCTCGATCTCCCGCTTCAACCACCGGGCCACGATGTACTGCGCCGCCGCCGTCGCGACCACGATCTCGGGCGCGAATATGCCGTAGAGGACCCACTTGGCCCGCTCCAGAGCCCGGCTCCGGACGGTGGAGCGGGCGGCGGGGACGTTGAGGTGGAGCGCGGTCCAGACGCAGATGGTCAGCGTGAGGACGCAGGAACAGATCAGGCCGAAGGTGCCGCGGCCGTTCGGTTCGGAGACCCAGCCTTTTGTCGCGGCGGAGGTGACTGCTGCTGCTGCTGAGCAAAGAGTTGGGAAAAGTAGGAAGATCGGGGTCAACGTCATCGGTAGGCTTCGCTGCGTGTGCGATTCATCAAGTTCGGGGTTCTATGGTTCATGCTGGGAGGTGAGATGTCGATGTTAATGGGGATGATGGTTCTAGATTGAGCTGTCAAGAAGAGAATGGGCGAACGAGTCGACTTTTGATCAATGGGGAATCGGTGTATCGCACTCTAACCAGATGGACAGCCCATTGCCTGGGATGATGGTAGCGTTGCTGCACTTCGGTGAGTCTGCGTCGAGCTGAAAACAGGGTTTCGCCACCACCATGTTGAATTTTGGGGTCAGGAGACCAATGGCGCTCAATCCCACTGCACCACGATAACACACTGGTGCTTATTGGAGGTTGAGTCTTGCGCACTCGTAACACCCGATACATCATGGTGCTCCCGAGATGATTGTCGAATGGAATAGGAAAGATCGCAATTGGCCCAGGCTATCATTCATCATTACACGCAAATCATTGAACACACTGTCCTCCTGAACGCACCTGTGCTCACCACGCCAACCCCTCAACCTGCCCTTGACTCGAAACACAGTCAAGCCCTTTACAGAACGACACATCTTCTTCAGTCTTTGCCGATGTAATGTGCTTGGGAGTCGCGGGCCAGATATCCTCTCCTTCCTTTTCCTCCCTCTCCCGATGCGACATGACCAAGCTCCGGGTGATCTGCTGGAAGAACAAGGGTCCCTTCTCAACTCGCGGATGCAATTCGCCATTCAAGAAGATGCCCGAGTTGAGGTTCTTCTGCGCGCCGTTGCACAGGTCCTTATCTTCTCTGAGGACCTGCTTGAAGAACTCGGAGATCTTGGTGAAGTCTTCCTCATTGGCGTCCTTGTGCCGGTATACCTCGTACTCCATCTTGGTCTGGCTCGCGGAGATGGGGACGCATCGCATGATGTACATGAAGTCCTTCCTATAGCGAACGTTTAGACGAATCATTCAAGATGGACGTGCGGTAAAGGACGCCAACTTACGATACTGTCATGGAGGTATTGGGATAGTAGAACGTGCTGTAGATTCCCAGACCATCGGTCTCGGGCTTGTCGACATTACAATGCTTTATCCAGTTGCCCTGCGTCTCAACCCAGTATTTGGAGAGGTCCGAGACAGCGTTGACGGCTGGGTGACCCGTGGGGCAATGGTAGCACTTCGCAGGTTAGTCGTAAGTTCCAAAGCATCAAGAGAAACTCGACTTACTTCGTTGTAGTTATCTGCCAGCGTCTTCCAGTTGTAATCGCCGAGCATGTCCCAAGCGTGGTCGAACGTGTAGTCGTCCATGTTATATGGCTTCAGTCGTGGTTGCTCATCAACTTGACCGAAGAATTCCTGCCAAGACACGCTCGGTTCTTCTGATGCATCTAGATTCACCCATATGAAACCTAGGTGATCTACGTGGACGTGAACTTTGAACAAGTTGTTCTTTGTCTTGTCGAAGGAGGGAAGCTCTTGGTATTTGGGCGCCTTGGCCAGCTTACCGTCGAAGCCATAAGACCAAGCTATTGCCAAATTGTTAACAACGTTTCATACAGACTTGGGAGTCGTCAATCGGCTCTTGAGGAGACTCACCATGATACTTGCACGCTAGCACATTCATATGTCCGCTGTCCTTCTCCACGAGGGGATATGCTCGGTGACGGCAAACATTGTGATGTCCTCTGATCTCGCCCTTCCGATCTTTGAGGAGGAAAAAGTTGAATCCTGCCTCAGTAATCTGAACAAAGTCGCCTGGCTCGACGAAGCGGCTTCTATGAGAAACGAGCATCCACCTTTGTGAGAAGATGGCCCGTCTCTCGAGCTCGTACATGCCAGGCGAGCGATACCATATTGCGGGCAAGGCTCGAACCGACTGGGGCTCGTCAGCTGCTTCTTCAGTAGGTTTCGCTCGGCTGAACCAGTTCATGATGTTGGCAGTGTGGAGTATCTAGATGTGTTGGAGGGGATCTGTGCACTGAGTGTGTGAGGCAGGTCAAGTGGTAAGCTGGTTAACTGCAGTTGGATCTCAATATGGACTTCCATATGAATCATGCTGCGTGTATTGCCAATAAATAACACAATCCATGCAAAAGCTCAAGAGACACTGCAGGGTCTAGACAATGGTCCCCATCTCCACCAAGCCTTATCCGGAGGGGTAACGGCTGTCTCGGTTCCGTGTGGTGGGTACGGCCCGGCTCCCGTACCCACTTGGTTACACGGCTTCCGGGATTGCAAACCCGAGGACTCAGCTCAGACAACGCGGGGTCTAATGAATCTGTGCACATGACGACTATTGAGATCTTTCCTTGTAAGCTTGGCTTACGATTGGTTTCTGTTATCAACTAGAGATAGCGTATCTCGGCATTGAACAGCAGCTGATCTACCTCTTCTTATCTACGATGGCCGTCCGGACCGCCGCCGGACTTGGCGGCCGGTTGGGACCCTCATCCCACTTTTCTTGTACGCACGAGTACATCATCCGCGACTGATACTCTCTCCATCCGGAAGGCAAGTCAATATCATCATACCTTGTTGATAGATAGCTGAGGAGTTGGTCAAACTCTCCCCAATCTCCATTGCCACTAAGACATCACTACTGAACAATCTCTTCCTTTGCAATAATGACTGCAGACGGAGGCATGAACGGTGCAACCAATGAATTCCGCAACACTTCGACAAGTGTCAACATGCGCAAGTCCCCTGAGAACCAAAACATGAATTCCACGGGTTCCGCGGGGGAAACCATTCCACATGAAATGACCAACGAAACTTCCGTGGCTGGCAGTGGTCAAGCCCGGGCTGGCTCTCATTTGAATGGCTATCGACAGATTCGAGCTACCATCATCGGCGCAGGGTACGTGAATATTCGGTAATCCCATCATTTAGTATATGACACTAACGCGGTTTGCCAGTGTTTCTGGGATTTTGATGGGTAATGATTTTTCAAGACCAATTCACTCACTGTGCTTCTCCAAGATCTGCATTGACACTCTTCCACAGCCTACAAGCTGCAGTATTATCTCAAGGATCATGTTGAGTTCCAAATCTTAGAAAAGTCGCCTGAGCTTGGTGGCACTTGGTTCGAAAACAGATATCCAGGTATGAGATACGATTTGCTCCCAAGCCGCAATGAACAGAGTTGATGTGAGACTTAGGTTGTGCCTGCGATGTTCCCAGCCATTGCTATCAGTACAGCTTTGCCCCCAATCCTGAGTGGTCAAGATTGTGAGTGTTGCACGCTGTACCAAGCCCACTGGTCCAAGACGACCAACTTACTGACAACTCAGTTACGCATCATCCGGAGAAATTCAACAATACCTATGCGGAGTTGCACGTCATTTTGATCTTCTGAAGTACATCAGGTTCAATACTAAGGTTGTGAACGCTCAGTGGTCAGAGGGGTCAGGCACATGGACAATCGAAACCGAGCATGGTTCCAAGATTGAGTCCGAGATCTTGGTCAACGCAGGAGGCATTCTCAATAACCTCCAGATGCCAGCCATTGAAGGTCTCAATTCCTTTACTGGGCCCATACTTCACACGGCGAACTGGGACCATTCTGTTGATCTCAAAGGCAAGGCGGTTGGAGTCATCGGCTCTGGCGCCAGCTCTGTCCAGCTTCTTCCGCAGATACAACCCGAAAGCCGCAAGATCAACATCTTCATTCGCACCCCATCATGGATATCTCCTCCGGTCGCACTACCGGAGGCAGATCGGGCAGGTAACAAGTACGAGGAGAAGGAGAAGAAGGTCTTCAGAGACGATGACGAGCAATACCTACGAGATCGCAAGAGACTCGAGTCGCAGTTCAACGCCATGTTCGATGCATTCTTCAAGACTAGCCCTCAGCAAAAGGACTTGCGCGAGAGGTTTGAGGGGCGTATGCGGGCTTTGGTCCGGGACGGAGCCTTACAGGACCGCCTGATACCCAGATTCGAAGCAGGATGTCGACGAATCAATCCCGGAGAGCAGTATCTTCTCACTCTTCAAGAACCTAACGTCGAACCAGTTTTTGACGGCATCGAGAAGATCACGCCGGACGGGATCGTTGCCGGTGGAATTAAGTATCCCGTGGACGTGCTCGTCGCCGCCACCGGCTTCAACACCACTTTCCGACCGCGATTCCCGATCATCGGTCGTGGCGGAGTCAACCTGCAAGACTTGTGGGCCAAGAGCCCGACTTCATACTGCGGAACGGGAGTGTCAGGCTTTCCTAACTACATGATCTTCCTGGGCCCTAACACACCAATTTCCAACGGAAGTCTTATGGGTAGGTGAAAAGTCCCCCGCAACGCTCATGCAACGGTCCCATGCAAGAGGTATTGACGAAAGTCTGTCAGGTCCTATCGAGGCAACCGGCGACTACTTCATCCGAATGATCTCAAAGATGGTTCGGCAGCGCGTCAAGTCTTTCGACGTGCGCCTTGAAGCACAGACAGACTTTGATCAGCACACCCAAAACTTCATGCGCAACATGGTCTGGACGGGTGCTTGCCGTAGTTGGTGTAAGTTTAGACTTGGTGTTTTTTTCAATCTCGTGACGAATTCTTGCGAAGTTACTGACTCTCATGGAAACGTAGTCAAGAAGGGCCTTGATGGGAAAGTGAGCGCCCTGTGGCCTGGTAGCTCACTCCATTACATGCAGTGCCTAGCCGAAGACCGTTGGGAAGACTACGAATGGCGGTATGACGAGCAAAGATACGCGTACTGGCGAGATGGGTTCTCCTGGATCGAGAAACCAGAGAGGGACCCGATGGGCCTCCAGCAAAGAGAATACCCGATGACGATGTCGACAATCGCTGACAGATCCTCGGATCTAAGCTTCTACCTGACGAAGAATGAGCCACTTCCTGAAGGCATCATTGCTGGAACTACCAACGTGGATGAGTCTAAACAACATCTCTCTGGAAGCTCATTTCTGCTAAATGAGGAAATGAACAGCGGTGGTGAAGCTGTCTTGGACGATATGCATGGGCCTGCAGACGACGCACTGAATGTTCCTGTCGGTAGATCAAGTGTTGCAGTCCCCGTTTAGATAAAATGAGCTCCCATTTTACAAGAGATGAATATCGATGATGAGCCAGTTTAGATGTTATTTAAACACTTTAGATTGAATGGTCTTGATCCTAACTTCTCCATTCACTCCTTCAAACTTTGCCATGAAGTCTGGAAGCAGGAGTATAATGAACGCAGTTGCAAACTTGATAAGAAGAGCAGAAGACTCCGTCGTTTTACTTTGATAAAACTCATCAATCATCGAGCTTCGTCATACACCAAACATTGGTCAGATCAACCTTCAATGTTGTAACATTGGGGCAATTCCCTAAGAACAGGCTATAGCTTCGCCAGAGTTTCTCGGCGCCACAACTGTACCAACGGGCCATCACTACCATAGACTGGGTCTGCCCTGGGCATGTCCACCCCCTTGATAACATGCCGAAACTGCTCGGCTGGCTTCTTGCCCATTTCATTTCTCCATCTAGGGCAATCCTTCATTTCGAAACGGTGAGCGACTTTGCAATAACGTAACATATGAGAGTGAACTTCGGCTTACCTGCGGATAAACTCCTATGTAGCGATAGTCTGGTGAACTCTCCAACGAGGAATGTGCTGTACCCGCAGGGAGTACAATCACGTCCCCCGTCGCAACGTCGATTTGCTGACCTTCTCCGTCTTCGATTTTGCCGATCAGAAGTTTTGAATGGCCTTGGAAAATTCCTGGAAAAGCGATGTTTAGTCGCGTAGTTATTACAAATGCATACGGCTGGGCGCTGTATTACCATAGCACTCGTGACTATTGGGGTGGAAATGGCGAATCCCAATATGTCCCCAGGTTCCCTTTTTTATAAGACGTTAGAAGATCTCGCAACGCTTGGTGCTGGTTTGATAAATAGCGAGTTGTCAGTATCATACCCTCTTTTCCCAAAGATTTCTTGTCAGGAACTCCGTGACCGTCGTTTCATTTCTCGGTTCCGGAAGTACACCTCGATAATGTAAGACTGGCAAAGGATTGTTGGGCGCATCCTTGGTAGGGCGCAGAAAGTAACACTGGACAGTCATCTTGGGAGTCGTCATCGTCGTGTGTGTGCGGTTTCAGATCATAATCAACTCAGATTCTGCGATGTGCGAAGAGAATCTTCCGTGTTGCTCGACCAAGTCTTACGGGATAGAATCCCACAACCTCCGCCCTGGCAACTCCCCGAATGACTTCAGCTCGCATGCTATCAAAGAGAGAGGGGTCCGGACAGTTCCCGAAGTCCCCGAGGACGGAGATAACGGTCCGTCCCCGCATTTCCAAATGGTTCATCGACCCGGTCCGTCCTCCGCTTTACCCCGCGAATTCATATCGGCGTATCCCAGCAGACTTCTCGATTCCACTTTGATTTATCTCTAATCTCGCAGGGTGTCTGGGGTACAGCTATCTCTGCATATTACCCCTGCAATGTGCCGAGCAAGGTATGATGGGCACTCTCATGCCAAGCCGCCTTTGGGAAAGGCCAAGCAGGAATGACTAGGCAGTCAGGTCTCGCAATGTTTCTGTTAGTCTTTGATTATCCGTAGCTCTGGAAGAAGCCCAAGCGTACCCCGCTGAAGTTCTTTTGAATTGTTATCAAAGGTCTGGTGCTCTTCCGAGTTCTTATATAGAACACCTGCATAAAGCAAACCATTTGATATCAGAATAAGCTGCTTGCCCACACCCGTTCTGCTGTCTTCAACCAAAGACACTATTCTGCACTGCAAGTAGTGTGAAGCTCAACCGTTTCAGACGCTATGGATCCTCCGACACCTCATGGCGGCGTAGAAGAACGCTCCACGAAGGACGACGATGCTGTCAAGTCCATCGCCAAAGTCCCAAGTAACACCTGCGGTTCTGTCTTGGAGACCGATGAACAGCCTCAGAGCGATATTGACACGAATGTGAAAGTCATTGACGAGGCTATTGAAGCCATTGGCTTCGGCAAGTTTCAGTGGCAACTTACACTGTCGTGCGGATTTGGTTTCCTGGCTGACCAGGTACGTTGATAAGACTAAGCAAGCTCCTTACAGTGCCCTTTGAGAACCAGAGATGGCATGAAATCGATTTTGAGCAGGTAAACTGACAAAATTTCTTTCTCAGATGCTCCTCGTCTCCATCTCCCTTGTCGGACCGCAACTAATCCCCGAATTCGCACCAACATATCCCACCCTACTGCCGGCCGCTAACTACGGCGGCCTACTTGCCGGTGCAGTGATTATGGGCTTATTAGCAGATAACATTGGAAGACGTCTGATCTGGCAGCTCTCGATCTTTGGCATATCAATTAGCACCATGCTCGCCGCTTCTTCGCCTAACTGGGCAGCTATCAACTCATGGGTTGCAATCTGTGGATTCTTTGGTGGAGGCAATCGTAAGTGCACAAGGTGGAGAATGAACCATGAAAGCCTAGGTTGTCTAATTTCCCGATCTAGTCGCCATTGATCTTACTATCCTCGCTGAAAACATCTCACAGCGGTGGTCCTTCATGCTCGCAGGCTTGGCTTGTGTCTGGGGCTTGGGCAACGCAATTACGGGCTTCATCGGTATGTCCGAAACCTACAATATTCGCATTGAACACTGTGATTTGCTTGCTGACTTTTATGTACGGTCAGGCTGGGCTCTCCTTGTCCCGTTCGGTTGCCCTCAAGAAGCTACACCCTCAACCTGCCCGAAGTCCGAGAACATGGGATGGCGCTACCTCTATATAACTCTCGGCGGGCTCTGTCTCGTAATGTCCATCATACGCGCTTTTGTGATCCGGACGCACGAGTCTCCACGCTGGCTTGTGAGCTGTGGTCGCGTCGACGAGGCGGTTGGGGTGTTGAATCGTATCAGCGCAATGAACAAGTCAGACTTCAACGTTTCCGCGAACCAGTTCATCAGGACCACTGCTACTGAAAGTCCACCCAGATCTACATCAGTGGCCGAAAACATGCGCAGGGCGTCGCGACTGTTTTCCGGAAAATCGCAGATCCGCTTAATGATTTGCCTGACTCTTTTATGGATGTTGGTCGGCATAGCGTAAGTTTCTCCTTTTACCTCGGTACATCGTCGTTCCCTGGCTGACACTCTTGTACCAGATACCCTCTTTTCACTCTCTTTCTCCCATACTATCTTCGAGCTCATGGCGCGGACCTGGGAGACACAAGCAACTACACGACGTACAGAGACTGGACTATCACATCTGTCGTGGGCATCTTCGGACCTGCCCTAAGCATGTACATGGTCTCGCACAGGCATATTCGCAGCAAAAGGTCCCTCATCCTCACGGGGGCAGCTTGCACCGCCTTCTCTGCTGCTTTCACGTCTGTCAAGAGCCAGGCGCAGAATCTCGCCTTCTCATCAATGGTCAGCTTCTGGTTGAATGCCATGTATGCTGTTATTTACTCGTAAGTCACAACCATCATTGATACTATCCATTCAGCTACTGCGGCAGGTCGAGAATTTCTTCACAGGTTGGCTGACTTTTCTACCTAAAAGCTATACGCCGCAGGCTCTCAATGTGGAAAATCGTGGGCTAGGCAACGGACTGCTCATGGCGGTTGGCCGGCTTGCTTCCTTAGCTTCGCCTTTTATCGCCACATTTGCTGATGTCTCAACGCCTGCCCCTATATGGGTAGCATGTGCATGCTTCGCAGTTATTGGTGTGGTTGGACTTGTGCTACCAGTTGATACTGTCCCATTTCGTCGGTCTCTTTGATGTGAAGGTATCACCAGAGACATCCGGGGATATATGACGAAATAACATTAAGGAATGTTCTTGGTAATAAAACCGTTTATTTGCATCAGGACAATATGCAGGTGTCTCTTGTGTCAGGTTTCTCGCATCCAATGTAGACAGACAAATCAGATCGGTGCAAGTATACGTCAGCAGCCATGAGCCTTAGTACATGCAATATTCATGCACGCCGTCGCAAGATACTTGCCCCAACAGCCTGCTAAACAGCGACGCAGCACACTAACAACCGGGAGGCCAATGAGGCTGTGTTTTTAATTGTCACCCTACACAGATGCCCATATAACCCTGTTTTACCCCGCTACCCCTGGCTTCAAAACTCGCTTTGCTGCTACACTCCCACTATTGCCGGTTCTCACTGATGAATGATCGTGCTTTGAGGAAGGATCCACGCTTTGCAATCATGCTGAGTCGAATATCAGGTTTTAGTCGTGCCTTGCCTCTTCATCGCAAATCTCAACGGCCCCTCCAGCTGCCTCATGCATGTGAGCACTGCGCTTCGATTCTGATACGGACATCGGAGGGACATATGAGGAGGAACGAGAATAGGTTGGCTCAGCCTCATCGCATGTATTTCTATATCTGACGAAATATTAGCTTTACACGGTGGAGTTTGTCACGTTACGACATGGAGTACGTGCAAAGAGCGGCCATTGCAGAATGCCCTTTCTTCGTCTGGTTGTGGGACCAGATCAAAAGATCAGAGACACCGAAGAGTCAGTTGTCGCGAACAACAGTCTGTTTTCGCGTAGACTCGACCGACCACAGGATGTTGGACGCATTCCGCTTTGCTGTTGAAATATCAACCGGTCTGTATACGTGGAGCCCTACGCCGCCCACGTTCGACATTGAGTCTGACGCAGGTGCGTGATCTTCCAACCCTCGCAAGATCTGTTCACTCGCTAGAGTTCATCTGAGTATTTCGCAGGGGATCCCAGTGCAGAAGAGGCATTGGCACGAATGATTGTCGGCAAGACTTCCTCGGAGAGCAGCCTGGGACAAGTTCGCCGTCGGCTGGATAATTGCCTCCAGTCACACGATCATTGCCGCCACAAAATCGAGGTACGGCCCAAACAGTTGATGAAGATAAGTGAGAGTGGGTGGATCGTCCGACTGGGGAAGACAACTCATGCTTCTGCCGACCCTTACATCGCTCTCTCATATTGCTGGGGTCAAGATCGACCTTTTAAGACAACCCAGGCGAACTTACGAAAGCATGGCAAAGGGCTTCGCGTAAGATCTTTGCCAAAAACCATACAAGATGCCGTTGCCGTAACGAGAAAGCTTGGGTTCAATCTTCTCTGGGTTGACAGTCTATGTATTGTGCAGGACGACTTCGAGGAACTGGCACGGGCAATCGACAACATGTCACACTACTACGCCAACGCAATAATGACCATATCTGTTGCATCATCGAAGAGTTGTGGGGAAGGCTTTCTAAGCGAATCAGAAGGGACGCACGCAAAAGATCACCCAGGTTTTCACTTTCCTGCGATATCAAGTGAGCCGGTCACAAAACCCGCTCACTTGAAGCTCGTCACACGTGTAGAAATCAGCGAACACATCGACACCAGAGCTTGGACGCTCCAAGAATCGTTGTTCTCAACACGCCTGGTTTCGTTCAGCAGTCACCACATCAGGTGGTCGTGCAGAACAGCGACGTACGGACAAAGCGTAGGCTGTGCCGACCTTCGTGATCGAATTTTCAACTTTCGCCAGGGTGTAAACGGTGTCTACATGACGTCTACGGGGAGCCTTGAGCGCCGTCCAACAGATAACCCTCTCAAGTTGTGGTTTCGGATTATAGAAGACTACTCATCGCGGTCTCTCTCGCTACCCTCGGATCGGCTGCTTCCCGTTTCTGGCATTGCAAGAGTGATGGCGGAGTTCTTCGTGACCGGGAACAAGCAATTATACATCGCCGGGCTATGGAACAATACTTATTTATTAGCCCAGCTTTTGTGGACGCCTAAAGGGGCATTAAGGCATCAAACGACCCCGGCCTACGTGGCACCTTCTTGGTCGTGGGCAAGCGCATCGAGTCCAGTCCAATGGGAAATGCCTCATTATCATGTTCCAAGCGGGGATATCATGGCTTTCATTCCTAACGTAGGTATCGAAACTTGGGAGTCTCGGAATGATGAGTATGGGAGTTTCCTCCTGGCAGACGTACGAGAGACTTCCGTACGCCTAGCCAGCGAGGTGGCCCCGTTCGGAGCCGTCACAGCAGGATTCCTGACATTGAACAGCTTCACTTTTAACCCAAAAAAGACGGTCCTGGCTGATACAAAGATCAGGTTCGACGCAGACGGCAGCTTGGTTCCGTTGGGTGCAGTAGACCGGACGTTCTGGAAGGAAGTTGATGGCCCCTTATGCATTCACATACTTGGCAGAAAATGGGATGATGAGGAGGTAGAGAAGCACGCGTATCCAACAGGCCTCGTCCTCACGCCAAATGGAGATGGCACTTATCGTCGTGTTGGTGTTTATTACAGCCCGAGGTGGGATTTACCAAAGGACGAAGACGGTCCCTGGGAAGATATTACGATTATTTAGTGAAAGTTCGGGGGATTTTGCGTGCCATGAAAGACGGCAGATGGATGCATTTCAATCTCCAATTACCATACTCATGCCAGTTCCGTACACAATACATCGAGGTTTTCCTTCCACGCCGTTATTAGCGAAGTTGCACTGACACGAGGAGGTTACCAGGTTCGTCCCGAAACACCTGCGATACGACGTTGTATTCATCGAATTCACATGTTAGAAAGAAGCAGATGCGAAAACGAGATGATTGGCCCGCATACCGAACGAGTTCTCCCGGACAAGCCAACAGGCACAGAACACGACACCGGCACTCGACACGACGATTCTTGCTCAACGCCCGGGACGAGAAAAAAGCTTGGCCTGCGCCAAGGGGGTTTATTGCCGCCAGAAAAAACGGTGCAAACCAATTCCGCCTATCAGTCCCGGCACAATGACGTGATCTGCGTGGTAAAATTGAAAGGGGAAGGGGGGAGATCTGTCGGATGATGGATCTGGCATGCTGCTTGCTTTTAACCGGCCGTTCCCCGCTGCGCGAACGTGAACCCCGCGCTGCAACCCCCGCGCGCTGCCCCGCGCCGGTGGTTCGTCCGGGCACCGAAGGCCGGGCTTTGGATCCGGGCGGTGTTCGTAGGACTTATCCGTGTTCAAGGGGCTTGGAATAAAAGGGATAGGGGGCCTATATGTGATGTTCTGGGTTGTGGGATGTTCTCGTCTTGTTGCACGAGATTGGATCTCTCTTGGTGATTTTCAAGATGAAGTTTCTCGGTAGTGCAGCGCTGCTGCTCGCATCCTGCGTATCTGCCATCAAGAACCCGGTTCTTCCAGGGTAACCTTACCTCCCAACATATTTCAACCTCTCACTAACAAACACTAGATGGAACCCCGACCCAGCAATCCTCCGTGTTGAGGACACCTACTACATGGCCGTCTCATCCTTCACCTACTTCCCCGGCGTGCCCATCTACAAGTCCAAAGACCTAGCAAACTGGGAACTCATCTCCCACGCTCTCAAAACCCCGGAACACCTCCCCATCTACGGCATCTCTCACGGCGAGGGCGTCTGGGCACCCTCCTTCTCCTACCACGATGGCCTCTTCTACATCACCTCCATGACCCGCTGGGGCTCCGACCCGGGCTGGCGCTCCTGGCCTCGCATCTGGTACATCTCCTCCCCGGACCTGATCACCTGGTCCGACTTCACCTGGGCGGAGCCCTACGGCATCGACCCGGACATCTTCCACGACGTCGACTCGGGCAAGACGTACCTCAACCTCATGGGCGTGAACAACAACTACGAGCGCTACTGGGGCATCACGCAGTGCGAGATCGACCTGGCCAGCGGCAGGTGCGTCGGCCCGTACCGCAACATCTGGAACGGCACGCTCCCCAACGTCCCCAGCGCGCGCCCCGAGGGCCCCAAGATGTTCAAGCGCGGCGACTTCTACTACCTCCTCATCGCCGAGGGCGGGACGAGCACGGGTCACCGCGCGACGATCGCGCGGTCCGCGTCGCCCGAGGGGCCGTGGGAGGCGGCGCCGAACAACCCGCTCATCTACAACGGCGCCGACCAGAACCTCACGATCCAGTCCACGGGCCACGCCACCTTCACCGACACGCCGGACGGGGAGTGGTACGCCTCGCTGCTCGCGCGGAGGAACGTCAACGGCAGGTCGGTGCTCGGTCGCGAGGCGTTCCTGGTCAAGGTGGAGTGGGAGGACGGCTGGCCGACGATGAACGGCGGGGAGCCTTTGCTGATCAGCCAGAGCATCGAGGGGCCGGACCAGGAACTTCCCAAGCCGAAGTGGACGGACCGTTTCGAGGGTTCCGAGCTGGGTCTGAGTTGGTACCAGGTCCGGACGCCGTATGTCAAGGACTACCGGCTCGGAAGTTCGGCGGCGGCTCTCAACAAAAGGGTCGTGGCGAACCAGACCGGCGGTCTCTTGTTCAACCCCAACGTCTTCACGCTCGGCGACCGCGACACGCCGGCCGCCGTCTTCCACAAGCAGACGTCGTTGAACATGACATTCTCCGCGACGCTGTTGCCGACTGATAAGGGGCTAGGCCCGAGGCAGTCGGTCGGAATTGCCTCATACCTGAGCGACGTCAACCACCAGGATATCGGTGTCAGGGGCTGTTGGAATACGACTGGTCTGTGTTTGTACGTGGACCTCCTACCGACGTCAGCCGGAGCGGACACGCGACCGAATGTGAGTATCTCTTCTCGGACCACGATATATGGGTTGCAGATATGCAGACTAACACGGCCTCAGTCAACCGAGTATGCCCTGAGCGAAGCGACGATCCCCGCAGACCTCACGCTTCACATCCGCGCCGCGCCGCAGACGTACTCGCTGGGATACTCCCGGGGCAACTCGACGTCCCCGACGTGGGTGAAGGAGTTCAGTTCGAGGCAGATGAGCGCGAACCCGGGATATCCCAACTTCGAGGGGTCCATGTTTGCGCTGTTCGCGAGCGGGAACGGGGAGCCGTGGCCGTTCGATGCGCCCGATGTTGGGTTCAGCAGTGTGGAGGAGGTGTATTACGAGGAGAACCTGCCTGATTACGGCAGCTGAGGGGATCAACGTCGTCCATGAGAGAGGGGAGCAACACTGGCTGACGAGTGGCCACGGTGTGTGCCGTAGCTCTTAATCTCACTTGAGATCATCGATGACTTCATGTGAATGCCTCAACCGCGTGTACAAAAGCATCATTGTTCTTCACCTAACGCATTTGAATATTCAAGAGGCTGCTATGCTACTCTGTAATAACCCTGACGAAAAGTTTAATTGTCAATCAACCGCTATACGTGTGATATCAATATTATAGGCGGAGGAAGGCCGAATCGAGCATCTTATAGCCTGAAATAATGGTGTGCACGAGAAGAGAGCCGTACCGTGGGCAGCGGTTATGAGGAACGGAGCGATCTGCTTCGGAACCATCGGTAGATGTGGATGGCACCCTGGCGGTCGCTAAACGCCCATCTCATTCTAGCTGCTCCGGGTCCAAAGCGGCAGGTAGGCGGCCGAGAGGGCCGGAAGTTAAAAGGCTTGCGCCGACATGAGAGCGAGCGAACGCGGAAGGGATCTTCAGGTACGATGGCCGGAAGGTTGACGCAGCCACCCGTCATGCGAGACGACAACCCCGGCATAGGCCCGGTCGCAAATGAACCTCGGGGAAAGCCTTTGACAAGTGGCTGTACTGCATAGTAGTTGGGAAAGGGAAGAGGCCGAGATGATAACCAGCCAAACAAACGTCACTGACCGCCAGTTTGGGTCGGTGGCGCAGACATGCCTTGAAAAAGGAGTTGTGATATTAGCCCCCAAGGCAAATGACGTTCTGCCGTTCTGGAAGGTCTCAGGGGAGGGAGGAGGGCTCCCGGCTGGTGAGATGAGGATGACATGGTGGGGTGTAGCAAACGGTTCGAGCGGCCGCGATATGGCGGGGAACGTGGCCGGCTCGGTTCGAAGACGCGCAGGACGAACTCGTACAGTTCTAAGCCACAAAGAGCACAAAGGAAGAAAGAAGTTTGCGGGGAAGTCAAAAGAGGTAAAATCGCATTGCAACGTGGGCGATTAACGAAGCGAGGCGACATGACATGGTCCAGGCATCTCGCTGATGCTGGCTGTGCCATAATGTCACCGTGGGGACTACACAGCAGAGACATGGATGCCTCTATCTTTTTTTCCTTTCTTTTGATGATATCTGGGTAATGACGGAGCATGGCCAGAGATTGCAAATGAGATTGACGAAGCATATTGCGTATTGCTTAATAGGCCGGAGTAAGCTCCTGGGGGTATTTCTGGTCAGCAGAAAGAGCAGAAAGAGGCTCAGAGCTAGACCCTTGGACGAACGCATGAAGAAGCACGGACGATTGGAGATGAGCTTCGAGAAGCCGCCATTATTGGGTACGAGGTGCAGAGGCTGAAAGGGGATGCCGGTCGTGTGGGTGTGCTGCAAGACGTCGAGCATGGGTAATGCCAGGTGGAAACATGTACGAATACTGGCGGGATTGGAAAGAGATGTTTGCAAAGCTGTGACAGCGAAAACCGACCACGTTGGTGTTTATTAACCATGGTAGTTGCGGCACAAGGGATTGGCGGCAATCGATTGACGGATAATCTCGTAGTGGCGGGATATGAGAGGCACGAAAATTGTTGCCGTAGGCGGAAGATGCCAGCTCTGGATGACGGCCGACGTCACATGTTCCCGGTTGTGGTCGTGGACGAGCTGGATAAAGAACGGAGGGCCTCAACTTTGGGCTCCGGGTCCGTCTCGTGATGACAGGTGGCCAATTGAGAATGACAGTTGGAAATGACTCCTCGACTTCATGAGGAAGCAGTTTTTCTGCCTCGGCGAGGTTGGTTTTGGATGCGCGATAGGGAGACTTGAGTAAGATGTTGAAGGTTGATGGCCCCTTGATACTGGGATATATTGGGCGCGTGCAGCTCACACCCGAATCGGTGGCCGGTCTGGTCGTGGCCCTCTCGGTGTTTAGTGCTGGGCTTGCCCTGACAACTTTACCTGGGGCATGGACATGTGAGGATGCAGGGGCAGAAGAAGGGAAAGACGGAGGCTCAGGAGGCACAGAAAGGGGGGAAGAGGAGGGGCCTGTCGCGAGCAGAGCAAACGGGCAAGGTAGCACAGGAGAGGACAGGACAGGGTATGACGGGTTGACGGTAGGGTCCGAGGAGGTGTGCGTTCAATGCTGATGGTCTGGTTTTGGTGGATGGGATGGTGGAGGTTGTGAAAAACAGGGCCGCGATGCAGATGCAGATGCAGATTGAGATACCCAGTAGTAGGTGGTGATGTGGTTGTGCCAATTCTAGCAATGACGATGATTGTATTCGGCCGATAGAGATACAGAACAGGGCTGAAATTGAACGACAATCCAAGCTTAGTTGGCGGCTCAATGATCTGCTGCGCGTGTGGCTTTGGTAGAATTGCGAATTCATGCGCCGTGGGTTGGTACGAGATGGATTCGGAGAGAATTGGGGCAGGCGGTGAAATTGGATGGAGAAGCAAGAAAAACGCTGCGAGTACGGAGTGCATGGCAGAAGGCAGAAGTACGTGGACAAGACGCGTCCAGGCTGACCGGTGGAACATGGAGGATCGGTACCTGGTTACGTAATGCAGCTGTGAGACGAGGCTAAGGCAGAACGATGTGGACCTGAGGCAGAAGTACCTCGGAGCCTCAATTCGTTTTAAGGCAGGTACTGCACGGGTCACTTGCTTAATACACACTATTACGATGCACCGTTATATGAACAATGGATTCTTCAAATTTGCTCTATCGATTATTGCTAAGATGGCTGCTACCATATCCAGAAGAAAGTGTCATTATATCCACGGACGTCTCGCCTCTTTCGATATCTTGTTGCAGATTGTCTCTGTACTCGCGCAAACTGCTTGTGCAAGTGTTGTACAGTACATAGTACTTCCAGCCACCTGCAAGGTACAAAGTGGAAGCTAGCGCACACTACGGAACGGATACAGCGAGAGAAGGTCGCTGGAGATTGGTCGGGCCTGTTTGAAGGAGGGGCACAAATGGTTCGATATTCTTCTCGAGCCCAGCGTCTACGGATTCCAGCCACAGAAACAGGCCTGTTGGGGGCCGGCACGGGGCACGGAGCTGCCAGGAGTTGAAAGGGCCCCTCTTCCGAGTCGCAGAATAAGTGATGAGGCAAGTCTAGCATAGCAGTTGCTACAGATGGAGATTGTGGTCTTTTGTTGTGGGAGTTGACGTTTGATCGGAGATGCGGCGACTTGTTTGGTCAGAGCCAAGTGATTCTTTCTGGTCTGAGTCTTGAGGGCATTAGACTGACAGGCAGAACAGAAGCTGGACATGAGGGTCTGCCACACTTGATAGATGATGGTTCATTCGTACGATGCTGTGGCCATGCACAACATGACAGCAAGATGGCGCTAGCGTCGGACTGGCTCACCCACACCGCGGTTCGCCTCAGTGGAAAGGTCGGGACGAATTCCACTAAACTAAAATCCCCTAGTGGTGCAGAGCGCCCAAAGAAGCTGCTGTCAGTGTCAAGTTTCGTCCTCTCAGGCCAAGCTGGAGGTCAAGGTACCTCGTAGCTTAATCGTACCTCATCCGACCCGGTACGTGTCGTGTATGTAGCTATCAGCCAATCACAGCCTCGGAATATTAACTCGAATTCAGTCACTCAATAATTATTCACTAGCAAATTCATTAGCAGTAAAGAAATAGATGGGAATCTTTGCGCGTAATTGGCGCCGTTTTGTTTTTTTCCCCTCTCTTACCGGTCGTACCTTCCGCGCGGCTGGTCTTTGCAGCTCAGCTCAATACACCAAACACCAAGGCTCAAGCTCTCTCTCACCTTGAGTGAGCTTGGTCCATCCACCACCTCCCGTCATAATCTTTTATTTTTTTTCCCCCTCCTCTACCCAAAATCCTTCCGCGCCTACTCCCGTCGGCGCACTTGATCTCGAACGATCCCCTGCACCCCCTTCGACACAAAATCGGTGAATCTGACCCTGACCCATCAAACCTCTCAGGAGTCGTGGTACTTTCGTCCCTCGACCTCTCCACCGGCCTGGATACCGGACTGCAAACCGCCAGCCGCAAACCGCAAACCGCCGGCCGACCAGCATCGGTACCAGCATCAGTACCTGTACCAGGACAAGGAACAGGGCTAAATCGAACCTGGGAGCGATTCCCAGCTCCGCACCCGCGTCCACGTCCACGTCCTCGTCTTCACCGGCCCGTCACCTCGCCTCGCCTCTACGCTACCTTTCCGCTACGCTGATCACCTGTACTTTCCGATTGCTCGTCGCTCCCGTCGTCTCTCACGTCGTCTCTCACGTCGTCTCGTCTTTCGAGGAAGCATCCGTTCCTGAGCCCAGAAAACACCCTCGTCAAACGCACCCATGGCCAAGGTCCATACCTTGCCTCCTCGCCCGCATCCGCCTCGTCCCTGACCACCTCTTACGGATACGCACTTTCGGTCTTCGAGTTCTAGCTCGAGCTCCAGTGCCTGTTGAACTGTTCAACTCCTTCTGCCGCCTTCGAGTCTCGAGATCCACCCGCACCAATATCTCGTCAACCCTGACCAATACCTCGCCTCTCTCACCCCGGGTACCTTGTCTGCATATCGCCTGCTCGAGGTACCTCGTCCTTCCCTGCCGTACCTCTCGTCGCCTCTCTCCAGGTACCTCGACCTGCAGCGACACCAGAGCCACTTCTTTCGACCGCGGAACCGCAGAACCGCAAAACTTCACAGGCTCTCCTTGACCCCGTCACCGTCAACCCGTCTTCCAAAGGGCCCAGAGTCCCGTACGGATACACCCCGACCACCCCCTGGCCCTTCCGCCCTGCGCGCTCGCGTGGGAAACAGCCTGTGAAGTCTGGGCATTGCCATTGGCTTCTGCTCTGCTGCTCTTGGGTGACTGGCATTGGCGTTGTTGGCATTGGCTTTTTGGCTTTGCCTCTGGTATCCGTCTGGCACCAGCACCAGCCAACGGCAACGAGTGCGACGTGCCTCCATCGAGCCCGGCCCAGCCCAGCCCAGCATAGCACCCGCGTCCGTCGCGAAAAATTGTGCAGCCTTCTCCTCCTCGCCGCCGCCGTCGCTGCGCAGTCGCACTCCGTCTCGGCCGACCAGCCCACCACACCCGGCAACTTTGTTTGCACATTCGACTCTGGACTCTGCACATTGTTGCATACGCTACGGAGCAACGGACGACGGGCGACGCAGGACAGGACAGCCTTGAACCCCTGCCCTACCCAACGGCAACGGCAACGGCTACAGCCTACGGATACGCTTACGGGGTCAATCGCTCGCTTCTTCTCTTGTTCCGACGACCTTGCTTCCGCGACGCGCTCCTCCTCCCAGGCCTTGGTCCTTGACGACACCCCCAAGCCCAAGCAAGCCCAAGCCCGAGTCGGCCAAAGAACCTCCTTCTCCTCCTCCTTCTTCGACCTCCCTCTTCTCTCTGCTCGCTTCGCTCACACCCACCGACCCCATACGCGTACCCTTCCTCCCTCCTCCTCCTCCTTCTGCTGCTCCTCCGCACCCCCTCCCGCTACAAGCAGAAGCAGCAGCAGCAGCAGCAGTAGCAGCAGTGGGCGAGCTCCAGAACCGTACACGAGAAAAAATCTCTCGAGGTCGCGCCGCTCGCTGGACAGGGACCACATCGAGGCACAGCAACCACCACACCACGGCTCATCCTCTGCCTCCTTCTCCTCGCCTCTGCTGCCCAGGGTGTCGCGCATCCACGCTTCCATCCACGCCTCCTCCCCTGGTCGACCTCAGAAAACCAATCGTGGCTCCATAAAAATTTCTAATTAAAATCGAAATGGCTCAAGAAGACAGCCCAAGCATCAGCATCAGCACGAGTGCCAGCACCGCAACAAGCGTGCCTGCACCTGCTCCTGCTGCTGCTGTTGCTACCACCACGACTCCAATCACTACCACTACTACAGCTTCTCCCGCGCCTGAGCCTGAGCCTACGTCTACGTCTACGCCTACAGCTACGGCTACAGCTACACCTGTCCCCGTGCCGGTCTCTGATGCCAGCGACGTCGCTGTTACGTCGACAACCTCTACTAATTCTGTCCCTCCCCCGACAGCTTCGACCTCACCTCTTCCTCATCCTCCTTCCGCGACCCCGACCCTGACCTCGACCCCGACCCCCTCCGCCGAGACGTTGTCTACCGCGACCGCGAACGCGTCGGCAATCGCAAACGCAAACGCACCAGCGCCTGTCACTGCGACTGGATCTGCGCCTGCGCCCGCGCTTGCTCCTGCTCCTCCTCCTGCTCCTCCTGCCGTTGCTCCTACGCTCCCTCCTCAGCAGAACGGCGACCTGAGGGCGTCTTCCTCGCCCTCCATGGCAAACAACCAGCCGCCCGGGCACCCGAGAAGCTACCCGAGCCCGAACAACTTCAGCACCGCGGGCATGCAGCCGGCGCAGTATGCCTACCATCCTCAGCCGAACCAGCCCACGGGCGACCCGTACCGGGCCAGTCCCGGCGCCGTTCCCTCTCTCCCGAGCATGAAGAGCCTCGAGCACCACCACTACCCCCAGGGCGCGCCGCAACACCAACCGATGCCGATGCCGATGCCTATGCCTCCGAACGCCGGCATGGCGTACTACATGGCGCCGGGCGTACAGAATCCGTATATGGCGCAGGACATGAGCAGCATGAGATATGCTCTCCCGCCGGGTCACGATCCTAGGTTGATGCGCGGTCCGGGTGGTCCCAAGAAGGTACGTCGGGGAGAATACGGGCTTCAGCAGAGCTGGTTGTTTTTGTTGGAGTCTGGACTGACGATTGGGTTTTACCTCGTGTTTAGGAGATCAAGCGTCGCACGAAAACAGGCTGCCTTACGTGTCGCAAGCGTCGAATCAAGGTTAGTGATAATTTTTGTGATTCTTTTCCTTCTATTCCGCATCGCAGCGCATTGCGACAAACACAAACAAGGCAATTGGTCGTGTTTCGGACTCACCGGTTGGGGAGCCAATTGAGGAAAGAGGGAATGGGAAAAATGAGGCAAAGGCAATGAAAGAAAGAAAGAAACAAACTTTCCGATAAGCGAACCGAGTCGTGGTTTCGCGGGAGGGGACAAAACGGTCGCTTGTTGAATGTCGCCTCTCGCTTGATCTGGAGCTACTGCGAAGCGAGGAGCCATGAACCAAGTCCAAGTCCGCGTTCCGGGATCGCGTCAAGTCCGTCCGCCCCAAGCCCGCCGCCGCGCCTGTCGTGCCTGCCGCCGCTGAGGTCCGCCTGGCGCCCGCACCCGCGCCCGCAGCCGCAGGGAGGAGCAATGTTCCGTTCCTGCAGAATGGGACCTGGAACCGACCGTCAGCGCCCTCCCGCCTTTCCCTTCCCGCCTTTCGCTCTCTGCCTCTCGCCTATTCCCAACAGGAACTCGTCTCGCTTCAGACGCAACCCCGACCGGCTCCGACCAACCAGCCCAGCCTACCTAGCCTCGCGCCATTCCCGATCATTATTCACCTCAACTTTAAACTTTCTTACCTCATCATTCCAGCCATCAAGTGGCCTTACCTCACCTTCACCGAAGATAGCACAATCTCACACAGCACGCCCAATTGCCTCGTTTCTATTCTTTTTTCTTTTTTTCAATTCTCACATACTAATCTTTGCAGTGCGACGAGGCTCATCCTACTTGCAACAACTGCAAAAAGTCCAAGCGCGAGTGCTTAGGATACGACCCGATCTTCAAGCAACAGCCAGGCCCATCCGCCATCCAGCCTGCCCCCAACGCGCCTCAGCGGATATCGACTCCGACTATCCCGTCTGTGCCTTCGTCCGTTCCTCCCACGGTTCCTACCGTACCATCGACTCCTGTTGCTCCGCCTCAGGTCCCCGTCTCTTCGTCGAATCCTTACGGCAATCAGTCGGCAGTTCTGCCAAGCTCATATAACGCCTCCGTCGCTTCGAGCCACGCCCCATTGGATCCCGCTCTGAATTCAGCTGCGCCCAACGTCAAGGCCGAGCCGAACTACGATTTTGCCGCCTCCATCGACCCTGCTCTGCAAAATCTACCCCCGGCCACCTTACCTTCGACGCACAACCAGCCGTTCTCGGCCGAGCAAAGGGCAGGCTTCGACAACCATCTCAGAGGTGCGACCCTCCCGCAGTTATTGTACATTCCTTGCTCTCTTTCAGCCGTTGCATCACCTCGTTCCTGGTATACTAACTCATCGTCTTCTAGCCACAAGAATGAAAATCGATGAGCTCATCGGCCTCCTGGGTCCTACCGCTCCCACCCAGGAAGTCGCCCTCACCTCGGAGCTCCTCACTGAAATCGTCAACATCTACCGCGAGATATACGCCGACGGCCTCCAGAACTTCTTCGAGTCGGCCTGGTTCTCCGCCAAGGATGCTCAAGGAAAGCACGCACTCGAACACAACCAAGCAATCCTCGGCCAGTTCGCATCTTTTGTGACGGTTCTCCGGACTGTCCCGGCCAACGACCACCCTCAGATGACCCATACGGGGGTCCTCGAGGCGCGGTTGATATGGGCCCTCGCTACCTTGCCGTGCAACAGCGCTCCGCCCACGGTAAACCCGAATTCGAAATTCTTGCCTCCTCCCGAGGATCTGACCGAAGCCGCCAACCGAGTCAGGGTTCTCGAGGCTCTCCTCTGTGGCGACTTCTTGCCATCCAACCCTCTCACGCCCCCTGTCCCGGACCCCAACCCTCATCGTCAAGAAGAGTTCGAGTTCTGGTACAACCTCGCCGAGTTCCTGCGCTATCACGATCCTGCCAAACGCGAGGAGATTCTCGGCAGACTTCGGCTGCAACTGGGCGGCAGGGAAAACCGGGACCTCATCTACTCGATCGCCGTCACACGCGAGATATCGCCTCGCGTGGAGCTCGGCTTCGAGAAGAACATTCCCCAGCACTTGGACGAGTCCAACGACAACAACCGACTTTACGTGGCGAATAAGTTCATCGAGCAGGAGGCCCAAGTTACTGGCGGAACCACCAACATTATCCGCCGGATCAGCGAGATTACCATCCGGTCCTACATCAACCCCGGGGTCAACATTGGCCCCCGTCCGGGACAGTCCTGATCGATCGATTGACCTCTGACCGGTTTCTCCGTCTATTTTTTAAGCATCAGACTCTGCAGCATTTTCCAGGCTCGAGGGATGGGGGGGAACCCAAAAAAGCACTGTTTTGAGGCGTTACCGGAACGGAAGGAAAGCATTGTCTTGTTTCCTTTTGTTTAATTTCCTATTTGTATTGCATGCGGGCGGCAACCGCGTCGCTCGTCCCTGTACTCCTTTTTACGGCCGACGGCATTTGTACTATAAGCTCAACTAAAACTAGTGGTATTCAGGCATGGTGGTGCGGATCTGGCGAAAAGTAAAACGGCGAAGGGTGTGCGTGAGAGGGAGAAAGAGAAGAGAGCGAGAGCGAGCATGGGGTTGGTCCGCGGACATTTTGTCCTAGACTTCTCGGGCGAGCTGGACTTGGGTCTAGATGAGCCAGAGCTCTGTACGATACTAGACAGCACTTTCACTGGATCCCTAATTGGGTAGACCAGCAGAAGAAGAACAAAGTTACACATACGCGGGTTCCTCGGTTGGTGATGCTACGAACGAGTTTGGATGCAACTGCTCCTAGCATGCAGTATTCAAGGCGTGCAGGGATGGAAGGCATCTCCGGCCCGGGAACCCGGACTGCGATACCGGCCGGCGTCTTGCAAGATTGGCCTTCAACAACAGCATTGTTCAGAACAGGCTATACGTCAAGACTTCTCATGGTTGTTCCTATGGTGGTAGTGCTCCTTGATTCTCAATGTGACATTTTGGAACGGTAGCAACGACAACGACAGCAAACCGCCTCCTTATAGCCTGCTTCCGTCGGATGAGCGGTCTTTTCCAAACGCAATTGGCGAGCTTAGCCGCGGGTTATCCTGCGGCGACTCTTTGGAGTTCGTAGAAGAATCCCGATCCATGACGTCTGTAGGACGATATGGAAATTTACGTCTAAAAGGCACACTCGGCTTTCTCTCCGAAGAATCTCCCGATCGGTTTCTCTTGATCCGGCCGTCGTCATCTGCGTGAGAGAAAATGTCTAGACGACGAGTGCGCTTGGTTGGAATCCCCAACTATCTTCAGCGCTGGATGGAGACGTTTCGAATTTATAGCAAAAAGTGTTCTTTTCTTCTACCTGGGTTCTTCGACAAGTGACTGAGGTACCTAGGTAGGTAGGCAAAGAGGAGGTTATCGGCGCCGAAGTGTCAAGCCCGCCCTACGCCGCACCGATCAAGGAGGGTGTCCACCCAAGCCGAGCCAGCTGCCACCAATTGAGTTCACACCCCACCGACAATCCCCCACCTTCCAAGTCGGAGCTCGATAAGTCACCCCGCGCCGGCGCCGTTCGTTTGGAGGGGCATTTGCTGAGGTCGAACATCTTACCCTCGACAATCTCAAAGCTAGGGTGGACGGTAATTTGCATGTACGTTGTCAACAATTTACTCTCAGAGCCAAGCGAAGCTGACGTTGCCAGACAAAGCACCTGAGGACGTCAATTGACCGTCAGCATCTCAGCTACTTACACCCAAGATCTAGAAGCCATCAGAAAGATATCAGCCAATTCACACCATGACGAAGCCAAAGGTCCTCCAGCTCGGCAAAATCGAGCAGTAAGTCTTCTTTCTCATCTCTCGTCATCTGCTGAGAAGACAACTAACACCCCAACCCAGCGCCCACGAATCATGGTCCTCGCTCGGCCAGGTCGCCGACATCATCAAGCCTAAGGCGACCAACCGCGACGAGTTCCTCAAGGAGTGCGCGTCCGGAGCCCTCGACGGCGTCGTCGCAATCTACCGCACCTTCTCCAGCGTCAAGATCACCGGCAAGATCGACGCCGAGCTCGTCGCCGCACTCCCTTCGAGCGTGGGCTTCATCTGCCACAACGGTGAGTTCCCCCCATAAGTAGCAGCACGAGAGATGAAGACGGAAACCAGTGGCTGAGAAAAACCTCACCAGGCGCCGGCTACGACCAGATCGACGTCAAAGCCTGCACGGCCCGCCACCCGACCCCTCTCCTCGTCTCCAACACCCCGACCGCCGTCGACGACGCCACGGCCGACATCAACATCTGGCTCATGCTCGGCGCCCTCCGCAACCTCAACGCCTCCGTGCTCTCCCTCCGCGCCGGCGCCTGGCGCGGCAACCCGCCCCCGCCCCTCGGCCGCGACCCCCAGGGGAAGGTCCTCGGCATCCTCGGCATGGGCGGCATCGGGCGCAACATGGCGCGCAAGGCCAGGGCCTTCGGCATGGAGGTCCGCTACTTCAACCGTGCTCGGCTGAGCGCGGACCTCGAGAGGGAGGCCGGCGCCGAGTACGTCGATTTCGAGAGGTTGCTGGCCGAGAGTGATGTCATTTCGCTGAATCTTCCCCTGAACGTACGTCCTCTCCCTGGGAGACAAGAAAAAGAATGACTGACCCTGACACTACAAACAGCCGCACACGCGCCACATCATCTCCCACGCCGAGTTCGCCAGGATGAAAAAGGGCGTGGTGGTGGTCAACACGGCGCGCGGCGCCGTCATCGACGAGGCCGCCCTGGTCGAGGCCCTCGACAGCGGGCACGTCGGCAGCGCGGGCCTCGACGTCTTCGAGAACGAGCCGCAGGTGCACCCGGGCCTCCTCGCGAACCCCAACGTGCTCATCGTGCCGCACATGGGCACGTACACGCTCGAGACGACGGTCAAGATGGAGGAGTGGGCGATCGGCAACGTGCGTCGCGCCGTCGACGAGGGGAGGCTGAACAGCGTCGTGCCGGAGCAGAAGGACGTCGCCGGTGCGTAGAGTCACGATTTGATGGGAAGTTACGTTTTAGAGAGAGCATCGGGGACGTACCGGACGGAGACGGCTCCGGCATAGAGAGTAGACTATCTAACTTTGTATTCATGTTTACTTAGCTGTCAAGAACTAACATTTTCTTGAGTCTTCTACCGCTCGTGACGGATAGAATTGTGCCTGCAAAACGTTCTGTCCATTGGCACTCTGACAAGCGACACAATCAGTACGGTCTAGCTTGGCCGCAAGTGTCCTTGCCAAAGTAGACATCGGTGTTAGTTACCAGTCCTAAACCACATGAAGCAATATGAGTTGTACACAAGTGATCACAAACAAATCAAAGCAAGAACAGTCTTTCTCAGAGGACAACATATATTGTCTATGCCGAGTCACGGTTGACGGACTCTAGTCCTAGAGTTGATCTACCCTTAACCCCTATCCCATCCGGGGGTTGAGTCCCTTTTTTTCCCAAATCGGGCCGAAGAACAAAATACAAATGCCATGGTCTGGGGAATCACTATTCACAAGCCAACGCCTATTTTTTGTTGAAAAATCTCGCAGCCAGGCCCCCAACTTTTTTCAGAGTCCAGCCCGCGTAACCGCCCCCAACCGAGATTCCCTTCCCAGATGTGTCATGCAAGTCATGCTGTTGAGAACACACATTGCCATATGTTATGGTGTAAGCTCGTTGAAGTCATTATAATCGGAGTGTTGAAATCCAATGCAGAGATTGGACATTATAGTGAAGGTGCTTAGTAGCGGTAGATGTCGCTCTTGTAGGGACCCTCGACGGTGAGGCCGAGGTACTCAGCCTGGACCTTGGAGAGCTCGGAGAGCTCGACGTTGCAGTGGTCGAGGTGGAGTCTGGCGACCTCCTCGTCGAGGACCTTGGGGAGGACGTAGACACCGACCTCGAGCTTGCCCGACTTGGCGAACTCGACGTACTTCTGGCCCCAGGCGGCGTCACCGGACTTGTACAGCATGATCTGGGCAAGGACCTGGTTGGTGAAGGAGCAGGACATGACGAAGGAAGAGTGGCCAGTGGCACAGCCAAGGTTGACCAGACGGCCCTCGGCGAGGAGGATGATGTGGCGGCCGTTCTTCATGAGGAAGCGGTCAACCTGGGGCTTGATGTTCTGGACGCTCTGGGCGTTGGCCTTGAGCCAGGCGACGTCGATCTCGATGTCGAAGTGACCAATGTCTGTGGGGGAGGAGTTAGCAGGCTGCTTGAGGCACGGGATGAGACGTGTGGTACTTACTGCAGACGATGGCGTCGTTGGGCATGGCCTCGAAGTGCTGGGCAGTCAGGATGTCACGGCAACCGGTGGTGGTGACGAAGATCTGACCCTGGGAAGCGGCCTTCTCCATGGTGGTGACCTGGTAGCCGGCCATGGCAGCCTGGAGGGCGTTGATGGGGTCGATCTCGGTGACGAGGACGCGAGCACCCATGGTGTGCAGGGCCTGGGCGCAGCCCTTGCCGACGTCACCGAAACCGGCGACGACGGCGACCTTGCCGGCAACCATGACATCGGTAGCGCGCTTGATACCGTCAATGAGGGACTCGCGGCAGCCGTACAAGTTGTCGAACTTGGACTTGGTGACGGAGTCGTTGACGTTGATGGAGGGGACGAGGAGCTTCTTCTCCTTGAGCATGCGGTAGAGGTGGTGGACACCGGTGGTGGTCTCCTCAGAGACACCGTAGCAGTCCTTGAGCATCTCGGGGTACTTGTCGTGGACGAGGTGGGTCAGGTCACCACCGTCGTCGAGGATGAGGTTGAGCTTCTTGCCATCCTTGAAGGCGAGGAGCTGCTGCTCCAAGCACCAGTTGTACTCCTCCTCGGACTCGCCCTTCCAGGCGAAGACGGGGACACCGGCGGCGGCAATGGCAGCGGCGGCGTGGTCCTGGGTGGAGAAGATGTTGCAAGAAGTCCAGGTGACCTCGGCACCGAGAGCAGTCAAGGTCTCGATGAGGACGGCAGTCTGGATGGTCATGTGCAAGCAACCGGCGATACGGGCACCAGCGAGGGGCTGGTCGGCGGCGTACTTGGCACGGGTCTGCATGAGACCGGGCATCTCGTTCTCGGCGAGCTCAATCTCCTTGCGGCCGAAGGCAGCGAGGGACAGGTCGGCGACCTTGAACTTGTGGGCGGGAGCAGCCATTGTGATGTGGTTTGGTGGTGTTTTGGGGGGGAGGAAGGATGGATGGGAGAAGAGGAGATGTGAAGGAGAGAGGAAGAAATCAGAAGAGTAAATGGAGGGGGGAGGAGGAGAAGAAAAAGGCTTTGGAGGGGTCGACTTTCCAGGAAGGGAGCAGGGCGGTGAGGGAGAGATACCTTGCGTTGTCAGGACACTCGTTAATCAGTGGGATGGAAATCTCTGCTTGTACTTTTTGGTTGCTGTCCAGTCCAATCCGATTCTGCCCCTCGTTGGTCGGCGGCATGCGGCGGGAGAAGGAGGGGAGCCTGGACACTGGAGTCCAAGAAGGAGGGGACCTGCGCGAGAAGCGAGGAGGCGGGGCAAAAAGTTCAACGAGATGCAGAAAGTGTGCCAGACGAGGTGGGGTTCTCCTTCTTTCTCACTTCAGATGAGGTGGGAAGGGAGGCCGATAGCAACAGGTACAAGCTATCGCTACATCTTGCTGAGGTCCATTGCTGAGCTGATGTCTTCTGCCTTTCCTTCGTCACAAAACTCATCTTCCCTTTGGGTGCCTGCCTCACGTTCAATGCCGTTCCCTCCATACCTACGTAGGCACCTTCGGTAGTTCTAAGCCGCCTCCTACATTCATCACGCAGCTCATACAATGGACGGTGTCTTACATTGAGCTTACAATGGCAAGATAGCGTTCTGAAGGCTGGCTCAGCTCGTTCCAGTACTTGAAGTCGGCTAGGATTGGTCGCTGAGGCTACAATTGACCCCGCGCCTGTCTCATCCAACGTCTCTCAATTGGCGTTTTAGATTTTTTTCCCTTTCTCTCAATTCTTTTCGTTCCCGCCGGTACCTATCAGTACCCTCGGCCACATGGGAGGGAGCAAAGGCTAGACCCGAGGGAGCAAGCTTGGAATGAGAGCTTCCTCGAGCTCCAGGTAAGGTAGCTCTGTTAGTCCGCCACCTGAGCAAACATTTTTTTCTCCAGTGCAACAGTACAAAGTATGCCGATCGGAACAGCTCCAACACCTCAAGCCGGGGCCGACCTGCTCGGAGGTAAGCTATGGTGCCCTGAGGTAAGGTTAGGTCGGGTAAAAATCGAGGTACATGTCGCCTTATTCATATTGCCGTCCGGTCACATGCACTCTTGATAGGCAACAGGTACCTCAGGAACCCTGATGGAACCTGTGGAAGAGTCAAGATGCCCCTCCTTCGCTGCCACGGGTCACCAACAGAGCCCAGCAGAGCCCAGCAGAGCCCAGCAGAGCCCAGGTCGAGCGCTGTCCCGCCCATCTGCGTGCCGCCGAAACTCGATCTGAGAGGTCCCTTTTGTTTCCCCTTGTTTTACCGTTTTCACCCGCTAGTCCTCTTTCGGCGTGAAACCCCTCGAATTGCCCCACCATGCCTCTCTCACCACCTCACCTCAGTGTCCTCTCCCCTCCTCTGACTTTTGTCAGGAACTCAACGAGACCGTGCGAATCATGCAAGCTATGCCACTTAAGGGCAGTGAAGCTACCGTGGCTCCAAGGTACGAAAACTTCCGGGCACATAACATGGGATGGACGAGGACGAGGCGAAGGCGAGATAAGCTTCCAACCCCGAGCTGTCCGGCGACATTAGATTATCTGGTCGGCGAGTTTTTACTCATGTGCTATTCAACGTCCAATCTTCACCTGAGGTCGGCTTCGTAAGCCCTCCATCTCGCTGCATATCTACAACGTGATTGTCACAAGATATCTCTCTGCCTGCTCGTGCCCTACGCCCAGTCTTCGCGTCTCGTCTCGACTCGACTCAACTCTCCGCGCCGAGATGCCCTCTCCATACCATCACTACCGTCCATCGCCCCCCTGTGCTCGCCCCCTGGCCGTACACAGGAGCGTTAGGGAAACCTAGGGATGCGAACTGAACTAGACCACGGCTCTGGTATGCAAGAAAAACATCGAATATCGACTCAGTACAACTCTGCCTGGGACTAATTACCGTAACGCCGTTTCGAATGCTTGATCCGCTCCCCAGATCATTCATCATTCCCAGAACACCCCTTCTCTCTAAGGTAAGGTAAAGGTGAATCCGCTCTTCGTTGTCGTCTTTGGCCCCTTCTTCCCTCGACCTCAAACTTTTGATTCTTTGCCCGCCGTGTCCGATCCGCACACGGTGATGACACACCCGAGTCTGCCCTGGCCCCTTTTGCTTCTCCCCCGCGCCTCTTAGGCGTGCTTGGGGAGCAGGTTCTCCCTGACGGCGAACATCTTGGCGCTGATGTTGGCCGTGAATCCGTCCACCTGCTTGCTGTACTGCTCCACCTGCTTCGCGTTGAGCATGCCCTCCAACCGGCTGGGCTCCTGGGGGAGCTTGAACAGCCTCTGCCACTCGTCCTCCGGGAGCGGCGCCTGCTTGGCCGCCGCGCGCGCCGCGTTCTCCGCCTTGCGCTTGGTCTGCCATTGCGTGATCTTGGCCTGCTCGCGTCCGAGCTGGCGCTGGTAGAACTGGAAGTTGTGGAGGTCCGTGTAGTGGGACTCGATGCTCTCGAGGAGCAGGTCGCACGTCTTCTCGAGGAACGGGTCTATCGACAGGTCGAGGTTGTCGATCGACGGGTGCAGCGGCTGCTTGATGGGGTCTTCGCGCAGCTCCGACAGGGAGTTGGGCGGCTCGATCTTGTCCTGCGCGGAGACCTGGGGGAGCTGGTGGAGGAAGGACGTCAGGAGGTGGGTGTTGTGCACTTCGACGGGGAGCTCGGCGAGGATGTCCTTGAAGGACAGCTTGGACTTTTGCAGGCTGTGAACGTCATCCGTTAGCCACTTGATGCGATCTGCTTCGGTGATCACCACGCGCAACCATACCTCTCGGTCGTGAACTTGCCCTCCTTGTAGGCCGCCATGAAGTTCTGGGTGAGCTTGAAGGCGCGCAGGCTCAGGGAGCCCTGGGAGCTGCGGCTGACGTCGTGGACGAGGGCGACCGTGCGCTCGTTGTCCTTCTGGTAGTGGTACTGGTTCTCGATGAAGCTGATGTTGACAAAGTTGCCCATGGCGGCCGAGGTGTACCAGCCGACGTTGTTAGCGTCGACGTTGACCTCCTTCAGGTGCTTGATCATGTCGTTCTGGTAGACGATGTTGGCCTTCTGGCGGGGGGCGGAGGCGATGAGGGCCGAGGTCTCGTTCTGGTTCTGGTGGCTGTGGCTGTCCGTGTTCGCGACGTCGACCGTGGGGAACTGGAACGAGTTGGTGATCTCGAGGACACCCTCCTCGTCCATGCCGACGAGGGAGCCGGTCGCAGTCGTGGGGAAGGTGGCAGAGCCATGCTTGACGATTTTCATCACCACCTAAAGGCGCGCACATGTCAGCCACGTATCCTCCAAAGTGTACATGTGCCACCATCTCGAAGGCAGGCAGAGGCAGAGGCGGAGGTGGGGCAGCAGTTGGCAGGACTCACCAGGGCCTCAACGCGGACCGCCTTGAGCGGCACCTCCTTGATAACAGCATCCGCCATATTTGCGATACGATCGGGGATTCTTGCAGGAGTCAAAAATTCAGACGGCGTCGGTTTCTGCGGCTGCGGAATCGTGGATGTCGCGATCTTGGCGTCGGAGTTCGAGGGGCTCGTCGTGATGCGAAATATCGAACTTTTCGCTACACCGAATTGTGGGAGGGATTGTGGGCTGTAGGGCGGTAGGCACCGGCAGAACCTGGCTGGCTCAGTGACTGCTCAGTGCTCACTGACACTTGAGGAGGAGGGGAACCTGCTTATGTAACCTCGACCTGAAAGTTCGGCTTTGTGAGATGAGCCCACCCCTCTTCCGGAGGTAAATTCACCCCACAGCCGACAGGCCGCCGGCTTTCTTTTCTTTCTCCCACGGTGATCTGTAACAGATTCCACACGCCACGTCCTAGAAGGGGAGGCCATCCCACCCATGCCCCCACGCCGAAAGCACTCAATTCGAGTTTAAATTCAACGTCGTCTCATCTCGTCTCCTTCGTCAACCTCCTCCCTTCTTTCTCTCGGAAACCTCGCTCACCTTGTTCGCCTGCTCCTGAGCATCATTTTGCGATATCACTCGGGGGGTGTCCAGCGTCGACGCGGGCTTGGAATTGCGGACGAAAAGTGCGACCCTCATCTCGACGACATTTACACTCTGCCCTCCACACGGAGCACACGCTTACTCGAACTTTACGACGGGAATCATCTGCGACATGCTCACTTCTTGTCGAAACGATGGCCCGACGACTGTCACGAGAAACGAGGAAGCGAGAGTCTATCATTTGCGTTCGTGTATTACGCTACGCTGTCTAAGAAATCCGTATGCTGTGTGGCCGTCACGATGCTACCCAGATGCCCTCTAGTTCCAAGATCCTTTACTGGTCCTAACGCCTTCAGTGGTCGCTAAATTTTTGCTCATATCCCGGCGCAATTGCGACATTTCCCAAACCATCCAAACGCCGTTACCAATCACTTTTCGGTACCGTTTTAGTCCGTCCAGTCGACGATCTCCCAGCTCTCTGCGCCCTCGTGGACAACCAAGCGGTGTCGATCAATCCGCCAGAACGAGTACATGGATGCAGTGGCACGGCTTGCTCTGCGGTGGGCAGGACCGTGGCCGGCCTTGACGGCGTCGGGTCTGGATCTCCAAACGCACGTTGCGAGGTTTCTACCCTCAACATCAGGGCTTCCGAACCAGTATCTGCAAGTGGTCAGTCTCGTTCGCGATCCTCGGAGCAAACGGGTGTCTAACTTCAGAAAGCCTCCGACTTGGTTGGCCTCAGCATGTGCTGCCTTGTCCAGAATGCCGAGGTCTCCGTAAACCGTCGAGGGTGGGATTTGCGAGCGGAACGCGACAATGTAGAAGGAAGTTTCCTTGTACGACTTCCCCGTCTTTTGGACGAGGCTTTTGAGTTCACGCATGACGTCTTGCCAGTTGAAAGACTCGACGTAGTCGGCTGTGGCGTAGTCTTCCCGGAGGCATTCGAGGCGAGACAAAGCCCTGGCGAGTAGGGCGTTCTCGTCGTCGAGGGTCTCGAGATCCAGCAAGTGCTCCGGATCCGTGTATGGCGAGTGGACGAGAAATCGATCGGTGTTGTTGATGTCGACTTCGGTGACGTTGACTGCAGCTTTCTCTTTGATTTGCTGAGCCAGAGGGTCAACGACCCGAAGTGATGCGACGGCTGTCATGGTTGAGGTTGCGAGTGCTGGAGTCAAGTGATCAGATGAGACTCAAGGGGGATGTTGGTGAGAAACAATGTCCGAAGAGGGGGTGTTGTAATTGGGTTTCCGGTAAAGCAGATGGCTCAATGCTGAAGGGTATCTTGAGAAGCAAGGACAGCAGCAACGACAACCCTCAAATGATCTAACGTGTGAGGTGAGAACCGACCGTCTGAAAAAGGAGAAGACGTCGAAATATAAGAAAGGCCCGGAGTCGGGAGTCAGTAAGGTGGCGGCAGGGGCATCGAGGAAACGTCTTTTCGACACGGGATTGCCTAACCCAAGCCTGGTGGGTCGGGGACTACACCGTCGAGCGAGTCGGAGCGAGTCAAGTGCAGCTGACCCAACCGTCTGAGGAGCGGTGTTCATCCCTCAACCATGTTTGGAAGGGGGGTCCCTTTCGCATGGCATCTGCGACGCGCCGGACGGGACTACGTATGGATCATCTGAAAAGAATTTCCCGGCCGTTTGCATGGACGGCCAAGGTGCGGTGGGATGGCAAAGGGGCGCCGGTTGAGGATGGCGCAATCGCGCGTGGTTCTGATGCCAGAGTCGCAATTTCGACATGTCGGACAAAGCTGGCATGGATTTGACTTTCTGGCTTTTTTCGTCATTAATTCCTTGGATTGGAGAACGCGGCCCACGGACTACAGAGGTTGGAGACAAGCTGCAGTATGCCGAGACCAACAAACATTGTGTTGGCAACACTTGAGCGGCCAAGAGACGACGGACAATGGGCCGGAGAACCGCTTGAACAAGACTTCGTATCATTTCGGGGCGAGAACTCTAGACGGCAGCATTTCCCCCGCATTCCTTAGAGAAGATGGACTAACACTAACACGTACCTTAGTGATAGCCAGCAGGTATATCTAGCCGGCCGCTAAAATGTACTTTTTACCTTGGAAGATTGAGACGGAAGAAATGAAATGCAACGAGCATGCATTCGAGGCCAGGGATACAGATAAAGATCAGAGCACCTGGTGAATTCAGTGTTTTCTATTGGACTCGGGCTTGCATTATATCTGCTGCAAAGTCCCCTTTTTCCGCCAACCTGGACGGCCACAACTCTCGATTGGCTGGCTTCTCGGCGACCAGGACTCTTACCCGGATGACACTCGCACTCAACCGGCCTACCCCCGGGGCGGGCCCTCCCCCATACGCGGCGGCTCCAGACCCCTAAACCGTTGCCACAGATCATCCCCACAGCGGTCTCGATTGCACCGGCAGCGGCCCACTCCCCAAAACCCTGCCGCGACATGAGGTGGTGACACTGAAGTGTGCCACACCACAACCACCACCACCACTACACGTTTCGTCTTTTGCCTCGCTTCAAGCTTCCATTCTCTCTTTTCTTCTTGTCTCCGCTGATAGATAATGCGCATAGCAAAGACATCGACTCATCTTCCGAGGCCGCCCTCCATCTCGTCTCAACCGATTCATCCCATCCCATCCCAGTCCATCTCGTCCCGTCCGCCCTGTTTCTATATCGGTACATACATATCCTACAATCTCCAATCTACAATGCAACAATACCAACCCGTCACCGCTTCTTCCGCGATGCCACCCTGCAAACTTCACATGCAAACCGCCTATCGCTCATCACAACCCCCCGACGACCTCCGATTCGTCCTTGCCGCGCGTGAGCCAGACCTTCGACATCTCGTACGTCCCGAGATACAGCCCGCTCCCGACCGCCGTCCATGCGGCTCGCAACAACCCGCCACGGAAGAGCCCGCGAACCCCGTTCTGCCGGTATACGTCGCGCGTCACCTCCAAACTGCCTCGTCGCTTTTCCACCCGTCTCGATTCGTCCCGTCCCTTCTGCTGCTGCTCCGATGCCTTATCGCCCGCGCTCAGCATCATCCGCGTCTTGACCACGTCGCTCGGCGTCGTGATCCACGCCGCAAACGCCCCAGCACTTCCCGCGCTCGCTCCAGTGACCACCCCCGTCTCGAGCAGACCCTGCTCCTCCCCGTCCCCTCTCCCTCGTGTCCTCGATTCCCAGACCGTCGTCCGGACATGCTCGAAGATCGGGAACTGTATCGCTGTGAACGGCAGGTTGCGCGCCACCAGCGCCGTGTACCCCGAGAACAGCCTCCTCCGCGCCCCGGAGCCGGCGACCTGGCGGAAGGCTTCGAGTGAAGTCGACCGGCTGGCGGATCCCGTACCGGGGCCGGCACCCTGTCGTCGCAACATCTGCGCGTTCTGCTTGATGACTTCGGCCGGCGCGAGGACCAGGCATGATCCCATCTCCGCGACGGCCGACGCCGAGGCGTGGACCAGGGGCTGCGGGATTGAGCCCGCGCTGGAGATGGTCTTTTTCATGCTCTCGTACGTTGCGAAGAAGATGCCCGCTGTGCGATGTCAGCTTGCTGCGAATGATTGAGGTCGTTTACGTCGAAGGGTGGATGTCTTTGCAGATGACTTACCCGCCGGCAGTGTTGCAAGGACAACGCTCCCGATGCCTTGGTAGAGGCCGCGAAAAAGCGGCGCTTTGCTTCCCGGGGATGAAGCATAGGTCTTGACGAAGTCCTGACTTTGATACCTCGTTTTCAATGTGTCGAGGGGGTAGACTAAGCAGTCTACAGTGAAAGCTGCTGCAGCGCCCGCCTATGATTGTTAGTTGGGTGTGAATAGGCCATGGACGAGGTTATGAGCGGAGACTCACTGCGTATATTTCATACATTTTGCCCAGCGAATTCTAATCCATACGGCCAGTAAGGCTGAGTCCTGAAGATGATGATTTCGGGATCACGAATGAGACTTGTGGGTGGCTGCTGTCCGGACGTCTGGTTCTCCAAGACGATGGATGACCTCATAGGTAGCCGCTTGGCGTCACTGCAAGGGTCCTCAAGTCACCTACTCCACCTAAGCTTCATTCACCTCATTTTCCCAAATGTCTCTCTTACACTCATCTGCCATCGATATCTCTTTTTTGTTTTCTTTTTGTTTTTTGTTTTCAGTTCTTCAGGGACTCACGCGTCGTGATCAAGTATGCGATGAGAGATTTCCATAATTTTGATCAAGATGGTTGGTTGATTTCGCTGCTTGACGATTCTGTTCACTCAAGTCTTCGACTCGTTGTTCTGAGTGAGGCTCTCACATGTTCTCCATTCTCATCTCGTTTCAGAATCCTCACCTATACTCAAATTATCTCACAATCTCTCACTGAATCAAGCTTCAAGCCTTTTCTCTTATTGCTTTACTTGAGCCATGGAACACAATCACTAAAGACGTCATGGACTTCTTTGCATTTCAACGAGGAAGAAGGCGGGCATGTGTAACGACAGGTCGTAAGCGCGTCGGTCTTGGCATCACGGATTTCGGGCACCACTTCTCACGGACTTGAAGAGTGAGTCAGGCACTCTTCTCACTCACTCTGAAGATGAAGAGAGATGTTGCCCTCACAATATCGCGGGGGTCGAACAGTCTGGAAGGCATCTTCTAACCCTTGGCGATGTAGCCGAAGATTCGGGAATCCTCTTTTGATGCAGGAAACGACGTGTCTAAGACGACCGGCCGAACGAGGCATGGAACCCACCGAACGGCACCAATTGATGAAAGACACCTGCATATCCGGTTGCAGGTTGAGCTACGGCGGACCGGGACCGCTGTCAGGCTCGGTATTGCAGATCTGATCCGGGCGGGTTCGAGTCTGCAGTGCCACCGCCTTGACAATTCACCCGGGTTTCACGCCACGAGAGGATCTTCGCGACCGAACGAGTCCGTCGAACCCTGATTCCCGGAACGTGTTCATGATTTGCACGAAACAAATCACGATTCAATTCCACGCCATGTGGATCTCTTGGTGTATTATCGAAGGTTGAGGCGAGAGCTGGACGACTCAAGCTGAGCTACGTCCAAATTGGTTTCACGGACAAGCCCTTTCGGTTCGGGTTGCAAACAAGTCGAAATCACCACCTGCTTCTTGGCCTTCCAAAGCTTCTAGATCAGCGCCTCTGTGTCTCTGTATCCCGTTACGTCCTCGTGGTCGCCGGAAACTTATCACCAGACCACGCCCCTGCCAAGCCCAAATACACATGGCCATGGAACGTTCTTCTGGAAACCTTCTGTCGTACTCAAATCACTAGTTTGACGACACAACTGGAATTGCCATCACGGAAAAGCCTGGGCAGGCAATTGATGTGCCTCAAGCGCAACGATGGCGTCCACCTCCACGCGACTTGCGTGCGCAACAAGTCTCGGCCGGGAAGAGGCGATGAATTAGGCCGTATGACAAGAGTCACAGACAAGGCTCTGCGGCGAGGATCATTTGCATTCCATCCCGCGTTCTAACCCTTTTCTTGCGTCCAACAGCGAAGCGCTGGTTGTCGCGCTGTCCAATGACAACAAAGTCCAAACGATCAAAGACTCAGCTGAAGTCAGCCCAGGTCGCATTCATTAGCCAATTTGAACTGTTTTCCCAACGCAGGAGGTCGCTTGCTAAAAGATCACATCACGGGCTAAATTTCTGCAGGCTGGACTTGGCTTACAAAACAGAACTCGAAGCGTTGCATTGGGCTGCGTTTCCATGTTGTCAGCGAGATAATGCCTTTGTTTGAAGCAGCTGAGCGCTGACCGTGCATGTTGAAGTGAAGGAAACTCAGCCTTCCAGTAATAGTCTGGTCGGCCAGCCATTGGCATCGGTCCCGAAGGGCCCCCAAAAACGTGTACACACACACATCGCGTGGCAGCGCTAGGACGCTTCACCGGCGTCATCCCCCACTTCAGAAGCCCATGTTGACACCCTCGAGGATTCGTGATGGAGGGGTTCGAGTATTCTCGACCATGGCGGTGGCTTTGGGAAAGGTCTCTGACTGGATGCGACTGGCAACATTTCTCTCCAAAAACCCCTTGCATATTCAGCCATTCAGCAACGAGTCGCCCCGGACGCCTGAGACAGTTTGTACAACCCAAACTAACCGCCATTGCAGGATATCCTACGCGAAGTACGAGGTTCATTGATGCGCAGGTTCGAAAAGGGTACAGTGGCTTAGAGCGAGTGTAAGCATATCCAATATCAGACGGTGATGTCGGCCGAAACTGGAAGTCGCTGGCAACTCAAGGCGACCAGTTGTTTGTTCGTCTCAAATTTCAGCTCGAACTTGGTTGCATCTTTCGTTCCGTATAAAGTTGGGCTTCATCCCCTCTTTTTTCTTCAGTCCATGTCCGAGTCCGTCAAGAGATCTTCATCGGCCTTCAACTTAGTCATTCGCTCGATGCCGCCATCGCCAATTTTTCAGTCACCGAGAGATCCACTCTGACTCGCCGTTGCAATTGACGGCAACTCTTCTTACACATTCTCTTCGCATCTTATTGAAACTCCAGGGCACTCGCTGATATCCGGGGAAAATAAGCATCTGACGTCTCCGTCGATGTCACCTGGCCCCCACAGCTGATCGATCCATCAACATAGACAGACAAACATGGCTTGTCCTTTTCTGCAAGGCACCCTCGCGGTGCCGCCCCGGCCGATCTCGGTGGAGCAAGAATTTGCCAACATCCGCGAACAGTACCCGTCTCTATCTTCCACCGGCTGCACTACGAATTTCTGCCAGTCCGGCCGGATGACGCATTTGGACGAGGAGCGTGTTGGTCGGAACCAGTCGTACGCCCAAGTCCGCGAAGATGCCCTCGACTTCCTGCAGCAGATGTACAAGGATGGGCTCCTTACCGTGGAGCAACTGCACCACCGCGCGCAGGAAGTCCTCCAGGAGATTCAACAGAACTCGATGGAGGGAAAGTTTTCGACAACTTCGGACCACGGAGCGGAGGCTTCACCAGCCACTTCGGACGGTCTGGTCGGTGGTCTCTGGACTCAGACATTTGAGGAGCTTGAGTTTGGTCTGCGGACGGCGTGGAAACACGCGCGAAAGTGCATCATGAGATCGGAGTATAGGAACTTGAGGTTTGTGTTACTTCATTGAAATTGATTGGCATTCGCTGACTCGGATAGGCTCTGTGACTTGCGGCATGTCCGGACCAGCAAGAAGATGGCTGAGACTCTGATTGAGAATCTGAAGGTGGCTTACAACTCGGGCGAAATCAACCCAACAGGTAAGTAAATTCTTCAAGCTTCCTTGCACGTACTGACATGGAGATTTCAGCATTCGTATTTCCTCCTAGAGACATCAACGGCCGCGGCCCCATGATCTGGAACTCACAACTGTTGTCATTCGCAGGAGTAAGTCCACCTCCAACTGTAATACTGCAGCACTAACAGAACGAAGTATCAACAATCCAACGGCGAAATCCTCGGAGATCCTGCCAACGTCGAACTCACCAACGCCATTATCGAGCTCGGCTGGACACCGCCTCGATTTCGCTCACAATGGGACCTACTTCCCCTCGTCACGATGGCAGAAGGAGAGCAGCCCGTCATCACCGAGCTTCCCAAAGATGCATTCCCGCTGGTACGCATTCGTCATCCAAAGCATCCCGGGCTCGAAACCCTTGGCTTGCGTTGGGTTCCCGCGCCAGCACTCAGCCGTCTTGGCTTCAGCATCGGCGGCGTGCAATACACCGCGGCGCCTTTCATCGGGTGGTGAGTTGACACCTTTCCCGCTTACAAGCTCTGACTAACGCAATGCAGGTTCATGGATGCTGAGATTGGCGTTCGTAATCTCGCAGATTCTTTCCGTTACAATGCCCTCCCACAGGTCGCCAAGGCTATCGGCTTGGTTGAGGGAGATGTAGATGATTTGCCTGACTACGAGCGTCTGGCCGTGCTGGTGAGTGCACCTCGCCCAGATTTCCAGAAACTTACTGACATTTCCATGCAGTCTCGCGCACAGCTGGAGCTCAACTACGCCACGTACTGGTCCTTCGCTCAGGCCGGCGTCAGGATGTCGGATTCTCTCGGCGCAGCAGAGCAATTCGCCCAATTCGACGACGAGCATCTCATGAACAACGGCTTCCGCCTCCCCTCAGATCCATACTGGCTCGCTCCTCCTCAAGGCTCAATCATCCCACTCTGGCATCGCGGAGGCTCACCAAACTACCAGCCGAAGCCTCTCATCTGCCGTCACGCGAAGGATCCCGTCAAAGCCTGGCGTCGTGAACGGCAGTCCCTCCGTGTCCGACCCTCCCTCCCGTCGGACACGAAACTCAACATCTCGATCCCGGTACCATCCATCTCCCTCACAAGACCCCTAACGCCAGTATCACCCTTCGGTACCGCCTTCTTGCCCGTGCCCCCGCCTGTCAGACCTCTCACGCCCCTGACTCCGCTGTCACCGCGGGGGCCCGGGCGCAGGATCTATATCGGCTTCTGCAGCTCGGGCAACCTCGCGATCAAGCTCTGCAAGAGGCTGTGCGCGCAGCTGCAGCACGCGTGCGAGGTCAACCCCAAGCTGGGCACCGTCATCGCCCCGTGCACGCTCAACGCGCTTCCCGTCTCCATGATCGAGGCCGACGACGTGCTCATCATCGTCGCCAGCACCACCGGCCGAGGAGAGATGCCGCAGAACGGCAAGGCCTTCGCCGATGCGCTTGCGAGGAATCCGGCGCTTCTCTCGTGCCGGTACGCCATCTTTGCGAACGGCTCGCTGGAGTATCCCGACACATACAACCAGGCTGCTATGGATATTGAGGAGTTGATTAGCAAGGGCGATGCTCAGAGGCTCATCGGCATGCGCGAAGCCGATACTGGCGCTGAGAATCCGCCGTGGTCTGTTCTCGGGCAGTTCTTCAACCAGTGCCTTACCGCGCTGCAGAGGGCTAGTCCGGATGTTGCGGAAACGGACGAGGCGCAGCGGATTATTCGACCCATCAGACCCTTCGACACCAGGCCGTGGTTCCAGGCAAAGGTCGTCGGCAAACCCGTTATGGGAGCCACCACGGACGGTATGAAGAGAGTAACCTTGGACCTGGGAGACCGCGAGTACCCCACCATGGGCAGTCTGTGGATTCTTCCGCCGAATTCTGAGACCAAGGTCTCCCGTGTGCTTGAAGCTCTTGGGGTGCGGGATGACGAGCTTCTGGAGCTTCCGGGGAAGCCCAAGGTTGGTGGCTTTTTGCTGCGGTTCGCAGACTTGCAGCAGCCGTTCAAATCTACAGCGTGGGCAGAAGGGCTCTCACTCTTGCGCCCTGGGAGTCTGGCCAAGATGCCCATTGAGGACGCAGTTCACTTGATGCCTTCGAATTGGAGGCAAATTGTGTCCCTTGACGTACTCTGCAGCGCGATGCCGACCATTCAGCCGAGGGAGTATTCCATCGCCTCCGACGGCTCACGAACCAAGCGCGCGGATGGAAACACGCTGGACTTGCTCGTTCAATACCACAAAGATGGGAAGTTCTCGGACAGGTTTCTCAACTGCTTCGAGTCATTCGGGCCACTGACCTGCAAGATTCGCCCCTCGGCTCACTTGGAGGACATTGCCCGGAACACAGACAAGCCGATGATCATCTTCACGACGGGCTCCGGCATGGCCCCGGTGAGGGGCCTCCTGCAGAACCGCAACCACCAGGCAGAGTCCGCCACGGGTTCCTCAAAATGCCCTTCCATCAGCCTCTTCGCGGGATTCAAGGCGTCCGACGAGGCTCTCGTCCGCGAGGCCATGCAGGAGGCCGACGACCGGGGCGTGTTTGATGTGTTGAGGCTTACCGGCAGTAACCAGGAGAAGAAACGAGCGCAGGATGCGATGCTCGAGCCGGGCGTGAGAGAGAAGCTGAAGAAGAGTGTCGAGGATGGGGCGCTTGTGTTTGCGTGTGCGAGACCGAGAGCTGTTGATGATTTCTTGAGCAATTTGAGCGAGGTGTTGGGGCGCGATGCGAGGGAAGCTTTGGGCGATCGCTTTGTTGCTGATGTTTACCAGCCTGCTATCTGATGCTTCTTTTCTTGATCACATAGACTTTAGCGATGGCGGATACCTAGACAGCGAGGCGTTGGGGGCTTTTCATTCTCTTTCAAGATTTGTTTCCTACATTCTCAACATAGACTTAGACGGAGAAATTTATCAGTTTCACATCCTTCCAACATTTCATCACGTATTGAACATCACAAACCGGCCATTGCTTACAGAGAGTCACTTTGGGCCTCAAAGTATTGTTTGAAATCGTGGCCCATGGCCTATTCGTTATTGTTGTACACCGTGATCGTGATAATCATACAATGCCTGGTATCGCTATCCATCCCATGCCAACGCCAATCCAAATTTACCTGGTGCCAAACTTGTCGGGGTTCTCAGCCTCCGCAGAGGCCTGCGTCACGCTCTCGGGCGCGACGTAGCCCTCCGCCGAGATGCTGTCGGGCACCGACTCGGGCTTGTAGTAGTCGGAGCCGGGGTACTTCTGGCCGCCGGGGCCGGGGGGCTTGGTGCCGACGTTGTTGCGCACGGCACCCTCGCCCTGGAGCAGGATGTCGTCCTTCTGGTCCTGGGTGCCGAGCGAGGAGATCTTCTTGGCCGGCACGACGTCGTCGTCGTTCTCGGCCGGGTTCTTGGGGGGCTGCTCGGGCTTGTAGGAGACGTTGTTGGTGGGGTCGCCCTGGACGCTGACGGAGGCGCCGGGGAACTGGCGCTCTACCACGGAGGAGACGCCGGCGTCGTCGTTGCCCATTGGGCGGGCCGCGCCGGTCTTGGACTGGTAGGTGTTCATGTCGAGCTGAGCCTGGGCGGCGATCTCGTTAAGCTGATCCTTGGAAGGCGCCATTTTGTGTGTTTGTGGTATGGTTGAAAGTTGGTGATGTATATAAGTGGTTATGGAAAGATGTGGTGTGAGTTTCGTCGATATCGAGTGATTGAGATTGATTAAATGTTGATTGATGCTGTGCTAGAAAGTCAGTTACTGTCCGCTCGGAATCGTGAACTTATGTAGTCGTCGATGAGGCTCGCCGTCTGAAGTCAACCCGTCGACGTCATCTTGATGATCTCACTCGTTGCTGTGTTATGATTTCACTACCCGCCATTTTGTGGTGCTTGGTGGGGAAGGACTCATCTCATCGACACTGATCGAAAGGGCCCGACGCCGCCTCGCCGCCACAGACCCCAACGACTCTCAAAGCGTCCATGGCAATTGAAATTTTTGACGTAGGAGTGATATCAGTTGTCCCTGAGAAAATAGGCCCGATCGGCAGGTCCGCCTCACATCGGGGAATGGCAGCTCGGGGTCGGTGCTGCTCCGTGTGATCGGTCAGGTCTCCGCCGGTCAGCTGAGCGGGGCCGATTCACCGTCAAAATTGAGACGACTCCTAGTTTTCCAAGGCGTTCACGAGCGAATGTGTTGACGGAACAAGGTATCATTTGACTCTGTAGTACAGTCCTAGGGCCCAAATGGCCTCACCTCATGCTTTTGGAATATCCGACAAAGCGCACCGACATAATTGCAGAGATGCACGCTGTTGTGGTGGAAAACATGAGCAACCAAGTCGTAATTCTGCTAATTTCGTCCCGGGCGTGAAGACATCGCAGCACCAAACCCCTTTCTCCTCATCACCGGCAGACTGCCACCGTCAGTCGCCAGGTTTCCACTCCTTCATCTAAATCTACACTTAGCCGTCGGTACCGCTGCTGCGGAAGGTAGCGCACAGGGCAGCGTAGTGATGTGTGAGGTCGAGAACGTTCTGCGGTAGGCTGGTAGCTTGAATGATGCTCCTGACCTTGACCGCGCCTTCGTCCTCAATGAGCGTCCGGATTGTGTGGAGAAGCTCAGGGGAGAACTCCGAGTACCACCTGTACTGCCAAGTGACGAGCCGGATGACTGATGCGACCGTCTCTCGGGTGTTCTTGTCCTGCTCAAAGACCTTGAGGATACCGGTCAAAGCCTTGGGGCTGAATCTCGAAGCGAGGCATGCTCTGTAAGCCTCCACGGCCTCATCCGTGTGCTGCAGTCTTTCGGCCAATGAGCCGAGTATTTCCCATTCCTCGGCCGACTTCTTGTACTGCATAGACTGTGCGCGGTACTGCGCCATCTGAGTGCGCCAAATAGTGTATACGCGCAGGTCCTCGTAAAGGACCATGAAAAGGCTGTCCAGCCAGCGCTCACACAACCGTTTGTTGTTCAGCTTGGACAGGTGGTCGTCGTCCTGAGCCCCCTGAGTGATTGTCAGCATATTGAAATCGTGCAGTGCGAGTCAGGCCGGCTTACATTTTCAGCGTCTCCCTTCAATTCGCCGGGGTCGATTGCATGAGTAGGCTTCTCTACTGCCTCACCTTCCGCCTGGCCATTTGCAGTCAAGGTTTCGGCGGTAGATTCGGTATCCGGCTTAGTCTCGTCCTTTTCTTGTTTATCCTCTTTCTCCTCGTCTTCGGAGTCCGAGTCCGACTGGTCGCCGTTTGTTGTGGGGTCCGGTGTGCCCCGAAGGCCGTCGGTGCTGGGGTTGCGTGGTGGCTGCGGCTCGTGCTTTTCGGAGCGGTACTCGTCTTCCATGACGAAAACCGTGCTCCGGATCTTCAAAAGCTGGTCCCAGCCAATCTTGGCCGTCATTTCGGTCAGGATGCCGTAAGCTTGTTTGAAAGTGCCCTTATACACGGCAGCTCGAAGGTTCAAAAGGCTCCCATCGACCTGCTCGGAATATCTGGATTCGGGCTCGCTGTCGATCTCGTCGAGGCGTGTTTCCGGGAGAGTTGGAAGGTTGACGTCCTTGGGTTCGGGCATGATCGGTGCGTCCTTGTCCTGGTACGTGAACATGGGGCAGGAGTTGAGAATGGTGAGAGCATTCTCCCAGTCCTCCATGGCGACGTAGACTTGAGCCAGTCTCGCCCATGTACCAAACTCGCTGGGAGCGGCAATGGTGCTGCGATCAGCACAGCCGAGGGCCAAACGAAGCCTCTCTTCCTTCTGTTCCGGGGTCGCGGCAGTCTGGGCCTTCTTCAGGAGGAACTCGGCCTGGGTGTCGAGCATAACGTAGTCCATAGGAGACTCCTTCAACGCCTGGTGGAGGACTCGGACACCTTCGACTTCCTCGTTACCCATGAACAGGACCTTGGCCAGGAGAGAGGAAACCTCAATGTTCTGGTCCCTGAGCTTCTCGAACAGGTTGATGCCGGAAGCGTAGCGGCCGGTGGTCTGGAAGTACTTGAGGAGGCCAGCGGTCAGGTGGTTGGAGACGTTGTTCGGGACTTGAACGACAGAGTCAGAACCCAGCTGCCATCCTGCAACGACGTTAGCACCCGTGTCAGCATGGCCGGATTTTAGGTGGTGGCCTACCTCTGAAGAAGAGCTGTTCTGCGGCGTTGAGGAAACGGTGTTCGGTTTCGGTGTTGGTTACGGGGTTGAACCTGCGCACACCCATAATCTTGCGAATGGTCTCTCCGCTTCCATCGTCGGCGTACGAGTAGGCTCGTAGAACACTGCAGAGGTAGGTCTCGAGCCAGAGATCGTCGGTGGCCTTGCGCTTCTCGCCGCGCTCGTCAACGCAGTAGCTTTCGACGGTACCGGGGATGGTGACGTGCACGCGCATATCGAGTCGTGAGAAGGCATTGTAACAACTAGCCAGCAAATTAGCTTCGAAAGCGTTGATTGATGGGCATGGTTTGGCCGTACCAGTACAGTCCCTCCGAGATCTTTGTTTGTGCGGCTTGGCCGTGCTCGCGGTACGTGAGGGTGTTGATGTAGGCGGCAAGACTGGCCGAGGACGAGGCATCTACACCGGTGACATGGTGGTAGACTCCGAGCTTGAGAAGGCGGTCAGTACTGATCTGAAGGTCGGTAGTGTCGGTTATATCTCGATGTCGCGTACCTGCTTGCCTGGGTTTCTCGTGGCCTGCTTGAGGAGGTGGACGAGGTCGGGGGGGCCAAGTTCGCGCAGGGAGATGAGGGAGTCGGTGCGAGCGTCAATTGTTTCGGAGAGGACCTCTTCCGTGAGCCTGGAGACGAGGTTAGAATGGCAAAGGTCGATTAAAGAGGTGAAGATGGTTGACAAACTCAGGCACGGCCGGCGCAACCATTGCGGCGGTGTTGCGTGTCAAGCTTCAGCAATGCTGTGCTTGTGTTGGATGGATAGAAGGCTCGACTGGATACGGTGTCAGGAGCTTAGGGGGATTGAGGTTCGAGCATGCGCGAGCGATTGAATCACAGCTCCCGACCGGAATCGCGATTTCAAGGAGATGGCTGGGAGCAGAGGGATGAGCGCGGGGGCTCAATCGCAATTCGAATTGTGGTCGGTGAGATTGGCGAGGGATGATGGATTGCCTGGCCTGTCCTGGCGTGGCAGCGTGGCAGCGTGGCAGCGTGGCAGACGGGAGGGAGTGCGCAATGGACAGGACAGGATGTCTGCCACTTGGGGCAGGTGGTGAGCTTGGACTCTTTCGTGACAGGCGGGAAACCTGCTGCTCTGCTGCTGCTGCTGCTGTGCCGTGCTTGATGGGCTGGGCTGGAACAATGTTACTGGATTCGCAGTGGATGACAGGGAACAATAATGAGAAGGGGCGGCGCCATTGGCAAGCAGGAAACGCTGGTGAGGACAGGAGGAGCTGCCTCAGCTTGGCCGATCATCCAGTTCCACGTCCAATTGTCTGTCAATGTGGACCTCGAGAAGCAGAAACCTGGTTTGCCATGTTCCTGAATCCCGAGGTGCCAGCTGCCAGCATTCCAGTTCCTTTATTATGTAAGCATCTCGCCTAAGGCACAGACCACGCGTCAGGTACTGGAGCTTGGACCACATGTCACTCGTGGTTAGTGGACACATCACCCCCTGAGCGGGCCCCGAGCTCTGTCACTGCGGGTGGCTGGTGAGGAGTTGTGGCGCAACTGAGTAATGGAAGCTTCCACGTGACCATCCCGCCGCGGTTGCTCGCCTTCCATTATGCAACACCATTCTTCAATCTCACGATAGGTACCTAGCGAGAACAGTAAGGAAATTTGTCACATCACAAAAAGACACATTCATCGCTGTTTCAAGTTCTTGGTCACGTCAATTGCTTCTTCTAGCATCACCGAAGGACTCTGCTGTTGTTGTCCTCCTTGCCGTCTGCGTCCTCGTCGTTGTCGCCGCCGTCCGTCCCGTCTGGCTGAGTATTACGACCTGCTTATTACCTGGGCTTGACAAGTCTAGTTTTCGCACGGCTCATCCAATCGATATTACATCAGAATACCAGGAGACTTCAAGGCAAACATCCTTAATCATTATTCGGGGTATAATTACGCCTACGCGAGCGTCTTGCTTGCCTTGCAGCTATATCAGACTCTCCCTGAGGGGCGTTTAAGCATTACAATACATTCGTCTTCCTTCGCCATCTTAGTAGACGTAGCGGAAGTTCGGGTTCTCCTTGTCCGTCAAGTCATCAAATCCGTGAGTCGTGTCAATCTCGGCTCCGTGCTGCCTGTCCTTTCTCTTGTTGCGCCACGTCAAGTTCCAGCGGAGGAAAACAATGACACCAACGAGAACAGAGTAGCAGACAAGGTGGATGGTGAAGGCCTTGAGGTAACGAGGCCCGTCCCAGCTGAAGAACACTTGAGGGCCCGCAGCGTTACCGCCACACCACGCCAAGAAGTTCATGGTGATGCAGACCGCCTTCTTGGTCTGGCCACCGACGTTTCGCGTCAGCATGGACATACCGAGACCCTGAGCAGCCCAGAAGGTGAAGACAATCCAGTAGCTGATCAGGAGACCGGCCTTGGTCGCGTTGTTCGTGTTGGGAACGGTCATGATGACGATCGTGCCGATGAAAGATCTATGCTACGTTAGTGGCGACCACCAATACTTTGCATTTCAGAACTTACGGGATCAGGAAGATCGCCATGGTGATCAAGTTTTGGTTCCACTTCTTGGTCATCCACGCCGAGGTCATCAGTGTAAAGATGATGACGGCACCGAGAACCATGGCCAGAAGCTGAGTCTCAAGGAGGGAGAACTTCAAGTCCTTAATGATAATGTTGTAAAAGGCACCGAGACCCGAGGTGGGAAGAGTCGTGCAGATCTGGATGAGCATGTAGCAGTAGGTCTGGGGGTCCAGCAGGGCCTCCTTGACCTGGTAGGCACGGAACTTCTTGTTCTGAAGACCGGTCTGGTTGGAGCGGACACGCTCGACCATGAGCTTCTTGTCCGTCTCGGAGAAGCACTTGGCACGCATGGGGCTGTCTGGAAGAGAGTTAGCCACGATCGATCCCTTCCGGTCTGTTCTAGGTGATGGTGCTTACCAGGCAATCTCCAAAGGACGTACAGTCCCCATATGAACGAGGCACTGCCGTAGGTGATGAAAATGGCCTGCCACGAACGGATCGCAGCGGTACCGCCGGGCTTGAAGCTGGGGTGCTCAATGTGGGAAAAGGCGTAGGCCAAAAGACCACCGCAGATCTGCTGCATGCCGTTCATCATGTACCAGTAGGTGACAACCTGGGCCTGTTCCTCACGCTTGTACCAAATCGAACTCATGACCAAGAAGGCGGGTTGGCAGACCGCCTCGAAGATACCAAGCAGGGTTCGGCAAGCGATAAGGGCAGGGAAGGTGAAGCAGGCAGCGTGGCAGCAGAGGATGACACTCCAGGCCAAGATATTCAAGCTGAGGAACTTGGCGACGGGAACGCGCTGGATGAGCCAGTTGATGGGGAATTCGACGAAGAGGATGGCGATGTAGATACAGGTGGTGAGCCAACCCCACTGCGCAACACTGTCAGTAACGTAGGCTAACATATACAGTCGTGGGTCGTGTAGCTCACGTAGTAGTTGTTTTGCAGGATCGGGATATCATTGCGGATTCCCATGATGGAACTGAAGGACATGGTACCCTTATCCAGTGCCTGGAGGAAGTAGGTGACGATCATGATGGGAAGCACGCGTCTGTCGATGAGCTTCTTCAAACGCTTGTTCTCTTCCTCGGTGATGACGATCGCACCAGTAGCATTGGCGTACTTTGCAATTTCGTCGTCAACACGGTCGTAGTTGATGTGGTCGACCTTGGCGTCGGCGCCGGACAGCGTGCGCTCGATCTGGGTGGCATCTTGACCGGTGTGCTTTTCGTCCGAGGTGCGGATGATCTCAGGAGAAGCCTGAACGGCCTCCTGGCTGGCTCTGGCCATCTTTGCGGGCTTCCGAGGGGCTGAAGTGCAAAGAAGATGACTTCGTCGATGGGAGGGACGCGAGGTGTCAAGAGGGAGTCAGACTCAGGTTCAGACGGGAGAGGAGCATCCGCAGCCTTTAAACGATGGTCTTTCTCCCGCTCCTCGCGTGGACCTGCGGCCTTCTCCAGACTCCAGATTACCTACCCCGTGTGGCCCCAGAGTTTTCTCACCCCGCGGTCATGGTTGAATGCAACGTTAGCGGTGTGGAGTTGTCCATGGTCCAACTCCGTTCGTTATCGGCGCAAATGAGCCCGAAGCAGACTCGTGATGGGCTGAGGGTTGTCGTTACGAGCAGCAGGCCTGAGGCAAAGACTTCAGACGGTTGCCGTGTCTTCCACTCTTTCTCGCCGTGGATTCGGCCGGAAGTCAAGACCTACGCGTGTGGCGCCCAACAAGCATCGGCACAATGCGATGCGACGCCGGTCGTGCCGCTGGTTTTGGTATCAAGCTTTCATCCTTTCCGGGCGACGAGATAACACCAAGAAAAGCCCAGCATCTTGGCGCACGACTTGTCTGCCGCTCTTCGGGGAAGTGGTGTGCCGACGACGAGGGATTATTCCGGGAAGCATTCTTGGCGCAATTAGTCGACCGGGCGTATTTCCTGATGGAACGTTGGGGGCAAAGAAAACAGCAAATGTGATGAATGCCCCCCGGTAACAATTCCCACATCCCAACCCCAGAACTGCGAAGGGGTCATCACACCCTTATGCGGGGAACAGCCAATAAGAAGCAAATTGTATCCAATTTTACCCCAATCAGAGTTGAGAAGCTAACGGAATGCAGTTCGTGTCATGTTTCTACCCCACAACACCCAAATCCTTCGGATGGCTCCAGACCAAGGCCTTGAATCTTGTCAGAACTTCTGGCCATGCAGCATACCTAGAGCAGGACGAAGTTCTCGGTTGAGCGGATGAACGGCCTGTCGAAGCGATCCGGCTTGTTGGTCTTGTGATTTGTAAAGCAAATTGCCCTTGGAAAAGTCATCTTCAACCAAGTGTTCCGGAGTCTGGATAAGGTGTGTTCGGTTCCACTCCCCCACGACGAGTTTTGCGGGGAGACCCTCCTCCACACGTCCGTCCCATCCTTATTCCGTGGAGAAGAAACCACAGCTTTGGAACATGCTACCTTGCGTTGTCATCTGTGCATGAACTACTGAGATCTGCGACTCTGTTCATGGGTTACGGTTGCTGAGGGGGTTGTTCCAACTCCATATTACTTGTCGTGATATTGGGGAAGCGCGGGGTACGCGTTGGAGAAGGCAGATCTGGACAAGACTTGGCTCGATCACTTGGCTCGATCGTCAAGCAACGCCTCTTCTGTATTGGGAAGAAGTTGCATCCTTGAGGAAACCAAGTAAAGTCTAAGCCTTATTTGAGGTTGTATCGTCGGCTTGCCGTCTTGGCGCCTTGTTTATCCTTCGCAACGTTGGCGAACCAGTTGCCAAGTCAATGTGACGATTGGCGACGCGAAGTTGAAGGTCAGTAATGGCACGTATGTTCTGAATTCTATCAACACTTAATGACATTCAAAAGCCAGTGTGGTTGTCTGTAACCTGAGTGGGTACAAAGCTAATTCTGTTATACCCATCGTCCCCTTTGCTTGTTCGCCCTCGCCACCTCTGTCCTCGGAATCATTGAGTGCTATTCCTCTGATTTTCGTAGCCGCTTGGTGACTTCAGAGGTACCTTTGGTGATCTTGTGAATCGTGTATGGATATGGCCGACATGATGCGAGGTATTGTTATCATCAGCCTACAAAGCCATGCGATGAAGCTGTTTGTGGACCAGGAAGTTTATGTATTTTGAGGCAAAAGATCGCACAAGGTAGCGTCTCAGTCTGAGATGACAAACGTGAGATGGTTCATGCGCAATCACCTTTGCCATTATCCAGTAGCTTATCAGCTGCCAAGTTACCTTACCTTATACTGAAATAGACCATGACCATGTCTTGGGAGGTTGTCTGCTGGAACCAAAGTTCGTCTGTTCCGTCGAAGCAACTGAGTCTTTTACATGTGCTTGGCCGAGGTATGCGCACATTTCGAATCATTTTTACTTTAGACGGGTGAAAGCGGGTTTTCATCAAGGGAGGCTTCCAAAGGAATCAGTGATTTTTCTGGTCACTTACATACCTCATGTCAAGGTCATTGGCCGCGTCGTATGTGTTGCCATGCACCAAGACGCCTAACTCGGAAGTTATTAATGGACGGTTGAAGATGCAGTAATTTCGCTGGTGAAAACTCTTTAACCAGGATACTCGAGTCTCGCAATGATTACTGTTTCCTGATCGCACACTTCCGACCTCGTTGAAGCCTAGTTAAACCCCTTCACACTTCGATTCCGCGGTTCGCGGTTCATCCGCAATACTCGTTTTGCGTTGCCCATTTGCAATCACCTTTCCAGCAGCGCGGGAGGTTCGTCTCCAGAGCTCTAGAATAAGCAGATGCTGCCTGGAAGCCGGCGTCGAGCTCGGCATCGGAGTAATCGCGGTAAAGGGCGGCGTTGAACCTGAGTCGATCAGGCGTGGCGCATGTCCTCGAGGGTTTGAAATGTAGAAAATCCAGGTCGCTTGGATTTCCTGACTGCGTTATTTGAGGTTTTCACAAGGAGATACTGGACCCATCTTACGCTCGGATGTGCAGTTAGCCGGTCCGGCATTCAAAAACTGGATCTTGACCGGGAATAGCGGGGCCGGGTCGGAGTCGGAGCCGGGGAAGGATGGAGCGAATATAGCACGTGATGCTGCGCCACACTCACCACCTTCAAGGTGCCTAGTAGCTTAGGTAACAGCCCGTGTGGTTACGTAGCGTGAATACGTACCCGAAGCAACCAATTTAGGTAGGCACTGTAACTGAGAGGAAGTTCGGTCGCGTCGAGCACCGATTTCTTACGCGCCTGTGCCTCCAGGGCTACTTTACATCCATCTCGACACCGTTGTTGTCGCTCGTCGCATTGTCGCTCGTCATCGCCCTAGGCAACATCGCCTCTGTCCTTTGATTATTCCCATCTCGTCTTATTCTCATCTCGTCAACATCAGTCTCTGGGGCTGCAACGCTCAGCCATGGTTCGTTCCATCCCAATGCGACCAGTCAGACAGAGCTACAGCTAACCAGACTGCAGCCAGCCTTCCAGGCGATCAACGTTGAACCGGAGGAGAATGTGGACGATGAGATCGATACTACCCGCGAGCTTCACGTGCGTGCGCCCACTCCTCCAATTGCCCTTTTTGTACTAACATGATTGTAGGTCGATGAAGCTCTGAAACGATTCCAGACAGCTCTGAAGCTCCATGCCCAAGGCCCACGATTTTTCGACGAAGCCGCCGATGCCTACGACGACCTATTCAAGTCCGAAATCTTCAAATACCCAGAGGCTGCCACCGAGTACGACCGAGCCGAGGAACATCCCGACCAGCTCATCACCGATGCCGCTCTCGCTGGCAACTTGGACCTCCAAGTCGCTGAAGTGGACACAACTACCAGCAGTTTGCCCCAGGCTTTCTTCTTAGCACACAAGAACCGAGGCCAGTTTCTGCTCGACAAAACCCGCCATGCCGCACGGGCAGTTGGCGACTCTTTCTTCGAGAAAGATGAGGCTATCGAGAACATGCGACATGCCTTGACCGACTTCAACGCCGCCCTCGACCGCGATCCCTCCGATGCCGAACTCTGGAGACGCACAGCGCGCGTTGCTGCCTCGCTCAAAAGCTCCAGGATAAGCAGATACTGCCTAGAGGCCGCCATCGAGCTCGACGATGACCCTGCTGTCCTAGAGGTCGAGCCTCCGTCGCTCGTGGAAGGATTCGCCGGTCAGCAATTGAAAGAGCAGCTAAAGGTCTTGGCCGACGACATGGCCTTGTCCCATCCCATCATGGGCCCATGGGTGAAACGCGAGATGCCCGACTTTATCAAGCGCCACCTCGATCCAATCCCATATCTCCCGAACCCGATCAAAGACCTTGAGTCTGCACGCACCACAATCGAAGAAGTCGGTACAACCCGCCTAACAATTACGCTGCCGAACGCATCGTGGGTAGATCTCGGCATGGCGCTGATCCAATTTGTTCTCGAGAAGGGACAAACAAGCCGAGCGGTGGTAATCGAGCTCCCCGAAATGGAAGACGATGAGGATGTCGTCATGGAGAGCCAGCCAGAACAGGACAGCCAAGTCAATGGTTCAGAGGCCAAAGAGGGGTCTGCCGATCATGAGACAAAGCCCGAAGATACCAATGGGGAGAAGAAGTCCGCAGAGTTGGATAAGACTGCAGACGACAAGGAGGCTGCCCCTGAAGAGCCTCCAAAGGAAGAGCCTCCAAAGGTTCCCGAAACCACCCGCGAAACTCGTAAGGGACGAAGCGCTTCTCAACCGACTAGAAAACGGTCACAGTCAGCCGCTGGTATTCCCGAGAACCAAGATGATGAAAGTCTTGTCGAGAAGAGGAGCAAGCGCATTCGACGCAGAGAAACGGCAGCCGCAGAGGAAGTCATTGATACCAGCGCTGTTCAAGCGTCTCAACTAGCTCCGTACCAAGCGGCGGACCACAACCTATTTCAAGCCACCAAGAACATGTTAGAAAATATCGGTGTAACAAATCAGGATACTCTGGACCGGATCAGCGAGGTGCTGGACTCCTTGGTATCGGATGAGCGGGCAGCAGCCATCAAGAACAGCGCCACAACAGACCTGCGGAATGCCATCAACTCCTTCAGCGAAGAAAACGCGAAAATTCTACTCAACAAGCAGGCTCAGGCGTCATTGAGCTTGTCATCGTTCCTTGAGCACGCCAAGGGTGGCTCACAAAAAATGTCTGTCATACCACCATTCAAGGATACACCGGGAATCACAGCTTTTGCAAAGCGCGTCAACGCTTCGTGGATGACTGCTCAAGAAGTCGCGTATGAGTGGATCAAGACGATCTGCCCTAGCTATCTCGAGACCAAATGGTCGGATGCTATGAAGACAGCAGTCGTTCAGGTTATCAGTCGGTTCGACCAGGACATCCTCCAAGCTATCAATTACGACATGGAGTGTGCGCGCAAGTCAGACGGGCAGGACAACGCCTTCGCCTTCATCAAAGATATCGTTGAGATGTTGTTCGAGATCCATCTCGACGTGTATGAAAGAATAACGAACCCCAACAGTGTTGTCGACTACAGTATTCGTGTCGAGGCCAAAGGTCGCTTGGGTCGTTGGCTGGACATTGCATCGGCTCTGCTCCGTGGAAGCCCACAGGAGGGAAACGAAAAGCTGACTGCGCGGTTTCTCTGGGCCGCCATCTTTTCTACAACCTTGACCGAGAACGCCTCCAGGGAGTACATCCTCCAGTGCTGGACAAGTTTGCGGGATTTCCTTGCAGAAGGACATGTCGATCAGCTGTTGCTGCCCAACAATCCTGTGATACCAGAAATCTCCGAAGCTGCGGCCGACAGGGAAATTTCCAAACTGACTACCATGGACTTCTTTCTCGGCCTTTTCCAGGACAACGTCAGCGATCCTATTGCTGTCATCGACAGTCTGGAGCCCGTTCTCAATCCTGGATCAGTCTACGTGTCAGTGCCGCAGGAAGATGCTTCAAAACACAGCGAAGGCACCAGCTCCGGACGGCCCAAGCCTAAGAAAGTTCCTATCAAAGACTTCGCTTCGCAGGGCCTGCAAGACCTCTGGAGGTTTCTGCTAGGTACCAGTACTGAGCTGCGACTTTTCTTGTGGTCACGTCTCAGCGATGCTTACGGTACAATTAAGTATTCTACCAAGCAGTTTTCATGCCAGCTCAGAGCCATTGAGATGTTGACTGCCGACCTGGGAAGCGACAGCTATCTGAAAAACGCGCCGGAAACTAGGCCATCGCTGCTACTCAAGATGCTGAAATCTCTCGATGATCTGCTCATTACAGCTCTCTCGCTGGCTCTGAACGATAACTCCGCGTACGACATTGTTGACGACGAACACCTGAAGACGACATCTGCGGCTCTCGCCAAGCTTAGTTGCATGCTTCACGCCTCAGCAATGCACGAAGACGAGATTCGCATCGGCATGACGCGGGTGCCACCAAGCAGCCCTTCGTTCCAGGCATTCCTCAACAAGCTGCGGGAGATCCAGGTGCGGGTGTGGTGTCTCCAATACACTGTGGTCAAGGTTGGGGTCAATCAGAACCGAACAATGTTTCCCCAGCCAGAGATGGAACTGGCGGACTATCTGTCGGCTATCCATCAAGTTCTTGGATTGAGGAAATGCTGCAAGGCCTCCAACAAGATCTTCCTCAAGATGATGCGTGTGGAGCTTCTCAAATTCAAGAATATCGAGAATTGGGAAGACTACCTAGGACAGGTCCTCTACGATCTTCACGGCCTGAAGCTTGGCGTTGGCGTTGGGGAGGTCCAGGACCACGGATGCCCGCCTGAGAAACTCGAGAAGCGCAACGCAATGCAGTTGGTTGACAAGATCACGGTATTGGCGAGGAGAATGCCCAGGAAGGATCTTCTCAAGTCGGATCTCAAGACGACCATCGAACACATGCAGGGAGCCATCGGCCAGACCAAGTCGACTCCTCAGATGATCCACAACCTCAGAAACTTCACCGAGTACCTCAAGCGCCCGATTCATCCCTTGCGATTGTACCAAGCTCTCACAAGCAGTGTTCAGCTGGACGTCGTCGCTGTTAACACCCCAGAAAGCGCCCTTGCTCAACACGGCTGGTTCTTTCTTCTGGGGATGATCGCGCTTACGAGGTTTAAACAAGTTGACCTGAGCAAGCGACAAACGCCTGGCGCTACTGATGACTTGCGACTTGCGGCAACTTTTTTGCGACTCCAACTCCAGTTCACCCCGGACAAGTGGGATGCGTGGTTTCGCTTGGCCGAGTGTTTCGACTACGAGCTTGACGAAGCTGTGTTGTGGTCAGCTGACAAGATGAACAAGGAGCGTGGCGAACTGCTCAAATTCCAGCGCAACTCGATTCACTGTTATACTCTTGCTCTTTCCAACTCTTGGGAAGCAGATATTGACGACGAGGACGAGGATCCCTTGTACGAGCTATATCACAACTTTGCGATGCGATTGTATGCCTCGAGTCGCGAGCCACTCGCGATGGAACCATTTCAGCATGCAGACCACGAACGTTTCTTCATCGAAAACATGGGCCATGGCACTTTCCAAAAGGTTCTGCACGATCAGATGCAGGATTACAAGGTTTGGAAGTACGCCGCCGGGCTTTTCAAGCGAGCCATGCGACGCAAGCCACAGGACTGGAGGTAAGTCAACTGCAGATAGATGTATTGAGCTATGCTAACTTGAACAAGGAACTCGTTCATGCTCACGAAGTGTCTCTGGAAGATGTACCAAAAGCCTCTCGATCAACTGACCGACAAAGACCGTCAGACGCGACCATCAGTAGACTACCTGATCTCAGCTCTGGAGTACGCCGTTGAAGTTGTCGCTGCCGTGCCCAAGTCACGACACAGTGACCCCATTCTGGAGCCACACTACAAAATCGTCTCGATCATCCACAAGCTTGTTGTCAGAGGCGACCTCACCTGGCAAGACGGCGCTGACATCCTGTCGAGACAACCATTTGGCATGGAGTTAGGCGACGATATCACTATGGACGATATCGAGGACTGGGAAGAATACGTCATCCGGAATTTGCACCACCTGCGGGACAAGGACAAGTCTAACTGGCAGCATCGCATCATCATGCGTCACGCGCGTTTGCTATTTGACGAAGATGGCGAGTCACCCGAGCTTGTGCAGGCCAAGGCGGCATTCAACGTGCTTCGAGAGTCGATGTTCACGAAGACGATGGTCATGAACGTCTGGAAGTGCGATGCCGAACGCCCTGGACGCCACCACGTGTATACTGCACAATACATACGGTTTATGGTCAAACTCCTGGTGGTTATGAACGACAGGGTCAACCTGGAGATGGTTTTGAGACGTCTTCGGAAGAAAGGGGCCGACTTTTACCACTTCAGCGATTTGTGGCAGTACTGCTGCATGGCCTATCTCAGACTGCTGAGGCAAGGATTCCACATCGCCCCAACATTGGAGGACTCCTTCAAGTCGACCTCCATGGAAGAGCTGGAGATCATGGCCGATCGCATCACCGAATGGGCGGGAGGTCCATCAACGGATATTCCTGCTTTTAACTGCCTCAAGGAGACAATAGAGTTGAAGAAACTGAACGGCGGACTTATGAAGGCTGGAGCCATTGATGACCTCATCAACGACTGCTACGCGCTCATCTATCAAGAGATTGGCCCGACTCTTCCCGGCCCTGAGCCTCACGAAGTTCTCGAGGCACGCGCCAGGGCCCGTGCCAGGGAAGAAGCCGACGGCGGCAACGATTTGAAGCCAATGAGTTCTCTCGGCAACCTGCTGAACCCGTCGGCTGCACACGACTCAGGCACGAATGGAGATACAGGTGATAAGGCGGCAGCCGCGCCTGAGGCTGCTCCCAGGCGTCGACTTGGCGTCCGCAGACCCGACATCATCCGCAAGGCAGAGCAAGCGTTCGCGCGGTTCGGCGAGACGCCCAAGTCAGCTGTGGCGCCGTCCAAATCACGAGTGGGATCGGTCTCGAGCGGCAGGAATGGCGGGCAGACACCACCCGGAGATGTCGATGAGGGCAGCGATGCGGAGGAGCAAGTCGAAGGTGGAGAAGAGCGCGAAGATGGTGAAGACACCGAGATGAAGGACGATACGGCGGTTGAAGCAGATGACGGCGAAGACGAGGAAGAGGGGCCTGGGGGTCAAGTCACAGCAGCATCCAGCCCTCGGGGTAGCATCCACGACTCGGCTGATGACGAAAGTGAGCTTAGTGATATCCCTGACGACTGGGACGAGGAGCCACCCCCGTCGATGCTCTTTCCCAACCTGAGAAGGAGTGTAGACACGGCACGGGGAAATAGCGGCGAGACCACCGACGAAGAGGAAGAGGACGATGAGGAAGGCGTTGAGGACGATGATGAGGAGGGTGTGGAGGAAGGTGACGAGGAAGGCGCTGATGAAGGTGCAGGGGAGGAGGAAGGCGAGGACGAAGGCGAGGGGATGGACGAAGAGGACGTGGAAGACGAAGAGGAAGAGGCCGAAGAGGAGACGTTGGCTGACGAGTAGAGCTCAAAGCTGAGACTGAGACGGCGAGCTACCTAGACGATGCCTTGATTAGTTTGCTTATGCCCAATACCTTGTACTATTGTTTGATGTCATTTCTATTACTTTTGCCCCTCATTGCCGTCCCTCATCGCTGTCCCTCATAGTCATCCCTCACGGTCGTCTCTCATGGTCGTCCATCATGGTGGTCTTATACATCCTACCACATTCCACGCAACACACAAAGTTCAACATCAGAGCGAAACACCTAAGACTAGCCGGGTATTTTTACGGTTTTCACACGATCCACGACATCTGTGGGACGTACCACCCAGCAAACAAACCTTGTTCAAACAGGTTGTAACCACGCCGTGGATGAGTCGTCAAGGCAGCGTCAAAGACAACAATATAAAAAGGCCTTTTCCTCCCTTTGGGAACTTGCCAAAACAATCACCAAGCTGATCACTTAACACTCATCACTCATCACTCATCAAACCCACCTTGTCTCTGCCTCCTCCCTGCCACCTCAAAACAAACAACAAACAAAACTCCATACCACCATACCACCATCCAACCAAACCACCAAACCACTACCAACAGAACCAACGAGCCACCAGCATCACGATGTGCTCGAAGTGGAGAACCAAAAGACAGGACTGCGGCCACACCATTTGCCGCTGGAACGAGAGGTGCGACAAGGCCCGCGAGGAGCGCAAGGACTGCCCTGAGTGGCGGTGGTGGCTTCAGACCGACTGGGAGATGGGTCTATGTGACCAATGTGCGAGGGAGGAGCTTCCTTCCTTCTAAGCAAGCAGAGGGGGGAACGAAACCATGTGGTTCACCTTTGCTTTGGTTTGGGAGATCGATCACCTTTGCTCGATGAGAAGAGAAAACACCCTGAGCTATCGGGAGAAGGGCCGTTGAGGTATGGGACATGATTCGGAAGAAAACGGAACGGATCAACCATCAGACGATACCAGGAGACTCATGGAATTCAAGTAGCCAAATTGAAGGGATCAGTACGTGTGAAGGCGGCATATTATTTGTTCGTGAAAAGGAAAGGAAGATGAAGCTTGAAGCTGGAAGCTGGTGAGGTTCATGTTGGGGATGACTGCTACTGGGGTGAGGCGAGCAAGCTAGAGCCACCCCCCGATTCCAATCTGTCCAGGTCCAGGTTCAGGTCCCAACGCTGCTTGCGCCTTCCAGTGGCCGCCTAGGGACCTGCCGCACCCATCAAGCAGCGCAGCGGCATTTCCCGCCCCTCGACGACCTTCCACCAGCAGCCCGCCTGTTGCTTTCCATCATCACTAAACATCCACACAAACCGCCGCGCCAACGACACACCAACGTCCTCATCCACGAAACGATCCCGCGACCGACGAAGAAGTGATTGCATACACTTCTCTCCCTCCTTCCCCGAAAACAAATCTTTGCTCCCGAAAAAACAGCAAAGCTCGTGACGTGACGCTCCCGTCACAAAACACATCCACACATCCACACATACACATACACAATGGCTTCCTCGGACGCAAAGCCCGCGCAGGACAAGGCCGCGGCCGACGCCAAGGCCGAGGAGACGACGCAGCAGCAGGCGGCGGCGGCCAAGAAGCCCGCGCTGGGCGAGGACGACGAGTTTGAGGACTTCCCCGTCGATGGTAGGTCCTGACTCTTCTCTCTCTCTCCGCCCACCATACATACGCTACGATGCAGTTTCCCATCTGCCTGAGAATTGCGAGGGCAGCGGTGGCGGTGGTTTATACACACATCCAAAAGGGACGGACGGCATCGTGGCGCCCGGAATGAGTGGAATCATTGAGGAAACGAGTTGATGGCTGACGTGCGGATTGCAGACTGGGCCCAGGAGGACACCGAGGCGGCTGCTGGCGGCAGCGGTACCGGCACGACGCAGCACCTTTGGGAGGAGAGCTGGGACGACGATGACACGAGCGATGACTTTTCCGCGCAGTTGAAGTATGGCGTCCATCCACCGCCCCGAGCGTACAACGGAACTGACAATGATCCAGGGAGGAGTTGAAGAAGGTCGACGCCAACAAGAGACGCTGATCCAACAAGAGACGCTGATTTCACGCATCGATGGGAGATTACCAAAGAGAGGAAACGCGGGAGTGACGAACGGGCCGACTGGCTGGGACTACGGGCATAGACTACGTACAAGCTCTAGACGACTGGCGGAGCACCAGTGACGAAATTCAAAACAGGACACAAGGTTTTTATCTCTTCTGGGACGCCATGACTCTCTGTTTTTACGATTTTTATTTCTGTTCGTGAAGGTTTCTAGGACATGATACGGGGCATTACGTTCATCATCACCGCCCGTTTTCTTCTTCCGGGCTTCCGCTACCACTTCATATCCATGCTTTACCGGGCCTACAGACTGGGCTTGCCAGCTCGACCTTTTTTTGCCCCATCCATCAGACCGATCAAGTCGTACAGGGCGGAGCCAACTCTTCTACGCTGGCGAGGAATTGTTTACTTACTCGACAGAGCAACGACACCAGGGAGGGCCTTGCCCTCGAGGAGCTCCAAGCTGGCACCACCGCCGGTGGAGACGTGGCTGAGCTTGTCCTCGACACCGTACTTGGCGGCAACGGTGGCCGTGTCACCACCACCGATGATGACGATCTTGCCGCTCTCGGAAGCAGCGACGGCGGCGTCGAGGGTGGCCTTGGTGCCGTTGGCGAACTTCTCCATCTCGAAGACACCGGGGGGACCGTTCCAGAGGATGGTCTGGGCGTCGTTGATGGCCTTCTTGTACAGCTCAATGGACTTGGGGCCGCAGTCGAGACCCATCCAGCCGTCAGGAATACCAGACTCGTCGGTGGCAGAGTCGGTCTTGGCGTCCTTGTCGAACTTGTCGGCGGTGACGTAGTCGACGGGGAGGACGAGCTCGACGTTGTTGGCCTTGGCCTTCTCGACGAGCTTGCCGACGGTCTTGGCGCCAGACTCGTCGAAGAGGGAGTTGCCAATGTTGACGTTCTCAAGGGTCTTCTTGAAGGTGAAGGCCATGCCACCGCAAACGATGAGGGTGTTGACCTTGTCCAGCAGGTTGTCGATGAGCTGGATCTTGTCCGAGACCTTGGCACCACCGAGGATGGCGAGGAAGGGACGCTTGGGGTTCTCGAGGGCCTTGGCGAAGTACTCGAGCTCCTTCTTCATGAGGAAGCCAGAGGCCTTCTGAGGGAGGTCGACACCGACCATGGAGGAGTGGGCACGGTGAGCAGTGCCGAAAGCGTCGTCTAGGGGTTATTGTTAGCTGCGGTACCAACACGATGGTGGTGGATGAGGTGGGACGTACTGATGAAGACATCACCGAGAGCAGTGAGTCCCTTGCGGAACTCGTCAACCTTGGCCTTGTCAGCCTTGGTCTTGTTGCCGTCCTTGTCCTTGGCGGAACCCTCCTCCTCGATGTGGAAGCGCAGGTTCTCGAGCAGGACAACCTGGCCGTTGTCGGCCTTGTTGACGATAGCCTCGACGTCAGGGCCGACGCAGTTCTTGGCGAACTGGACGGACTTGCCGAGGAGCTTCTCGAGCTCGGGAACAACCGGCTCGAGGCTGTACTTGGGGTTCTCCTGTCCGTTGGGGCGGCCCAGGTGGGACATCAGGACGACGGCCTTGGCGCCATTGTCGATCGCGTACTTGATGGTGGGAACGGCGCCGGCAATGCGCTGGTTGTTGGTGATCTTCTTGTCGGCGTCGAGGGGGACGTTGAAGTCGACCTGTAAGGGCGGTTGTCAGTAATGGTCTCGTAGCTCGAGTCCCGACTACTAAAGTGAACTGCGTGCAAGGCCCGCGGCTAATGACTACCCCGGGTCGAATAACATAACCGCGGGCCGTTCCGTATCGCCAGAATACGGAACGGGGTTTGAAGTCATACCCGGGATCATGCGTAGGGTGTCATGGTGGGGTAGCAGCATGCAGAGCAAACAGCACGGCGCGGGGCACTGAAAGAGTGGCAGAGTAAGGTATCGACTTACGCGGATGAGGACGCGCTTGCCCTTGAGGTCGACGTCGGTGATGGCGAGCTTGTTGGAGAGAGACATGATTGCAATTGTAATGGGGTGATGCAGAAAAGTTGAAGAGGAGAAGAGAAGAAGATGGGAAGACGAAGAAGAAGTAGTCGTGAGGTATATTTAGGAAATGGAACCCAGGGATGGACGGGATGGAGGGACACACTCACACGCTGCACTTCAAGCTAAGGCGGCCAGGGGGAAAGCACGCTGCACCTCAGGTCAATCCAGTCACCTTCAGTGGTTCAACAACGTTGAGAGGTCCTGTCCAAATGGAACGGCACGGCGAAATGGTGGGGTGCTCTGACTGCTCTGTGCTGGCGGGGTGTTTTGCATGACTTTTTTTTTTTCTCGGTCGTCTTTTTGTTGGCGGGGTTGATTTGTCTTAGTGGGGAGCTTCCAGGTTCACCAACACTGAAGCCTGGTCCAGGTGCTGTGGTGCTGGTACAGCAGCTGTTTCCCACTGCAACTCATAGAAGCACAGCTGCCCCGCCTTGGTTTGTGACGTGATGGTTGTCTGATAAGCTGCCTCAGCTCATCCTCACCACCTGCCACCCCGGTCGATTGTCGCCAGTCATCCCTACCGCAAGCACGAACCAGACTCCTTGCCGGACCGAGCAACATCGCCAGACGAGCCTGCAGTGTCTTGGCTGCTCGTTTCCTGTTTCGCTGCTATTATTGGACAATCAGCTTCTTTTAGCTACCTTTCGCACTTAACGCTGTTGTCAGACAGAACTCGCAGAACTGTCTTTGGATGTGGACATCAGGGTCGTCCGGGGCGTTGATCAGACAACTCCAATAAGACCGAGAGATGGACCGCGTCTTTTCTGCATCACCCGCAAGTACCGCACTTCTCAGACCACACTTCGGAACTTCGATCACGATGCAAAATGTCGACTCCGCATCATGTTTCCCGAAAATCAATGCAATTTATTGCTGTTTACGACAAATGGAAAATGACGGGAAAATGACGTCGAAAAGAAGAGAACCGCTGGAGTCGGAACCCCATGCCCATGCCTGAACCCAAACGCCTGCCTCTCGAAGCATCCGGTGCTACTAGTAGCGATCGAGTGAACCTGTATAACGCCCCCCGAAATGCCTGCAGTGTTGTGCGACCTGCGACCTGTCCCAGCCCGTGCCACCAGCAGACCCAAAGCATATAGATGTTGTAAGAGTCCCTCTAGCTAAGACGGATGTGATCGTCCTCATTGGCCGCTGGGCGGTTGTCGACGTCGGAAGCCGAGTTGGAGAGGGAGAGGTAGGCAGTCCACGCGATACCGATGGTGGAGACGAAGGGCTAGCGATGGTCAGTATTCCTGAATCGTGTAGGGCGGCGCGATGAAGACTTACGAGCTGGAACTGGACCGGCATGAGGCGGAAGTTGATGATCTGAACGGCGGGCCACACCAAGAAGTTGGCCTTCAGCGTCGGGACGTACATGTCGCGAAGCTTCTGGTAGACAGCGCGGCGGCCGCCACCCTCGGCGACAGTCATGACGGAGAAGAAACAGACCAGACCGAACGGCGCGAAGATGAGCTGGTCGAAGGCGACTCGCTTCATGGCGGGGACGAAGGCGCTGGTCTTGGTGATGGGGAACGTCGTGGACAGGAACTTGAACCAGCGGAACTGCAGCGGCGCCATGGCGAAACCGTAGGCCATGAAGCGGGTGAGACGCTCAAAGTCGAACGGGGGCGGCAGCAGCGACGAGTTGGGGATCAGGTCCTTGTCCGAGAAGGGGTTCTTTCGGTCGAGCTCGTGGATCTCGATGGCGAACTTGTCGTCCTTGTCCAATCCTCCGGGCTTGCGGATGGCCTTCTGGCGCAGGGCGGTGATCGTCTGGGCGGTCGTGTCGGCGATGCCACCGAGGATGGCGTTGGTCACCATCATGGTGAGTACTGTTGCGGAAGTGTCAGTACGGTCTCGGAGACTTGTGGCAGGATATTGGGTTCGTGCGACATACGTGGACGTTCATCGTAGTATTGATTGAAGCGGGCAACCAGCCTGGCGACAAGCGCCATCTCGATAAGGAAGATGACTGCGTGAAGTAGCGGCTAGATGGCGAGCGATGTGTCAGTCGACGGTCGGCGCAATTATTGACGGCAGCAGGTGAAGCAATTCAAGGTGGGAAGCGGACGCAAGAATGGATGGGCATGGACGGACAAGACAGGCGATTCAGACTCGGGAATGCCAAGTCATGAAGAAGCAGGTGGAACGGGCCGCGAAGTGTAGTAGACAGGTGCTCATGCGAGATACTGAAATGGGAGAGAATGGCATACAAGACGTCCGTAGAGATATTTGCCGTTGACGGCGCGAATAATGCGGCGGCGAGAGAGTTCCCACGACATGGTGAATAAGATTCAGGAGATATGGATCTCTCTTCTTTTCTGGGTGTTTGGTTTTGGGCGGCGGACCGAATCGACAGGGTGGTGCAAGGTGCGCCTGGGCCTGGGGCTGGGCCTATTCCTTATTTCCTCAGAATGAGATAACGAGAGCAAAAAATGATAGACGAGGGTCTGGTCCTCCTGTCCGTCTATCGATATTATCTGCAGCGGCTTTCTTTCTCTTTGGTGGTGCTTCTGCAGGCTTCGAAGGCTGGGTACGATGACGACACAGTAGCCAAAGATTCGCTCGGTGGCGCTGGGATCGCGATGATTGGTCGATGACGACGGGATGAGGAGTCAGGAGACGGAGGGTTTGTTCCACTGGTGGCTTGGGGGGGAGGGACGGGAGGCCCAAAGCAGAACAATTATTACGAACTGGAAGGACGAGGTGACAAAGGGACGCAAAAGTTGAAAACGAAGATGGGAAAAGACGTAGGAGTGATGTGTTTAAAGATGGGGATGCAAGGAGCAAACGGAAAGAACTGGAGAATATGGAATAAGCTGCCTGCTCCTGCCTGTTCAGTGCTTGCTGCTTTGCGTGCTTCAAGCCAGCATTTGGCTCTTTGGGCATTGAATTCGGAGGGAAACACTGGGGCGAAGATGCCTGTCTCTGTGCCGGCTGCCTTTGCTGGTGCTCTTAGGTACATAATTAAACCATGTCCAGCGCCTTTTTTGTCGACTCGGGCGAGGTTTCGACGCTCGCCACGGCATTAGCACTGTGATACTGTGCGTTCGAGAGTGGAGCCCATCTTAGGTAAGGCGCCGACGATGCTATATTTGGCCTGTTGGTTGGCTCTCACCGGCAGCCACAGGCGGACTCCTCCACGGCCCCGACCGTGCCGAAACCGCTCTTCAGTGCACCGCACAGTGCATTCACCGCCCTCCTCCGAGGGGACACTGGACTCTGGACTCTGGAGTCGCCTCCCCTCCATCTCGGCGTCGATCACCAAAGTCCCCTCACCTCTTCCCAACTTCGGCACCAACACTTGGGATGCTTGCCCACCACACTCCAACTGTTCCAGCAAAACCCGTTTGCATTGAACTCCAAACACGACCTTCACTCTCCCGATCAATGCTCCCGTTTCACCCTCACCCAACAGCGTGGGGTAACCTGTCTACTACGTGCTACAGCTGCTGACGTCCTGGGGCCCGCCGTCTTAACTGACTTCTGACAGCCCTCTCGGAGCCTCATCCAGTCTATATGCAACCGAAACTCAGACATGCAAACCCGACTTCTAAATGTATGCGGATATCGTGAGGCTCGAGCTTAAGGGTTCCTACTCGCAGGATCCTCCTTGGTCCGCCTACGTAATCGTCGGATCTTTTGCTGTTTGCTCCCTCACTTTTTGTTTCCTTCCGGACCCCAATGTTCAGATGAATCGACGTCCCAACACCAGATTACAATTATCAATTGTCGATTCAGTTCCCTCGCAACTCTGTCCTTGGAAGTCCAATGATCAGCTCAGAGGGGTTGACAATTTCAGAATTGCTGGAGTTGCTGCCCAATGACTTACTCTTGGGCAAGTAAAACCCATGTATCCTGAGACCCGATGCTCTCATCACCTTCTATTCTGCGTCTCCTCCTGTTATCGTCTAATGTGTGTTTGAATCATTTCTGTTGTTACCTGAATCTACACCAACATTTCTACAAAAACTTGCGGTAGAATGTTTAGTCCAAACAAACTTCTTACATGAATGAAGAGGTCTCCCACGTGGTCTAGTCCCGCAGTACACTGTAAAAGCTTCAAAAGGGCAGGTACGCTGTGGAGGCCCGGTCACTTCGGCGGCGGGGCCGGTAAAAGCGGGTCGCCCCGATGGATTCTCGGCGGATAGAACATGTACATATCGGAACCGTGGCAAACACATCTGACAACTTTATTATGTTGCTTCAAGTTCGTACTAATAAACCTTCGGTCGTTTTCAGTGGCATAGAACTCCAGTTCGGTTCTAACCCCACGGCCAGGCACGCCTTGTACATTTTCATGTATCAGAGATACACGTTGACCGATGCCCTCGAGTATCCATACGTCGTCGGCCACTGGCTATAATCCGGCTCAAACAGGATGGCATCATTGCAATCACTTCCCAAAGATGTGTTGTTGAGCCACGCCTAAGCAATGTCAGTAAATCACCCAATAAGAAGTAGAAAGGCAGACTCACAGGTTCCCAGTACCAAAGACCCTGTCCAAGGCCGTTCGGCACCTCCCGCACGATCTTCAGCACCTCATGCATCCACTCCACCTGCCCCTCGACATTGTAAGGGATACTCGGCTCCGAAGACGGCGGGATCGGGTTCCACGTGCCGTCGCAAATGGCCGGGTAGTCCGTCTCCACAACCTGCATCGGCTTGCCGTACTTCTCGCCCATGACGCGGAGCGTCGTCTCGAGGTTCTCGAACGTGGCCGCGGTGCCGTAGAACGGGTAGAAGCTGAAGCCGAACGAGTCCCACGCCGACAGCGGTACATCGTTCTCCACCAGCGCGCCGTACCACCGCTCCTGCAGCGTCAGGTTCCAGCCGTTGTCGATGTGCAGCATCACCTCCGGCTTGGGGACTCCTGCGCACGTCGCGTCCTTGACGCCGGCCCGCGCCGCCTTGTACAGCGTCGAGAAGTTGGCGAAGCTCTCCACCAGCGCCGGCCACGGCTGCACGTCCACGTCGACGTAGCCCAGGGGCCAGAGGAACCCGTGGCGGAGCTCGTTGCCGAGGGAGACGAGGTCGAGCTTGACACCGGCCTCGTGGAAGGCGACGAGCGTCTCGCGGACGTACTCTCGAAGTTTTCCAGTGAGAGGCTCCAGCTCCGTCGGCCACGCCGCTGGCAAAGGCTGCTTCTGAGGGTCCGCCCACGAGTCCGAGAAGTGGTAGTCGAGGAAGATCCGCTGACCCTTGTCCTGGAAGCGCTTGGCGAGCTCGATGGTGTAGTTCAGGCCGTACGTTCCATCGGGAGGGTCGACCCAGAGGCGCAAGCGCACGCCGTTCATGCCGCCGTCGGCCAGGATGTCGTCGGCTGGGCGCGTCTGGTTTCCTCGTGCCGTGTCGATGAAGATGTTGTTCGACTCCTCCAGCATCTTAAGGGAGCTGAGGTCGTGGCCTTTGTAGAAGAAGGGCTTCTCGGGGCTGACGCTGGCTCTAGTTAGACCACATCAATTCTCGAGTTATGGGAGAATACTTACTTGACGCCCTCCGCGACCGGCGTGGCCGCCGCCAATGCCGTGAGGCCGAGCAGGGAGAAGAGGCGCGGTGCAATCATGATGAACGGACAACGACACGTCTTTCGCGCGCACGTCTCTGCTTCTTCCTTCCGGGGACTGCCATTATATATGGCTCATTCACCGCTTCACATGACGAGCAGGCATCGAGCCACGGTTGAGCTACGCCAAGAGCAGAATAAACGCAACCGAGCTGTCATGGCTCGGCAATCTCTTTGTTTTTTGGACTTTGCCGTGACGACTCGACGGAAGATCTCAAAGGAACACAACAACAGACGGATCGAGTGCGGGGGCCTCATCCATGGATCGCGGGGTTGCCGGGAACCGACCCCATCCCCGGCCGGCTGGCCATTGGTGCGCCTGGATAAGATCCCCTGTCCATCCCGCAATTTCGGGCAATGTGCCTCCAACGAGTTAACAACACCTCGTGGCCCGGCACGCCAAGGTTGAGCCGGCTTGACTGCCACAGGTCACGCGTTGGGGGGTGGAGATGAAGCCCTGAGATAGCGTCGAGGGAGAGTCTAGACCGGTTTATTGTGGTCTGCAGCCGAGGTATTGCATCGACGAACATCAACGTCACTTCTGATGCCATCGCTGAAATCGCCTTTTTCTTTGTTGATGTCTCCCTTATTAGCGAATAATGATCGCAGAGTCTTTGGGTGAGGCCAGCAACCAGTAGAATGAATATAATTAGTAGTTTAATACAAGTGATGATCCGAAGACACATGCCTTGTATCTAAGACCTAGCTATCGCTGAGGACTCGGGTCCAGTCGAACTTCCTCCACTTCTTGTTGAAACTATCGACCCGGCGGTCTCCCTTGTTCCACCTTCCCTGCTTCTTGATCACGTCCGGCGCCACGTCCAGAATGCCTCCGATGATCTCTCTCGCGAACAGGTCACCTCTGGGCCAGCGGTCAGAGTTCTCGACAATATGACCGAGACCCCCGTCCAAAGTGAACCAGGCATGGAAGTAGGGCATCTCTTTGGCGATGCTCCGCCGGAAAGCCATCCGCCCCATTCCATCTCGAGCCTTGGCCCCGGTGTCGATGATCTTCTTGTGCTGCGACCACTCCTCGTCGGCTGTGAGGAATGCCTCCTTGAAGTATGCCGGGGCTGTCGCGCCCTCTTCGTAGGGAATTGGCACAGCCATCATGGCAGCATGTAAGTGTCTTTGAGGAGCAGCGGCGTTCTCGTAGAAGATGACTTCCTGTCCCTTTTCGTGGTACATCCTGGTTAGGGATTTCATGAAGTTGCGGATCTCCTCCCATTCGTCGTCGTCGCATTCCAAAAGGTTCTTGCGATGAGCGATTGGCGTGATCATCGCACCACCCTCGCTGACTTCGGGGTCCGTGGGCAGCGTCAGGAAGACGCGAGTGCCGAGAGAGACAACAGGCGCCAACGGCGGCTGGCCCTTGTCTTCGTGATGACAGAGAGGGCAGTTGTCCAAGATGCGCGTGACTTTCTGATACTCGTTGACGGCCACGTTCTTGAGGTTGATCTCTGACCTGTGGACTCTCTTTGCGAGCTTCTCCGCGTTTTCATCCATGTAGTCCAGATCGTTGTCGAACTTGCCATCCTTTGCAATACGCTCGGCAAGTCGCATACCCTCGCCGCCCGTCTGACCGCGTGTCCTGCGCTCCTCGCGGACCATGTCCTCGATCGACATATCCTCGTTGGCCTCCACATTGCCGCGCTCTCGCCCTCGCTTTGTCTCGATAGCCTTGACCTCGCCCCGTGAGCCAGCAAGCATGCGGTTGTCCATGACGCCGAGTACGACCGACTGAGGACCATTCGTAGCGAAGCTCGCGGCAGCTGCGTTGTACTCGGCTTCCAACTTGGCGGCATCAGGGGCCCGACGAAGCTTCGCCTTCATCATCTGAGCTCGCATCCGGTTCAGAGCTGTCTGGTCGATGGGGGTATGCAGCATGGCGTTGTCTGGGATTACAGTGCCCTGCTCGATGCCTTCCATAGGACTTTCGTCAACGGGCATCGGGTCATGACGGTGCTTTTCCATGCGCTCGCGGTACAGATCGCCAGTCGGCTTCTCCTTGCCCACGTACTCGTCGCCGTACACCTTCCGCCGGTCCATCTCAGTCTTCTCTTCCCTGGCATCGTCAAAGTCCTGCAAATCCCCATATCTCTCCAGGGCGACGTCTTCTACAGACCTGCCTGACTCCTCTGCCATGCTGTAGACGCCCTTGAGCTTTGTCATTCGCCACTGAGAGCCGTTGTCGCCGAATGTGTAGTCGATGGTCCTCTCCTTCGGTGGGAGCTTCTCATCCAAGGCCGTGACGTTGCTGAGATCTCCAAAGTCCTTGTTTATTTCCCTCTCGTGAATGATTCTAGCCGGCTCTTCCTTGGGTGGCGGTGGTTTGGCGTCCTTGTCTTTTCGCTGGACGTAGTCGATGTCGATGGCCGAAGGCGCGGTCATCCAGGAGTCGCGCACCAAGGGAGTGGAGGTCTTGTCTGCTGGGACAGACTCTTCATCGGGAATCGGCAGGTCTTCCTTCGGGTCGGTCGTTTTCTCGTGCTTGTGTTCACGTCCTTCGTCGTCTCTCTCCCGGTGCCTCCTCGATCGTCGTTCCTCGTCGTCTCTGGAATGGCGCGATCGCTTGTGCCTGTGTCCATCTTCATCTTCCTCGTCATGACGTCGTGACCTATGCCGGTGTCGATCATGATCGCGATCACGGTCGCGATCCCTGTCCCTGTCCCTATCGCGTTCGCGGTGTCTGTCGGGGGATCTGTCGCGTTCGCGGTGGTGGTGATGATGGCTGCGCTGCTTCTTGCGTTGCCTGCGCTCTTCTTTTTCGCGTTCAATGCGCTCTCGCTCGCCCTTTTCGGCTGCGAGAGCCTTCTCAAAGTCGTCGAGGCCGTCCATCGGGTTCGATACCGGCTTCAAGCTAGCGTTTTTGGCGAATAAACAGATCTTGGTTCAAATGAAGTGATTGACAGCCAGCTACCTACCTACGAGTCGGCGATGCAGGTTGGACGTCACTCTCAGCACGGACCATCCAAATTTTGGATTGGACTGGGGTCGGCTTAGTACCTTCGTTACAAGGGGTCTCGTCCACTCTGACGCCCCGCGCGGGGCAGTCCAGCTCTTCAACTCTTCCAGAACTTTTTTCTAGCGGCCGAGATCAACCTTGGATCACAACCGTCGAAAGCCGACAACACATTCTGCACCCACGATGGCTTCAACTTCCTCAGCCGCGCCCGAGTCCGCGCCCGCCGCTACGCCCACTCCGGCGGGCGAGTCGCCTGTGTCCATTGTCGTCGTCGGCATGGCTGGTAAGAAACTTGCTTGCGAAAACTCTCGTCTCTCGCTGACCAATACCGCCTCTAGGCTCTGGCAAGACGACCTTCATGCGACGCATCAACTCACACCTTCACGGAAAGAAAGAGCCTCCCTATGTGATCAACTTGGACCCCGCGGTTCTCAACGTCCCCTTCGAGAGCAACATCGACATCCGCGACTCGGTCAACTATGAAGAGGTTATGAAGCAGTACAACCTGGGGCCGAACGGTGGAATCTTGACATCCCTGAACCTATTCGCGACGAAAGTCGACCAGATTGTCAACCTCCTTGACAAGCGCGCGGCGCCCGACCCGGAGAACCCGGATAAGAAGCCCATCAAGAACATTCTCGTGGATACCCGTGAGTCTTAACCGTTCTCGCTTTCCCAGATACTCAGGCTGACGCTACGCAGCCGGCCAGATTGAGGTCTTCGTCTGGTCCGCCAGTGGTACCATTCTCCTCGAGTCCCTCGCTTCCTCCTTCCCGACCGTTATCGCCTACGTTATCGACACACCGAGAACCACCTCCACGAGCACATTCATGAGCAACATGCTGTACGCGTGCAGTATCCTGTACAAGACCAAGCTGCCGATGATCTTGGTGTTCAACAAGACGGATGTGCAGGACGCATCATTTGCCAAGGAGTGGATGACCGACTTCGAGGCGTTCCAGGCGGCGCTCCAGCGGGACGAGATGAGCGACGTGATTGGCGGCTACGAGACGGCAGAGGGCGGCAGCGGCGGCACGGGATACATGGGCAGTCTCCTCAACTCGATGAGTCTGATGTTGGAGGAGTTCTATTCCCACTTGAGCTTCGTGCCTGTCAGCTCCCGTCTGGGGACGGGTATGGACGAGTTCTTCGAGGCCGTGCAGGAAAAGGCAGAAGAGTTCAAGCAGGACTACCTCCCGGAGCTGCAGCGCCGCCGAGCGGAGCGTGAGGAGCAGAAGCGCAAGACGCGCGAGCACGAGTTGGACAAGATGATGAAGGGCATGTCGGTGGATGCCGGCAAGAGGCCGCAGGTCGTCAAGCCCGTCGTCGACGACGACGACGGCATCGAAGTCGCGAGCGACGTGGATGACGATGACATGCCGGACGACGAGGACGACAGGGAAGGGCTGCAGGCTCGTTACGAGGCCGCCATGGAGGCCGAGGGCGACTCGGTCGTGGCCGACGGCAGCTTTGCCAAGTACCTGCACACACGCCAGTAGCGAGTGGGTGGCTGGCTTGGCTGGCTTTGGACACACAAAATACGCACATAGAATGAATCTCGGGCAGGGGACGGCGTTTAAGAAGGTTGCTGCATTATCATGAGATACCTCGAAAAGGAAGAACAGGTGCAGAGTGTGCCTTGCTCTATGAATTGATTTTGACCCCCCAAAGCCCAAACTCCTCGAATCTCTGCGCGTGTGACGCCGCCTTGGTGACTCCTGGTGTCATGACTGAGACCTCCCATGAAACTCGTTCCGTTGTTGTCGTCTATCCGACTTCATGTCGAACCGCGGGAATGTCTCATACCTCCCCAAACATGCAAATGACGGAGCCGGTTTGTTTTCAACTCGAAAATCCTCGCTAATAGTAACTCTCTCGTTTCTCCTCGCATCCGGCTTTCTATCTCGCCTCGAACTGGACCATTCTGCGCAGTGAGTCAGCACGCGCACTCGTCCACTACAGCATCACCAAACAAAACTCACCTCTTGGTGCGCTCCTTGTACAGGATACGGCAACCGCACTCCTTGCAGCGGATGGGATCGGCGCGACGAAGCTGGAACTTGAGGCCGCAGTCACCGCAGAGGTACTGCATCTGGGGACCCTCGTTGCCGTAGCTCGAGTAGGCGGCAGCGCTGGGGGCCGAGTTGGCGCCGGCGGTCGGGACTTGGTAGGCTTCGCGGGACATTTTGGCAGTATTGTTTCGGAAGCGACGTCGAGAAATTCGGTAGTCTGGGGGAGGGGCTCGGTTGTGCGGGAATGTTGGGTGCGGACGCGGTGGACTGGAGGAACACGGAATCGACGATTTTCTTTCTTGTCGCGCGGAACGGCGATTGGAAATGCAGGTGGGCCTGGATGGACAATTTGTTTGGCGGTGAGGCGCAAAGGCGGCAGAAAAAAACCGTCGGCCTTGGGCGGTGTGGTCGGCGCACGACCTGAGTCCCACGGGTCCGGTCCGGCCCACTTCCCGAGGTTAATGTTCATAGGACCGGGTATCGCTACGGCAGAATCGAATCCCGGAAGCGCAGGGCCATCTTCGCGTCATCTCCCACGATTCGGTTGAGTTCCAGAGTTGTCTCTGTCAAGCTACGGCAATCGATTGCGACCAAGCAATGCCTCGATAGCTCCTCCCCTCGAAACCGCAGCACCGCCAAAACATCACTACCATCACCACCTCCGCGTCCATCCCATCATGACGCCCGCCGCCTTCGACTCGGGCGTCGAGCCCCCCGAATCGAGCTGTCCCTTTTGCACAATCGCAGACGAATACCCTGCATACGACCCGGAGCACCCGCCGCAAGACGACGCGACGCTGGACCCGAACCGGATCCCGACGCCCGCCTTCGTCGTGCTCTCGACGCCCACCCTCATCGCCTTCCTCGACATCCTGCCGCTCTCGCGCGGTCACCTGCTGCTCTGCCCGCGGACGCACCGGCCGAAGCTGACGGACGCCTCGCCCGAGGAATCGGCCGAGATGGGACGGTACCTGCGCGTGCTGTCCAACGCCCTGGCGCGCACGACGGGCGTCGAGGACTGGAACGTCGTCCAGAACAACGGGGCCGCGGCCGCGCAGGTCGTCATGCACATGCACTTCCACCTCATTCCGCGGCCCGAGATCCGCGCGAGCGGTCGGTACAGCGAGAGCTTCACAATGTTTGGGCGTGGGCGGAGGGAGGAGCTGGACGAGGAGGACGCCGAGCACTTTGCCAAGGACCTGCGGGAGAACGTGGCCGATGTTTTGAGGGAAGAGGCACATAAAGCGAAGCTGTGAGCGTTGTATTTGGGTTTTTATCATTTTTTTCTATTCATGTACGGATTTGTGAACTCTGCTGCAATATGGCAGCCGGATTTCGACTATATAGCGTCGTTGTTTTTCGTCTACTCATTATGTGAGTCTACCCAACTCACCCCCTTCATATACCCAATTTTCGTTTACTCATCATCACCGAAGAAGACCTTGACACCGTCAGGCAGGAAGGTGCCGTCGCAAACCTTGAAGCGGTCGGGGATGGCAGAGATCTTCTTGATCTCGTCCTCGGTCAGGGACCAGTCGTCGAGGTCGAAGTTGGCCTTGATGCGGCCCTCGGAGACGGACTTGGGGATGACGCTGGTGTCGCGAGTAAGACCCCACTGGAGCAGGATCTGCTGGGGAGTGCGGCCCTTGGCCTTGGCAATCTCGAGGAGAGTCTGGTTGGTGTAGAGGGGAGAGTCGGTGCTGCCGAGGCAGGAGTAGGCAGTGGCGTGAATGCCCTTGGACTTGCAGTAGTCGAGGAGCTTAGGGGAGGGGTTGCAGGGGTGAAGCTCGATCTGGTTGACGGCGGGGACGACCTGGATGTGTCAGTACTTGGACAAGAGGCTGGCAGCAGTGGCAGCAGCAGCAAAGAAGACTTACGGTGGTGGCAGGATCGCTCAGGAGACGCTCGAGGTGGGTGAGGCCAAAGTTGGAGACACCAATGTTGCGGACCTTGCCGGTGCCGACGAGCTTCTGCAGCTCGTGCCAGGTCTTGACGTAGTCCCAGTCGGGGTAGTGCTTCTTCAGGTCATCGGGGTCGGTGGAAGAGGGCCAGTGCATGAGGTAGAGGTCGAGGTAGTCGGTCTGGAGGTTCTCGAGGGACTTTGTGATGGCCTCGGGGACGCGCTTGTGCCAGGGGTTGTCGAGCTTGGTGGTCAGCCAGATCTGGTCGCGGGGGACGCCCGAGGCCTTGATGCCGTCGCCGACCTCCTTCTCGTTGCCGTAGGCGAAGGCGGTGTCGATGTGGCGGTAGCCGTTCTTGAGGGCGGCCTCGACGGCAAGCTTGACCTGGTTGGGCTGGGACTGCCAGGTGCCGAGACCGATGGCGGGGATCTTGTCACCCGTGTTGAGGGTGAAAGTACGGCTGGACGGGACGTGTAAGCTGAAGTCGTAGACGGCGCGGGAGCAGCATGTTGACAGTCACTTACGTGGTTTGCTTGGTGGCGGCCATGATTCGTTGCATAGAAGATCAACTGTGAATAGAGACGGGTATCTTAGAAGAAGAACAAATCAACAAGTCCGAAGTAGAAGGACGTGAGAGAAGCAAGAAGAGGGAGCTATCGTGGTCTATGATTGCTGGCTTGGGAGGGGAGGGGGAGCTCTTTTGTACCCCTCCTCGGACAAGATGAACGGATGATTAACGTAAGCGAAAGATACAACGAGGAGAGAGAAGCAAGCTCGGCATTCGTTCTATCGCATCAGTCTGCCCGTGACAGAAGAGAAGGCGACGGGAGAGATTGGACATTGTGTAGGTGTACGGTACAGTACTTGCTCTATTCCTGCAAAAGCAAGGAAGGTCCAGGCAGTCTGTCCCCCGCCAACACCCCTGATCCTGCCAGCAGCAGCACCAGCAGCAGCACAATTGCCCCTCCCCCCACCTCGTGTGCGCCCGGGAATGACGCAGTGAGGCCGGGGACCCGACGCGCCTGCGCCTGCGCCTGCGCCTGTATGCGCCGGAGGCGGGACCGCTGACATGCCGTCCTATCGGCGTTGAGCCTCCCTTCTTCATTCATAGCTGTGGGCATCTGGTACATGGACATCAGGAACGAGAATCTGGCATCTGTCGGCCGCTACATCGAGCCGGGCAAGTTGAGGAGTTGATTCAGAAAGACGAACCTCTGGCCTCATAGCCCACTCGTAACATCCAGCCTATCCGTACCTATCTACACCTATCTACTTCGACTGCAGGGGCACGATAACATGAGGGGCGGACAAGTGTAACGAGGGGCAATGGAGAAAAAAAAATGCCATGTCAGCTGCAGTCGGAAGGGGAGAAAGAAAGATGAAGCTGGTTGCTGGCCTGGACCTAGTCAGCCAATTTCATAGCGCCTGATTGGCAGCGCTTGTTATCCGTTCCAATCCGCGTCGTTGGAACGGGCAAATGTCTCCCGACGCGCGCTTTTTTTTTTCTTCTCTTCGTTGATCCCTCCCACTCACAAGTTCTACAACGAGACCAACTCGACCGACCCCAACAAACTAATACCGGTTGTTCTCAAGAGACTTAAGGGACGCCCCATCGCTTGGTCCCGGGTTGGCGGAACCTGGCGCATCTGTCTCTGCAGCCGCGCGAATGTCTTGCCAGGAATTCTTCAACCCCGCTGCCATGACTCTTGGGCTTCACCGGCTACGCTTCGTCGCTTGGTCTATCTTGACTGCGACTGGCTCGCTAGAGAACGGAGATGCTCAAACAATGGAATCCTCCAGAATGTTCCTTTCGTCTTGATACCTGAGCAGGCTTTGTTCGATCTTCAGGTTGCATGGACCTAAGCCGATAAGTTTGGCATAAGTGAGGGGTTTGTGGGTTGAAGACTGGTCCATTTAAAGCCAGTCTCCCACGTCTTTTTCTTTGGCTCACAGCCGCTTGACATCTCCAGCTTTTGTGTTCATGGGAAGCGAAGGGGACTTTCCTGGAGTGGCATGAATGCGAAGTAATGTCTTCGAGAGGTATTCAACCTCTAGGTCCTGGTTTTCATCAGGTTTACTGCTGTTCCACACCGTCGTCGACTAGCCATCTGGGAATTCATCGTATCCGAGTGACCAAATAGTCCAGCCTCCAACCTCGAAGCGAGGCATGTCGTCTGGATTAACAACATAACGTCACATTGGGCACCCGCCCTTCGGCCCGGAGCACCATCGGCTGGCTTCTCATTCGGCCATGCTATCCAAAATCTCCGACTTGACTTGCTGCCCTGAACGGGTCCGGGGTGGCGTGATCGTCGAAAAGAAACGTTGTGTGGGGAGACCTTGCCGTGTCTGTCTACCTGCCGTCATTCAGGCCCGTATTATGCCTCTTTTGCTTTGTGACTCTTCTGCTTCAGCCTTGAATCTGTTGCATACTCTTCCCACGCCATCTTATGGACGACTGGCACCGATTGGAAGGCAGACCTCACCCGTAGACGGACCACTCAGCCTCAATGCATTTCAAGACCGTGAAGTCTAGCTCCAGTCATGATTGGGTTTTCGGAGCTCAATATTGATCATGTTGTCATTCGCCTCTTGAAAGGGGGCTAAAATGGTTGATCCAGACTTAGGCACCCAAAGGTTTGAGAGTCCAGATGGAGTAGACTTCACCAAGATGCTGGCAAGATATTCTGGCGCGGCTCTTCTGCCTTCTTGTATGTGGTTTGGAAGGTTCTAGTGTGAAATATGTTCCATCCGCTTGCTTCCGCTGGCGAGACCTTCCATCCCGCCGTTGTCTCATGGGAACCGTATCACGAGAATATTCCCAAATTGATAGATCACAAGAATTATGGAATTCCCTCCTTGGAAGACTAACATCACTAATCTTCCTCCTGTGTTGAGGCATTTAACGTAGTCGGCTGCTTTCTGTTATATATTGACTATATCGTGTAGAAAAATAACCAAGTGGCGTATGTTCTGGCCATAGCCCTTTCAAACGATGGGCATAGAAGTCTCGGCTAATCTGTTAACCGTATCATTGGCTCTGAATACCGTCAGTTTGACACACTCAGGAATAAAAATTCCCATATCCAAGCAGCAGCAAAGTTCAGCTTCATCTTCTACAGTCGCAAAGATGGTAGCACAAAATCATAACCAGTCTTGAGGAAGTCCGAGGCCTCCCCGAGCCCGTTACTGGCGCCATAGTCATATGAAGGAAACCACGCCGCACAAACAGCGACAACAGCCACAACGTCCGAGTCCCCCCTCCCAGCCACAGTTTGATCAAGCTCTCACCGTACAGCTGGTCTGACTGCCTTAAGGTTTGTGGGGGTGGGCAATCGGAGTACCGCTGTTTCGCATTGCTGGGGTGACTGACGGAAGAGAAAAGAGATGAGCTCCCGCAGTGTGAGAGGAATTCGATGGTTCTAAACGGCTTCATTAGCTGTCAGATGATGCCATTGGTTTTCCGGTCTCATTGGTATCGACGTTACGTCTCATGCTGGTTGTTAGTACAATATTCGACGATCTGTAGTTTAGCAACGAACTCTTGGTCCGTAAGATGCACTCTACAGATATTTCACTGTGCCAAAGGCATGTCCTTTGGTCTAGGTTACACAGACTCTATAGTCAAAATCATAACCCGCTTCTGCGTTATCGGTATTGCAATCCAAATACAGTTCATAAGAACTTGAGAGGAGTTGTTATGGAAGAAGTTTCTGGAGTAACACATGTTTCGACGGCCAGATGAGAGACATCTGCCGCAATTTATAGAAATACCTTCAACTATAATATCCAACATGGCCAACTACCAATGACGGCAAATACAGCGATCAAAAGCTCAAGCACACGAGGCGAGATCGTTGATAAATGGTCAGTTAACCAAGCCGCGGCCCATCACCGAACCCAGTTGAAACCGCTAGGTAATCAAAAAGAGTTACTTAATACTATGCACAGCTCATGATAACAGGCCATGGCCCGGCTCAACGTCGTCTACCAAGCTAAGACGATGTGCCGCTAACCCAGCATCACCAAACTCGCACATCGCGCTTCTTGTGCCACGCTTTTCACAAACCGACGAGAGGTGCTATACCAGTGCAAAAAACACACGGATCTATTTAGGCATTGAATCATGACAATCGAATCGAACCCAAGTGACCCAACCATGCACATGAAGACAGCAAGCAAGCATATCACACCTCCCATACCGCCGCCGAGATCGCCGGACCGGAACGGCCCCATCCCGTCCATCGTGGCCGCCGACCCGACGACGCCGGCGACCACGGATTGGACACCCCCTCCCAAAAGTTCCCCGTCCGGCCGCCTTTTCCGGGGGACCCAATATGGGGCGGGCCTCGACGGCGGCGGCCATCCATCCATCATTCTTCCTTCGGCAATCGACCAACCAAAAACGCTGCGCGGGCAGCGTTCGAGATGCGGGATTGTGGACTTCATTGGACCGTCGGGGGAAGTGAGTGGTGGACGACGTCTCCTGCTCAGGTTGGGCAGTTTTGCGTGGGGATTGAAGCCCGATTAGGTGTTTAACTACCGACTATCCCCCCCGGTAGTCTGGACGAATTTTGCTCTTTTCTCCCTTCTGTCAGAAGACGGATCGTTGAACCCGGTCGCATGTGATCGCATGTCGACAAACCACGCAAGCAGCATTGATTGAAGTTGACAAGTGTGGGTCATCACGATTCAAACATCAGGCTCAAGGCCTATTTCATTGGCTCATATCGTCATCTATTCTAGAAGCTGACGACAAGAGGATATACAATACTAAGTGGCGTACATGTGACGGATGGAAGAAGCGACGGCATGACAAGAGTACCACGGGAACAAATCGCTTTTAGTCCTCGGTATCGCCGCCAGCAGCGACGGCAGCGGCCGCATCGCCGTTGGTGGCAGCAGGTGCGTCGGCGGCCTTGACGTCGCCCTTGGCAGGAGCGTCCTCCACGCCGTTGGCCGCCTCCTCCTCTTCGTCGCCCTCGCCCTCAGCCTCTTCCTCGGCGTCGTCTTCGCCCTCAGGCTCATCCTCTGCCTCCTCTTCCTCGTCAGCAGCGGCCGCCTCATCGGCATCGGCTGTTTCGGTCTTCCGCTTCTTCGAGGGGGGAGCTTTGTCTGCTTTGTTTGATGGTCAGAGAAGCTGTCCGGATGGAAGCCGAGGATCCAGACTCACCTGCTACACCGTTGGCCTCCGCGTCGTCTTCGGCGTCAGCCTCGTCGTACTCCTCCTCTTCCTCCTCCTCTCCGTCATCATCATCAACTTCCTCGTCTTCCTCAGACTGGTACCTGTAGGCAAGCAATGTTAGCCGTGCTACTGACAAGACCAGCGAGCTGATGGCGCCTCGTTCACCCAAGTTGGGCGCATAGTTGCGACGACACTAGCACTCAAGCGAGAAGGCTGGCTTGTGGACGGCACAGCTGAGTTCGAGGCAAGAGCTGGAGCTGGAAAGGTCCTTTGACAATTCCAAACCGCGGGATGGCAGGCGCAAACCAAACACTGAGGGAGACTTACTCCTCTTCCTCTTCACCGTCGTCATCGGGGAGAGAAACGAGCTCCTCCTCCTCGTCTTGCTTCCTCTTGCGGGTGGACATGATGCTCGTGGGATTCGGTAGAAGTCAATTGGGTGTAGTTGGACAGCTCAGGGTGAGTATATGGTAGAGACCAGACAAGAGATGGATGGGAGAAGGAGAGAGAGATGTAGGAGAATCAAGAGGAAGAAAAGAGAGTTGGGGGGCGGCAAGGACGAAAGGTAGGTAAGGTAGGTAGGTCGGCGCATACAAAGCTCTTGGGTCTGGGGGAGGGAGACGGGGCCAGTCCAAGGTCCAAGGTGGGTGGGTGCAAGTTGACTGGCGGCGGCGGTGCGGTACGGTACGGTACCTGTCTACCTGTGAGACTCGGACGAGAGAGAGCCCAGTGTACGGTGTGGTACGGGCGTGGAGAGAGGAGAGAAGACGAGGAAGAGGAGGGAGTGGGCGGTGGTGGTGCGGTGTGGTGCAGTTCCAGAGAGAGAGGGGAGGAGGAGGAGGAGGGAGCTCCCTCTCACCTCTCTCTCTCTCTCTCTCTCTGCTCAGCTGCGCGGTGCGCGCCCTGCCATTCTGGTTGTGAGGTGAGGCAGAGGCAGAAGCAGAGGCAAAGCCAAAGGCTCTGGAGCTGGAGCTGGCCCAACTCACCCCAGAAAGGACGGGGAAGCACCAAGGTGAGGTGGTGGAGGGTGGCTGGGGGGAGCTTCGAACTTGGACTGGAGCGGACCAGGGGCGCGGCGAGTGAGGAGGCAGCAGAGGAGGAGGAGGACTGGAGAGGAGAGTGAGCGGCCTTGACGTGAGTTGGAGGAAGGGCGAAGAGCGAGGGGCGTGGGCGCAGGAAACGATTTGGCTGGCAGATCCAAACAGGGAAACCTGATTGACTTGCGCTGATGGTGTGGTTGGTCGACAGCGACAGCGACAGGCGAAAAAGAGCTCGGACACTTTTTTCTGTTGGAGACGAAGAGCAACATCATCATCCCTGTCCGGACCTTGGACCCGGCTTTGCGCGTGCAGCTCCCGTCCTTAGCAAAAGGTGAGGTGCAGCGTGCAGCACCGAGGCGGAGGTGGGAGAGTGACGAAGCTCCGATGCTTTCCCGGCGAAGTCTCTCTGTCTGTCCGTGCTGGCCGCGCACCCTCGACCTCCCGTCCCTTTCCCCTTGCCCTTCCCCTCCTCCGACTCCAACCCTCCTTGGTGCTAATCCTCCTTGGTCTTGCTCTCCTGGCACAGGTATGGTGGGCTGTTTGGTGATAGCGACCCTGTGCGAATCGGCAGCTCAGAGCTGTTGGCGACTGGCCAATCATCGTTGGGAATGACTATCATTTTTCTGCTCCGACCACGCCGGAGGGTTTGCCGTGGGAGACAGAACAGCCGTCCAGTTGCTGACGTGATTCTAACCGCAACGGGACGTCATGGATAGCGTCATCACGTGCGCTAAAGCTGTTCCGTCCCTCGCACGAGTCGCGCTCCCGTTGAGCCGTCGCCTTTGCAAGGCTGGGCACACTTGCGGCCCCTCGCGCTTGTACCTGTAGCATGGCCAGGGCTGAACTCGTTGCCAAGGTGAAGCAGCTACACTTGTGAACTGATCGTTGAACGGTTGTCCATGAAGAAGTGAGAGATGGATGTGTTTTCGAGGACAGGCAAGGAGAAAAACCCAGACGTGACCCAACGCATCAAAGCTAGGTGTAGTATAGACAGAGGATCATGGATCCCCGGTAGCATGCGGAGCTGCGTCGAATTCCCCGGTTCATCCGAAGACCTTCGTCTGGCCTCAAGGCAGTTCCGTAGGGAGCGAGATCAGCGGATGACCTCTGGAAGGTCTGTATTGCCATGGTGTATACTGTAGAGAGAGGGCTGGAAGAGAATGCAGGTTAGTCAAACGGGACGGGACCTGGACTGGACCGTCGGGTCTCGTCAATCAAAGTTGTTCCGGCCCGAGCGAAATTCTTCGTTGCCGGGTGTGTCTGGTGTCCGGTCTGGTGCAAACATCCTCGGACTGTGCGATGCGTATTTGACCAGGAGACACTGGGCGTTAGCTGGCCGGCCGGCGGGTGGCACAGTTTGCGGTCGGTCTGGACGGCCGCGGTTGCGTCGGATGCATGTTGCCTATCTTTATTCGGAAAACCCTGGAAGCACGAACCGCTCGGCTTGGGCAGCCGAGAGCTGGACGAGATGGAAGAAGAAATGTGTCCCTCTTTTCAGCTGTCAAGGGAAAGTAAGACATTGCCGATCTGAAATGGCTGACAGTCGGATAGTAAGAAGCAAGGGAAAGACAATTTGGAGAGAGAATGTGGCTGACGACTGGAACAGAGGGAGATGTCCAGTGTTTCTTCCTTGGGATCCTCGACAGACAGCCCAATCGCTTGGGTTCGTCCCGGGGTCGAGTGGTAGCACCGCGGAAGGTGACATTCTGTCCAAAGCTGGCATAGCTGCAGCCAATACAGCAACAGAGGCCGATATCTGGGCCAGAGTGGCCCTTCATCATCGGAGCAGTCGCCGAAAGAACGCTCTGATGGGACGTTGGCGATGCTGGGAAGGGCGAGATTCGGACGGGTCCACGATCCGTCGCGATCTCGTCATGGTGACCGAGCAATTGGCACTGATGATGTGACATGAATATCCGGTGGGAAATTAATGCCGGCGACGAGATGGAAAGCCAAGTCGTGGAATTTGGGTCGCGAGTGGTGAAATAGACCACGTCAGACGCGAATGGTGAAATCCATGACGCGGAGGAAAAGCCAAGTTGTTCCTGTGTGAGTGGGCAAACGCGCAAACGCCAGGCTGAATAGAGATATCCGATCATCGAGATCGGTTTAAGCGGCCGGGTTCCGTAGCGCAGACGGGATAATGCATGCTGAGGACGAGGACGACAAGACGCATGAGAGCCGCGAGATTGGTATCCGTCGGGCGCCGTATTCTGCCTGAAGCCCCACGCTTCTGATATCTTGTTCCCAGACTTCCCAGGGGCTGAGGCAGACAGCCAAGTCAGACGGCGGGAGGCTGGCGGGAGACGCACGAGAGAGACAAAGATGTCAGTCCATTTTGACGGAGGAACGTCATCCTGAGCGAGGCGTACGCCGCGGGCCGTCAGCTGGAAGTGATAGGACAGGACTTGGGAAGACAGCGGCAGGGACCCATAGAAGGAGTTGCAAACAATCAGAATAAGGCCATCGCAAGGAAGAGAAAAAAGAAACAAGCCCAGCAGACCCAGTCATAAGCGGGAATGGGGAAAAAAGGCAAATATTGAGCAGCAAAAATGGAAAGGAAGGGAATTGCAAAATGACGGAGGACGAGCAGATTTTCTTTGGTTCTTCCCGAAAGCGGACGGTGGAAGTTGGCCAGTCAGGATCGGAATCGGGGGGTTCTTACCCGGGAAATTGGAAGGTGATTGACTGGCAGGACTGGCAGAGGGGTGATGACTTCTCGATTGGGAATAGCTTCAGGCACCCGACGAGCTAGCAAACCCTCTTTGGCAGGGCCCTGCTTGACCCCGGCCTGCTTTTCAACCCCTGGCCGTACCTGCCGCCGCCGTGACTCCGTAGCACCTCACCACGGTCGCGGTAAGGTAATGTATGAGGTGGCCACTGTCACTGTCGCGGTTCACGGTCACGGCGAGCATCCGGGCATCGCATCGGCCATTCATTAATTGCATTGCCGGGCCTGTCCTGTTCAAGAAGGCTCGTGCTCAGGTCCCGAGTCTGCAGAGAAATCCACCTCACCGTTCCGTCCATTCCTGAATTTCCTATCCGTACCTCAACACCTCAACCCCTGCATTTGCAGACTTTGCAGTACAAAAACTTTGTGAGGTCGTCGACATCTGCCATGTCGAGTGTTGCGTATTCATGAGATACGTACGTACATACGTACCTGCTGCCAGAAACAACAGGGGAAAATGGTCAAGGCGTAATAATGCCTTGGGCAATGTGTTATTAGACTTGGTTGCAAGGGATGCGGGAAGAGGGCGGAGAGTGACGACGGGGAACCGGGAAACATCAGACGGTACCTCTATCGGCAGCAATTTCACCGCCGACCCTCGGGTACCTTTCAGTGCATGCCGTACCACATCCCGAGTCGATGGAATCTGCTTCGAGAAGGAAGAAACGGGGCACTACGCATGCAGCTCGGTGCCAGGTAGCTGACACTGGACCGACCCGACCAGGGCATTCATTCATCATTCATCATCGACCGTTGGTGACCATTCTCCAACATTGCGAAGCCCGAGAGGTGGTGGGTGATTGATGACCGACTGCGGGGACGGAGCCTTTCGCAAAATTTGGCGACCATGTGGACCGAGCACTGAATCGAATTGATTGTTGACGATGCCGTCCGTGTGCGCCGTTGAGGCAACGAGCGACGAGAAGAGCGACACGGAGACGAGGGAGACCCGAAAACTCGGAGCTACTGTACTGATACTGCATGTTTGCCTATCCGTCCATGACCACTGACCACTAAACACTGACCAGTGTGCGTCTGACTCTTGACTCTCACCGTTTTAATCAATCTATCGCTTGCTGGCTGGGCCTGGGTCAAAAGTCTTGGTATGGTCCTTGGTGTTGGATTCGGAATTGGCTTCGGAGGCGGCGGCGGCGGCGCTGAACAGATTGAAGTCCAATATCCATACGCTCTGTAATAATCGGTATTCGTTCGTAAGGCACTGGATCTTATAGGTTAGTCTCGCCTTCACAAGCCAGTCATTGGAATTCGAGAGGTTTTAGTGGCGTCGGCCATCAGTTGGCCCCTACTCCGTACACGAACCTGGAGGGGGGGATTTTGATAGAAATCCCCATCCAATTAGTCCATACCCATTAGACGAGACAGATGAGGACTGGAAGCGACGACAAGGGCAGGCGAGGCGAGACGAGAGGACGAGAAACTTAAGGCAGAGAGGCAGATGAAAAGAAAGGGAGAGAAAAGGATCATCCAGTTCAAATCTCAATTCCGTCAATCCCAACTGGCAGGAGCAAGTCCCTTTTTTCTCACCCTCGTCTCCTCCTTCTCTTTCTCTTTCTCTTAGCATCGTCGTATCCGTGCCTGCACCTGCACTTGCACTTGCACCTGCTTTTTTGCTCTTGCACCTGCCTGCATCTTGCATCATTTTTGCACTTGTACTTGCACCGGCAGCTGCGCCTGCAATTAAGTCACCGTGCCTGGTGCTATTAGTGTCAATCTCGGGAAGCTCCTTCAAACTTCCATCCATTCCTTCCTTCCTTCCCTTATTCCATCTTTCTTCTTCACCTGCTTCTGCTTCTGCTTCGGCCGCGTCCGTCTCGTTTGGCTACCTTAATTCGCCCGAACAATTAATCTTCTTTTCTTGTTCTTTGGTCTGGTCTCAGCTCAGGGCAACTCGTCTTCCCAACTCACCGCCTAATCTGTCTTTCCTCTGTCTCGATACCTTACCTTACCGCACCGCGAGACGGGACACACACTCCGACTTCATCAAAGCACCATCGGCCTTAGACTCGACCCGAACCGACTCTTCTCTGTTTGACAACAATCAAGAACAAACCAACAGTCAGACCGACCAATCAGCCCAGCCAGCCCTCCCACCACCACGCCGCCGTCGTTCCTTTTACCTCGTGGCAGCGCCTCCCCAAATCTGACGCGCGAGTCAATCACCCACATTCTGCGTCTCCGAGACACCTGCAAACTTGGCGACGCCACAGATGCCCGACCTGCCCTGAGCAAACATCAAAGCAGCAAAAACAAGCCGAGGAAAAGAAAAAAGAAGAAAGACGCCTCTCGAGACTTGAATCCGTCATCCGTGGATCCCTCCAACAAGCATTCCGCCCTTCATTTTTCCACCTCCCGCTGTCTAATTTGTTCCATCCTTTCCATCCTCGAGATACCTGTTTCCTGGCCTCGGTTCCGGCCAATGACGAAGACGCCCTGGTCCGGCCCCAAACACTCGCTTCAGTTTTAGCATCTTCATCTGCGACAACAGGCATTCCGCCCCCAAAAAAATCAGGACCGCCCAACCACCAGCCACCATCCCATAAGCAAAAGGTACACCGTACCTCAGACGACGACCACATATCCGTACCTACCTTACGGCCTCTTTCCAGCGCCTCCGCAAACCCAGCGTACCATTGGATTCCGACCCAGCAAATACCACCCTCTGCTCTCTCACCGCACCAGTCGGATAACGCTCCATTCTTCTCCTCATTTTGCCGACGATAACGACCCTCCTGCGTCCTGCGTCTCCGTCTGCACCTCACCTGTCAGTGTCGGACCCATTCGTCCACTCGACTCCCATACAGCGTCTGTTGTTTCGCATCTCTCCGACCTTCCATCCAGACCCAAACTCCTCGTCAGTCGACTCAGCTGCTCGTCGATCCTTCACATCCAAGTTTCCCCCTTACCTTCGGCCCCCAGCCTTGCATGCGTGCGTGCATGCGCATGAACCGGCCTCGAGGTATCACCTCGTCTCGTCGTACGCCCTGTGTTTCTCTGGAAGCCTGCCCGCCGCTCCTATTTTTTCTCTGCACCACCTTCGCACCGACCTTTCTTCGACCTGCCGTATCCCGGCTTCCAGCAGCGATCACCCATTGAACCCGCCCCGCCCCGGCCAATACCGACTACGAGTTGTTGAGACTTTGGAGGAGGGTTGCTGCCAAACGCAAGGTTCATGCATGTGCCGCAATGGTACCGTTCCTGACGACTTCCACTGCCCTACAAGTTCGCAGCCAACGTGCACCATTACTTGACAACGTTATTGCAACGATCAATACCGCCGCTTGCCTGCCCCGTCAGAGAGAGGATTAAGAACCGGAAAACATCAATTGCGAGCCTGACGCGTTCTGCGCCCGGCCGGCCCATTATCGTACTTGTAGCACCTGCCGCCGCTGCCATATAACGGCCGGAGGGACTCGACCAACATGACCCTCATGGCCGTGGCAGCGGATTCTGGCCAGCCCGACGCCCAGATCGCCTCGGGAGCCATGACGGAGCAGGACCCTACCATCCACCGCAAGACGAGCATAAAGCATCGCCAGTTCGGTATTTATGCTTCGAGGCGCACCCATCCGAAACCCGTCCCAGCTTCTGACGTTCCAGAGCGTCCCGAGTCCGACTCCCCGGCCGCCAACCCTACACATGCACATCCCATACCCACCTCCCCTCCACGCTGGGACTCGCTGGCGAACAGCTCGACCAACTTTGCGAGACATCAAAACCACATCGACACCCGGGCCCAGCCGCAGTCGCCTCGACGACCCGTCTTCCACGCAGCTCTCCAGTACCCTTCTCCGGATAGGCCTTTTGCCTCTCCTTCCCCTAGTCATGGTTACGAAGAAGACGACGACTTGAGCGCCGACGAATGGACTAGCAGAGCCCTCGCCCGATCCCTCAGATCTCCCGTTCCCTACGACGACGACGACCGCTCCTCGATCGATACCATGCAGATGGACAACTTCTCCCGCCCGAGAAGACCCAGCATCAAGCAGCCGATACAGGACCCAAACAGTCCTCGGCAAGCGAACAACTCGCCCTCAGACCCACGCTCCGATCCCAATTCGCATCATCAAGCATGGCCGCGGCCGCGGGGTCAGTCTGGTTCCTCCGCCAGGTCTGCCTCGACCTTCTCGTCGATGCCGGCTTCGGGCAACGATAACTACGAGCACCGCGCCCCGTCCAGACTCCGGAGTGCCCCGCCTCCATCGAGCCTCGCCCGACCCCCATTGGCATACGGACGGGTCGAAAGTTCAAGCTCAGGCTTGTCTACTTACGCGCGGGAGGCACCATGGATGAGTGGGGACGAGATGAGATCCAGTTACCGGTCTCAGATGACCTCGTCGAGCGCGCAGGGCACGTACGTGACGGAAAGAAGCAGCGTTCTCACCAAGAACAGCTCAATTCCATCTCTGTACGCTAACGGTGAAGAGCTTAGTGTCGACGACGTAATGGGCATGTACGAGAAGGGTTTCCAAGACTCGAGCCCCGAAGACAACGATAACGACGATCACCTCGTGCCGGCGGCCGAAATCAACAAGCGCAACACCAGGATGCTCGAGGTCCTGAGCCAACCACTGATGCCCGCGAACTCTCTAGCTGTCCCCGTTCCGGAACCCGTCGTACGTGATTCCGCCGCCATCTTCAGGGTGTCCGGATACCCTGCGTCCCTGCCGAAAGAGGTTAGCCTTGACGATTACGACCGGAAGGAGGACGAGAAGGACGACAAAGAGAAGAGGGACTCGGCCAAGTCGCTCGACACAGACTCATCATCTGCATCTCCCAAAATGAACAGCCCTACGACTTCTTCGGTGCAGACGGCCGTTGAGCCAGAGGAGATCGAGGAACCCGGTGCCCGGGACCGCTACGGTTTCAAGAAGGCCAACCAGTACATCACCAGGGAGCAATACGACAACTGGAACAAAGGCTACTCACAGTACCTGGACAGGAGACGGAAGAAGTGGACGGGCTTTTTGAAAGAGAATGGCCTCATCACGGATCGGCCACAGCGCTTTCCTCCCCACAGTGCCAAGGCAAAACGCTTCGTCCGCAAAGGCATCCCTCCCGAATGGAGAGGTGCCGCCTGGTTTTACTACGCGGGAGGCCCTGCCATCCTCGCGAAGCACTCTGGCTTATATGATGAGTTGCTGAAGAAAAAGGCCAAGGACGTCGACGTCGAGGCCATTGAACGAGACCTGCACCGAACATTCCCGGACAACATCAAGTTCAAGCCGGCTAGCATGGCCGGCAAACCCAACACCGAACCCGAAAGAAAAGACAAAGAAACGGAAGCTGGAGAGACAGTCAGTGAGGAGAAGAACGAGCCCCAAATCATCTCATCCCTGAGGAGGGTACTGCACGCCTTTTCGATCTACAACCCCCGGATCGGATACTGTCAAAGCCTGAACTTCCTCGCTGGCTTGCTGCTCCTGTTTATGGACTCGGAAGAGCAGTGTTTTTGGCTGCTGAACGTTATCACCAGGCTGTATCTGCCTGGAACCCACGAGGTTAGCCTCGAGGGATCCAAGGTGGATCTTGGCGTTCTGATGAATGCCATCAGAGAGTCTATGCCCGCCGTCTGGGCAAAGATCGGCGACGACCTGGAGGTGGACCCCAACGCACCACGACCTGCAGCAAAACCGGTCAAGAAGCCGAGAACAAGGAGAAAGAACCAGCCCAGCATCTCCTCCAACCACCTCCCGCCCATCACGCTTTGCATGACGGCTTGGTTCATGAGCTGCTTCATCGGGACCCTTCCCATCGAGAGCACCCTCCGTGTGTGGGACGTGTTCTTCTACGAAGGATCCAAGACGCTGTTCCGCATCGCTCTCGCCATTTTCAAGCTCGGAGAATCAGAGGTGCGGGCTGTCACCGACCCCATGGAGATGTTCTCAATTGTCCAAGCTATGCCCCGTCGACTCTTGGACGCGAACGGCCTCATGGAGGCGACTTTCAAGCGTCGCAACGGATTCGGCCACATCAGCCAAGATACCATTGACAGCCAGCGACAAGAGAGACGCGACAAGGTCCAGTCTGAGCGCGAGAGAGCTGCCACATATGCCGTGGGCAGCGGAAACGTAACCGAAACTGAAGGAGAAGTCCGTAGGAAGGGCACGCTTTTCGGACGGAGGAAGCTGGGAAGGTCAGCAGAGGTGAGGTGATTCCATCGTAGCAGAGCGAAGCAGGAGGTTGCATGCATATCATTGAGCAACGGCGTTTGGGGGAAAACTGCATTTAATGGTAATGACTACATGGCATGCGGCAAAACTGGCAAGCGAAAAAGGATATCATCTTAGAAGCGGGCGCGGACCAGCCCGTAGCATATTGGAATTTTGACAGCATAGAGCAGATGTAGCGAGATTGTCTGACTGGGGCAGCATCACTGCTGCGAGCTCTACCACAGGGTGCCTCGTCGCCCGCAAAGACGTTTTACTTTGTACAGACCAATACATGAGAAAATTAGTCATGGCGAACGAGCTGTTCTGACGCAGGTTCATTAGTTTCTCCGGTGAGGTGCACGATGAGATGGTGACGAGGAGCGATTTGACGAATTCTCACAACACTGCAGAGCCAGCTTTCTGTGATGTGTTTTCAAGCCCGTCTTGATCTGACTATTTAAAAATGGTAACTGGTTCAACTCAAGGTATCAAGGCTCGAAAGCCGAATTCCATTCCATTCCCCCAACGCCGTAAATGCTCGCCCTCGTGAACGCCACCATTTTGTGTGTTTCATGTATCCCGAAGCTCAGTCGTTGTTGGTATCTGATCCCCGCACTCTGCCCTTCGTCCCCGTCCTCTCGTCGTCACGCCGGAGCAAACGGTCGATCGCAGACCGTGGTCGTGGTGGGCTCTCCTTCTTTTGCCCACTTCTCTCTCACTTGGCCTCGGGGACGGAAAAGTTGGCGGGGCCCTTGGCGTAGCGGGAAACGTAGATCTTCGCGTTCTTCTCGAAGTCGGCGCGGTGGTTCTTGTACTCATCGGCGATGCGGGTCTCGAGGGGGTCGTCGGGCTGGGGCTCGACGAGGAGGGAGCGGAGGGCCTCGAGGACGGCGGCGAGCTTGGTGGCGGGCTTCCAGTTCTCTGGCTTGAGCATGCCGAGGCAGATGTTGCCGAGGGAGTCGTTTGTGATGTTGGGGTGGTAGACGCGGGTGGCGAACTTGACGACGGGGGCCTTGAAGGGGTAGTCCTTGGGCAGGTCGACGATGACGGCGAAGACGCCGCCGGCGTAGGGGGAGTTTTCGGGCCCTTGGAGGGTGACGTGCCAGGTGTGCAGGTCCGAGTCGCGGGCGAGGGCGACGGTCATGCCCGGCGGAGGGGCGGTGGTGACCTCGGTGAGTTCCTGTTGAGGTAGGTGGTTAGCTTGGGAGCAGAGGGTAGAGGAGACGGAGAACGGAGGTGTGTACCTTGGCGATACGCTTGCTAGACATGATGCCGGTTTTTGGGGGCTATCTGTGGTCGATGTCGAAGCTCCGTTGAATTATCGCAAAAGCAGTTGTAATAGTCAAGGTTGGAAGCTCTTGTTGGTAAGGTAGCAAGGGAGGTAAGGTAGATAGATGTTGGTTGTGGATCTTGAAAAGGATCAAGTGGAGCTCGCAGGAGGCAGCAACCAAATAGAAAGCGAGGTCCAGAAAAGAAGCAAAAAGAAGCAATGCCAATGTAGGTAGCAACAGTTGGTGATGGATGACTGATCTGCCTGGTTTGTCGGAGCTGGAGGGGAGAGAGCGGTGGTGAGCTCAATGGCGGGGTAGCTGGTTTTAAGGCGTGGTGGGGTGAGGTTCTGAATCACTGAGGTGCGCAGTCGTCTCGCTGCTGAATCTCTGACGCCGGGCTGTTGCTGCTGCTGGCACTTGGCATGACACCGGGCAGGCAGCCGTGATGAAGTGGGGTCCTGGTGGTTGTCACCGCCGCATCATTGCGTCGATCAGCTTCACTGCAGACATCACGGTGTTTTGTGATACACTTCAGGAGAAAATGACAGAAGGTTGAATTGCGAGTGGAGAAATCTCAGGGTTTTTGGGATTTCTGAGAATCTTTAAATCATAATTCACCTGACATAGTTGTTGGCGCTGTTTCTGTTAGTGTCGGTGTCAGTGCCAGAGATTATGCTGTCTGAACAAGCATCCCAGAAAGGAAAACGAACAAAACGCATTGTTTCGTAAGGTTTCTCACGACGTGTTTGGTGACTTAACTCAAGAGTAGACATGTCTTTTCTTTTCTGAGATAACGAATTTGAAGGTTCTCATTTCCGATGTATTCATATCCTGTCACTCACACCTGCCCATTAGAAAGCACTTCTGCCTAGTTTGGGTCTCAAGCGACAAAGTTCAACTGTCATTTCTGTGTCGGGTGTCACAATTGACATTTGAGTTGTATCGAAAATCTATCCAGTCGGAAACAAATGTCGGTATTGCCCTCAAACAAGAGCCACGGGGCTGATGACATATTTGACCTGGCTTAATCGACCGATGTCAAGACGTCCCGTTACCTTACTATGCAGCGTATGCGATGCGAGGTATGAGAATGCGGAGTTGGGACGGCCAGTCGTATGTTTGTGCGTGAGTTTACGCCAGTCAGTGCTGCCGTGGTTCGAAAAGGGTATCTGTTCGTCCCCAAAACGCCCATACTTGGTGTTGTCCTGGATGCACAGCCGCCTGTGAAGAAAATGCCCGTATTAGGTGACTGAGCACGCGAGCTGGCACCATCACGTCGATGGTTGCGCGGCTTGCTTGCGAGCTCGGGACGAAGGAACAAGACCAGCCGGGCACCTCGTGCACCCTCTTGGTGCAGTAATTTTACCACCTCACATCGATCGCCGTCCTTGTTTTCGGGAATGGCTTCGGGAAGCGCTCCGACAGAGTTGAGACGATGCAAACTTTTGTCAGTCAACTCTACTACTGACTGACTTGCCGACGACCACGCACGCGGAAGAAGAGTGTCGCGGGCGTTCTTTTTTTGTCACTTGTCGTCCAGGACACCTGGTCGGCGGGTATTGGACTTTGAGGAGCCATGAGACATGTGGGAGCTTGATTCATGTGCCAACGCCGGCGTTACCAGGCTCTGACCAGTCGTCCGTCCGGATGGCGGAAGGCAGACTCTGCCGCCAGCTCTTGGAGTTGCAGTAGCGGATGATCTCTCGGCTAGGGTCTCTCTAGGTCTAAGTGCTTGGGATGGCCGACTTGGCATGCGAGTCTCTCTGAAAATGGTTCAGGACTACGGCCGGTCTAGAGTCGATGAACTTGCCAGCCGGGTTCACACGTGCCTTCGGGGTTTACTTACTTACTGTAGTCTACGCGTGGTGGATTGAAAGAGCTACACTTCCCGAGGGCTGAAGAAGAGGCCAAGAGGATTACGGAGCGGAGTCTTACGAATGCGATCCCCGGCGCTTCTCGGTGATTGATACCAGCCGATAGGCCCGATAGACCCGGGCCCAACTCACTCACATCTCCCACCGCCCGCAGCAATGAATGAGTGAAAATTGCTGGAATGATGCCTCATGCGAATGCGGAAGCGGAAGCGGAGCCCTCAGCCACAAGCTATTCTCTCGGGATACGACGCTACTGCTGCAATGTTCGTACTTTGCTTGGGTTATTGAACCCTGGAATCCTAGTGTAGAGCTGTCAAAGGCGTGTGTTCAAGTCCCCTTTTGAATCTTACACATGGAGCTTTGAATGCACTACGTCAACAACTCCTCCGGATAATCTGCAACTGCGCCTCGCAACAACTTGTCCAACACATCCATTCAGTCTGTTCTCTCGCTTCGCCTGCAGAGTACTCATCTCATCTCATCCGTCCATCTCTCAATCACTGGACTACACTACCTAGCCGGTGCATAAACGAACAAGCCCTTAGCTCCATCTCTTAGCCACCCATCCGAGCCCGTCGTCGACTAGAGACCCGTCTTCCCCGCCTGAAGTTCCCTCCCTCGTGCCCCGCGCCACAAGTAGACTTGCTTGACTCTGCTACTTCATGCCCTGAACCCCCGGATACGTGTATTCGCCTCAAAGCTTCTGCGCGGTGAGGTGTACTGAAGCAGAAGCACAAGCACATACGTCGTCCATCTATCTGCCTACCGTTCGTACATACATACAAGACTACCTTGCAAACCAACAACCGCCGCTGGCAGACTGACTGGCCGGTCTGACGCGCCGTTTCTTTTGACTCGTTACTGTACGTGCCACCCCTTGCTAAGCTATCTCGTGCTCACTTGTCGACGCTTACTCTGCCTCACCTTGCCACGCTACTTTACCTTACCCAACCATTCCTTGTCTTTTCCTGTACTCCTTTTTCTTTCATATGATTCTCAACCTCTCACTTTCACTTTCACAAGTCCCCCTCCTGACATATTCATCCCACCAACGACAGTCATCGTCGAGCTCAGCCTTGCTCGCTCATGATCCCGAGGCTTACGAAAGTCCCTTACTCGAGCATCCCCCTCGCCTTAAGCACACATCGACACGAGGCATAAGAGCCTCGATGCCGTTTCCGGCCCTCGACTCCCCATCTCTTCTCTCCTAACGGAACTCTTTGTCCCGGACGTCGTGCTTCGAGAGCCATTTCTCGCTTCCGTGTCCCATATTTAATCCCACTTGCTGGCTGCCTCAACCCCGGAGTGGTCCTTTCAGCGCCGGTACAACTGGGATAGACGTCATTTTCCCCAATCGGCAGCGCAGTCGACCCGTGTTTCAGCGCCCAGTGTCCCTGGGATCCACGGCTCTTGTGTTCGTCCGTCAGCGACGTCGCCGGAGCGTTTCCGGTTTCCAATAGGCCTCGCGACTCCGAGGGTCCGTCCGATAAGTGAGAAAAAAAAGGACAAGGGCGGCGATTTTTTTTTTATTTTTTTTAACCTCCATCCTCCGGGAAATCTTACACGTCACAACTTCTGCTCGTGCGGATCTCACCGGACTCAGCACACAAATCCCGCGACCGCCGGCACGATGAGTAGACTCGGCTCCTGGTTTCGTGGAGCGGCGGGAAAGGTGAGCAGCAATGCGAGCCCGGCGGGTTCGCAGCTCAACCTCTCCGCCAAGGAGATATCCGCCCGGGAGATGGCCGATATCGAGGAGGCCATGGCCGCCGCCAGCCTCATCATGAACGACGACATTGACGGCGCGGAGGAGCGTCTCAGGAAGGGCGACTCGGCCTTTCACCAGCTGGGCCTCTCCATGACGACTTTCCTCAGATCCGTCCTCGGCTTCGAAAAAGATGTCATGAACGAGGCCTCAAAACGGCTGGCCGACACCGAAGCAAAGGCCTGGGCCGACTACAAAAAGGCCGAACGCGAGGGTTCCTCGGACGCCAGCAGCAGGATTTACCCGCCTGGGACTGAGTTCCTACTGATCCACGCCGAGTCCCAGCTCATGGCGGCCGTAGTCGCCGTCTTGCATGAGAGTTTAACTGAGGCCCTCAAGGGCTTCTACAAGCTGCGCAAGGCGTTCGTGACCCTTGACGGCATCATGGTGCATGAGGCGAAGGCTTTGGATAAGGGGAGCAAGGCGGACCCGCCGCCTCTGCGTTCCAGGACGAGTGACGATAAGATGCCCGGTAGCTTCGACGACGACGAGTTTGCGGATCTGGATCAGAAGGAGGACAGCGAGATCGAGTTTGTGGACGCGAGTGAGGTTCCGAAATCGGGAGCTCAGACGCCTGGATCCGGCGCGGAGAAGAAGTCCAACGGATCGCAGACTCCCGCCCAAGACCTAGCGAATCTCAGCCTGGACTCGGGCACCTCGACGCCGCAGGACGACGCAAAGCTTGCTCCTCTGCAGGTCTCTTCTCAGATGGCGGATGACTCGGACTCAGACTCGACCGTCTTTTCTAACCCCGTAGACGCCTTCATTCACAGCGGAGCCAACATGTGCTTCGGCATGCTGCTCTTCATGCTGAGCATGGTCCCACCGGCTTTCTCGCGTCTTCTATACGTCGTCGGCTTCAGGGGCGATCGTGAGCGCGGCGTGAGGATGTTGTGGAAGAGCACGCAGTTCGACAACCTCAACGGCGCTGTTTCTGGACTCATTCTTTTGGGATACTACAACGGACTGATGGGCCAGGCCGACATCGTTCCTGCCGAGGCGGACTTCGACGCCGACGCGGAGCTGGTCGGATACCCGGCCAAGAAGTGCGCCGGGCTGTTGGCCTCGATGCGCCAACGCTACCCGGACTCGCGGCTCTGGCGAGTTGAAGAGTCGAGGGTAGTTGCACAGCAGCGTCGGCTGGCGGACGCCATCCAGCTGCTCACGACGGGCCAGGAGAGCAAGATGCGTCAGGTCACCGCGCTGAATAGTTTTGAGCTGGCTCTGGCGGCCATGTCGCACCAGGACTGGGAATTGATGCAAAAGACGTTCCTGCGGTGTCTCGAGCTGAACGACTGGAGTCACACGCTTTACTACTACATGGCCGGCTGCGCTGAGCTGGAGCTTTACCGCAACGCGGTCCTCGAGAAGAAGGAGGAGGACGAGGTGAGGAGGAGGAAGAAGAAGGTGGAGGAGCTTTTCCGCAAGGCGCCTACGGTCGCCGGGAGGAAGAAGTTCATGGCGCGCCAGCTTCCTTTTGACGTCTTCATCACGAGAAAGATCCAGAAGTGGGAGGACCGGGCGAAGGAGTTCAAGATTGACCTGGCCGATGCCCTCGGCGTCAGCCCGGCACAGGAGATGGTCAACTTGTGGAATGGCACGAAGAGGATGAATGACGAGGAGCTTCACAAGTCGATCAAGAGTCTGGACTGGGAACGCTGCACTGCGCCAGCCGAGGTGGTCGAGAAGATGAAGAATACACCCGATGAGGCTTCGATCCGCTCGGTGTGCTTGGCGGCCATTTACAGGACGCTTGGTCGTTACGAGGAGGGACGGGAGGTCTTGCAGACTGAGGTCCTCAGTGCTGACAGGTGAGTTTGCTCGGCCGATTCGTGAGGAGACGGAGCTGATATGTCACAGGGCGGCCTTCAAGGGACCTACCAGAGACGAGTACCCCATGCCTATGGCTCACTACGAGATGGCTGCTATTGCCTGGTCCGAGGCTTGTGACCCAAAGTCCCGGAAGGCGGCTGCTGATGAGCCAGCGGATGCTGAGGCTCAAGCCAAGTTGGTGAGCGAGTATCGCAAGAAGAAGACGGATGAGTGCCAGGAGTGGCTTGACAAGGTCGTTGCGTGGGAGGCGTTCGTCTTTGATGCGAGACTCGGTATGAGGGTGACTGCTGCCCTCGAGACGCTCCGTTGGTTCAAGAAGAAGAACAATTGGGCATAGAGGTATTGGCTGGCACCTTGTGATCAGAGGGAGTTTGAAACGGCCTTTGGGCGCATTGGGTAAAGGGTTTTCAACACACGGATATGAAGCGCTTCATCGGTACATACTTAGACTCATTGGTTATTTGGGGTATCCTCGGGACATACAAGAGCAACTCATTTCAAACGTTCAGAACAACTCGCGAGCAAATTCATCCCTCCTATCCTAACGCCGTCCGACTCAAGAAAATTCCGAACCAGCGCTTCACTGGCTGTTCTGCTTCTTTCCCTTGCGACCGCGACCCTTCTTCAACTCCTGAATACCGTCCTGCAGAAAGTTGGCTCCGTCACTGGCCGCCCTCTCTCCGCGCTGCTTGAGACGGTGTTTCTCCGCTTCGGCGCGCATGTCGTCGATGACGTCCTGCCCGCAGCTCGTGCCGTGAGCCCAATCCATCACGCCCCAGGCGCCGTAGTTGCCGTCGCCCTTGCCGGCGTAGTGGATTGCCGTGCGGCGCGTGATACCACCCATGATGATTCCTGGGACGATGCTGTAGCCGGACATCGCGAGTGTCTCTTCGGCGGTACAGAAGCCGACGAAAAGGAAGTAGGTCAGCAGGTGCGGGCGGAGAGCGAGTGCCGGGAGGAAGACGGGAACGATGCGGTGGAGGATGAAGGGAATGGGGTGGTCGGCGTAGGCCATCAGGGAGAAGGGCGGCGCGGCGCGGGCGTGGGCGTAAGAGGTGTGAAGCTTGCCGATGCGGGTACTGGTGAAGCGGTGACCGCGGCTGTGGAGGACGCGGGTGTGGATGTAGAAAGTCAGGACCTCGCGGGCGGCGATGAGAAGGGCCATATGCTTAACCAGCTGGAATGGTAACGGCAGAGCCGAAGATGCTCTGAAGAGCGGTTCGTGGAAGTAGGATGCCCATGCTAGACTTACACCTCCTTCAAGACCGGCGGCAACGATGAGGTTGAAGAGGGCTAAGAGAAGCGTCTTGATGAGGGTCGGGCCGTGAGTTGGAGGGAGAGCCGCTGATCCTGCTGTTTTGATGGACTCTGCGAGAGATGGGAGGAGAGTGTCGAAAAGAAGGAAGAGCAGCGATGGAAGCAGCCAAAGGAAGATGCGAAGAGCGAGGGTGCCGAGAAGTTCGATCTTGAGAGGGCCGTGAGAGAGGACGAGGGTGGTCCAGGTCATGTAGAAGAAAAGGAGGTTGAGAGAAGTAGTCCACGAGGTCATGGCAGGAGCGAGGAAGTACGAAACGATTGGTAGTGAAAGTAATATGTCCATCGTGAAGGCTTCTGCGATGAAAATGGTCGGGTTTCTTGACTATCAGGTCAGGTTGATGTAACCGAACCGATTCTTGAGAATGGTTGTTGTCAGAGGATTTGATTTTCGATCTTCGCGAAGTCGCGATCTTTACGATCTGAGTTTGTAGAGGGTAAAATAAATCGTGGCAGTTGCGATAGGGCTGGGCCATTGAGGAAGGGACATGAAAGTAATCAAGAGTCGAGGCGCACGTTGGTAGCCATGACGTATGAAGGTGGCATGGATCGCCGACCGTTGCAGCCCACAAAGGCTTAGCGCGTCAACCTATCGGTCTGTACATTGACAGGCCTCCAAAGGATGCAGAGTTGGATTGTTTCTACGATTTCTTGGATTTGGAAAGACTCGGGTTTCTTTTTTGTTGCAGTCGCCGAGTTGGCCGGATGTCCTGACTTCAACGTCAACCCGGAAGAGTTGCCCCACTTCGGCTCCGAAGAGCGGATCCGGGTGGCTTCTCCCTGAGAACCGGGAAGTTCTGCGAATCTTTCAACATTCTCTGTCCTACCTTTTGGGATTCACTGAATAGACTCATAAACGTTTGCAAAGCTTCAGATGTACTTTGTTCTTAAAAATAGAGATGTGATCTCTTTGATGTTTTCATCGCTGGCAGATTCTCGCATCTCAAATGGTAAATGTATCAATCGAGATTGAAACAACACTGTTCAAACGTGGACATCTCGCAAATTTTGACGCAGTTGACCATCGGGAGTAAGTTTGGCGACAAGAGGGGTTCGGTGAAGTCGGTCAGAGAGGGGTGCAGGCGAAAAGCCTTACTCGGCTCACCAATAGTGGCATCGCACACCGAGTGCCAACAGGCGTGTTGGTAACGATTCTTAATGAATTCCATCTGGAAACACTGTCAAGTACAAGAGAAAACGTTGTTTTTAATGAAACGGCTCTTGCCCAGTTAAATCCGTCGGAGACGTCGAAGGTTTGATAACTTCAGGTGCAGAACACAATGTCAGCGATGTCATCCAAAACGCTCCGCAGGCTCGCTTCAGGGAATGGATTTCGCTTTTGTCGCAGTAGCTGGCTGGGATGCCAGCTGTTCGCAGGCGATCCAAATGGCCGGGTACTTCGGCAAAGTTAACACACAACCCAGCAAGCCAAACTCATTCAGAGAGTCACCCCAACACACACAAAGTCAATAACCCAGGCAAGTCAAAGACGCTCTTTCTTTCCTTGTGTTTGAATTCCTGTTGCCTGCTGCCTGGACGGCAAAAAAAAACAGCGGGGAAATGAGGTCTCCCCCAAAACACGCAAAACACCAAAAAATCGACGAAGACAAGACTCGAACTTGCGCGGCCGAAGCCAATTGATTACGATTTACAATGTAATTCGAGTCAATCCCATTAACCACTCTGGCACTTCGCCCTTGATGAGATCGTAGCGGCTAATTTCGTATAATAATGCTGTGCGTTGGTGTTTTCCCCACGCGGGCTGCATTCCGCCGCAACCGAGGGCCGGAGAACGCCGGAGAAAGCCGGAAAGAGCTCTGGTACGATGACATAACCCACCGAGACAAAAGAAATACTTTGCTGCTCATTTCTGGTTGGTTTGGCAATCATTTGGGGCGCTGCTTGAGTCTACCACCACGGAGCCACATATCGCAAGTATCCTCAACGCAAACTGCCCCGCAGTCAGTCGCATCAACTGTAAAGTAGTTTGATTTTGTTAAATAGATAGTTATGTGACTTCCCATGAAAATTTAAACTTGCAGAGGATGTTTTGTGGTGCAGGTCTGATGATCGAAGTTGGGTGGTTTTACTGATTTAAGTGGCTCTGACGTCACAACATTTCATCTACACTGACGATGGTGACAACGGACAACAACGATGGTAGCGATGACAAGGACAATAATGACAGCAACAGCAATGAAGACAGCGTCGATTAAGGACGACGGCGGACGACGGCGGACGACGACGACGGACGATGAAGGATGACGATAAGAGGGACAATAACAACGACGACGACGACGACGATGAAGACGGATAGTCTCTTGCCCTGATGCGGGCGTGGTTAAGTCTGGCTACCTCATGATCATGGATGTTATCAAGTTGCGTCCAATTGAGGCGTAAACTGCATCACCACAACAAGCGCTGGTCTTTTCGGCCGTCTACGCAATGCGCCGGAATACCTGAGCAAGAATCTCTTCTCTCGGGCGACAAGTCTCTCTCCAACCAGGAGTCTCTCCAGCAAGAAGCGCCAATGCCAATCGTCGACGGCCTCTGCAATGTGCTGAAGTCTTGCAGGAGCGCTTGGCCGGCGTGACATCTTTCTTTCCCCGTAGCAACAATGCAGGCTCCTTGAAGAGGAAGTCTTGAACCGCAAAACGGACGGAGCCTCGATCTGCCCGACGTCAAGGCCCAGCTAGCCACGCACAATCCAATTCGGTCGTTCTGGGGAGATATCGCTCGATCTTACGTACAAGATCAACACATCTACACGCACGAGGCCTAGGTCAGGCAGACTCGGAAACCTCGCAACCTGCCACTCTCTCGTCTCTTGTTCCCACGAAAGAAGTCCTCTTCTGTGGGGCAGACGAGATACACGTCTCTCAGTCATTACCCCATCGAGAAGAGAATCCCCAACTTGGTCTTTGGAAGCTCCGGGAATAGTTCATCACAAGCCATACGTCAAGTCCTTTCAGGCTGCCATGAGCAGCGCCAACACCGTCAAGAGTTCCTGTATGGATGACTCGGTCTCGCACGACGAAACGGCCAGCGGCTCCAGACCGAGCTGAAGTCGAGGAAAGCTATGAACCCCTCCTCCCCCGCCGAAACAGGAGGAGTTGACGGTTTTTTGCACTTCGTCACACTACAACAAAATTTCTTCTGTCTCTGCTGCAACGAAATGTGCTGAGTCCAGAGACAGTCAGGCGACAAAAAGATGTCAAACAAATCACTTTACTTGAAACATCTTTCCAGGCTCATTCCTTCTGATGTCAAGGCCATTAGAACCACGCAGAGTCCTTTCCATATAAGTCAGCTGCTCTTCATCTCCAGATGCTCACCTGGACTAGCAATATGATTCAGGCCGACTCAGATTTAGTGCTACATCTACCGCATACCAGGACCAAAAACACGAGTTTCTCGCTCTGCATCTCGGTCCTTGCCGCGATACCTCACAATGAGGCCGGCCACATATCCATCCTTACCCGCTGCGCCTAGGGGAGGCCTCAGCTAGAGTAACTTGGTCGAAAAGGAAAAGGAAAAGGAAAGGAAAGGAGAAGGAGAAGGAGAAGGAGGAGAAAAGAGAGAGAGAGAGAGAAAAAAGAAGGGGGAGGGAGGAGAAGCAACCAGCAACCACCAGCAACCAGCAAGTAGCAACCAGCAACAAGAGGATACAGAGGAAGAGGAAGAGGAACAACAAGCAACAAGCAACATGAAGGCAGCTACACACCAGATAAATTCGTGTTCTCGTGTCACCGTTGGGAGAGGATGGAAGAGGACATACACCATCAAGAGACATTGGGAAGCTCATTTCAAAGTGTTGGTTCTCTGTCCGTACACTTGAAACTTCGCAGCGACTGACCACAACCGCTGGGCTCTAGGTCCGCCTACCGCTGTCACCTAATCACACCCGACCTTTACCGCAACCGGCAGCGAAGACTCTCTCCCTCAAACCCATCACCGTCAACCGAAAGAGTGGCTGTCTTGTTGGCCTTCCCTGATGTCGAGGAGCGATGCGCACAGTATGACACGCAAGACGGCATTGTCGAACTCGCGATCTTGGCCGATGTTCTCGAGTCAAGATTCCCAACCGAAGCACCGTCAACACACCTTTCCAAGGCCTTTCCTCTACGACCACTGATGTCGATAATCTCCATTTCCTGACCAACCCGCGACATCCACCCACACCGCCATCCATTTACGTGCGTCGGAACAGCCCGGAACAGCCGAACTCACTTCTGTCGAATGCCCATCTGATCTCAGGGGCTGGACGGACTGGAAGTTACTGTAGACCCAATAGATATGGTGTTATTAATACCTTATCTATCTAGAAGTGTGAACTATATACAACTGTGAAATATGAGTCAATACAATTAATCACTCTGGCACTTTGCCCTTGTCGAGATCAAAGGATCAAATTTTGTATAATAAATAATGTTGTGGTTTGGGGCTTGGGGGGCTACTTTTGGTCGATATGGCCGGGCAGTTGCCCAGGTCTTTTCTCAGTACATCGCTTCTGCCGCTTTGAAAGCAATGCTAATATTCATGAGGAACAAGGATAAAGTTTAGTTATACATCCATTGGATCTCACTCTAGGCATAAGAGTAAACTCCTTGTCTCCAAGTCAGGCCCGTAGTAATAAGAAAAACCATGCCGTCATGCCGTAACTGCACGGGAACCGGCATTCGGAGACGCTCAGCAGCATCGAAAACAGAGGATAGGCGAAGTAGATACGCAGGTCTACCTAACAGGATCGAGAGTAGCCGAGGGCGGCATTGAGCTTGAGTTACTGATATCTAAATAGGGCTGCAATAGATGAAGTTATTCCTCATGCTAGTGAAATATCTGCAACTATGAACTTCAAGACCACAATCTCGTAATGTGCCATCTTATGGTAGGCTCACATCGCGAGCGAGCCGAAGTGATTTGCTGTGGTGGCAGCATATGGCTTTTGATGTTACGGTGATAGCCACTAGCGAGGCGATGTGCGAGCACAGTCTCACTTATTTTGTTTCGAGATTTGTCTGTGATCGGAAGATTGAGTACGGGAGCGGAGGCTTAATGACATTCGTCCAGCAGTGATTGCTCATGGGAATGTCTCGCAACAGCTTAAGGATTTGTGAGAGACCATATGGCCGTTGAACCGAACTGACAAATGATTTCGCGTGCCATTCACAAGCACAAGTCTGGGAGCATTGTTATTCGTACTTGGGATTTGTTGTTCATAGCGTTCGTGAGACATCTGTAGCTGCAGGGTGGGTTGTACGCACGAAACACACGGCCTAGATAGCAGAGGACCGCCCAGCGTATCATCGGTTAATAAGACGATGCAGTTGAGAGACAAGGACGGAGATGACAATATGGACTTAGCCAGAGACACGAACGCCCTCGCCAGCTAGTAACACAGCAAGGATCGGCGGCAAACATGATATATAAAGTGTTGACGCCAGCTGGCCTCCCTCAAGTTTCTGGGTAGCGTCTGTTTCTTCGATAATGTTTCGTTAGCCCGGTGTCAGCATCGCCGTCCACAATCACGCGAGACTATCGAAAACTAGCGACTATTGCTGAGATTTCCCGTCCGCTCGAGCACCGAATCGCGTCGACTGCAGCACGTCTGAGCGGCATCCTGTATCGATCTCTTCCACAAGGCCAATCTGGGAGTCGTTCGCGGCAGAAACTCGGAGCGACGATCTGTTTCTGGGGGTTGCGTTTTGAGGGGTAAGTTTGAACATTTTCGTTGTCGGGTTCCATTCATAGTTCATGCTGCTCGTCTCATGTCGTCGTCAACTTTCGGGAGTCAAAGAGACCGGGCGTTGGGTCGAAATCCAGAATCTCTAGCTGGGTTTTGTGTTTCTCTTTGCAGGCTTCAGTTCAGCGAGTCGCATGGGCGATTCCGGCTGCAACGCGGTTGAAGATTCAGACCAGACGGACGCGTCGGGAGCAAGGAATCCCTGTCGTACCGTCCCCGTCCCATCTGGAGTTATGAATGTGGCCAGATACATCACGGAAAGCCGAGCGCAGCGCAGCGTACAACATGAGAGCCATGAACGGGGTGTTGGCCGGCTCTTGGAGTGAGTCGTGTCGTATCGTATCGTATCTTGTTCTTTAATATTCTTTCCGTCTTCGAATTTTCCATCGGCTTGTTCCCGCCCCTGTCCTAGCGACAGGGTCTTTTTGGGTATCCGCACCGGCCCGCGAAAGAGGGCAGAAGTCTGCAGACGGGATTGGTCAGTTGGGCGGGTGTATCCAGGGGTAATAATTGAATTCAGAGCCCAGCCTGATGCCCAGATGTCCGCGGGCATGATGGATGTGGTGTGGTTGCCAACCGTTGCTTCAGACGTAAAGGCTGGAAAGAGCTGGACGGACGTTTCAAACTGACCTGTCTGACAGGTAGGAATGGAATTGACTGAGAGAGAAACGTAGGCTAGTGCGTCAGGCTAGCAACATCCAGTCCATCAATCATTCCAACCTAACAATTCCACGATCTGCAATCTGTACCACCAAAGGTAGGTAGGTACCTGTTCAGAAAGGCGCGCCTGCCTCGACGTCGACAACCAAAATTTCAACGGCAGGTCCCCCCTGAGGTGGAGACATACCCCACTCTTTCAGTCCCGTGCGCCTGGATTGAGATTTGCACCAGGAGGGGCAGGTGGCAGGCACAGGGGGTTTTTATCGTGAGTCTTTCCTTCCTTGGGCAGCAGCCTCTCAGTCCTCTCACCCTCTTCACGGACCCCCCCTTTTTTCCCCAATCGCGTCTACGCTTTCCTCTCCCACAGCCGTATTTGTTCCATTATTCCATGATCCGTCGTCCATCCATCACCATTCTCAGCGTGGTATCCATGTCCAACATGAATTGCTCCTGCTGTCTCCCACTTCCTTGGGTTCAATTCGTCCTCTCTTTTTCCACACACAGACGCATTGATTCGTCACGTCGTCCCTTCTTTTCTGTCTGATATATGCGCCGCATTGCGTACGACAGCCGCACCAGCAGGACGGCAGTTATGCAAGCAACCTGGCAAAGCAAACTTGATATACATACATACCTACAATCCCTAAAGTCATGGCAAGGGTCATTAATACACTCTCGAGCTAATAATACGGCGCACCGCCTGACCAGTCACCGGCCAGAAGAGGCAGAATCCGGAGACTCCAAGAGATGAAATCAATCAATATTCGCCCAATTCTCTCTTCTCGCCCTTCTTCTCTGCCATTCCGACTTGCGACGCCACCGCTTTAGACTACCGTCAATGCGACCCTGACTTTTTTCCCAATCTCCTCGTCTTCCGCCTCTTCCATCACCTCTCGGCTTTCTTTCTGCCTGCGACCGACCGTACACTAAATCCTCCACCCATCCCCGATCCAGCAAAAGTTGAACAAACTTGCAGCTGGCTTGCTTGCTCCTCCTGTCTGCAGTCAAGTCACATCGCCGTCACCCGGAGCGACCAACCAACTGCGCCATTCATTCGCCCATCCACCACACCCTCTTTTCCTCCTCGTCTGATCGAGCGCATGGCAAGCGATCTTTTCCAGGGGAGAGAGCGAAAAAGAAAAGAGAATACCAGGGGAAAAACGAAAGAAAACAGAGCACGGCCCCTCTCTCATCATCTCCTCTCCTGGTCGATCATCGCGAACAATCGAGACGAGACGAGACACGCTCAGAGACACAGATACGCCAACCCCGAACACTCTCCGCCTCATCTGCCTGAGAGCCGCAGCCACATATCATTCCTCCCATCTTCCAAAAGAACAAGAGACGATTCCGCCGCCGCGTGAATACCTACAAGTCGTCTACTTTCGCGGTACCTCTACCTCGCAGATACCCACGTCGCCCGCCGCGTACCTGCGCCTTCGCCTACGCCTACGCCTGCGGCCTACCCACGCGCGAACACCGGTTTCTGTTCCTACGGCTCCAGCTCCTGCGCCCTGTGTGCGCCATCGACGCGAACCCTTTTCTTGGTCCCCTCTAGACACCAATCCGTTCCATTTCCGCAGCCGAATCCAGCAGAGCCTACTTTGACTATTCGCTCCCAAGAAACCAGCCGCCGCTTGCGCTGCAAGTCTGCCACTCCACCGGCGTCCCGACTGACGCACAGTAAGGGGGCCACGGCCGCCCTAGCTCTACCTTACGTTGCGTTGCGTTGCGTCGCCTTGCGTTCCCATTGTTTCCTGTGGGAAGCCTGGGTCCGTCACCCTGAAGCCCCCCTCCTCCTGTTGCATCCCCAGGTCAGGTTGTTTGTACGTAGGGTGTACGTTCCGAGGTACTCTCCTGCGGTACCTCACCACACTCTGCTGCCATTGTCGCACCGCAGCCGCAGTAGCAGCTCGACAAGCGGCAAGCCAGCAGCAGATCCCGTACCATCTCCTGAGCCCGGCCCCGTCCCGTCCGTCCTGCAGTCGCGTGGTCTGTCGATTCTCTAAATCCTCCTTTCTCTCCCGTCTTCTTTGTCGCCATGGACACCTCCGATCCAAACTCAATCCCCCCTATCCCTCAACGCTATCGACACCTCCAAACCCCTGAACCGCGCCCGCGTCAACGCTCTCTACCCCCTCCGTCGCGCCGCGACCCCGACGCCGTTCCCAGCTCCCCCGAGGTCATATCTTCTCTGATCACCAGTCTCTCCGTCATCTCCAAGCCCGCCGACCAACACTTCGAGCGCAGCGCCCCGAGTCTCTCTGTTCCGGCATCACCCCTCCGCAACGGCAGCTTTGGAGTCGACTACGGTGCCTTCAGTCAGCCCTCACTTGCTGACCTTCGTGCCGCCGACGTCCCCCTCGACGAGATTGCAGCGTCGGCTCCCGTTATCAAGACCTCCAAACCCCCTTCCGGCCTCTCGCCTCTGACAGCTCCAAAATCGCCAGCCCGCGAAGCCTCCTCTGGTGGCCTCAGGTCTCTGTTGCGAAGTTCGTCGCGGCCCTCTTCGAAAGGATCTCTGGGGTCGCGGGACGATGCTCAAAGCATCGGCAATCTTTCCATAGAACGAGGCTCTGCGCCCACCCCGGAACTAAAAAGACAGCGCTCGTACGACAGCTGGGGCAAGAAGCAGGGGAGGAGCCACAGGGGCTTGATGTATATGAGCTCCAAGGAACAGTTACGAGAGAAGGAAGACAAGAAACGCGCGAGCTTCGGTGACCGAAGCTCCAACAGCTTCACTGGAACGTCGCTACGTCCCGATCCGTTCCTCGCCGAGACACCAATCAGCGAAGAGCCCGCCTACAACATGGAATCGTCCACACGAGACAATTCCTACCACCAAGACATGTCCAGCCCTAGCCGTGTGGAAGCCACGAGCCCGAGACCCATTCCCGCCCGAGATTCGTCCCTCTTCAAAACCGGAACCAACGCCAAGAGATCTTCCACGAGATCCTCACGATCAAGACGAGAGAGCGAAAACGGCACGAGCGAGATTATCTACGAAGGTCACGCGCAAATACCAGCACGGGATGCGCCGAGGCGAAAACACCTGTCTCGCCATGCTTCCGAAAACGATTTGGCCAGGATATCCGCCGACGCATCCGGCAAGCTAGCGAGCCGTCCATTGTTCGAGACTCGGCACACCGAAGACTTTCGAGTCTCAGGTCCGTTATTTGAAGAGGAGGATGTCGAAGACAGCGCGCCGTTTCCCGCGGTTGCACAAGGCCGTCGTCGTGACGATCAAACTGTCGACCGGAATATTCGGAAATCATTACGAGACAGCTCAGACGTAGGCGAGACCCTCAAGATGAAGCGCAGCAGCTCCAGACTCAAGCGTCTATCCGGGCCGTTGAGTCCCAAGGATGAGCCCCAGACCAGCGCGCGCAACTCGGCGGCCTCACCAGATCACCGCAACAGCATGCCTGCCGGCTACGAGCGCCCACGCAGTGCAGATTCTATCGACGATGCGGTTGAGTCTTACCTGTGTTCTCCCCGTTTATCGCAAAAGATCAAACATCCTCAGACCGGCCGAGTGATTTCATTCTCCGAAGTGGGAGACGCAGATGGCTCCGCAGTGTTCTGTTGCGTGGGCATGGGGTTGACGAGATACATCACGGCCTTTTACGACGAATTAGCATTGACGCTGAAATTGCGTCTCATTACACCCGATCGACCTGGCGTTGGTGATAGTGAGGCATACGCCGATGGAACCGCGACGCCGCTCAGCTGGCCCGACGACGTCTACGCCATTTGCCAGGCTCTCAAGATCACCAAGTTTTCGATTCTCGCACATTCCGCCGGTGCGATCTACGCGCTGGCGACTGCTCTTCGCATGCCCCAACACATCCGCGGGAGGATACACCTCCTCGCTCCCTGGATCCCCCCTTCGCAGATGAACGTGTTTGGCACTTCACAAGCACTGCCCCCGACGAACGCGATTCCGACATCCCAAAGAATTCTGAGAGCTCTCCCTACACCATTTCTCAAGGCTGCGAACAGCTCCTTCATGTTGGCGACGAGCAGCTCTATTACGAGCTCGCTTCCCAAGACGCAAAGACGCAGCAAGCGGAAATCCACTGCCACCACAGGCCGGGACACCCCGGCCATGTCCAACGGCAACAAGCGAGACACGACACCCCACCTCGACAAGGAGAACTTGGGGCTGTTCAACTTCAACAAGGACCGCAACAGCGCCGGCGACGACTTGCTTGGGACGGGATCCGCCCCGATTGCCACAGAGAATATGGACCGGATACGACCCGCCGGTACGGCGTCAGCACAGGGCCACTACGACTCTGACACACAGATCCTGGCCGCCGCCGCGGATGCATTGATGGACAAGGAACGTCAAACGATTTACGACAACAGACTGACGCACGCCATTTGGGAACTGGCGACAACGGGCGCCAACCCTGCGGTCGACCTGCTGGTCTGCCTAGAGCGCAGACACACAATCGGTTTCCGATATGTTGACATCACGCGCCCCGTCGTAATCCATCATGGCAGCCGCGACACTCGCGTGCCCGTCGACAACGTCAAGTGGCTGGGCAAGACGATGCGTCGCTGCGAAGTGCGGGTTCTCGAAGGTGAAGGCCACGGCCTGATGGCGAGCGCCGGTGTCATGGGTTCCGTGCTCATGGAGATCAGCAAGGAGTGGGACGATTGGCTCCGCGCGACCAACGGCAAAAAGGACGACCGGAGCCGGAGGAACACCAGCGCGCGGTAAAGGCCGGGTGCTCTCCGAGGCTGACGGGCCTCGAGACGATTTGGAATGACCATTTTTTCGACCTTCGACGATTTGCCGATCTTGATTCATATACCAGCCCGCGGCAGGGTGTTTACATAATATTTGAAAGGGCCATGTACGATTTGCTTGATATCCTACTCAGCACCGGCGTCAAGCGTTCCATTGGGGATATTGGGCAGCGCGGTGTCCTGGGTCGAGCTTCGGATGGACGAAGCCACGGAAAGAACAGGACCGAGGCGAGCTGTTGATTCATGTCGGACATGACCTCTGCGATATGTTTTCCCATGTAGTATATAGTAGTACAGCACCGGACTCTCGCCGCCATCGTTGCGAGCAGCTGTCCGGATAATGTGTTAATACGATCTCATTTGTGGATTGACATGACGCTCCTTGCGGTGACATTACATGACATGACGATGTTTTGCATTTACACAGCGGTAGGATCCTCGAACAAGTACATCAACATGGATGACATGGATGCTCAGTTTGAGTCTGTCGAGAAGCAAAGTCGACGGGTTTTGTTATCTCCAACATCAGTATCCATGTCGACGAAGCTTGATGAACCAAAGTCTCTTTTGAACTTGTCATCCGATGATATGAGTTGTTGTTTGTTTTCGACGGGTTCCTGTGCTGCTGCAACTGTTTATTCATGAAGAGCATCAACAGACTGGCGTTGTCGAGTTTCATGTTTGACTCGGCTTCAATAAGAACTTGACTCGAAGAAAAGAAATCAACTCCAAGATGTCGCTTTTCATTCCATAGCGGAAGATCATCGTGGAATACATGTATGCTTTGAGGCACCAAAGCTAAAGAAAAGGTGGAGTTGCGGCGGTTCATCGGAGGGAGCCATCACTTCAACTCAAGTTCCAAAGAGAACCCTGGACGAACAGGCTTCGAATCACATGGCAAGAACACATCACAGGAGCAGAGGAACAACAGTATTGAGGTGGCCGAATTTCTCATTTACCTCGCCCTGTCGAGGGCTCAAGCCGGTCGAGGCCGTCCGCCCGCTGGGGACGGACTGACCTGACGAAATCATCAAGATCGTCATCTTTCGTAAGTATGTACATACATCAAATAAAAGAACCGCCCGGCTGTATCGCGAAAGCGACAACCAATGCAGACCGTTTCCTCCTCATCTTCCTTCCGTCGAATCCGAGAGATGCCAGAGTGAGAGAGACAAAGGAAAATTCCGCGCAAGAGAGTGAGTGAGGGAGAAGACAAAAAATCAGAGGCATGTGGTGTGAGTCAATCTTGACATGCTTTTTTTTTTGTTGTTGTGTGGGAGATTTCCGTGTTTTTTTCTTCTTCTTCTTCTTCTTTTGGCGGGAGATTGTTCTTTTTTTGGTGATTGATTACCTCCTCGGCCTGCCCTGGAGTTTTGAGGCGGCACATCCGTCCATCTAAACGTCCGTATTTCCGTATCGCGCGCCGAGGCGCGGGGAAACAACAAAAAACGACACAAGACAATTCTGTATTGGTTTTGTGAGAATTCGAGATGCGCCGCCCTCCAGTGCCGAGGCAAGTTGAAACAAAGAACAAACTTGGCGTGGGTGTTTTTTTTTGTTGAGGTTTTGCGTGTGTTTTTGGGTGCGTGTAAAAGCAGAAAAAAGAGGTAGCAAAGTTCTCTTATGATCGTTTCCTCTTCCTCTCTGATGAGGCCATGGGAGGCCCCCTCTCGTTCGACCACCGGCGAGTGAACGCGGAGCGTACTAGATGAAGGGGCCCGTGAGGGTGAACGCCAGTGTTGAAAAGAGAAAAATGATTCGCCAGGCCGCTGTATCTATGTGGAAGATGGTCCAGAGATGCGGAATACGAGAACGTTGAGAAGAGCGGGAGGAGTGTCTTCTTCGTGTACGGTGGTATTAGTCCTCTCGACGCTCTGCAACTCCACCAGAAAAAGGTTTCGGCCAACCTCGCGGAGAAGTGGAGATTTTCTTTTCAAGAGAAAAAGAACTCCCAAATGGTGGTACTTCCAATCTGGTTTGTGGGAGAGCAAGCGCAAAGGGGGAAAAAAGTGACGTCCGTAGAAGAAGCAATCAGACCTCCGTGATATCGCAATTCAGAACAGCCTCCGTTCCGTGTGATGCAAATCCGGAGCAAAATGCCAGTGACAAGAAACACCGTTAGAACGCCGTGGCAAAAAATACCATGCTCGCTTTTAGAATCGGCACACGTGAGAGAAGAAGCCTCCCCGTCACCTCAGCCGACCGACGCAGTCAGTCGGGCCGAGATAGCTGGTCAAGGTTTTTGTTCTCTACACCTCGTTCAGACGGTCTTTGGTGTGCGTGCGTTTGAGTGGTCGATGACGTCGTCGAGGTGGTTGCACATGGCCACGAACAGGTCGAAGAAGAGCTTGCTACCGCCGCGCTCCATCTCGGTCTGCATGGTGCCGCTCCTCTTGAATGTCTTGCGACACCTGATGATGAGGGCGAGGTAGTGAGCGCGCAGGCGCGAATCGGAATCCGGGGTGTGGGCGTAGGCGTACTGGGCGGAGCGCAGGATGGTGCCGACGTCGACGCCGGACTGCAGGCCCTGCTTGCGCAGTGCCAGGCGCTTGAGCTCCTCGAGCCCGTACCGCTCCGCGGCGCAGTAGATGACGGTGTCGCGGAGGATGTGCTGCCCACAGCTCGAGATGTAGATTGTGGCGTCGTTGTTGTTGGCGCCGGCGCCGGTGCCCGTCGTCGCATTGCTGCTTGTGGACTTGGGCGTCGGCGGGTAGGCGCCGGGGGCTGCGCGGCCACCTCTGGGGTATTCGGGGTTGGGGGAGGTTTGGGGAGTTCCTCTGACGGCGTCCTCGAGCTCCCAAGAGTTGCGGTGCCTGTTGTGCATGAGGCGGGGGTAGTAGTCACCCTTGTAGAGGTACTCGAGGATGGCGGAGAAGACTTCGGGTTCTTCGTCGGGGAGCGCGATGCGCTTGCTCTGGGCCTCGAAGAACTGACCTCGGCAGGCGGCCTCGAAGAAGGACGACTGGAAGAGGACGTCTTCGTGGGCGGCGAACAAGCGGCCTTCGCGGCCGACGGTGAGGGTGACGATGGGGGAGGGGGCGACGGACTTGCCGGCTCCGGCTCCGGAGGAGGCCTTGGCCGGGACGGGCGGGGCGGCGCCGCCACGGGGAGCGGCGACGGGCGGGGCCATGGAGCCGGGCTGGTCGTCGGTGGCGGATCGTTGCATTTTCGACAGCTTCTGGTTATCCCGGACCGAGCTCGACTTCTTCAGCCTCGACGACTTGTCCACGCGGACGTTGGGGTCTTGCGACCTGAACGTGCGCTTGAAGAGGGACATGACGGCGGATGATTGACCGTTGGGTTGCGGTTCTCGCGTGAAGGGTGAATCTGAAGAAGACGTGTTCTGGTTTGTTGTTCTTGTTCTTTGGTCGTTGGTAGGGTGTTTTGATAATGAACGGAACTCGAAGTGGGATTGTGATATAGAGTGAGAGACCAGGAAACCGAAAGCGATAGAGGCGCGTTGCTCAGGGGTCCTTATATGTCTGTTGCTCTATGGGGATAGAAGACTTGAAGAGAGTGACGAAATGAGCGAATAGAGGAGAGGGAGGGAGAGTATGAAGAGGGGGGTGAGGTCGGGAGTCGGAGTAGAGAGAGAAGAGAGGGTGAGGGTGAGAAAGAGAGCGAAGGAGGAGGAGGAGGAGGGACGAGTGAGTGACACACAAAAAGATTGACAGGGGCCCGGGGGTGGGAGATGTTCTCCTCAGAGGGAGACCCGATTGAACGAACGACCGGTTCCAAGGAGATATTCCCAACTTGCAACTTTGCGACCCTTTTTTTGGTTGTGTGTAGAGGGGAGAAGGAGAGGGGGAGGGGAGAACAAGAGGAAAGAGGGGTAGTTGCGAAGGGGGAGCCGCCATATTTATAGCGACTGATGAGGTTGGTGATGTTTCCTGCCTCCTTTGCCGTGTTATTGGCTGCGGTCGCCTGTCCCCGACCGCCGCAATTCTTGTGAGTGGTCGAAAATGCTTAGTACAAGGCGCGCCATGATAGGATGAAAATAGAAATAAAAATAAAGACGCGCCGACGGTCTGAACGGTCGACGCCGCGGGGGACGGGAACCGCTGGGTGTGAGGGGTGAGAAGGAAGGAGGGACAGCCCGGGCAGCATCGCCGCCTAACGCCTAACAGCTGGCGACCAGAATGGAACGCTGGGCACTTCAGTTGGTGACTCTTCGTTCTGGAATGACTTCACCAGCAGAGAGAATGAGGTACGTACTCTACACAATTAGGCGCAACCGGGACAACCTCAAGCGCCTCCAACCGGGGGACTAACCGCTGAGGCACCTTAATTCCCCGTTAAACCTCCTTGGGTATCTCTACCCCCATTCCAGAGTGTAGCGGTACATCGTTCGGCGTCTCGACCCTCGATGCGTTGGCGCCCTTCCAAGGCACTGCCCATGAGTCCAATGGGGAGGAGGTACCTAGGTACCTACCTCAGATTCCATCGCCAACGGTCGGGAATGGCGGCCCAAAACTTCACCTCGACACTTCAGACCTCAGCACCTCATCGTTGAATGCGCTGGCCTGGCCCATCCAGTGTCCCGTCGCAAGTCACCGCACGTGAGGCACTCGCAACGCGGGGTTTCCTCCCCTTCTTTCCCAAGGACTCATTTCCCTCATGGACACCTACAGAAGGCGCAAGAAGGCGGTCGAGACGCTCCTTCTGGTGTCATTGGTTGCGGTCAGTGAACTGGGTACCGATACATGCCTCAAGTACCTACCTGACCTCACCTCACTGGTTGAAGTTGGCGAACTTGGGGGCCCGATGGCGTATTGCGGCAATCCGACTTGTTGATACTGATAACCCGACATTTCCTTATCGCCATGGCCAAGCAACCAGGCCAGACGACCTCGAGTGCCAGCTCATCGGCGGCTCATCTTTCTGCCCTTCCGGTTGGTGCATCGTGTGTACCTTCTAGAATGTATCTCGGACTGCAGGATCTGGACTTGCCATCCTCACTTACACTGCAACTCTCTCCTCATCGTCCTCTCGTGTTGCCTACCAAGGACTTCTCAGACTTGGACCCCAGGACCCTGAGGCCGTCACTGCGAACACTGCCCTGCCTTGCGTCACGCCTTCGTCGATACCTTACAGGAACCTCGTGCGTCCAGTGTGAATGATCGATACCTTACCTCTCTCTCTCGCCATCTCGTTTCCACGACTGAGCGTCCGCCAGCGCCATCCCTCGAGTCCGCCGTCTCTTCGTATTGGCTTCACAGCCGCCGGCATGGCGACCTTAACCTCACTAGCCACAACCCAAACGGGAACCCAACGCCTCCTTAGACGCATGAACCATCTCTCTTTGACAGTCAGGCATACCGTTGCTTCTGCTTCTGCTTCTGCCTCAACGTGAACCTACCTCTCTTGACCCCCTCGTCCGAACTGCGCTGCCATGGCGGGCGAGCCCAACATCCTAGATGAACCCCGATCCTCAGAGCATCATCCCACTTCCCCTCCCCTCGTCTCCCCTCTTTCGAACCTTTTCGAAGCAAACCATATCGTACACTTCCGCGCCCCTCCAAGATTGGCGTATGCAGCTAGTCGGGCAGACTCAGGCACAACTTCACCGTCGCCAATCATGACGCTCCACCCCGACCCCCGGTCTCCTCTATCGCCAACCACCACCCCTGCACCGCTCTCTGCCTCTCCGCTCTGCTCTCCTGCTCTCCGCTCTTCTTCACTGTCGGCAACACCAGTGACCTGCATCACCGCCTCAACACCGCTCCTTGCGCCGTCCCCATCTTGCCCCCTCCGTGCCGTCCCGTGAACGGCCACCGTCATTCATGGTCACCCCTTTTCGTCACCCACTATTCATTCGTCAACCTCTGGCCTCGGCTCGGAAATAGGAATCTCTTGTTGGAAGTCATGATGCTCTAGGTTATTTTGGTAATCGTATGTTGACTACACCCCTCCTCAACGTCTCGCCTCCACCGCCTCGCCCACCTCCTTCGAGTCCAGCCCGACGCATGCCTGGATCCCTCCTGCAATATGAGGCACCAACCCAGATAGGAACACCTGATAACCACGTATGGCCAAGTCCGCCAGACCCGGGCCACCGCCGTGCTCACCGCCCGATGGGTGCCCCCGTTCATCTCCGACAGGACCCGTCTCGACCGAAAGTCCCTCAGTGGCCCGCTGCCACGGCAGCGGCGGCTACCCGTCTTGTGTGGGCAGCCCGGGCAATGTTCTCCCTCATGCCAATGAGACCGTACATGAAAGCGTACACTGGGCAACAAGTCAGCGTCCTCTGTCCAGATGTCACAAGGTACCGGGGAACCCACTGATGGGAGCAAGGATGACGAATCCAATCGACGCAGCGACAACGGCCTCACGCGATCCGATCAGCTTCTCGTCGAGCCAGTAGAAGGCATCGGCACCGGTCTCGATCTTGCCGATGGCTGCCCAACCGAGGTACAGGCCCGCGAAGAAGATGACGCCCAAGGTATGCGCACCAACGGCCTGCATGTGTCAGTCTTGCCCGTTAGAATCACCTCCCCAACTCTTGTATCACTTACGAGGGGACGCTTGATGCTGTTGAGCCAGAATATCTCGACCAGAGCGACGATTGTCGAGCCGAGGAACAAGTTCAGGATGACGAAAGCCTTGAACCAGCCCTGGCCAAAGATCACTGTGACTGACGCCGACATTGTTAGTTGAGGTCAGCGTCAGTTGATCAAGATGACTCACAGGGTTCGTGGGGCTTGTGCTTGTCCACGTCCTCCAACCGAGTCATCTCGAAACCAAGAGATTGCTCGTACATGTTGGACACGGACGAGCCTCCAGAGGGCTGGGGCTTGGGCGGCTCGCCGTTGGACCTCTCATTGTGCGGCAGCGTGACGAACCAGTAGATGACGGTGTTCATGAAGGTGAAGACCGTGGTAACAGTGTAGAACAACGTGAAGTAGAACTGCTTGCGAAGGCTGGTCATGTCGTAGGGCAGCGATGCCAGTCTCAGAATCCAATACTCCCAACCGCCGCTGTGTTCATCGATGTGCGGGTGGTACAGATGGGTGTAAGTCCAGCCCTGCATGCAGCCCATGTCAGTCACTGCAAGACGGACGGCACAGATGGTTCGTACCAGTACTACCAGATGGTAAAGCAACAAGGAAGAATAGGTGACGATGGAAAAGTCGAAGATGATACGCCAATTGGAGTATTTCGACTCTTCTCGTAGCTTGAAGTCGAGAATCATGGCGCCAACTGCGAACAGGTAGGCAACCACTCCGCCTCGAATCCAGCAGAGAAGGTTCTGAGGAAGACATCGCCACGGCGAATGGCACGCTCTCAGGAATGCAGGCTGCAGAACGAGAATCAGCCAGAAGAACAGCCGGTGTTGGAAACACCAGGAACACTCACATGATCCTGAACTTGTCCGTAGGCGGCTGGCGTTGGTAAACCATCGTCTGTGTGCCCGGCTTGACCGTGGAGTAACGGAGTTCTGACGGAGGCGTCCATTGGGGCGAGATGGAAAGATTGATAGCAAAAGAGTACGTCAGTGATTCAAAGCTGAAAGATCTGATGGAGAGAGCAATGAATCCAAGAAGATCGACGAGGATGATGAAGTTGGGTCGTTCGGCGAAGATTAGTTAAGGTCAAGGAAGAGTATGTTGGATCCAAAAGACAACGAGACGGCAGAGGCACTGTCGACGACAGATATGGCGAGCGAAGATGGATGGCTCTTTCCATATTCGCGGTGTGCAGTCGTAGCTGCCCTGAATATTGTGCGGAGCCTACTTTAGCAGGAAGGCATTGATCACCGAGATGGAAGGAAGCACGAACGTGTCACCGTGCAAGGCAAGAGGGCATATGGATGCACCTGCCCGCCACGATTTTCAACATGAGAGGAAGCTGTGCCTGAGAATATCTATCTCTACAATCTGGGAGTGATTGCGATTTGTAGCTGAAGGAGCAGCGAAGATCCGCGGCATGACAGGAAGGAAAGAGGTCAAGTACCTTAACCTGGCCGCACTCAGAAATTGCACCTGTAGTCAGGTAGGTAGGACCCGCTGCTCTGAATGACGGTAGACTTGTAAGACCTTGGTAAGAAATCGCGTTTGGCTCACCCAAGAAGCCTCATACAAGCATTGCTTAGGATGCGGATGTAGCTTTCGCACAGTTCTGCTTGACAAAGTGAGGTTATTCCCAACTTTGATCATCCCCCCAGCGTTGCTGACCTAATATCAATCTTACATAAGGAAGACCCCACCTATCACTTGGGCGGTGGTGGTCACATCGAGTGACATCTGGTGGGAGTTCGAGAAACTGTGACCATCTCACATTCAGCTTCAGAACACCAGGCAGTGAACCCACGGGCGAGCCTCAACTAGCTACACATCAAAATCCGACTTTCTCGAGGCAGCGAATCTTCTCGGCGAGCCTTTGTACGAAACAATGTCTTCGGCACCTGAACCCGCAGCTTGGCCACTGGCCGACATTGCTTTGACGCAGGAGCTGCTCGATCTAACTCAAACCGCAATCCATCACCGCCAGGCCAAACGGGGTGCCAATGAATGTGAGCGCGATTCATTTCGTTTTTCGCTTTGAGAACGAGGCTACACACACATTGCACCAGTCACCAAGGCACTGAATCGCGATACCTGCGAAATCACTTTGCTGTCCGCGGATGCTGCTCCTCGGCGGTTCTGCTGCATCTTCCCCTGCTGTGCGAGGACAAGAACACCCCTTATGTCTTCTTGCCCAGCAAGGCGGCTCTCGGTAGAGCCTGCGGAGTCAGCCGCCCGGTTACCGCGGCTTGCATCACGACTAACGAGGGAAGTGAGCTGGCCGGGTCTATCCAGGCGGCGCCGGACAAGGTGGAGAGGCGGTCTATCTGACCTCTCTCTCTTGTAGTACGGATACGTGCAATGAGTCCGCCTTCGTTTCCCGACTCGGCCTCGAGCTGAGGAACTGGCAGGATGGTTTGGTTTAATCTGAGATGATTCTTGTCTCTGGCCCCTCACTAGCTTTGTAGCTTGCTAGCAGAAACACAAGATCGACATTGACGGATAAACCAAGTACCTGATAATGTGACTTTTGAAATGATGCACAGGTGATTGTTCCAGTGCAATGCCAATGACTGAGGTGCAACATGGGAATGGAGACTTCTAGGTTGCAGAAAATAAGAAATGGCCCGTGCACGCTGGGCGCGATAAGATAAGACAGTACGTACCGCTCCAACTCATTGACACGTTCCACATCTTCAAGTGCAAGCGCGTGGCCTGTGCTGATGCTCTTAGTCCTGTCGGCTCCTGCTGTCTTGAGGTGCATCGTTGTCCAGAACTTCAACTCCAAGTCCCCAACCCGTGTCCGACGTCGCGATACCACTTCTCCTGCCACCACCATTCAACCAAACGATGTTGTCGAGTCTCGGAAACCCGCGCCAGCTGGCGTCGCAGCTGCTCAACTTCGCGCTGATCCTCTCCACTGCTTTCATGGTGCGTCCTTGCCCGCGCCTCGGCAAGCTCCTTGCTAACTCTTGTGCGCGCAGATGTGGAAAGGCCTCTCCGTCATTAGCGATTCGCCCTCGCCTATCGTCGTCGTTCTTTCCGGATCAATGGAACCCGCCTTCCAACGAGGAGACGTACGTCTTCCTCGGTCCCCTGCCGCGAAGACGAGAAACTGATCGGACGTAGTTGCTGTTCCTTTGGAACCGCAACCTCCTGCAGGATACAGATATTGGCGAGATCGTGGTGTACGAAGTGAAGGGAAAGAACATTCCGGCAAGTGATCCCCTCATGGTCGAATACTTGGTCGTGCTAATCCTCCTTCAGATCGTCCACAGAGTCATCCAGAAGTTCGGCGCTGGGTACGTCTTTCCGCGCTCCGTGCGATTGCGTCGCTAACTTGTACCAGGCCGGAAGCAAAGCTCCTCACGAAAGGCGACAACAACGCCGGAGCCGACCAAGAGTTGTACGCCAAGGGCCAGGACTTCCTTGTGCGTTCAGACATCATCGGCAGCGTTTGCGCTTATATACCCTTTGTCGGATACGTTACGATCCTTCTCTCCGAACACCCGTGGTTGAAGACGGTGATGCTGGGCATCATGGGACTGGTTGTGGTGCTGCAGAGAGAGTAGACCGGAGCAGTGGACAGGGAAAAAGTTGATATCACCGTCGTACATGGCGTTTTGAGTTTCCACAACAGCTATCTATAGGCAAATGTTACCACATTCCTGGGGAGACGGGAGACTGCCAAATGAAGAGTGGGACCGTCGCGTATCTCCAAAGGGAGTTGTATGGGCGCTGCCGTCGAGCGACGCATTCAGCCTTGCGGGCCATTGGGATTTATCAGGTACTGCGAAGCCTGGTGGTTGTTGAGATTCAGAGACTCATACAGTCTGCCAGAGAGACGCTGACGGAATCATCTCAACCAACATGGCTATGTAATGTTGCCGCACGCTCCGTTGGTTGGTCTCGGCCCTGAGAAGTCTTGACACGACCTCTCCACGTCTTCGACAACGTGGAGCAGCCTGCCGCCTCTACGGGTGTTAGTAAATGCAAATTCAGCCGCATCGCAGGTTTCTGCGCCTAGCGGGAGGAAATTTCCATTAAAGTCTTGTCTCCCTAGGCCTAGGCAGCCAGCAGTGCCGCAGACAGGGTTTGAAGTCGAGCCAACGCCCATGTCCAATCGAGAGACCCTGATCTACGCCACTTCCAGGGGTCCAGGCCTCTTTTGGGTCACGCTTGTAATCAAGCAAGCCAATTTCTTCACCCAAATTCATGCCAGTGGCTTGTTGGCTGCACGCGAGGGAGTGGCACAGTCAGTCAATAAAATGAGATACAGATCCTTCGCCGGTTTGATCCCTTTCAGGGCGCGTTGATAGCCTCGATCTTTTTTCTTGTCACTCGTTTAAATCGGTTCCTTCGAGATATCGTTCATTGACTTGGCTTCAACAGTTCATTGCTCCTCGAGCCATCTCAGTCGTCCGTCATGACTTCACCAGCCCACCAGTCGCAGTATGGCCTCGAGGGGTACCAGCCATACGAGCATCAACAGAACGTGATTCCCTATAATAGGTCGTGGCACATTGCCAAGATCGGAATGCGCAGTTCCAACATCGTGTTCAATCTCATCGTCATTTCATTGTCGGTTTACGTTTACGTTTGGACTCACATTGGCCTGTTCCTGATTGTGAGCGGCTTTCCGGTAAGCACGTCGAACGCCATTTGCCGGCTCTCTCACCTAGGAACTCGAAGCTAATGGTGAGTCTCAAAGGCCGCGGTAGCTATGATTTGGGACGTTGCAGAGCTCATCACGGTTTGCGCGAGGGGTGGCAAGCGGGGAATACATCCAGGCGCTCACGTCGGCCTACACCTTATCTTCTGGCTCATCTTCGCCGCAGCGGTTGGTATCCAGAGCGCATACATCTACATTCGCGACGAGCCCTACTCTAGCACCGGTCGGCGGTTCTGGTTCATCAGAAAGAATCTTATACCGATGCAGAACACAGTGCTCGCCTTTACCGTTCTCTTGCTGTAAGTTTTGTCCTCGCTTGAGTGCTTGAGCAGCGCTGATACTTGAACTTAGAATCAACCACTTCACTCTCTTCGTCAGGGCCTGCGTCGAGACCAACCAACGCAATCGCAGAGCGCCTGTGTTCATGGTGCCCATCAGCGCACCTCCAATGCAGCCTCATATGGTTGCGGGAGCGTACGTGCCTTACCCTCATCAACCTCAGCAAGCATATAGCCCGGCACAGCAGAACATGGCATCGCAAAACATGGCACCGCAAAACTTGGGACAGCAGAACATGACACAGAGAACTGAGTTCTACACGCCACCAGGACCCGATGGAACATACTACGCCCCCACCGGATAGGCACGTTGAGAGTAGGGCGGGTTAAGGAAATGAACTATAGCTGTAAAGTATGTCTGGAGACTCGAATGATACCCTTATTCAACCCTTGCAAACAGAGTTGGCGTTACTTCTAATGGAATCAGACTTCAGACGGGGAAAGTAGAAATGAGTGGCTGTTCTTGTCAGTATTGAGTCCGTATGATCTCAAGTGAATAGTTCTGAGCTTAGTCTGCCTATCCCATCTTGAATACATGCCAGCGAAATTACAGTACCAGTTAGTGGTAGTAAAAGAACACCAGGAAACCGTCAAAGGTTTTGTTTTGATTGAATGAATTTGATTGATGAGAGATTGCTACGAAGAAAAATCGGCTTCATTGCCCTCAGCTGGACCACTGCACATCGAAGTCCTTGAACTGAACGACAAGGTCATCCTTGGCGTCCTTTGCGGGCCTGGCAACTAGAGCACCGATAGTCAAGCTCCAATCCTTCCCGGAAGAATCATCATCACCGTAGACCCAGCAGATTTCGCGGAGCGGCTCCTTGGTGCCGTCTTGCTTGATGTAGTAGACCCAGAACCCCAGACCAAGGCCATCGCGGCCCTTCTCAATGGAAACGGTGATGCTCTTGGAGTTCTCAAAGGCAGCGAGGGGGGCGATGCTCCAATCGGCCCAGCGGTCGCAAGAGACGGTGCTGAGTTGAGGGGTACCGTTGTAATACTCCAAGCCAGTCTTGATCCATCTCCTCTCGCGAGTGCCGGAGACGGAGTCGAATGTGAAAATGAGGCCGGCTTGATCGTACTGTTCTGTCCAGTCTGCTGAGAAGGTGATCTTGGCTGACTTGAACTCGCTCAGGTTCCTGGCTGGCAGGGCATGAATGGGTGCTACAATGGTTAGATTGGAGTTGTAAGAGGGACATAGACATCGGGTGGCTCACCATTGTAGACATTGGTCGTTGGGGGCTTCTTCCACACATCGGTGTCAGGGCCGGCAGAAAGAGTGAAGCTGTTGGACATGTTGAAGACTTGGAAGATGGGTGTGGGCGTGGACGTAGGGTTAGGCGAGATGTCTCAAGATGAGCTAGTATGTGTCGTTTGCGTATGTTCAAATGGCCTCAAAGATGCAAGAAGTTCACTGAAGATGCTGGGGAATTAGAGGTTTATATAGACTGGGATCTAGGGGTATACGTATGTTGTGTAAGATGACGACCAGGAAGGAGATGGTGTGAGATTTGAGTTGACCCGGGCTGCCCCGCATCGGGGATGCACCACGATGTCCACCCGGCATCTTAGCTGCCAACCAAGGTACTTCCAGCATAGACATTGCAACGGTTTCATGGGCCGAGACTCCGCTTGAGGCTTCCTTGACCAAGCCGATCAACAGGCAGTGCAAGTCAGCGTTTCCACGCGGACCGTAAGACAACATCTCGAATTACGCCAGTCAGTGCCCCGCGGTAGTCTTGACTGAGACCCGGTGCGAGGTAAGTTGTGGCGTCAGTAGATGGCCGCAAGATGCTACGTGTGACGAAGAAACCAGCTACAAGGTGGCCTTTTCCAACATCCGTGTGATGCTTATGAGTGTTTCATTAGATGACGTGAAAGAATTTAGATCTGGACAGTTGTCGACATGAAGCCGCAAGGGAGATGTCCAAGGTGACTCGGATCAGTTCCACAACGCGGGGCCAAGGACGCCGGTTCGGTGGATGGTGACTCGGCCCACGGGGGCTGGGGTAACCAACCAACCAACAGCGCACCTCACCCATTGATTCGGCTGATATCCGGGGAATTCAATGGAGACTCCGCTGAGAGAAAGTGAAAATACCATTGGATGCCTACTAACAGCTCCTACATCAGCTGGCCGTTTGATGTTGAAGCGCAAGGACGAATTGAGCGGAATTTATTTTCCCTCAAAAGCTGACTGAAGGTTAAGTTCGGACGGATTGATCCAAAGCTGGCTAACTTTGCATCACGGCCACCGTACCACAGTACTTGCGATATCTCTAGTCACTTGAACAAGCTTGCGTACGGACACTAGGTAGGTAAGCACCAACAGCGTTTACCTAAACGGGAGAAAGAATCAACCGAGAGATCCACCGACTGATCTAACCGAATACGGAGTAAGATTCAACAGCACGAAGAAACCTGGAGGACACGTGCTTGGGTAAGAATGCTTTTGAAAAACATGTGCAGGCAGCTTTTGTGTTCAACCAAAGGGAGATTCGAACCGTGGGCCAGAGAAAGGCTAAAGACGAGGTGGATATTTTCCCCTTTCGGACGTACCTTGGCCGTGACTCAGCCTTCATTTTACCCCCCCAAAGTCCCGAGATTGACTTTCCCCCAAAGCCAAAGGCGCACTTTCCCCCGCTCGACCATCTCGTCGCCAACCCCACTAAATTTTCCTTTTCGCACTTCATTCCGACCACCACCAGTATCCCTCTGCAGCCATCATCACTTCTGCAACAGAGCACGCTTACACACACCCCTACCCTTATTCGCTATCGCATTTCGACTCGGGCAACAAGTGCGTCACCGGACGCGCAGAATATACGCACAAAGACGCGCCTCCAACACTCGAGCCCGCAGTCTGTTTGAGGCGGGCAGCGCCTGCCTGACGGCCAAAGAAGAAGAAGAAGAAGAAGAAGAGGAGAAAGGGGACGATAGACACCACATAGCATTCCTTCCATCTTAGCAACTCCCGTCGCAACTTGCTCGAGATCCCACCGTACACTATCTTCGGCAAACTCGTGTGATCGACCGTCTATTCTCAATCACCCGCCTGCCTGCGAGCGGGATCGCCCTCGCCAACATGTCGTCCTTCCTTACGCCCACGAAGAAATCCCAAAAGCCCCCGAACAAGGCCAAGCCTTTCCAACCTCCGAACCGCATTCGAGCCATTCGAGAGCAAGCCGAACGCCAGCAAGCCAACGCCGCTGCTGCCGCCGCCAATGCTGCTGCTCAGGCCCAACTCAACCGCTCCCGAGCCCCGACAGTCGCCGTATCCAAGGGCCCGCAATGTCCCAACAAAGCATGTGTTAAGCCGAACGTCGTCGATGGAGTTTGCCAGACCTGTGGTCGAGTTGCCGATGACAGCAATATCGTGGCCGAGGTTCAGTTTGGTGAAACCTCCTCTGGTGCTGCCATGGTCCAGGGAAGTTACATTGCTGCCGACCAGGCCGGTGTCCGCACCATGGGCCCTGCCTTCCGCCGAGTAGGAGGCTCCGACGATCGAGAAAAGTCCATCCGTGAAGCCCGCTCCTTGATGCAGGGTTATGCTCAGCAGCTGAATCTCGGAGAGAGTACCGTCAACACTGCCGTTCAAGTCTTCAAGCTCGCCTCCCAAGCCAACTTCGTTCAGGGTCGCACACTCGTCATGGTCGCCGCCGTGTGCCTGTACACGGCTTGTCGAACCGAGCGCCCCTGCAAGATCATGCTGATCGATCTGGCTGATCTGACCCAGATCAATGTCTTCAAGCTCGGCCGAGCCTTCAAGGCGCTGAACAAAGTCGTCTACGTCTTTGGCAACGGCGAGGCCCCGGTCTTCCCCGAGGACATCATCTACCGCTTTGCTTCTAAGCTCGAGTTCAAGCACATGACCAATCGCGTCGCCGAAGACGCCGTCCGCTTGGTGGCTCGCATGAAACAAGACTGGATCGTCATGGGACGGCGACCCTCCGGAATCTGCGGTGCCTGCCTCCTCATGGCTGCCAGAATGCACAACTTTCGCCGAACCGTCAGAGAAGTTGTGTACATCGTCAAAGTCACAAATCACACTATCCAAGAGCGCCTGCAGGAGTTCAACGTAACGGAAGCCAGCAAAATGACGGTAGAGGATTTCTTGGCCCACGACTTTGGCTCCACTTCACACGACCCGCCTTCGTTCTACAGGAACACCGAGGCCTGGCAGAAGAAACAGGAAGAGCTCGGAAAGAAACGCAAGCGCAAGATCACGGATGACGGCGACAACACTAGAGCCACGCCGGTACCCCCGCCTGTCGACCTGTCCTCGGCTCCTACAGTCGAGTACCGTCGTGACAAGGATGGCTTCATCATTCCTCCAGTTCCCTCCAAGATCCAAAAGGACGAGCCCGCCCTTCGGGACGCTAACAGTACCCAACACCTGGAGACCCTCGCCGAAGAGTTTGGCGACGCAGAGAACACGAATGAGGAGTCCTCGCAGCCAGACTCAGCGGCCAAGACCGTCCGACAGGCCAAGCCCCAACTGCCCATCAACGAGGAGTGGGAAGAGGACGAGGCAGAGATGGAGGAGGAAATTTCGGAGATTATGAACGACCCTGAGACGTACGCGCATGCCAAGGCCTTCAGTAACGCCGAACAGCGAGCCCGCATTCACTCCGTTTGGGCTCTGCAGCAACAGCCCGACAAGGCGGTATCGATGGCCCCTGAAGTCGGCGAAGACGAGTTCGCAGATGACCCCGAGGTCCTGAACTGTGTTCTGTCTCCCGACGAGGTCAAGATCAAAGAGCTCTTGTGGGTGAACGAGAACAAGGACTGGCTGCGCCAATCCCAAGAACGCCTGTTCCGCAAGAAACTCGACCAACAGAAGGAGAAGCCGCAGCGAAAGCGTAAGAAGAGGCCTCGTATCGGCGAAGGCCAGACGACTCCTGCCAGCACACCCGGAGAAGCCGCTGTCAACGTCATGAAGGAGCGTGGTTTCTCGAAGCGCATCAACTACGATGCCATCAGGCAGATGTTCGACGTCGCTGGTCGCGGAGACCCGGGATCACGACCCGAGAGCGAAGCTGCAAGCCGTCCTACCAGCAAGGCATCCAGCGTGCTCGAGGATCCCGTTGGTGATGAGGAGGGCGATCACATCGGCGGCAGCGGAGACGAGATGGACGGACACCAAGACGATGAATTCGGAGGCGGCGATGACTACGATGACATGGGCGACGAGTCACACATGTACGATGACGATGATCAGGGGATGGGCGACGACGATGACGACGACGATTTTGGATTGGGTGACGACGACGAGTAGTGAACAATTGGTCCTCGTCTCTATCGTCTAGATGTTCTTCTGCTGGCCAACGCAATTTTTATCGGGGTCGGAGGTCTGTTTGCGTTTAGATACCCATTAACTCGGCATGTGGCTTAAGTTGGCTGCTCGGCAACACTGCGACTGCATGTATTTTACAGATAGAGAGCTTAGATCAGGCAAAGACAATCCACGGTCATTTCATCAAATTAATTTTACGTCGTGTTTCTAGCCCAACACTGTCCCAAAGAACCTTGACATCCTGCAAACACCAAAATCCCCTTGGAAACGACCAAAAAAAAACAACGGCGGCAGCCATGGGTATATGCCGGAAACAATCGCAACCATCCAGCGCAAGCATCCCAAGAAGCGGTCAGCAATCAAAACTCGTCATCAGCAACGTTGTCCCATCTCTTCCCCAGTTTCCTCATCTTCTTGGGGCTCCCTGTGCTTCCGGCACTGGCGGTGCTCTCGTTACTAACGCGGAGCCCCTCCATCTTCTTGCCCAAGTTCCTGAGCGAACTGCTTCCGCCGTCTGCCTTGCGGCCACCAAAGTCTTCGCGTTCCTGGAGCGGCTTGCGCTTAGTTGGGCTCCGCCCCGCGAGCTCGCGCTTGAGTATCTCGTTCTCGCGGCGCAGTCTCTCGTTTTCCTGCTCGAGGTTCTCTACGAGCAGGTTCTCTTTGTCCTCGGCGACATCATCGTCCTCCGCAATGGTCACGCCGAGACCTTTTTCGAAGAGTTCCATCTTGCGGTCCCAGTGCTCCTCGCCCTTCTCTTGCTCTGCTGCGAGTGTCGCTTTCCACCGCGCCAGTTCGAGCTCGAAACGGGTGTCGAACTCGGCCATACAGTCCTCGCGCACCGTTTGCTCGAGTTCCAGCAGCCGATCCTCCATGCCGAGGAGGTGCGCCTCGGCAGTCACCCTTCCCTCGCGCTCACGATCAAGTTCGATGTGCAGGCTCGTGGTCTCCTCCTGCAGGTTCGTTATCTCCTCCTGCATGCGAGCAATCTCGAGTGCCGCGTGCTCCATAAGAACTCGGTCCCCGCTGTCAGAGGCAGGCGAGAAGTTGCGATGTCCGCCGGAGCCGTGGCCAAAGTAGCCGCGTCTCTGAGGAGGAGGAGGGTAATCGGGAGATGTAAGGGGCGGCGACGCGTATGAGGTCGACGGCGTCTCGGCGAGGATGGTCGAGGTGATGCTGGGAACGCGTGGAACGGTGACTTCTCTTGCCAATGCGCTGTATCTGAGAATTTGAGACGTTGCGTTCAGATCTCCGTGGGCATCAGCGGTCACGATCATGACGCCCCGCTGAGGGTTGCGCCGAACCGCAACACCAGACGAGGAAGCAGAGAAGGAATTGGAGAACAGAAGCTCCGTCATCTTGCACTGGCGGAAGGGCATGACGCTGGGCTGGAAGACGATGTTAGCTTTCCGCGGTTCTCATGTTTGTTTTGGAGATGACGCACCTTGCTGTTGCTTCCTATGCTGCTTTGCGCTTGGAGACACTGGCCCAAGTACATGAGGCTCTCGTTGATCTTGCCAGCCTCGGCGAGAGTGGCGCCTTGTGTCTTGGCATCGCGAGCGCGCTCACTGCCGGCGAGGTCGACGATTGTGAGGGCGTTGCCTGCCCAAGTGCGGTTTCGGCCAACTCTGGAACGCTTCTTGACCTCGACACAGAAGAAGCCGTGACTCCGGGAGGAGACGCTGTTGCTGCCCGTTCCGGCCACCTGGCGCTCATGCAGACCTGCCTCCAAAACCATGATGGCTTCCCTCATGTTGGTGCAGGCAATCTTCTTCAAACCGGCGACCACCTTCCTATCGGCGGACTGCTCGGTCGACTTGAACAGCAGGGGTCGGCGGCGGTATTCCTTCGTGGCGTTGGACTTGATCGGCGGGGTCAGGAGGTCGTAAATCTTGTCGTTGTAGACCTCGTACATCGAGAGGACGACGGCGTAGTCGGCATCGGGGTCTGAAGAGACGTTGACGGAGCTGATGTCGGGAGCTTGCGGGAGGTTCGACGGTCTTTGGAGCGCTCTTCGGGGGGTCGGGGGAGGATGGTGTTCGCCCTTTACTGGAGTTTTAGCACTACTCTTTGTCTGTGAAGCTGTCGTCATAGTCATGAAATGCTTGTAGGCATCGGGTTGATGCTCAAGCGTCTCGTCGAAGATTGGCACAGAAACATCATGAGGGCGCCTCCGTCGCGGACGGCTAGGAGTGGACGGCACCAGTCTTACACCGCCCATGCCCATGGACGCCTTGTCCTGCTGCTTGTTTTGACGCGTGTTGACGAATGAAAGGGGGTCGAAATAAGTAGATGGGGTTCCTACAATCATTGGCGTTCCTGCCCTTGAACCTCCTCCGCGCGATGAACCGAAGTCGGAAAAGACGGTCTCGAGAAAGTAGGGTGCCGACATGATGGTTGCATCGGAGGCGTCGGCAGCCTGCAGAGAGCCTTCGAGGCTGGGAGAGTCGTACATATTGGGGCCGATGGAGCGGAAGACGACGTCGAGGGCAAGCTGGGTCATGCCTCTTTGTGTTCTCGAGCCGAGGATGGTGTGGGACTGCAGAGACATCAATCATCTGTTGAGATGTTGCGCTGATACAAACAAATTGCGTACCTTTCCGGAGCCAGTGACGCCGAGAGTTGCGATCAAGGCATCGGTACCGTGACCACCGTGGGGAGCCAAGACTCCCTCGACGAGAGACGAGATGCCGGTGGAATGAAAGACATCGAGCTGTGTTGCTTCTTCCTCAAAGACCTTGGTGAAGGCGAACTTTTCAGTAGACCGCTTGCGGTCGTTTGGCGGGTTCAGAGTGATATGAGTAGACGGAGAGCCATCGGATGGCTCTTCGAGGCTCAAGAACCTGTCGGATGAGGCAGCCCCGGCCGGAGGCGGTCGCAATCGCAGGTAGACCTGGAACAGGTTCGCCGACGACTTGTTTGAGGATGTTGAGGAGTCCATTGCGTGCGTGTCTCTGTGTGTCGTTAGTGAAGCTGTTGTTTGGAAAACACGACTTGTCGTGTTTGCGGATGCGATGGGTCGTTGGTGAGCTGAGTTCGAGGCGCGAATCTCCAGGACGAGTGCTTGTCAAAGGCATAGAATCCTTGTTTACGGCGGTGACCGGGCAACGGCCGATAAGATAAGCGAGAGACCCGTACGATAAAGGATAAGGTAGGAGAATGATGTGGACCGTGCACTCTCCCTCCTTTTTTTTTCCTTTTTTTCTTCTGGCCAAACCCCGCCACGTTTTGCACGGCATCCCCCGCCGAGACGCAGCTCCGAGTGGGGCTCGTGTCCAGATGGTGTGGCGCCGGTTCCGACCGAAAGACGGGGACCCGCGAGGGGCAGGCTTGGGATGTTGGCCTGGATTCAACCTCACCTCCATCAGGTTTTGCCGCCTCGTGTGTGCTCTCCCGCCGCTGTCCTTTTCTTTATCGGGTATCTTTTCGTCATCCCCATCTTATCAACATGTCTTGTGTCATTTTCTTGAGCTATATGGATATTTATCCTCTTAGTATTCGACAGCTTTGCCCTGAGTTATGCTCTCAGTCATTCGCATCTTGCTGGGGCTCCGTCTTCAAAACTTAAAAATGAATACAAATGAATTGCCTTCGACAGCTACCTCGGCGAGTTTTCACATAGCAGACCATAACTTTTGGCGGGAAGTTGCTTCAGGTTCCGGGCCGTATGGTCGGCCAGTTGGGTAGCTTTGACTTCAATGGCCAAATGCACTGTGTGACTTTTATTTGAATCTTTCAGATGGCCGAGTCAGACCATTACGGCGTAGAGTCACCTGGAGAGAACCTACGGCACGGCAGCGAACCATAAGAGATGGTCAAACAGAACCTCCAAGATAGCTCTTTTCTGATGCACACTGGACGGGCGGTCGGGTGTCACTGTCTCAGCTCCGGAAGAAACCTCCGTCATTACATAGTACTATAAGCCGATCCTCACCCCCTTTTGTGAAGCTCTAGCCTCTTGTTCAAAGTTTTTATTGAGGCTCAAAGTCAAAAGGGTTGAGGGCGGCGCAGGCACTTCCTAGCTTGACAACCCCTCATTTCCCGTCAGTGAGTCATGAACGACAAGAGGCCAGACAACGAGGGGACCAGTGTCGTTCAAGGCTGATCCCAATGACTCCCATATGACTGGTTGAAAATTTGGCATGCGGCCAATGGACCCTTTTTCCCGGGTTGGGTAGCAAAAGTCGCAGCACCGAGCATCCGGAGCTGGATCCAGCTGGGCTGGGCTGTGGATGTTTGAGTGGAAGAAAAAAAATAAAACCGTTTCTAAATTTTCCCCGCTGCCGCTCCTCCAACAAGTCCCAATGTACGCAGGTTGAAAAACCTCAACCAAGGTTGTGTGAGCATAAGCTTGCGGTCAGAAGTGACTCAACTCTCAGACACAGACAGCTTAAAACACAAAAGATTGGACGAGAGAAACTACGGTGTGTTCAGGTGCAGTGCTCCTTCGCAGCAGGGAGCAGTCTGATGAGCTGTCCTTTCTCGAGTTGCCCCTCGACATTGCCCCTCGCTCGACTCTTCCAGCAGGTGCGGGATGCCCCTCGATTATGCCAAGCGTGAAGGCGATCCAGGAGACCGCCTACCTAATTTGCACGATGAATCCGCCCATTGCAGGCGGGCGGTGGGCCGCGATGGAGACGTGGACGTGGAGGTACGGATCAGTGTACCGTCACTGCAGTCCAATGCGAGTGAGGAATGAGCTTGTCTTGCTCGTGAAGAAGACGTGGAATGCTAAGATGTGTTTGATGCCGTGAGGTCCACCGTCCACATGCTGCGCCCCCAACATTGCTGCTTGGTACAGTACCAGTGTAGCCGCTACTGCCCGTAGACGCCGACTCGACCAAACGGTGAAGATTTCTCAGTGTAACCGCCTCCCTCTTTTGTTCCGCGCCAAGAGCAGTCCCAGATATTAAATTTGGCACAATGGAGGTATGATCAACCTGGCTCCATCTAGATCGAGACCAGGCCAGCGGGTGACGACAGCGAAGAGGGGGAGAGGCTGGCAGACTGGCAGACTGGATGGATGAGCATGCGTTGGAGGCATCCGCGAGGTACGGGAGTGAGGTGACACAATCCACGAAGAGGGGCAGAAATGGCTTGATGATGGAAGTTGCTGGCCCTGGCCCAAACCCAGGGGGGCTGTCTTGCAGCCTGGCACAGGGTGTTCCTCCACACTCGGCAGCATCAACCCACTAATGACGGCGCATCTCCAGCGCATTTTTCAGCGCCTGCAGGCCATCTGTAGGCGGCGTCAGGGGTATATAGGCGCAAAAAGGCGGTGACGGCGCCCTCAAAGCGGTTAGCGCAGCTTCGCTACCCACATCAAGCGAGCCAGACGATGCCAGATTCACAGCGAGTGCGTGGTGTTCCCTGGCCTAGCGACCCCACAAATCCGGGACCCATTGAATGCGAAAAAAAGAAAAAAAAAAAAGTTTGGGCAGCCCAGGAAGGGACAAAAAAAAAAAAAAAGTCGATTGGGTGTGGAGACTCCCGGGGAGCCATATTATTTTCGGAATCCCGTGTACCTCCTCTTATGCCGGCCCTCTCTTTCCTTCCCTCCTCAATCATCAACCCAATCCAAACCACCAGACAACGAAGTCGCCCTCCCCGAATTATTCGAAAGAACATTCAGATACACATACCAACTTCGTCGAGATCATGTCGCCCGCTTTCGCTGAGCTGTAAACGCCCACTGCGGAGGCGCCTGATCGAGGCGCCTCTGCAGTCCAGCAGCCTATCGAGACATTCAATCCTCTCTGCTTTCGACGAAGTTCACCACAGACTTTCACTGTCCAGAGCCCTCTGAGGGAAGGCTCTGGCCCATTGACGGAAGTTGCATCTGATTTCAAAATCGACTACATTTGCCCGACATTCACTGGGCCATACGACGCCCATCACCAACAAGAAAAATCCTTTACCCCCTTCCTCCCGATATCGAGACCTACCGCCTCTTAAAATCGCTCCTCAGCAGCCGAAAAAAGCCTTAGAATCATACTACAATTATACGAGGCGACGGATAGAAGAGAACAAACGCCCGTTTCCCCCATCGATTCGACATTGAACGGCATTACACCACAAGCCATATCTTATATCCCACCTGGCCGAGTTTCCCACCCCTGCATAACCACCATGTCCCGCAACGTTCGCAACAAGTCTTCCGCGGCTTCCCGCAAAGCCGCAAAGCGCCGCGACTCCGTCACGTCGTCCTCGTCATTCAACTTGTCAGATGACGACGGCTACTCTGCCGTGGAAGACATCAGCGATTCCTCTGATGACGACGAGGACGATGTCGTTGCGGCCGAGGAGGACCACATCCTGCACGAGGTGCTGCCGCCCAGTATCTCGAGCTCTCCTCGGCCGCCCATTGTCCAACAAGACGAGGACGATGATGACGACGACGACGAAGACGACGACCAAGACCAAGAAGAAGAAGACGACGAAGATGGCGCTGCTGACATCGAGGACGGCGCCAGCTGGGACGGCATCATGTCCGATGTCGATGAAAGTGCCGCTTCAGACAACCATCGCCACCACGTATCTGAGCCCACCGAACGTCACGTTCGCTTCGACGTCCCCTCGAGTGACTCCGACTCTACCGACACCGAGGATGACCATGCCGATTTCTTTCCCGACATCTTTGTGGATCAGAGTTCCCTCGACCCGGCATTCCGCCGCGAGATCGAGAATGATGATGAAAATGACGAGTCCGAGAACTCCAACTCGTTCTGGGACTACCATGGCGACTCCCATGGAGCTTATGACTATGCTCCTGGCGTCGATTCGGACATTGAGGACGTCATCCAGGAACTTGGCGACGACGACACCCCTATTGCTACACCCATGACCATGGGCGAAGTCTCCGAAGTGCCCACTCCGGTCGCAGCTTTCGAGGAAACTCAGGAGCTGGACGGCTACGAGAGTGAGTTTGTGCCTGATGATGCATTCTGTGAGAAAATCGTGATTGCTGACTTGTTGCGCCAGCGGATGGTGACACTACCGAGGAAGATGAGCCTGAACCCGTTGTTCGGCGCAAGATCAAGCGCCCCGAAAAGCCCGCCGACCAGTGGGATGATTCCGACACGGATCACCCGGTCAAAGGCGAACGTGGCCAGCCGCGCGTTGGCCGCTTCAATCTCGATAACTCCGAGCAGAAGCCCATTGCTGTCTTGAACCCCATCACCCGAAAAATGATGATCTTCACCCCTCACCGCCGCCGTCTTGACTTGTCTCCCGAACAGTTCAACTTCTCGTTCTTGCCTACCATTGACGAGAACCAAAACTCGCCCATGCTCAGCAACTCCGCCCAAATCATGATGAGCGCAATGTTCTCGTCCAACACCTTTGGTGATTATCTAAACACCCAGGCGATGGGCCCCGCCGAGGCTTTCTTCCCCTTCCAATCGGAACCCAACACTGCCGACGAGAGCTCGTCAGTGGAAATCGAGGAAGAAGACGAGGATGAGATGGAGAGAAGTCTCGATATCAACGACTTCATCGAGTTCGACGACACCCGCTCGTTAGACGGGGATGAGGAAAACCAGTGGGACGGCGAACCTGTGAACCCGACCCCTGGCCGCCCACGCAGCTCGAGCGACATTGATCTTCACTCCCACATCAACGCGAATAACGTGGGGGCCTTCCGTCGTGACCAGATCAACCAGCGCCTCATCCTGAGCGACAAGGCCACGCAAGACTCTCTCGCCCTCAGCAGTCCTTACAACTACACTGCCCTTCGTGGTCTCAAGTCCGACCGCTTCGAGACGGCAGCTGTCCCCCTTACCCCTCTGCGGCGTTCCAAGAAGCAGATGCGCGATCTTGCGCGCAGCCCCCTCGAGTCTATGTCGCAAAAGCGCAAGGCGTCCAGCGAGCTCCCAATGAGCCACAAACGCCAACGCAGCATCTCGGACGTCAACCTGCTACGCATCTAGTACGAAGCGTCAGTACTTGACTTCCCTGAAATATAACGGTTGAGGATGGCGTGGCATGGTGTCCTCTGAAGTGAAGGGCGCTTGCCATCCCTGGCCTCATATACATTGCACCCCGTCTGTTTCTTGTTTCCTTGTGTTCTACATATTTGAAAAGATCCGTCGATGAATGGTAAGACGGTAGACAAAAGTTATACGGCGATGGCGCCAACATCTGGCCCATGTACAGCGGATCATATCTTGTTAGATCCGGACATGCCACAAGTCTTGTCTTGATGGAGTTGAAGAAATTCCTCCATTACACATGAATGGCACACAGCGCTTGACAATGCTCACGTTTCCTATAGTTATCAATGAAAACACATTACATTCAAATATGCCCATTCCCCGCGATCCCAACTAGCATTGATGCTGAGTCGCCATGTCTGAAGCAACACCACAATTGATCGCATTATCCTGAATCCTGATATGGCCTCTCACTCGTATCATTCGTCAAGGATCATAACCAAGTTTGTACAAGAAGATGTTTCCCGTTACGCATGGCCGAGTTATCCATTCCCACTGCCGCTCAGCTGTATGTGGCGATGGCGTTGTTGAAATCCGTTTCGATCTGCGCAACCAAGTTCTTTGCCACGGCTTGCAAAGTCTCTGGCACTTTCTCGATAACAGCAGTACTGAACTTGTCGGTGGCGCTCTTCTCCTGCTTGAGGTTGAGGAGGATGATGGGGCTAAGGAGAAGCCTGTCGAACTTTGGCTTCGCGTCGACGACGTTGCCGAGAGTCGTGTTGACTCCCACCGCGAGCTTCTGCGTTGACTGCGCCACCGTAATGGCCTCGATGGCATTCAACGGCTCTGACTCCTCGGCGACCTTGGTGGCCTCGTTGATCTTGATGAGGAGCTTTGTGGAGTCAATGATGATTGGCAGCGTGCCGAAGAGGCCGCCATCCCAGGCCGCAACGGTCTCGCCCAGCTCCGTGTTCTGCGTGGCGATCTCGTCCATGGCGGCCACGATGGCGGCACCGTCCGCGAGAACGGAGGTGGCGAAGAGGCCGAGAAGGGAGAACTTGAGGAGCATGTTGACTATTATTGTCGAGCAAGGGAGGCTGAGCTGGGAATTGGTTTTTGCGATAAGGCGGTATCTGGTTTGCATCTGAACCTGCCGAGAGAAACAGATCTTCCGTCACTTCAGCCGGTCTCAGAGGGCCCCTCTTATACTCGTTGCACTTGCACCAAAGAGCTCAACCCATCGTCAACCTCGCACGGCGGCCATCGTCGCTCGACCGAACTATTAGTCTAATTATTCCTCCGCCTATCAAAACTCTGATTCTCGTTCCGGCCTGCCATCGATGTCATCTTTCCCCGCAATCCACATCAAGCAGGAGAGTCACGACGGGCCTGTCTGGGCGGAGACGACGTGTGATCGCGCCGTCGAAATCCCGGGAAGCTGAGCACTTCACATGCCCGTCGGCCGAGAAGTTGGCCCAAAGTGCTCAACTTGGGGAGAAAACACCACAGCAATCATCACAAACACATGCTGCTCCGCAGGGGATCCTAACAGTCCAAGCCGAGGAGCAGCAGGGGTTCTACCCCGGATTCTGCCCTCAATCCCCTGAACACCCCCGCTGATCACCGGCCGACCCCTCATGCAAGGTTCTTGTCGACGTGATTACTGCGGCATGAGTGAGGTGCGCGAATTGCTCCCATTGGACAATTACCAACGACACTGGCGTCGGCACCGGCCTCTTTTGGCACAACTGCGTCTTCCGTTCGGACCGTCGAGGCCAGCTGCGAGTGGCCCGAACGTCATGGTTGGCGCGAGCCGGCGCGCTTTTTGCCTTTTTGGACCTGGACCAATGGTTCCTCCGAGCTTCTACGTCTGAAAGGGTCGGGCTTTCTAGTGTTGCGATGGCAGCCCGTTTGTGACCCGTTTGGTCTTTTGAGGATGGGAGGCTTTCTTCATTATGGAGTTTTGGATGAACCTTATGTCTGACTGCAAATTTGCCGCTAAGTTTTCGCAGGGCCGAATGTGAGTCACTCAATTCTGCATGGGTTGTTGGTTGATTTGCTAGCTTGTGTTTTCGACTGGCAGCAAATGGTACGCAACACCGAAGTGGTTCGCTCGTCGTTTACGCCGCGGACAACGTCCAATTTGCTAGATCACTGGCAGCCAGCTTGAAGACCACTTCTTGGCGCAATGTCAACTTTGGGTTGTCTGGGCTATCTGACTTGTGAATCAGAACGAGATTTGCATGAACACACCAGCATGAGAAGAAGCGAAGTATTTTGAACGTCAACTGCATTAAGGTATCTAGAGACAGATAGGGGACTCCATCAACACGACTCTACGACCAAGGCAGGCCTTAGCCCTCCTCGGCGTCCATACCGTCGTGACGCCTCTTGCTACCCCTCATGGTAGTCTTCATCACGGAACCCCTCTTGCCCTTGGACGACTCCATCATGTTCTTCATCTCCACTCTCGCATGCCTCTGCGCCTCCTCAACGCGGCTCTGGAACACCATCACCTCGTCATCTTGCGTTGGGTATACCTCGAGCTTCTTGCCCAGGGCTGCCTCAATGCGCAGGTAGATCTCCAGATCGTACTGGGTGACAAGACTGAGAGCGACACCCGACTTTCCAGCACGCGCCGTACGTCCGACACGATGGACGTATGTCTTGCTGTCTTGGGGGAGGTCGTGGTTCAGAACAACGTCGACTTTGGGGATATCCAGACCACGGGCAGCCACATCCGTCGCCACAAGAATGTCGCGAGAGCCTGTCTTGAACTTGTTCAGGGCACCCAGACGCGCCGACTGGTTCAGCTGTCCGTGCAAGGGAATGGCGCCGAAGCCCAAGGTGCGCAACAGGATGGCCAATCTCTGGGTCTCCACCACGGTTCTTGTGAAGATGACAATCTTCTGGCCGGCGAACGAATTGACGAGGTAGATGAGGTAGGTGTCTTTGTGGGTGTGCGGGATGAAGAGGTAGTTCTGGATGAGTGTCGAGACGGTCTGGTATTTGTCGGTGCTGACGCTGACGCGCACGGGGTCGCGCAAACTGGCCCGCTGGAGGCTTTCGATCTTGGAGCTCATGGTGGCGGAGAAGAGGAAGGTGCGGCGTTCGCGGGGGACGAACTTGAGGATCTTGTCGATGCTGGGGCCGAAGTCCATGTCCAAAAGCCTGTCTGCCTCGTCCATGACCAGATATTTAAGTGACCGCAGGGAGAACCCCTTGGTGTTCTCAAGGTGGTCCACAAGACGCCCGGGTGTTGCCACGATGATGTGAGGCTTCTTTCCCAAGGAAATCGCCTGCTCCACCGAGCCCAAGCCACCAACGATGACTGATACTCGAAGGTTAATCAAGGAGCCGAGTGCTTCGAAAGCTTGGGCAGTCTGCGCGGCCAGCTCTCTTGTGGGGGCGAGAACAAGTCCGTAGAAGGCCTGGGGTTTCTTGAGGAGATTTTGTAGGATCGGAAGTGCTGCAGCTCAAGTCAGCGTAGTTGGGTAGGGGAGAGCGACGGCGGATCCCGCCATCTCGAACAGATCGAGCTCACCGAAAGCGACCGTCTTGCCGGAACCTGCTCGAGTTAGCAGTCTGTCCACTGCGTTAGGAAAAGAAGCGCTATGTAGACGAACCTGTCTCTGCCAAACCAATGATGTCGCGGTCGTTCAGTGCATGTGGAATTGACTGGGCCTGGATTGGTGTCGGATGTTTATAGCCAAGCTCGTCGCAGGCTTCAACCAAGGAGTCGACGATACCCTGAAAGTATCACAAGTTAGAGCAAGCATCCCGAAGCCGGAAGGAGTCGTTGAGAAACATACGAGGTCCTTGAACGTCTTTTTGGCTTCTTCAGCAGTGGTCGCGTTGTCTTCGGCTTCAGGCTCTGATTCGGACGATTCGACGTCGACGGACTCGGCCGGGGACGGCTTTGTCTTCTTCGTATTGGCGACCTTGGCCGAGAAGCCGTCGTGCGACGTCTTGCGCTTTTTGATATCGCCCATTTTCGGTTCGTTCTTGGCTCGAGGGAAGTTCTGCAAAGTCGATCTTGTCGTTGTCGCGGCGCCTTGTAGGGAGAGCAGATTGCCGGTGACGAGGTGCTTAGGTAGTGCGATATCTGCGAAAAATAGTCCCCGCAGCCCCGCTAAAACTTTTTGAAATGCTTGTTCTGCCACCGAGGCGGTGTGACAGAAACGGGCGGTGAAGAGGATTATGGACTACTCATTGGTGACCTTAACCCATGTAGCGGGTCTGAGAGCGGCAGAAAATCCTAGGTACCTTTTAGCAGCAAAAAAAATCAAATTGAGCATTCGTTTGCTGAACACCACATCGCAGCCACCCCCGGATCCCGAATCCAACATCACATTTGCCCACAATGGCCAAACCCAGGCAGAAGAAGAGAACGCATGTCGGCGCTAACAATCCCCAAAGGCGGGCCGAGAACAATGCCGTCAGAAGCCCCAAGTCTTTCGTGGTGAGAATCGGCGCCGGATTGGTGGGCTCTTCAGTCTCTCAGCTGGCTGCCGATATCCGTCGTGTTCTGGAGCCCAACACCGCCTCCAAGCTCAAGGAACGCCGCGCAAACAGACTCAAAGATTACATCGTCATGACCGGCCCCCTGGGCGTGACCCATCTTGTTCTGTTGTCTCGCTCCGAGAGCGGCAACGTCAACCTGCGCCTCGCACTTACGCCCCGCGGTCCGACCTTCAACTTCCGAGTCGAAAAGTACTCTCTGTCCAAGGATGTCCAGAAGGCGCAAAGACGACCCAAGGGAAGCGCAAAGGAACAACTCGCTCCACCATTGGTACGTATTACTGTCCCCACGTCTATGGTAAAGCCTCGACTAACTCGTGCCAGCTGGTCATGAACAACTTCCACTCTCCAGACTCCGATGCGAAATCCAAAGTTCCGAAACACCTCGAATCTCTCGCGACTTCCGTCTTCCAATCTCTGATTCCTCCCATCAACCCCACAGCGACGCCTCTCAAGAACATCCGTCGAGTCTTGCTCCTGAACCGCGAACAAGATCCCGAGAACGAGGGCTCCTTCATCCTCAACTTCAGACACTATGCCATCACAACACGTGCCACGGGTATCTCCAGACCCCTTCGAAGGCTCGACAGAGCCGAAAAGCTGCTGGCTTCCAAGGTCGGCAAGAAAGGCGGCGTGCCAAACCTGGGCAAGCTCGAGGATATCGCCGACTTCATGATCGGCGGCGAGGATGGCGAGGGCTATATGACGGATGCCACAAGCGGCAGCGAGGTCGACACGGATGCCGAAATCGAGGTTCTGGAGCCGGCAGCCAAGAAGATTGCGAAGCAGCGCGCAGCCCCTGTGGAGGACGAAGCTGCCGACGACGCCGATGCTGTCGAGAAACGCGCCGTCAAGTTGGTTGAGCTCGGCCCCCGCATGCGCCTGCGCTTGACCAAGGTTGAAGAGGGTTTGTGTTCTGGCAAGGTCATGTGGCACGAGTATGTGCACAAAACGAAGGAAGAGGTGAAGGAGTTGGAAAAACGCTGGGAGAAGAGGAATCAGGAGAAGGAGGCCCGGCGGAAACAGCAGAGGGAGAACGTCGAGAAGAAGAAGAAGGCCAAGGCCGATCGAGGTGATGCGGAAGGAGACGACAGCGACGTAGACATGGACTACGACGATGAGTTCGACAGCGAGGGCCTGGCGGGTGACGCAGAGTACCAGGCCAATGAGGAAATGGAGGATGCCGGCGAGTGGGAGGATGAAGAGGAAGAGATTGCGAACGAGTGAACGAGTACGGACGAAAAGCCTTCAGGCACCACGGATAGATAATACCCAAGGAGTGGCTCCCCAGCCGATTGTGACAATACAAAGCCGTATATACGAGACGCAATTCTGAGCCTTGCGATATCCGGTGGCTGTTGATGAAGTGAGCCATATTGGAGATGGTGAAGCCAATCCAACCTTCAGCTTAACTTCCGAAGTGCGTCGGGCTTGGTTGCATATGCTGACCATTTATTGACTCTAATAACTAGGCCGTACGGAGACACCCACTGGGTATCGTGGCAGGACACAACTACATAAGAAGACATTGCTTCTGTTGAGGCCTCGTATATCAACCTCGTGACAACCTCCGCCATTCCGGATCAACAAGCACATTCGTCAAGTTTTGAGATACATGTTATTTTCAGCCGGTACTTGGGCTGTTGTACGACACCAAATTAGCAAGAGAAAGTGTTAGGATGGCCGCGTGTTTGCACCGTCGTTGGACGGCGTACCAGCTTGCCCCGGCCTAGCATCACCGAGCATGAAGACCAGAGACTTTAAACGTCGCATTCGGTGCTAGATTATCCAAAAGGCCGCAGACCTTGTTTCAAAACACCTTCTATTGCCGTCTTATTTGTGAAGCGGTTGAAAAAAAAGTTTCCAGTGTGTTATCCAGCCGGATTAAATTGTCCAAGTTTTGGTTCGGCCGTGGAGGAGCAGTAGCCAAGACAAACGAGCCCGAAAAACATTCCATGAACTCTATACCGAAAAAAGAGCTGACTGCAAGCGCCCAATCTTGTGATTATGGATGTCACCTCACCGTGTCAAGGTAGACACATCGGTCGAGTATGGATAACAGTTTGGTTGTAGGTACGAAGTATCGTGGAGAACGCTGCACGAAGCGTCTTGCCAGCAGCCCCGCCCCCGCCCCCGCCCCCGGATTACTAGGTAGCGTTGTTCTACTGAGTCGGACTATCTATTGGTGGCAAGGAGTCATTTCAGACGATTGCCCGTTCATTCCTCGAGACAGACGAGCGACGCAAGCCGCTCTCGAGCGGTAATGTATGCGTCTTGACTATCTTCTCACTGTGAAGTAGTGAGAAAAAAAAAGAAGTGTGAGAGCTCGCAGACTCTCTTGGGACAAGGTTAAGGTATTACTTCGTTTCATTCGGAGGCTTTCCGATGCGCTAAGGTAGTCAGTCAGGTCTTGGCTCTGCTGGAGCATGACTGCGCGTTGTTATTCCGCTTTCGGCATTACTCCCAACTAGACCTCTGCTAGCAGGCCGGCTCGCGGCACGGTGCTGGTGCTGTCTGCCCCTGTCTACCGTGGGCCAAGCGGAGACTCCGACCACTTCTCTTCCAGGTTCTTTTGGATGTGAAGCCACAACAAACTACTCCGTACCTACTGCGTAGTTTTGTGAAAGGCTTCTTCAAGCGAGGTATTGGTTTAAACTGAAATCACACATATCGCACAGCCGAATCATTTTCCTGCCCTAACTCTCATCTCATCTTAACAATTCTCGGTTTCTGTCGTTTGAGCTGACCTTGCAATAAGTATGCCGGATCTTTCAGATAAGTACGGCCCTGAGGTGCAGAAGGTCTCTGCCAGCACGCATATCGACGATATCATTTACCTCCTCAAGCGTGATGGCGGTGTCTTCGTTCAGGGGCTTGTTCCCGTCGCCGACGTTGACCAGGCATTTGAGGAGTGCCGTGAGCGTCTCGAAAGCGACGTTGAGTGGAACGGATCATTCTTTCCGAGTGAGTTGAGCATCAGTTCCAGTTCCAAGACAGTGTTATACCACATACCGACGCAAAGAATATTCTGCACTTATAATGCCTACAATTCCAATACTAATCTAATGTTAGAGGAGACCCAGCGGGCGCCGGCTCTACTCGCTCTGAGCCCCACGTACGCTAGAACTCAGATGATGAATCCAACCTACCAGAAAGTGTGTGAGCACTTCCTGACTACCAAGAGCTGGTTTTGGTGGGGAAATGAGAGGAAGCAGTCGGTTTCCAAGCCGTATGTCCACTCCTGTGCAGCCATGAGGATCGGACCCGGGGGAAAGGCTCAGCCCCTGCATCGGGACGACTATATCTCCCATAATATCCATGAGGAGATAGAAGAGTGGGATGACGAGCGAGACAAGAACCGAGAAACGGCTGTGGGTCTCTTTGTGGCTGGAAGCAAAGTGACGAAAGAAAACGGGGGAACTCAGTTCATCCCACGCAGCCACTTATGGTACGAAGACCTGGATCCTAGTTTAATGTTCCGGGCTCCAGCTTTGATCCTTGTCTGAATGATCTGGCTGACGAACAATTCTTTTCCTAGGGGCACTCACAGAGACTTACCGCCACGAGTCGATCAATGCATCTACGCCGAAATGGAGAAGGGCGACGCGTTCATCATGTTAGCATCTGCGTATCATGCTGGCGGGCACAACACAACTACGGATGAAAGACGTTTGATGTTCGCGACGTTTTCTATCAGAGGATATCTGAGGCAAGAGGAAAATCAATTTCTTTCCGTACCTCTCGATATCGCCAAGACGTATGATCGACCTATTCAAGAATACATGGGATACGCCATAAGTGATCCTGCTTGTGGATATGTGGACCAGATGGATCCCATTTTCTTACTGAGGCCTGATTTAAAGGGAGACGGACGACCTCGAGACTTTTGAGCCGCAGTAAAGACTGAGCTGCTTACAAAACATGTCGTTTACGACGCAGCACATTTTCTACTCCTCTTACACCAATACGACGCGAACGGCCGTCCAAGTGTAAATAGTTCAGCAATATCAACAATAGCGGCTGGAAATCATACCATTTCTAGTTATTTTGGTGCCGAGATGCTCCTCGGACTTACCACTCGAGCTGCTACCCCAGTCTTCACATAAGATAGTCAAGTTCGCGTATATTCTTGTCGCCTCTTGTTGTTGTTGATTCATCATTCGGGCCAATAGGATGTAAGTTTCTTTCAAGCAGAGCACTCAAACGCCAACGCGTACCTCCCGCAGCATATCACAATTGAAGAGCGGGATTGATGAATGCGTGGGATGAGTCAAGCAAAGCCATGTTGTCAGAAGAGTTGGCCGGCGCCGCGACGGCGGCGTTCGGCTTGCTCTTAGTCAGAACCCCACTTGTGCATGACCGACCACATGTGATGCAGTTTTCAGCGGTGGGCGCTACAAACAGGGCACAGCTCTAACTTCCTCTTTTCACCCCTCCTGCCACATGCAATAGTCACTTACGGAGAGGATGAACTCCCCTCGACAAGAAATCAGTGAAGATGAGCGCAAACGTAGTCATGGCGAAAGGTTCAAAGGCTGTTCGCAAAGGTAAGTCAGACTATATTCCTGCCAACTGGTGTTCAGGCAATTGTGCTCTTTTCAACCACCAAGAAAAGTTCTCTCAATTCAGCTCTTCAGGTCTTGATCTCCAGAGGTCAGCCTGTTTCCCCCTATTTCTGCTCATCTTACAGTAAGCCATGTCTTCAGCCAATAACTTGTCAAGATCCGGCATGCGGGACATGCCGAAAGAAATGTCGCAAATGCGATCGAACACGCCCCATTTGTAACCGATGCAAGTCCAAAGGACTGCACTGCGAGGGCTATCCCCCGAGATTCCAGTTCTGCGAATCAGCGCCCATCTCGACGGTGACCAACGGCAGCAAAAATGGAGGAGAAAATACGACACCTGTCTCACAAACGCGAGAACCCGGTCAAAGTCACAACCGTAGTGCACAGTCATCTCGAAGTCCTCAGATCTCTATTTCGACCGATCAGGAAGGCGAAACCAACCTAAACACGAGCCTGCAACTACATAAATCCCCTGACGCATCGAAGTCCCCTCGTAACATTTCGGTCGGATATCCGTCACCGATTCCCACTGAGGGACGCCCTGCTGATGACGAGCCCTTGGATGTACAGAGCCAGAAGTTATTGGTCTATTGTAAACCGCAATTCTCCATCCATGCCACAACTCAATTTCGCTGATTATATAAACTAGTCGATGAGAAGCTCAGTCAGCACTTGGCTATTGTGGTTGACGAAGCCGAGAACCCTTTTCGCCTTCACGTGTTGCCACTTGCTTATCAACACAACGGGGTTCTTCATGCTGTTCTTGGGTTAGCCGCCTGTCACCTGAACCTGTCGCCATCCGGGGATGATCATATCGAGATGGCCACTGCCTTAGAGCACCGCGTGATAGCTCTCAACGCCCTTAGTTCTCTTCTGATTAAAGAAGAGATATATGGCCTACCAGCTGCAGAAGAAGACGCTGTACTAGCCATAATTCTTCTTCTAGTACTACACGATGTGAGTAATATCAGATGAGCCTCTTTTACGAGTTCACTCCGACGATTTTTGCTACCCCTGATCTCTTGTCAGCCTGTATTGAGATACTGACTTTCGCCAAGATCTGCGAGATGGGCATATCCGCTCATGCAGTCCACTTGACAGGGGTATCCTTCCTTTGCGGGAGAGTTGCATTGGCCCTAGACTCATTGAGAAGGTCAAGCGCAAGCATGTTCTTCTTGTCAGCACTGGCTTGGTATGTCACACCCAAACCCAAAGATATGCTCAACTCTTGATTTAAGTAACACTTTGCTCTAGGCTAGATGTATTGAGAGGTTTCAGCGGTGCTGAGAAGCTCACATACTCGCAAGAAGTTCGTCAATGTGTTGTGGCTGACGTGAATGCTCGACACAGCTTTCATACTTTGGTCGGCTGTCCTCCGATCATGTTCTACCGAATAGCTGAGGTCATCGCGGCAGCAAAGCACCATATGGAGGACTCTCTATCGTTATCAGATTTCGAAGCAGTGGTGAACGATGCGGAAGTGTTCTTCCGTGGACTTGACGTAGAGAAACTCGACTACCCAACAGCTCATTCCGAATGGAAACATCTTGCCAATGCTTATCGAAATGCCTGTCTGCTGCGGGTGATGCGCTGGCCCGACACCTTCTCAATCCCGTGCGAGAGTGAGAAAATCAGGGCGTCGGTGGCGGATATTCTTGACTCTTGTTCTAGAGTACCGATGAGTTCTCCTTTTTACAAAAGATTACTCTTCCCACTCTTCTTGGCCGCCGTCGATACGTCCGTAAGCCACCAAGTGCATTACACAACATTGTGTATCCAGGAGATCAAGAGGTCGACTGGATTTCGGCATCCAGCCATGACCGAGATACTCGAAAACGTGTGGGAGGCTAGAACCAACAATACCCGCGGGTGGCCCAATATCCCCTGGATGGAATTTGTAAGTACATTTGTTGACTTGGATTGCGAAGGTAGTGAGTGACGCTGACGTTTCGGTGGTAGACTTGTTCCGAAGCTCTGAGACAACAACACGCGTACCTGTTCTTCTGAATCGCAGATTCTTTCCGCATCTTTTCTCATTCAAGACATAAATCAAGATAGAAAACCCCGCAGCTGACAGCATGTCGAGCTTCTACTTTATGAACCATTTTGGAACGGTTCGAACTCGAGACAAACAAAGCAGAGGTTCAGAGGCCTAGCCCATGGCGTGGAGTATTGCCATTTTAGGCATTAGACCCAGCTCGGAACCTTGCAACTAGGGTCGTCATTAGCTTGCCGAGAGACCACCTTCAATTTATAATAGTGCCATCTCAGATCGATCTTTTCAGATCTCATCTTTTCTCTTTCAACTTTGTTAAAGTTCTGGTAAATTTCTTGATTCTCCCCCTGAAACACCATACTCCTCTCACAGACGGCCATCTTGTACTTTCGTTATGGCAGCGACATCCAAGAATGAGACAGAGCTGGCAAAGGCCAAGAATCTTGCCTACGTACCAGGCGGAGACGAGTACGAGAGAATGATCTCGGGCATGCTGTGAGTAATACCCTTTTTGGTATATGTTGCATTGATGAGCCCATTATCTCGTCCGTTGCGCTGCATCACGTCCACAATGCCTAATTCTCTCTCGTACATGTAGATACAACGCATTTTGCCCCGAGCTTTCCCTCGCACGATTCCAAGCCCGCGCATGGATGCATAAGTTCAACACGTACTTCCCCGAAGGCCCGGATGCGACGGCGGAGGGTCTGGAACAGTCACGTTTCCGGATGCTGCGTGATCGTTTGGGCCACGTGGGAGACGGGAGTTTTATTGAGCCCCCATTCCGGATTGACTACGGCTTCAACATTAGCGTTGGCGACAAATTCTATGCCAACTATAACCTGACTATACTGGATTGTGCCATTGTTACCATTGGGGACCGAGTTATGATGGGTCCGAATGTGTCAATCTTTGCTGCTACTCACGAAGTTGAGGTTGAGAGTCGGCGAGCAAACATTGAATTCGCCAAGCCGGTTCATATTGGACACGATTGTTGGATTGGAGGAAACGTTGTGATTCTCCCTGGTGTTGCGATTGGACAGGGCTGTACAATTGCTGCTGGGTCTATCGTCACTAAGGATGTCCCAGCTTGGAGCGTGGCAATGGGATCCCCGGCGCGGGTAGTGAAGAAGGTGACACGGCTCGACTAAGCCCAGGACGCCGATGATTTAATAGAAAAGAAGAGAGAAGATACTCGGATTGCTCTGCGGGCATATAACCTAGGGCGCTTTAATTTCAATACGCCGTGCAATATAATGCAGCAAACCTCAATGAGACGTTTAATGCGAAGATTGTGCAGCTCGAGTAATCCTGACGCGGCTGACCAGGAGAAAGCGAAAGATAGTTACGGTTCTTCAAATCCCAACAGTCCTAGCTTCATAGTAACCGGTTAACATCGTTACCTTTACACAAAATAGTGCGTGCTATCCACCGTGGCATCTGCTTTTCACGGAAATGAATCCCGAAAAGCAGCGGCTGCGTGCCATGTGAGTGAGAAATACGACGAGGAGCAGCAAAGACCAAATCTACTAGAAGCCCCATCAAATGCGTGTAGCTAAGAGCTCTTATCATACGTACTAGACACTAATACTGCCTCACAGCAACCCGATCCGGCCCTTGTCTACTTTACTACTGGAACTGAACACTCACTTAACGCTGTGTCTTAATCAACATAAAGTCCATTAAGCATCCGAGCCTCTGGGACTCATTTGAACTTCATATGACGAAGTCTAGGGATGAAATCATAATAATTGCACTGTAACCTCAGTCGGTGATTGGAAATATGAGAAATATGTAGCTGTGATTTGACTGATGAAGACAACAATTGTACATGATCTTGAAGATTCTTTAATGCAGAGATGATGAATCTAACATAAAGACTCAAATAAAGGTTTGAGTCCCATTTGCAAGTAAAATATCATGCCGGTCAAGACCATCTTAACAGTAGAGGTCGGACTGGTCGTCAAAACGGCATCCCGAGTTTGAGTACCAACGAGTGTACAACTAATGTGAGCGACGGTTAGAAGGTCTTGTGTGACAGCCCTATGATGACTTACGTTGATAGTACCACCGTCACCCTGAGACCAGAAGGCGTTGTTTTTCCCCATGTAAAAACAGTCGTAGCTGGCAAATAATTAGGGCCGACACAGTAGAGAATATTAAGGACATGACTAACTCTGTCTTGGCAGGGAAAACTGAAAGCTCTTCGCTCCGAAGACCATAGATACCCTTAGCATCCTGCACGTCATAAGCCTTGTTGTAACAAATGGCCGAAACAGCTTCAGTAGAGTTTGGGTTGTGATCCATCATGATCTGAGTCGTGAGCTGCGTGAACTGTTCCCGTGCCTTAACATGATATTAGATGCATTCTAAAAATCCAGTCCAAAAGCTTGTATTGCGCATACCTTATTCCAGTCAGAAAGGCTTTTGACCTGGCTAATAGCGGCGGAGCCTGCAGCGTAAATGGCTTGTCCGTAACCAACATTGTTCGCGCTTCCAGTATTCAGCCGCCTGGTAAGGGTTGGATCATTCACTGCTTTTGCAAAGGCAGCCTTGTACTCAGTCTCAATGGCATCCCAGTTGGGCTTGAAGCCATCAGCCTCTATGGACGGAGGACCCTCGATAGAACGAACGTAGAGGGTATCGGGGACCGGGGAAGTCACTGAGACGCCCAAGAGAGAGAAAAAGACAAGTCCCTGAAAATGCATTCTGAAGCGTTCAAGAAAGAGTGTGTAAAAAGAATGTAATGGGATCTGAGTTGACGGACGAAAAGAATCAAAGAAAGTGATCGTTAGCTGTTGAGTCCAAGAAAGAGAGGCAAGCCCTTAGGCAGGAGTAATCTAGTTAAATATTCATGGCATTTCTAATCAGTAAGCCTGGATGGAAACCAAACGCGAATACCAAAATGTCCGTCGGACTCCGCGGATCAATCGGATGTCTTGTTTAGTGATGTGGAACGTTGACAGAACTCATCCCATGAAGACGTAGATTAACGTAGGCTAAGCTTTTGATAAGGGATGAACCATAGGTTGTCTATCGCACACTCAACTTCATACGGTGTTGCCAAGAAAAGCTTCTTTCCAGCCTCATAGGGCGTGGAAGTTCGGACTCGTCGGGAACCATCCGAAACAGGGGCCAAACCTTTTTAGATGATGTCCGTTGCCATTCTCGTATTGGACTGTGCACGCACGGCAAGAACACCTATGTCGATCATCTGGGGAACCCAGCTTCGCCCCGCGAAGCCTCCCTATGTCTGAAGCAATTCTTTGAGTCAGTGCTATTAAGAGAACCAAGGGTAATATCCACTAATACAATGCAATCATATACTCGTGTTGCACCTGACGAGATATCTATGATAGGTATGTTAATGAGTACTTGTCTGATGATGGATGAAATGCATATTTAGGTTGGGCATTCGCCAGTTGAAGGCGAACAGCTCTTCACTCAATATCACAAATCCCTTCGTTTATCAATAACCACAATCGCTTTTGTCATCGGACAATATTTTATTATCCTGCTTCTTCGTTCTTATCGCCCAAAACCCCGAATTTAAGATGAAGTTTTTAGCACTTGTCAGTGTTGCTGCCTTGTAAGGAGCCCGATTTCCCCCAAAATATGAAGATTCGGATGAATTCAGCTGACACTTCAACAACTCAGTCTCGGCGTTTCTATTGCCGATACGCACAATTTCTGCTCTTGTGGGGTTCGACATGGGTCAAACTCCGTCCAGGACGCCTACGTACGATGATGCGCAGATGATCGAAAGGTTACGAAGCTTAGTATGCTGACATACTGCAGTGGGACTTCGACACCAATGCGACAACTTACGCATGTGATAGATACGCCAACAGAAATACTGGCACAAATCAATGGGACACCTGTCCAGACTGTGAGTTCTTTCTCTTGGACATGGAAGTAGAATATTCTGATATTAGGCTAGGCAAGATGGACACCTACGCTATGGATGGATGGTCAGGAACACCAGCCTGCTTTTCTTTCGGATTTCACATGGGAGGCGACGAGTTTGACTACTACTGCGGGTTGAAAGGATGGCAAGGATACTGTAAAAGCGCCAAATAGTGCACGCATGTTTTGTAATAATTCTTAAAACACTTCAACCTACATCCTACACGGTGGGTGTCACTAGTAGAAGAAGTGTAGTCATCGCGTGTCACAAAAAAAAAAAAAAAAAAAGCCGTATCATGCAACACCTGAAGGAACAGCTTTCCACATAAATCACGATGCAAGGCTAAATACTCATCACTTAACACAATGAGAGTTTAAAAGCCCTCTGTGAATTGCTAGTCTTCCACCAATTAAGTGAGCTCTGTAGAGATCCGGAGCTCACCAGTCCTGTCTCTCTAGAGCTCACCAGTACTTCATGCGGCCTCAAGAGCCCACTGAACTGTGTCACACAGGTCCTCCGCCATTGCATGGGTTCAGAGCGGAGTTTATTGCCAGAAAGACTTTCCTCCCAGTTTCAGTGAATATGGGACATGTATCAAGCACTGGTAAGGTTTATTTGTATGAAATATCGACGAAAATGAACACTCGTTCAACTTGCAAAACCGTCCTTCAATCGTGGCCTGAGAAACGTCCCTGAAGGCATTTGCAGCTTCCCGGAGAGGAGCCATGGGGCCTGAAAGAGACGAAGCCCCTTGACCGATGACGACTGAGAATATCACACCGACAATATCGCTCAGATCGTCAGGTCTGATTTGGTTCAAGATTCCTGTGCTGATTGACCCTCCCCTGCCTTCATCAACGTACTCACGCACCCGTTTCAAAATTCCCTTGCAAGTATCCTCAATCTTGAAGTAATCAAACATTATGTCGGATACTTCATCATCAATAGCCAAGCACACCTGATGAACGAGCTCAACTGGGCCGAGAGCTCTGGGGACCTGTTCATAAAGCCAAGAAGTCAGCAGATAGTTACTATGTTGATAGGATAGAAGCGTCAACCCCCACGTTACCTTTCTGCTCTTTTCGGGTGAGTCTGCATTGCCTTGACCGGAACTCTCGTTGCCGCCCCCGGGTTGCCCTGAAGTTCCATGTTTCTTGAACCAGCCGCTTCTCTCAAGAATCTGATCAATGGCTTCGGCGTTGAGACCTCTGGAATCTGAAGAGACAAGCATTGTGCTACCAAACGCCATCGATACAAGAGCCTTGAACTTCATAATTCTGACGCCGGCTTGAGATCTCGGAATTGAGCCCTTCTTCTTGCGACCAGGGCCAGGGATCCAATGAGTTGCAGATATTCCTTTGGTAAGACCAAAGTTCTTTGAATAGGCCTCGGGGGACCTTGGCGGATTTCCAACGAAGAAGGTTGAATCCCCTTGCATCTTCATCATGAACTCGAGGTCATCCCTCTTCTCATCTTCGCCCAAAATGTTCTCCTGACGCAGCGCTTGATAAAGCTGTACAGTGTGCATCACGTTTCCGGGCTTGGAAGCGTACTCGATGCCAAAGCGATGAAACAGGACCCGAACGTCGTGAGTGTGTAGGCCACAGAACATGGGATTGTGAGCCAAAAAAACGGGTTCTCTGCGGGTTATCTTGAAAGCCTGACGTGTGAGACTGAAGATATCGTTGTCTGACGCCCACATGTTGACCACTGTGGAGATTTCTTTCATCGCTGCCCTAAGTTCAGGGCTAAGGGCCGCAGAAGCTTGCGACACATTCTCAACACAATCTGATATTGACCTTGTAATTTGCCGCATGTCTTTCTCACCCCTGTCAACGTCGGGGCCGAGAAGTTTGAGTATGTCCAGGTAGCTCTGGGTTGCAAAACAAAGCCAGATGCCAGGGACCTTCTTCGTCGTCATCATTTGTTTGAGGCCTCTTGTAAACTCGTCCTGTATCTCAACTCCCTTGAGTGAGGCGAAGATAAAAGTCAGGTCTGAGAAGACCTCCAAAAGAGCTGCCTTGTCCTCTTCCCATTGTTGACGATGGTTTCTGGCTGTTCTACGGCGATCATACCAACCGAATTTGCCGGAATAAAATGGTTGTTCCTCGGAGATGGAGACATTCTTGTAGGCATTCAACAGATTAAGGGCGTTGTAAAAGAACTGGTTGCCTTCGGGGTAGCAATCGTAATTGAAATCGTCGGTAGGCCGCTGTATTTCGTCGTAGTCCAAGTTGCGGGAGGCACAGGCCGATGAGTAGGTCATGGGGATTAGCTCCATGACACCCCCAATCCTGTCAAGTAGCGTGGAAACCTCTTCCTCCATGCTGCGGGCAAGTTGGAAAGCTGTGTTCGTGGCTACCGAGACAGCGGCAAGATCTTTGGTACCTGCCCTGTACTCGTTCCAGAGGTCGGTGATCTCCTCACGCAGTTGGAAAAGATCGGCGAGAAGACTCGAAAACACAAACAGAGATTCGGTTTTCGGGTCTTCTTCGGCGATGTACTCCACGTCGACATGAGTGGTAGAGGCAACATCAGGCGCGGACAAGAAGCTCTCCGACGGTTCGTATACCCTCAAAGATTCAAACATGTTTCTCGCCTCAGCCGTGCTCTTGTTCTTGTCGTTGCTCTTGACCTCAACGGTAGGCAAAGCGTTTCTCAGTGCTCCAGTGTCAAATGGGCCGACATGTGATTTGAAGGCATCGCGAACCTTCTCAAGAACGGTGACAAAATAGGCATGCTGCCTGTCGCCGATTACGTTGCGAAAGGCTTGGAACTTTCCTAACAGGGAAGAAAAACGTTTCCGCGATTCGATGACACGGTCGAGTGCGGCGGAGAAGAAGTCGGGCACTGGCAGTGTCGAAGACAGGGTACCGGAGATATGTTCGGCGAGGGGAACGAAGTCCTTAATCGCGATGATGTGTTTCGGCTTCGCGTCAGTCGGGGCGGTAGATGCAGCCGCTTGTTTCTTCTTGGCCTCTTTCCGAGCCTTGCCTTTCAACCTTTGCGAGCTTGAGGCCACCGACGAGCCATTGACTTGATTCAAAGGTGCGGAATATCCAGTTTGGAGAGCAGTTGAGGCCAGCCAAGAAGCAACAATGTTTGTATCCTGCTTGTACTGCTGATACGTCGATCTGAGGCTCGTGGGAAGCATTTTGAGAGAAGAAATGATGCTGAAACAAGCTGATGCGGCGACAATGCTTGCGAACTGAGCAAAGTGAGGGAATAAGGCAATCGATGAAGCAAGGCGTGCTTTGAAATGCACAAGTTTGATGAAGTCCGGGGTTTCCGGCGTCCGCTGAGTTGTGAGATGTTGGATGCACGCTGTTGGGGGCAAGAAACACGACGCGGGGTTAGGACCACGCGTGTCTGAAATTCACGTGCTTTCGCGTGAGAAAAAGAAAGCATAACTAGAATGACGTTGATTATTGTTGCTTCATGGGGTGCTCACTTGACCAATGAAACAAAAGCTTAAATGAGTTGGTGGAGTGAACCATTTCAATCTGTTCGAAACCATCCATCCCTTCATGCCAACGCGATCCCTGTGGTGTCCCCCAACTCCGCAAAAAGGACTGTCTTCTCTTTGGTCTTGACGTCTACAGCGTAGACACCACCTGACAGATCAGTCACAAATACAACACCCGCATTCTTATCCAAAGCCAGGCCAATCGTTTCGTGCAGGCGAATTGCCAACGTCTCTTGACGTCCCATGGTGGCCACATGCGCTCGATTCAAAGTGTTGCCGGTTGGGGGGTCGCCACGATCTGTCCAATACAGCGTCCCAGTCTCTTCATCTATTTCGAGATCGATAGGTTCTGGAAGCTTCTCGAAGACAACCTCGGGCCTCCGTGGTTCCTCCCCAGCAGGGCATTGAAGTGGTGCCCGAAGTATGCGACCTTGGTTTCCTTTCGATGGACCTTTCTGTGTCCAGTAGAAGTACCCATGTTCCTCGTCAACAGCGATGCCAACGCACCAGTTGTTTTGATCCAAGCGGTCCTCTTCTGTGCTGCCGGTTGACACGAGAACTTCGATGTTGGAACCGTCGATATCGGCGCGCATGACCTTCATGCCCTCTCGATCACACCAGTACAGCTTTCGGCTCCGGGTTGCGATGGTGATTTGTTTTGGCGTGAAAACCCCCAGGGTACCGGGAGGAACAACAGTCTTCCGATCAGACCCGTCTAAGCTCGCCCTCTCGATAGAGCCACTATCAGACTTGAAGCTAGTGCCCATGTTGGTCCAGTACATGTGGCCCTTCGAATGATCGATAGCAATGCCATCAGGGAGCGTTTCCATGTCGCTGATGACAGTCTGAAAGTCTCTTCCATCAGCAGCACACGATAAGATGCGGCCGCAACGCTTTTGCCGACCGGGATGTGACAGGTCGGTATCCAGAATGTAAAGACGTTGTTGCGGCTGCGAACCCATGATTGTTGATGTGTGTGATTACGAATGTTGTATTGAAGTTGCGTGGCTTCCTAGACGTGGTGTCAAGCCATTCAAATGCTGCGGAGCGCTGGGCTTCTTTTATCATTACATCCACTCGCATGCCGGGCCGTTGTGTCAAAGAGGTTCATGCGACCAATGCCCCAGTTGGGCCCGTCGCGTGGCTCACAAGATTTTCCACGATCTCGACCGCGAGGTCGTGCTGAGTTGTTCCGCTACCGGATGCTCTCAGCCATGAGTCGGCAATTCGCCTTTCGGTCTCCGTACGTACTTCACCTGGCTACACGATCAATGGCCCACCGTGGTTCAAGCGGCCAAATTCCGCGTTTCCGCATCGTTCCGCATTCAGGGATCCCTGACCTTCACGACGGGGCCGACGTCATTCTCCCTCTCGCGTCTGCGTAGATTCTCGTCAGATGGTGTTTCTCAGAAGTTCATTGAAGTCATGGCTGGTTATGTTGACAGGTTTGTATCGTGGAAGTTGGAATGATCCCTTCTGCCAGTGCGATGCAACATTATGTCGCTGGTTACTTTTGGTTGCCTGATACGATTCTTTCTCATTTCTTTTTCATTTTAGACTTATGGAATGGAATGTCTGAAACGCAACGAAGTATAACGGGATTAAATTGGGGAGAAAACGCTAAGATAACATAACTTTTGGCTCAAATGCCCATTAAGATGACTTCTTCTGAGCCTCTGCATATCCGTCCCATTCTTTGCGAATGTTCAGCAACCGCACCAGTTCCTCGTCACGTTGCTTCGCCAGCTGCCGATATTCCCTCCCAGCAACCCCTTGCATTGTACCATCCACCCACTTTTGCTTCAATTCATCAGTAACTTCAGGGTCCTTGGGCGCATACCAGGTCATCAAAGGCCCCAGTAAATGGTCCGCCATGTGCTTCACACCACCCTCACCGCCCCCCAGATGCAACAACAAGCTTGGGCCCATGACGCCCCACCGCAGACCGGGACCGTAGCTCATGGCGTTGTCAATGTCTTCAACATTGACCACGTCCTCCTGAAGGAGATACATGACCTCCCTCACTAGTGCTGCTTGCAAACGGTTGGCAACGTGTCCCACGACTTCTTTCTTGACGTGCACAGGCTTCTTCCCCATTTGCGCGTAGAACTCCATGGTCTTATCCACAGTTGCAACAGATGTTTGTCTGCCCCCTACAACTTCGACCAGCGGAATGAGGTGTGGTGGGTTGAATGGGTGGCCGACCACGCACCGCTCGGGTCTACTTGATGCCTGCATGCCGTCTTGAATGCTTGAGCATGTCAGACCGCTGCTACTTGTAGCGATGATGGTGTCAGGACGGATGATGCTGGCCATGTCGTTGAATAACTTTTGTTTGAAGTCGAGCTTTTCCGGGCCATTCTCTTGAACGAAGTCGGCGTTGTTGAGTGCCTCTTGCATGTCGGTCGTGAAGAGAATGTCCGAGACGTTGGCTTGGAGGTTCTTAACCAGTCCAAGCGATGAAAGAACCGGCAGGGCATCGGCAACAAGATTACGGAGGAATGTTTCCGCCGCAGGGTTGATGTCGAATGCGGTGACGGTGAGACCTTGGGCTAGGAACAGTGCAGCCCACGATGCACCGATAGAGCCACAGCCGATGATGGCGACTCTTTGAATGTTGGACATGGTGTTGAGTTAAGGTTGCAAAATTATTGACTGATGTTTTGTGCTTATTGGAGGGGAAAAAAGAGTTTGGTTTTCGGGGTTTGAGGTATGCTGTTGTAGTCTGATTGAAGTCGAAGGCACAAAACGATTGATAGCTAAAAGTGCGTCCCGAAGAGCGCTTATAAGTTTCCAAGTACTTGACAGAACAAAGATTTTTCTGTAACTTTTGGTACCCTCCAAGAATTACGTCGGTATTAATGGAAGATTCGATGAGGGTTGCTGGGAGTACTTGGAAAGAGAACTCACTCCATGCGACGGGGGGGCCGACACGGGACCAACACCTTGACCCGGGCCGATCCCGCACAGGAGCCTCAAAGCTCGGCGTGTCTTTCAGGGATCCACAATGCCGATGTTCCCGCGTCAAGACCAGGCTCTTTTGTGGAGAGAATGGCAGAATTCCGCTCGCGGAATTGCAGTGGCGGGTCCGTGACTCGTGGGCCAACTCCGGATCACCAATCTTGGCGATTCCTGCTCCCTGTTCGTGGAGTTCTAGAAAACTTCTCCCAGGCCAGCTATTGCAATACGTCAACACCGTCCTTTCCTCCTGCTGCCTGATTCCGCTGTCTGGACCGCCGGCACTCGCGCTGAGGTATTTCCGACTCGCAGAAACCTTGCATGAGACACTTTTGAAAGATTTCCAGCTAGATCCGAGACTGGGTCAACGTCATTTCTTCCGTCTGGATGGCCCCACACCCTCGGCCCTCGCGGCGCCTGCTGCCGTGATGAGCTCAGGGTTCTCCCGACAGCGGCTGTTCCATTCGATCCGCACCGGTCGCCGAGATATCTTCGCCTTTACTCCGTGTCCACATGGCGGAAAGACAAGCGTCTTGTGCTCACCCTTACCCCGGCTCCCGCACCATCGAAAGGATATAAGTCGAGTGACTCTCCTAGACTCAACGTCTCTTCAGTCTCTGACATATCCAATCACACCATCCTCTCAACACAATAACCACAATTCGTTAGGAACACTGCATTACGTCTCATATCGTCGCAACCTCTTTGACAAAAGATTAATTCTCTCCCAATGGCTTCCGACAAGATCCCCGACGTCTATGGTTCAGGCACCTTTACGGACAAGACCTTCACTCCCGTACCAGAGGACACTCAACGCATCTTCCGCCTCATCGCCAAGCAGACTCCTGGCTTCACACAAGATGAAAAGCTGCTTTCAAAGGTCCAATTTACCGGAGAGTCATACCCTGTTATTCCCGGTCCCATCAAAGCAACTTCAGTTGCGGCTGCCCTGCATGCTATGACCGGCGTTCTTGCCGACGAAATCCTCGCTCTTCGCGGCGTGAAGAACGATGAGCGTCAAATCACTGTCAACACCACCCACGCCGCGATTTGGTTTGGCTGTATCGCTACAGCGTTTCTTGACGGTGTCGACGTCGTCAGCCTCGTCAAACAGGGCAAGTTGAAGGAGCTGCTGCCCGACTGGGAGCAGGGCTGGACAGACACCCCGCTGAAATACCGTGCCACCGGCCTGTACCCCACAAACAACCCCGAGGTCTGGTACTCTCTTCACGGAAGCATGAACGCCGAGCCAGTCCTTCGGTCCATCGGAGTCGATCCCGCTACTCCCATCAAAACCCCAGAGGAGGCAGCTGCTCACATTGCCCAATACACCTCGAAGTTGAGTCCGGAGAAGATGGAAATGACGAACCTCATGAACGGTTTCTGCGGTAGTATCTGCTTTACTCCAAAGCAGTGGCGCGAATCCGAGATGGGACGTTCGCTTTCGAAACATCCTCTGGTCAACGTGCAGAAGCAAGAGCAGACAATTCCCACCCCTCCGGTATCTTTCCCCCCTCTGAGCCCCGACGACAAGCGCCCCTTGGCCGGCGTCAAGGTTGTCGAAATGACCCGTGTCATCGCCGGTCCGGAGATCGGAACCATCCTGGCTGCTTACGGCGCCGATGTGATTCGTGTCAACCCTCCCCACTTGCCGGACATCAACATCATGCAGTTGACCCTTAATGCCGGCAAGCGCACTATTGCGATTGATCTGCGCAAGGAGGCAGACGCTGCTCTGCTGAAGTCTCTTGTCTCCGAATGCGACGTCTTCATTCAAGGCTTCCGCATTAACAAGATGCCCAAGTTCGGCCTTGGCCTCAACGATCTGCTGAAGATGGCCGGTGATCGTGGCCGTGGTATCGTTTACGTGAGCGAAAACTGCTACGGCCCCGACGGATACTATGCCGAGCGACCTGGCTGGCAGCAAATCGCAGACGCGTCTGCTGGATCGGCGTACGTCACTGGAAAGTCGCTGAAGCTGCCCAACAACGAGGCTGTCCTCCCCAGCTTGCCCATTTCCGACATGTCGACGGGCGTTCTTGGAGCCGTTGGCGCCATGCTGGGTCTCAAGAGGCGGGCTGTCGAGGGCGGAAGCTACTACTCGCATGCCAGCCTGACTGGGGTGAATGCTTACGCTCTTACCGAAGAAGTTGGACTTTACCCCGAAGCTACCGTGGAGGAGTGCAAGGAACGCTTCCAATGGGGTGAAATGAGAGGATCTCACCATGTCCTCGACCTGCTCGTCACCGTGTGGAATGGTTGGAAGAAGGTCCTTGGCGATTACCTTCAGCCTGAGAGCGGCTGGTTCCAAAGCTTTGACGCCAGCGCGTACGGCAACAAGCGCTTGAGCATTCTCAAACCAGTAGTCAAGTTTGAAGGCGAGCGGGAGACCACCCCAGAGTGGAAAACACCGAGTGTGCCTTACGCGAACGAAAAGGCAGACGCGGTCAAATTTCTTTGAATAATGTAAAATAGCTATAAACTCTTAATGGAATTCGCGATCTGACGTTTTTGCATTTCAGTCAAAATTCCCTGTGTCGTACCCGGTGTGAGAGTCAACGCGGCCAGGCAACTCAATGCTAGCGAACGCGGTTTTGTACAGTTCTGTGAGCACACCATTTGTCTCTAAAATTTCAAGCATTGCCCGCTTGCGATGTGATCTAATCAAGTCACACAGTCAGGCAAAACCCCGTTTTGGATGGGTTGATGCAGCGTCGCTCAGGCTTGCAGCTGTTAGACTTGCCGGATCCAAGAAGGTCTCGGGACAGGGCGCTAGACGTTGCTACTGAGTCTAGACTGCAGAGTGTGGTCCTGAAATGCTCTCTTGCCTACTGCTCCTCACATGTTGTCTCTTGGCTGAGCGGGAACACATTCCCACTCGACCACACGAACTGCGTAACCCTAAGAACGACTGCATTAGAGATCTTGCGTCTACTTTGCAAAATGATTCTACCGGGCTTCTTAGCGAGAAAACAAGCACCAGTGCGCTTGTTTTCATGCTTGACGAGGTCTGAAACATTACACAAGCTTCTTTTTAGTCCATGCTAACCCCGCAAACCAGAGTGCTTCCTGGAGTCCCAAGTTCACCAGAAGGTATATCATGTTGGGGCTATGGACATGCTTCGAAGCAGGGGTGTATTCTCTCTAGCGGAATGAAAGAACAGTTCCAGTCGACGATACCTATTTTGACCAACCCTGTTACGTATTCTAGCCATTGCCAAAACATTTGGGGAAACGTACGATGAAGAGATCCCGGCACATACGTAATAGCACAAAAGAGAAATGTACTTCATATAGTTTTCAGGTTGAACAATATACAAGAATGGGTTCAAGCTATCCATCACTGTTGACTGAGGCTATCCTTCCGGGCCATGACGGGTCATCCACAAGCCATTCAAGACTTTGAAACTTTGCTTACATGCGACCCAACACCACCGCGGCAAAGTCAATGAACCGGCACTGAAAAAGAAAGAGGGGCAGTCAATACGGGTCATGCGTACGTAAGGGCTTCATTCGAGCATACTCAACTCCAGAAGTGTGCTCGAGCGATTATGCCCTCGAGTGCGACCGGGCTACATTACATCCCAAGATACCAACTGCTTCTTTTTTCTGCATGTTGTACCTCCTAATCTCCCTTTTAATAGTTATACTTCTTACGCGCTTGCTTCTCAATAAAGGAAGGCCACAATAGGTATAAGAACTGTGCAAGAGCATATGGAAACCTAGGCAGCACAACGTTGCCTGTTACTCCTGAATCAACTGAATCGACGCATCTTTCCGCGACGTAGTTGATCTTCAGTCCGTGTACATTTGGGTCATCCTCCCTCACTGGGCCGGAGTCGACCGCTGATGCGCGGAAATTCCCTTCGATTGTTGCTGGTAGAATGAAGGTGAACGCGATTTTCGGATGCTCAATAGCCAAAGATTGAAACAACAACAGGGATGAAGCCTTGGTTGCTGCATAAATGGCCCGAGTCGGCGCGGGGATGACTGCTGCAACTGAGGAGACGAGGAGGATAGATGGCGATACGGACGTCCTTGTCAACATCGGAATCTAATACCTTGTCAGTTCCACAACTCAACCTATTGAGTGGAGGGGTCTTACAAAAGACAGCGCCGACGTCAAGGGTCCATTGAAGTTGCCTTCAACGGCGCGTCTGGCAATATCGACAGCTGTTTGGATGCCGGCAACTTCTGCATCCTCGTCATCGGACTTGATCCCGGCGAGAGCCATGACAGGCTGTAAGGCTGACACGCCCGCGCAAATGTGTAGTGTATCTATGCCCCGCCACTCTCTCTCAAGCCGGGCCCTTAGACTGACCAAGTCGTCAACGTTGCCAAAGTCTGCAGCATGCCAAATAGTCTTGTCTCCGCATTCTTTGGCCAGGCTTGCTATCTCGTTCGCACGTCGCGCGACGACACAAACACGTGCCCCGCGAGCTGCATACTTCTTAGCGACAGCGCGGCCTACGCCGCTTGAAGCACCGAGGATGAGGACACGTTCGCCTGCATGCGAGAGGTGTTTGTCTCTCCTTCTTGATCGTTTTGCTAGCTGTCGCTGAGCTACAAGGAGGACCAGTGCAGTAAGGGCCAATGGAACAACAGGATGGGCCATTTTCAACTATGCGGAATCGGTGTACAGGATATCATGGAAGCTCGGCGGGATTTTTTGGTTCGGCGAGAGACATGGAGCGTCCGTGTCACGTGCTCTGCGCCACGGGACGGGCCTCGGCTTCCACAGGTGATCCCCACACTCATCCTTGAACATTCCTGCCCAGAATTCATTAAGGTAGGGAGCGTAGGAGCTCCCATCAAACATTCGTCCATGCAGGATATGCGCAGCCTGCCTCCCGCTTTGGAAGGACTCAACAGCGACGCTTGAGGCATCCCTATTCCCCGCCTTCTTGCTCAAGTTTGGGGACGTCGTGGTCTATTCCTTCCTCAGACCCCCACCCACTCTACTCCAATACGCAGGACCAGTCTGATACACCTTCCGTAAGACACATTGTCAACAGTACGCGCAGTCATTTAACGTCAGGCACAGGGGAACATCTTCCATCCTTTTGTCGTATCACTCAAGCAAGATCTGCGCGATGTCGTGGAATTTCCATGTCAATGCTCACCTTCCGAGATAAAAACTGCAAAAGAGGAAGGCTCTGACAACTTCATTTGACATCTTCGAAGAGCCCCTTCCGACCCTAATTGTCTCTCCCCCCTCCCTAGGTTCGCTTTTGTCTTTCATCAACTTCATTCTTTGCAAACTCCAACTTCATTCTTGACAGACCCCGATTTCATTTTTCGTTGCCAACCCCGATCAACCCCCGCAATATTGATCAAGCATCATCACAATATTCACGACACTGCAGAGCTATCATCGTATTCTGGATACTTCATCATGGCCGTCTTCAGCAGCCTTTACCAGCTCGTGGCCAATCCCACATACTCGCACTATGGCCGTCAGCCGACGGCCACGGCACAAGGTACGATTCGTCTATCATCCATCATCACGACGACCTCTGCCAACCAGCATCCTATCTGACTTCCTCCCTGTCGTCGTCTACAATCTCCTCCGCCTGCTTCACTGTGTTGATCCTCCATCTCTTTCTCTACTGTTACTCACGCATCGCGTCTACAGAACCGCCAAACTGGACAAAGGCACCCGGTCGAACTCTGGCGCTGACCCCCTGTGGGAGAGTTGAAAGACGTACCCGTGGGGATGCCTACGTCAGATACGAACTCGGCAGAGTCGACGACCATTCCATCAACGGAAGTCAGCTCTGTCTTCGAACCATTTAGTACATTCCTAGCAGGCCTCTCCTGCCGGAACGTGTTGCAATCTGCCCCGAAAGTCTTATTCACGCCGAGGCCTTCGACCTATGGAATCGTTACTGGTCTAGTCGGGCTGAAGGACGACGAAAGACTGTCCCTGCCATCGAACCGCCGTCGTACGAAGGCATCATCGGTCACTGGTTCGACAAGGAAGGACGAGTCTGGATACGCATCAGGGATGGAAAGGCAGACCCAGACCTCGACGAGGTTTATGATCTCTCTGAGGAGTACATGAGAGTGTACTTGTGTTCTACTCTGGAGAAATACTGGACATCCTTCCCAGACTGTCATCGCCCGAAAAACCTGCCACAACGGCGCCGGAGCCGCCGACTGGCCGGATGGCTGAGATGCTTCACCGATGGTATGGCTCTCGATTGCATCATTGGCTGATCCAATTCTAACTAGTCCTTAGGTCCACCTGTTCCGAAGAAGGTCAAGACCCCGAAGCTGCCGGCGAACCAGGTCCAGCAGGAGATGCAGCAGGGTCAAAACCAGAAAAATAAGCGTGAGAGTAACTTCTTTCGCCGTAGACACCGGGTTCCGGGGGAGACTCCAAGGCAGTCTGATGAACAGAAGAAGCATCAAAACGATGGCGAGCACCCGGCTCAAACGTCTGCGTCTCCTAAGCCAAAGGGCCAGGAGATTGAGAACCAGGACAGCAGCGAAGGAAGGCCGCGAATGCCACCTGCTGCATGATTACTCTGGTGTTTCTGGTGCAGAGACTTGGCCCGATGCTATGTCAGCGCTGATCAACGGGAGATACACAAGATGCCGGCGGGCTCATATCATGTGCATAACAGCTTGAAGGGACAGCGGTAGTATTACCAGCGAATTATGCGTTACAGTTTATAGATCGGTCAACACAATTCAAGCGTTTTCACTACAAATGACATTACCGTAACTGGCAATGATGTAGTTGACTTCGAAACAGGGCAACAACAGAGTGAGAAAAGGGTTGACAATCACCACAATAGCTGTTCTCTTCGTTTATTTGCTGCAGAGAAGAAATTTTGGAATGAGAACGTCTGCATTGCAACGAGTCAGTACCGCTTAATTGTATCTTGTGCGATTGTCTCACCCTGGGCTTCTTCTCTTCCCCTCCACCTTAGACTTCGCACCCATATCCCTAGTATTGAGAACAAAACTTTCCATGCACCGTTGTGTCAGACATCGGAATCACCGTGTAGTAATCAAATGAGTAGGGTTGCCAAGTAGGTCGCCAGCGCCAGCCAGTCCGAGGGAGTTATTATATTGCTGCACAGCCTAATTCTCGTAGCGATGACTCGTGCATCTATGAAAAAACGCAATTGAGCATTAAAGTTTGAAGAATTTCTATCTTTACAGACCGGGATGATACTGCTTTCTCAGACTTCTGCATTATTCTTGACGTGTTTGAGATACAACGCAGAAGAGTCCAATCAAACCTTGCTCACTTTACCTACGAGTCAGAATCTTCAATTAAGGGGGCCGAAGACATTTATATAGAGACTGAAGAGATTCCAATGACAACAGCATTGCTTAAGCCTACTTGAGGCTTTAAGATTTCACTTCCAACTTCAATATACAGAACCATACAATTCAAATCAGGCCTCCTCTTAAGTTTCTGTTGTACAACCACATTATCTCACACATCATTTTTATAACTCTCCCCACTATGAATTTGATTACTGCAGCATGTTTTCTTTGGATTACAGCAGTAATGGGCCAATCCTGCACTGGCAATGAAATTCAGGTTTGCCAGGGCAACCAAATTAAGTTCTGTAACATTGCAAAGAACAATGTGTTTGACGTAAGTTCTTCATCCGTCACATTCATCAACCAACATTAGGTATGCTTACCGGATTCTGTGTTTTAGTTGATGGATTGCGGACGCCAGACGTGCGTGAACGTTGCGGGAGGGGCGAAATGTCAGTAGAAGGATAGTGTTCTGCCAGGAATTTCAAAGTATGCCTGTTCAAAACACAGGCGTGCATTGCGCGTACAAATACAGAGGCTATGACTAGTTCTGGGTGAATAGACGCATATACATCATTGGAACATACTCAATGGAAGTTCACGCCGCATATCGTGGTCTCATACAGCAAGCTCAAAGATTAAAGTTGTCTCTAGGTCGTATGTTTGTCGGTGCGTTCCTCAGATCACCGAGCTCGGATATCTCGAAGGCATTGTCAAGAGACAAATCACCACATCAACCCAGTCCCCAAGTTGCTAAAGACATAAACCACTGCACGATTCGCCTCTATGTGTTAAAGGTTGGCGATTGTCGCGTTCCCTTGGAAATCGCCCTCTTGGGTCGTGAAATCCTCAACTGTGTCCAGAGACTTGATCTTGCCAAGCAGTAGCTCAATCACACGGTAACCCGATCCAGCGGTGTAGCCAGGCAGTTCATGACCGGCCAGCTGAACCTCGTAGTACGTCAAACCTCGCTCGGAACCAAAATTGCCCACGATTCCCGCCTCACTCAATCTCCCGCCGTTATACTCAGGATGGTAGGGAACATAGAACTGGTGATCCTGGGGGTATTTTTGAAACCCCTGTAAGCCATTCCAGGTTGTGTTCTGGAGGGCGAACAAAGTTCCGTTGGGCGGGAGAATGTAATCAAGACGGCCAACTCCAATGATGGTGTTATTCGTGTGCTCAATGACGCGACGTAGGACCTCATTCTGAGCTGCTGCCGCCGAAGTGTCGCTAGAGTTTGACTTTGGATCCCCGCCGCCAAAAACGTTTCTAGGTGTGCACTGGTACCAGTCCACGTGAGGTGCATTTATCGCGTCTTGGACATCGGTGCGATTGAAGAAGACTTTGGCATCTGGCGGTGTGTAGTCACCCTGTTTAGACGGAGTCAGAATCTACATGCCATTGAAAATAAAGCGCAGATGTGCTAAATACCTGATTCACAATACCCAATTGCGAGTACGTGTTAGGGCAAGTGTCAGTGATGTGGTAGATGTTGAAGCAGGGGTTGGCATCGAGAGCAGCTTCGTAAGCCCAGTCGAAAATGTCGCAGGTGTAGTTTCCAGACGGGTCGCTGTATGGATCCGGAAGAACTGGAAATGGCCCCTTGGGCGGAAAGGTGCCGTACTCTTGCAGATAACTCGAGAAGTTGCAATGCTCGTGAGTCCAGCGCAGCGCGTTCATATAAGTTTGGTTCAAGTTGAAGACGTTTTGCCAGTACTCAACAAACGGGAAAATGACAGCTTGCTGCTGAAGCGTCCCGTCTCCGATAATGGGATCATTGATGGCCACACCACCGAGCTTGTAGTACTGGTCGTCTTCAGCAGCAATGAATGCATCGGCGATGTATGGAACGTAGTAGCCTGCGTAAGACTCTCCCGTGATGTAAGTTGTGGCCCCCTCAAGACTGAAGGTATCGATGAAGTTTCGCCAAAAGCCGATAAATTGCTGTCCAAGCTCAACCTCATTGGTGATATCAGGTTCTCCTTGGCTGAAGCCAACACCAACAGGTTGCTCGACCCAGATGACGTTAGTCCTGAAGATTTCATCAGTTAACTAGATCCATCAGGGCAAGACTGTCTGCTTTTCTTACAAGTTGGTCCAACTGTAAGTGTTTGGCGTTGGCGCAAGAGTGCCATCTTGCCACAAAAAAGGGCCGTTCTCTGTGATGAGACCACTGAGGGAACTGCATCCAGGTCCTCCATTCAGCCTGCACACTAACTATCAATACATGTTCAATCCAATTTCTAGGCAGAATTCAGCTCACCAGATGAGAACCTCATTTCCAACATCAGGGTTTATGCTTGGAAAGAACCAAAAGTATAGCTGTCTCTCCTCATCTGGCTCTTCAGAAATAGGTAGCAGGCCGGCATACGATTCGCCAATGTCGAAGTTCACCTCTGGAATAGCAGTTCCGTTGACAACAAACCTTCTCGACTTATCGGTGAGAAACTTTGAAGCTTCGCGTCTGTTCAAAAACGCCTGCTGTGGATGAGCGGGAATGCTCCTGCGATCCTGGCGTCGAGGATGGTCTCGATTGAAGGCATTGAGGGCGCCACGATTGAATGACGCCTCAGAAAGAGTCATGAAGACCAGCAAAGCGCTGATGAGTTTGAAATACATTATAAAGAGTCTTACTAACGTCTGTCATGGTGAGAGGGTCTGGTCTTAGTGGTCTTGGCGGATGGCTTTTATATCAGACAGTCTAGCACATTCAGGTCTCCGTTCCCCGATAAGCCTCGCGCTATTCCATACCAATGTCATAATAGCTTCCCAATGGAATTCGGCAATCGCGGCGGACCGCTAGGGGACGCAGAAAGCTTCTCCGTTCATTCGCTGCTTATCAGGTTCCCCGCACGGCAATGTCGGCATCAGTTATGCAGTGTTATTCTGCTAAGAACACCCGCATGTAAAGTGCCGATTGAAATACGACGTGGAGAATGAAGCACCTCATAACAAAAGTTCGTCCGGTCTTCCGTCTTTTTTGGTGATGACATCCATGCCGCACCTGCCTTTTCAGGTATTTAGGTTGTTGACGCTAAAGCAGAAATACCCAGCTGCGAACCACCTTATCTTCTCGTCAAAGGTCCTTTTGCGCTTTTCGCCATTATGGTGACATCATGTCGATTGATCATTTCCGATGCCCGCGTGTGACTGTGGTGTCATTTGCGCGTTCTTACTTTCTGGACACGTCAGTGGCTCCTTAGCTTAGTTCCGGAATCGACTTGCCTTGCCAAAAAGCCTCGGAATCTGCTCAGTCAAAGACAAAGGTTCAAACAGCAGTAGAGTTACTTTACATGTGTAGTAATTATGGACTTTCTCAGCTCTCAAAAGAGGCTTTGCAATCGGAAGATATGATGTAGAAGTTAATAGTTAAGCTTATTAAACTTAGGCCGGTATTGCTATGCCTAGCCATTTGTTGATATCAACGGGCTGTATAAAGACTCATTTATCTCAAAAATGAAAGTTAGAGCACTGTTGGTCTCTGGCGCCACTTCATCATTTATAACTCTTGAAGCTCTCGTCCGTGTCTTTCCTCCGATTTGATGAGATGCATACCTAATACTGTAGACAGCAAGGCCCCGTCTGATCTAGCTGTGTGCGGTTCGAACCGCAGCATACTTCTGTGTCTCAGAACTCACACTTGCATTGCGGCTGGAGATGATTTAATTTCTAGAGCCTTTGTGTCTTTCATCTCTTAGAGCAAATGCAATATACCGCGCAATACAATGCAGCAACCCTTATAATCTGGTCACTGATATCTCGCGATACCTAATGAGTACAAATTTAACGTTCAATATTCTTCCAGGCTGTCATGGAACTCATCTCTTGGAGGGTCATAGACTCGCTCGATGATCACCCAGTTTCAAGTGATCTTTGCGCTCAGTTTCGGACGTATTTGCGTGGTTAGGAACTGTGAACTGTAAGCGTCAAGATCTCCGGCGTTTGAAGAGAATCAAGCACCGCGGTGATCTCTTCGCGCAATGGCCTTCATATGTGATCTTAAACATATTAGCCCTCCCATAGTGGATAGTATTGCTCGAAAGGTCTCGAGAATTGTTGTCAAACAAAAATGCTCCACAATGTGTCCATTACAACACAACCCTGGAAAAGGAGAACAATGTGGAACGCTGGCCAAGCTTTCTTCACAGCTTTGGTGTCCCATCAGCTCAGGAAGGTGTCATGTGAACAGGGATTGATAAATTAGAGTCTCACTCGCGTCAACCAACGTGAGCTCCACATGACCCTTGGCTGCTTTCCAAATACTACACGTCCGTTATGAATGAGTGTCTTATTCACTTAAGGTTGACGTGTGTCACAAGCACTTAATCCGACAGCGGAGTGGGACTTCTGGCGATACTTGCCCTAGGCGTGCCAATGCTCCATCGTTGTTGTGTCCATGCCTCCGACCTCGGGAGTGCGTGAGTGCAAGCATGAAAGCCTCCGGACGTGGTTTTCCATATCAATCATGATGTTTATCATACGAAATAGTATCACCAGTCTTTCCATCTATATTTATTGTTGAGTCTGTTTCTGCCCACGTGGATATTTGCGCCGAGTCAGAGTTCTCAACTCCTCGATTGAAAAGCCCGGGGGAAGCGAGATCAGGGAGAGATAGTGCCCCAGTGCGAGTCATTGCCCGTTCGAGTGGAATGTGGGCGCGATGCAACTCCGGCCCTACCCCGGTTGGCGATCAAGGCGTTGACTTTAACATTCGCTGTCCCCATCTCTTTCCGTCTCGAAGCACTTTCGCTCTTGTTCAATCTTCATCTCGTTCTCTGTTAAGACCGCAGCATCTTTAGGGGATGCTCACTTCTACAACCGCGGTCACAGGATGACCACTTTCACCAAAATGGCTGTTCTTCCGGAGATCAACGGATATCTCATTGCAAATTCGGTGGTGGTCTTCCTAACGGCGGTGGTGGTGGGTTTGAGAGTTGTCTCTCGCGTTTTGGCTGGATCGAAGCTTGGATGGGATGATTACTTTACCCTATTGGCCGTACCTCAGGGCATTTCTATGTTGGTATTGCAAGGACTTTGTAAGTTACACAAAACTAAGCAGATTCAAACATGGACTTTTTCTCAAGTTTCATTTAGGGACATCGGCTGGTCTGGGATATCAGTTGGAAGATATCGGTGGTAATTGGGCCTTCATTGACTCGGTAGGTGTTCTTCTTTTAGGAAATGATCTTATTGCACAGCCCAATCATCGTCTTGGCTGACACTCGCCATTATTAGCTCTTTCTCCCTTTCGAAACAATCTTTGGCGTCGTAAGCCTAACGACTAAACTTAGTGTCCTGTTCTTCTACCTTCGAGTTTTCACCAGTCGTTCCATGCGCACTGCGACAAGGTTGACTTTTGCAATCGTTATTGCATGGGGTATCGGGAACGTACTTCAAACAATGCTTGTCTGCCATGTCACGAACGGAAAGTGGCACGCCACAAATCCTGACATCTGTCGCGATCACGAAGCCAGCATTCTTTCCACAGGTCTTTTCAACTGTATAACCAACACCATCATCATGCTGGTGCCTCTGTATACGATTTGGACCCTGAGAAAGGTCAGCGTCTCTACTCGATTGGGTCTAAGCGCGGTCTTTCTCTTGAATCTTATGTGGGTATTCTCTCTTGATTCTCGGTGGCCGACATCAGATCTCGGTGGTCGCGACACTAACAGTGCCAAGTGCAATCATTGCGTCCATTGTCAGACTCGTTATAATGATAAACGTCTACAGTCTATCACAAGTCATGAAAAACATGGCCTTAACAACTTTCCTGACTGTTCTCGAGACACACCTCACTATATTGTGCAATAGTCTCCCGATGCTATTGCCATTATGGGCCTTCTGGAAACATCGCCGGTTCGAAACTGACGAGTATGTGTCCAGACTGGGAGGTAACAGCCATTCATGCAAGCATGAGCATCTGGTGGAGGATCTTACCAACGGCATTCCTCTTGAAACGATGTATGGCAAGAACATATCACACTTCACCACAACAGTCGAAAGAGGCGATTCGAGAAGGACTGCGGCGAATGATCAGGACTCTGACGGTGTTTCGGAGTCGGAGTCAACTCGAAGGCTTCCGAGGAATGCACAAGCTATCACAATTGAGACGAAGTGGTCGATAAAGGAGGAGACGGTTAGATGAATCTTCACCCCAGTGTTATGAAGGCAACCGGACAATTGCTTGGCTCTGATTAGCCATCTATTATACGCTCCTCGTTGTTCTCAGTGAGCAATGCTCTTCTGGGCAGCATGTAACAGGTTCTCTAAGTCGAGGCAAATGAAATTCGCTTTGGTATTGTTCGAAAGGTATCGCAGCAAAGCCTCTTGGGCCAATGAAACGTATGTTGCTCGTCCTCATCAGAGGAGCCAAGCTTCGTCCGACTAATTTGTTGTCTCTAGAGCTTCTGCCGGCAACCGCCAGATTCGGACCTTTTACCACTTATCTATATTAGGATCCCTTGGAAGAGGCCACGCCATTTTCAAAGTTTTGTTCATATTCATTCAAATCGCCAAAACATGAATTTCCCCAACATGAGGCGCGGTGGATAAATAAGCAAATCTCTAGCAAGACAGACGAGTAGATTGGAACATGACGACAAGGTTCCCACCTCAGTTTCGACTCCAGTATATCTTTCAATCTTATTGGCAATATGTTCATTTAATTATTTTTTGTGGGCTCCAAGAGGGCATTCTCAAATCTAGCACCACCTCCGTCGAAGATGCTTAAAACCAAACTATGGCATGCCTTGACCCTTGCCGCTGAAAAGAGCTCTGTCTCGTCGCAACCCGCGCAGCCCACACCTGCAAACATTCTTAGGCCAGATTGCGTTCTTTTTTCAACGTACTGTTCTACTTTTCGTTGATTCTCCGATCCAAGTAAATATGAACCAAAAGAATCAACAGAACCAACCGAGTCCTTAACCTCGTGCTTCAGATCAAAACATTTCGATTGTAACATCGCTTTGAGACCCGTTGAAGTCATATCGCATCTACTAAATATCTGGAGCATTTTCAAGTGATATGGGATGTGCTACCAGTCATCTTTAAAAGGGATCATCCTTTGACGTTGTAAAATGGAGGGCTATGATTCTCACCGAACACTGAATGCAACTCATCGCGGCGATGTATTTGTCCATGGTTGATTTCTTTATTGATAGTGCTTGGTAACGCAACGATCTTCTCCATTCCTCGCCAAGATTTAGCCCATGGCTCCAAGCACTTGGCAAACTTCGCGGAGAAACTTTTCCACCCATTGACAGCAAACCCAAGACTCAAATAAGGCACAGCATCTCTGTCCCACTTCTCCTCAGAGCGGACGACACGCGTCGTGAAGGCAAATCTCGGCACGATTATCACTTGTTGCGGAACACATTTCGAAGTTGACCACTCTATCATACCTGGGCCCGGGTCATTGAAATGCGACATTCCTCTACTAATGGTGCCGTTTGGCCAGCTTATGTGTCTCGGCACGCATCTCGGCACACATCCGGCATTCCGGCTCGCTTCATCAGACTTAAGCCTCGCATGTTTGATATCTCTCTCCCCGCAGCGAAGTCTTGCCCCGCCAAGCATTGCCAAGTTTCCCAATTCAACACACAGAAAAGTCCATCAATCAGCTCGTTCAATAGCCCGCGACAAGCTCTGAAGACTCCACTCATCCCAATACCTTAGCACCTCAAGTGACTTTTTCCCAGTTGCCAAGTTAATCTGGGGACTGCGTGAGCACATTGATCATTACACTTGAAAAACATATATGAACCACGGAACCTTTAACGAGAATGAATGCGAATGGGCATCTTCTCAACCCGGCATCAAGAACATGAGATTAGCTGCTTTACTTGCCACCTTTACTCTTCTTTCCGGGGCCTTTACGGCAGCCGTCCCGGATATTCCTCGAACCATTGGGGAATTTCGGCAACGACATCCATTTACCAAACGAGCCCCCCCTTGCCGCCCTACTTTCGTTCCAAGATCATCTAATAACGACACCGACGATGTCTCCCTCTCCTTCTTGGACGCCGTCAAAAATGCCAACAACGGCGGCGCTGTTTATCTTCCTGCTGGCGAAACATTCGTGATTGGCAAGCCTCTCGACCTTACATTCCTCAACAACATCCATATTCGCCTTGAAGGAACCATCAGATTTACCAATGATGTAGAATTTTGGCAAGCCAACGCATTTTATCACCCCTTCCAGCGCTCTTTGATGTTTTGGAAGTGGGGTGGGAAAGACGTGTGGATTCATGGCGAAGGAGTTATTGATGGTCAAGGTCAGAGATGGTGGAATGAGTTCTCGGGACAAGAGTAAGTCAACGAATCAATTCGGACAGAAAATCGTCATAGCTAATCTCGTATCTGCGTAGAATTCTAGATCCTGATAACGAGTACCTCAGGCCAATTCTGTTTTATGCGGAGGGCATTGAGAACTTAGTGGTTGAGGGTATCTTGATGAAAAATTCTCCTGTTTGGCATAATTTTATTGTTGAATGTAGGCTCTCGTCGTTTTGCTTCTCACGCTTCGTCCGGAGCCACCCCGCTAACATATTGCAGCTAAACACATCACATACCGCGACGTTATTGTTGAGGCCAAGTCGAACAACTCCACGGTTGAGCCTAAGAACGGGGATTTCTTCAACTCTCTCAACGTTGAGCACATTCGCATTGAGCGCGTTTGGGTGGACTCCGACGATGATTGCTTTTCACCAAAGAGCAACAACACAGATATCCATGTCAACACAATGTACTGCAACAACTCCCATGGACAGTCACTAGGAAGTCTCGGACAGTATGAAGGAGAGTATGTCTTCGTCAAAGACGTTGTTATCGAGAACGTATGGATGCTGAACGGAAATAACGGCGCGCGGATCAAGGTCTGGGCGGGTGAGAACGTTGCGACGGGCTTTGTGGAGAACGTGACCTTCCGCAACTTTTGGAGCGAGAATGATGACTGGCCAGTCTTTCTGGACAGCTGTTATTTCAACATTGATGCAGAGACGTGCAACAAGTTCCCCAGCAAGATGAAGGTCAGCAACGTTTTGTTCGAGAATTTCCGGGGTATCTCGAGCGGTAGCAAGGGGCGAGCTGTGGCAAGAGTCAGTTGCTCCACGAATGAAGAGGGGCGGTGTCAGGGCATTCAGTTCAAAGGGTTCGACGTTCAGAGCCCATGCGGCGGGAACGCCGTGGTGATTTGCGACGGCGTTGAAGGGGGTCTTGGGATTCCGTGCGTTCCATTTGATAGCGAAGAGGCGCAAAGTGCATTAAAGGATGTGTGTAAGCGGGAAAAGGCGACCATCCCTCCGCCTTGGGATGTCAGAGATTATGGTGCAAGAGATTAGACTTGCTCGGAGCATTCTTAGACATAGTGGATGAGACGTTGCAGCGAGGTTGGGCCCTGCTCTTGGAGACCTATGGCGGGTAGCTGCCTCTCTATTCCGGGCAAGTGAACATCATGAGTTGTTCACACCCGCGAGCCTGCATTTGACTACCGTCTCTGATTCTCGCCGCGTGGTCAATGGCGGGAATAGTTTAGGAGCAACTCGGCCCGGGACTGTCAGTGTCCCCACTATCCCGAATAAAGTCTAGCATCATGACAATGACGTACAAGAAAGGGTCCTTAATTTTCTGCGACTTCTTTTCCCGAACTATCGTCTCTTGCCAGACAAAAAGCTTTACGGACTCGTCGCTTAGAAATAAATCCTTGGTTCGAACTATCCCATCATGTCTTTCATGCAAGAAGTGCAGTCTTTCCTCACTCCAACCAAAGTCGACCTTTCCTCGGCGCCAGGGCCTGGATCCTCGGCCCCGAGCACGACCCGCCTGCCGTTCCCCCGCTCCGACTCCAAACCCACCGTCGTCGCTTTCCTCCGACACTGCGGTTGTCCTTGTACGTCACCCTTCGGCCTCGCTCCCTGCCATGACCCCATACTGACAAGATCGTTAGTTGCGGAGAAAACTTTCCGACTTCTCCGAGATGCAGCCTCTCAAAATCCTGACATCGCGTTTGTCGCCGTTTCTCATTCCTCCGAGTCCCACACCAACAAATGGGTCTCTGAGGTGGGCGGAGCCGGCACCACAAATCCTGTGCAAGTTGTTCTTGACGAAGAGCGCTCGGTTTACGCGAAATGGGGACTGGGGGTCTCGGGCTTCCTTCACGTATTGAGCCCAGGCGAACTGAGCAAGGTGTTTTCGCTCGCTTGGAATGAAGGGATCAAGAATCGGCCGACGGAGAGCGGAAACCGCTGGCAGACCTCGGGGACATGGGCTGTTGACGCGCAAGGAAAGGTGGTTTGGGGTGGAATTTCGAAGAGTGCATCTGATATACCTGACTTTGACAACATCGTATCCAAGTTGAAGAAGACTGGCGAGTAGTTATAGAAGTTGAGTCAATGCTTCTACCTGAATCGAAACACCGGTCACGGGATGGGATGACGGAACGCATGGTGAACACTCATGGGGTTCCAACCACCAGACCATGAGACTAGGGTTTGGAGCCTTTGCTGCGAACACATGCTAGTGACTATTAGACACCGCAGATAAGAATATCAAATGAGAGACTGAGGCTGTTGCCTCGTATTGATCGCTCATAAGATCGCAACGACTACCTATTTTACTACTCATCTCCACACCTTACCATTTCCAAACTATTCTTTTCTCGGCGGCAGCACCGTCGGAACAGGCGGACGTGTAGTAGTCCGCGGCAGTTCCGGAACAGCAGGTGTCGGAATACATGCGCATGCACTGCTGACCCGCGAAACCACCTCCTTGTTCTCGCCGCCGCAGGCCTCAGTCGCATATCCCGGAACCAAACTCTCATCGGTGTTTAAGCGCTGAGTGAAATTACCACAGAACTCGCCAGACTCCTCCAAACGATCAGGAATGTGCGAGGCACGCAAGGCGCGGAGGCAATTGTCTGCGTTGCATACAGGTGCTTTCGGACATTCTTTAGAAGTCATCTTCACCACAAAGCTGCCGCGTTCAATGGTGTGGACGAAGATGAACCCGGACTTGAAATTGGCGTAAGATGACCAGGACCCCAAGAACGCGACTGTTCCACCGCCTTCGTTCTCGTCGTCTTCGGGATATATGTCGAAAAAACCGGCTTCGCAGATACCGTTGCCGCTGGGGTCTTTGGTCACGCTGCTGACATCGAGCACGTTCAACCCATTTCCGTAGTTTGACTGGTAAAGGTAGCCGTTGACCATGTACTGATTGTGATCAATAGACCTCGTCTTTCCTGCATAATTGCCGACATACACAGGTGCTTCGAGGTTACGAATGTCCATGATGTGTGTTGTGGGAAGCCCCTGTGTCATGGGACCAACCTTGGCGTCGCGTTCGTCAAATTCGTCGTCGATGAAGAGATACTCCTGCCAAGTCTCATTGTTGACGACTCCTTGGTGCACATACTGGGCTCCCGGATAATCGGTAATGGAAATGATGTTGGTGACGTTGCCATTCTTGTCGGTAACATCGTAGATGGTCAATGTATCCTCGTTGTACCCATAGCAGATATCCCGTCCAACATATCGTTCGTCAGGTCCACGGTAGACGAGGCATTCAGCGTCATGTACGTAGCCATCTCCGGCAGCGCAACCCGGGCTGGTGACGTTTGTGGGATCACTGATGTCGAGGAATATCAGGCCCCCACGGCAAGGGAGGTCTCCTCGTACGCGGATTGTCTCATTTCCGCCTACGGAGCCACAGGCAATGGCATAATTCAGCTCGTGGTTGACAACAATGTTGTGAGTGCGACCAACAGGAAGCTCATCCCAGTGCCCAGTGAGCTCATCCTGTGTGAAGTTCTTCGGGTTGGCAGGGTCGAGATTGAGGACCTTCTTCATGTCGAAGAACTGCACCCCATGGCGGATAGCTTCGGAGCCAATGACGGCGATGTCGCCCACAATACGGATCTCTCTCCACTGTGATCCGATTCGATCATACTGCGGCAGACGGCCAACATAGATGAGCTTGCCGTCTTTTGAGATCTCAGCAAACGCAGTGCCGTCGTACTGCCCGATGGCCACGAATTCCCTGCCGTCTTCAGAGGTCCAGCCCCAAGAGGAAGAACCACGTCCTCCCCAGCTCCCCAGAGCCTCGTGTGAGAGGAAGTGATACAAGTCAATCTACAATCATCAGCTTGAGCAGTGTCTCTTCGGGGCTATCAGTTGATTCATACGTTACGGCACCTAAAGGTATTGTGCGGGTCTCCGGGGATCGCTGCAGCGAATCCATCTACACACGGGGTGTAGCTGAGCTCGGGGTATTTGGAACTGTCCATGTCACCGGCGGCAATCTCAGCCTCCCATTGAGCCTTTAAATTGTCAGCAACTGGTAGTTCTCCGTAGTGGCCTAAGTATTACGTACCATCTTGATTCCCATGATGCGGTGATGAACTTCGCCAGAATCATACTCCGCCTTGGTGCCAGCGCCAGCTGCATTGCTCATACCGACAACCAGAGCGCAGCTGATTGCGGCCGCCTGAAGAAGCCGGATCATGATCGCTGGTTCTCGCAAGGACGCCAGTGACGAAAGATATCGTGATATAGCAAACTCGGTGCAGGATCCAAACTGAATGAATGCCACGATGACCGCACGGCGCGGAGAGGAAATGAACAACTCTATGTACTTTTATAGTTTTGAGAATCTCTGCCATGCATGGTGGGAACCGCATAGCAATCTGCATCATTAGGCAGCCGGCGCTGCTTGGGAGGCTGGTAACCAAGACTTCCATTTCCACGCTCTCTTCAATAAAACCCGACTGAGAGGTAGCACGTAAGACCCGATGTCACCACATTTTCTTGGCTAATGGAACATACCTTCTCGAAGCAGTCAAGTTGATCTTGGGCGATATCGCGCTGACCTTGGCGGCCTTGGCAAAACCAGTGACAAGATTGCTCTAGATCCCGCTGCCGGGCGCTGCGCCTCAAGCTCCCCGCACTTTGCCACGTAAACTCCGAGATTCTGGTAGTCTTGGCCAGCTTATTTGGGTAGGTGTTCTTCATCTTAGCCCTTGGACGATCCTGTAGGCTACTGATAAGAGTCTATTGTTCATCCTTCCTTGTCTCTACGAGAGGCCTTGTTTGGCAACATTTCCGGATTTAAGAGCGATCTCGACTTTCCTAGTGTTCATCACTGAGTTCCAGTTATGTTCGATATATCTAGGGTGCTGAAATCCTGCGTTTATCTCCCCTTAGTTTCTTCTACTACTGCATACCAGTATGTTATTTAATTTATCTTATGTCCTAGACTATCTGCTTTTATCTAACTTCTATAGATAGAAATTAGTCTATTAATTAACTATATCTCAGCCTTAGCTATTTCTAGATAAATATTAAAGGCCTAGTTATCCTTACTATAGAATGCTTATCTATTCTATTTAAACTATAAAAGTTTATAATATATAATTTATTCTACTATAGCTTATATTTATATCTCTTATCTTATAATATATAGGAGTAATAGATATTTTAGCTTTATTCTATAAGAAAGGAAATAGATTGTTACGGCTAGCTAACTAATAGTGGGTTTGTATTAGCAGTAAGTTAGGGATTGAGAACTATAAACAGTATTAAGTCGTTCTATAGGGCTATTTAAGTAATTATAGGTCTTTAAAGGTCTTAGTGATTAGTTAAGGCCTTAATAAGAGTTATAGAGTAATTATTACTTAGGTATAGCTAAAAGTATTATAAGTAATAATTATAAG